CATGGGTGCACGGAATGATGAGGCTTGGCGCCCGTAAAACGACCGCCCCACAGCGATTCCCGGCCGATGGGATTATCCGAGAGCCTACTCAACTGTCTCTTGGGTGGTAGCTACTCTCGCGTGCCGTCTATCGTTCTTTTCGATGGTCGTGGTGTTGTGGCGTGGTGGTGTCAAGACACGATCGTTTCGTCACCCCATGCTACTCGTTGTGGAGGGTTAGATTGGAGTAAAGTACCTAGGAGTCGAACGTTTAGTGTTTTCTTAGCATATGTAGTGGGTGGAGACGAGCAGCGCAGGAGCAGACTCTCTTGTGGTTCTTCTTTCTATACCGAGATACACGCCAATCGATCAATCGTCTGAACGCCAATCCATCATCACACGCATCGCGTCGATTCCACGTACAGGAAGCTCATTGTCTGCTATCACTAGTGTACACTAAAGGACTTTGATGGCTTTATGGTTGTTGGGATACTTCTGCTACATGGTCTGTCTAAGGCTCATGTCACCTGGACGATCTGCTCTGATATGCAACCGGTCTAAATAAATATCTCGAGCGGCCGCATAAAAAAGACATCCGTGAAACGGGGCAAAGAGTCGCCATCTGATTCGACGCCAAGGGCCTATCGTGGATCCATCTTGTCGGCACAATGATTACGTAGAGTGCCATCGGTGCTGAACAAACTCGCACCCTCCTCCCCCATAAGGCTGAGCATAAGGATCCTTTGCGGTACGCAAGAAGTAGGTACCCGATCGCCATCCGCTCGACCCCTCACGCTCGCTCGTGACGATTATTTCCCTCCCTCTCTGTTTCCCTCTCTCTCTCTCTCTCTTTCCCTCTGTCTCTCTCTCCCCCGTCGTTCTCTAAAATACGTCCCTGCATCAACCGACCGGCCGTAACTCGCACTCGCACCTTCGGCTTTTGAAAACCTGCTTGTTTATGCACACATGCACATCTTCCACACTTGTTGGTGTGCCAATCCTCATAGCCGCCGGACATGCATAGCGCACACACCCCTGATTTGGTTGTTGGGGTCGTGACGCTAGCGATTGCGAAGATCGCGGGGGTGGGGCTGGGGGGGGGGGGTGCGAGGGGATGCTGATGCTGATGCCTTATCGTATCGACCGGGCAGCCCGTGGCGGTGGCGAGTGGGGAGAGAGAGAAAGGAGTGAGTGAGAGGAAGGGCGGGGAATTCGATGACTCTACGCAAGTACATAGAGTACATACATTGGTACCTCATACTCTACGACTGCCTGGAGGCTGGAAGGGGCCCAAGTGGGGGCTGCGGCTGAACGTGAAATTGAGGGAGAGACTCCGAAACGGAGGATCGGGCATTGTCCATGCGCGGTACGGAATAGGTAGCTGCGGATGTATGCATCGGTGTCAGCTCCGAAACAGGGCGGATCATGGTTCGTCACTCGTGAGCTGCCGGGTCGACGTCCGCGAGATCGGGAGTTGTCCGTATGGTCGGTGGATGGATGGATCTCCTCGCCATCATGTAAGCTCTGAGGTGATCATGTCTGTTTGACTTTCGACGTCGATTGGTATGCACATAATACATATCGCCTTGCAGATTCCCAATCTCGAATCGCGTATGTAGTGATTGCTAGGTGGGGAGGGAGGTACTCGATACTCAAGGACACACCGCGGCTCGTTGGACGAAATGGGTAGAGTATTGCCCCGAGACTTGTACTGGTTGGACTATATACTTCGCTAACCATTCCATCGTGGGCATCGAATAACGGAGTGCCTACCCTCAGACAAAGAACGAGCAACCCAATCTTCTCTTTGACAGACCGGCTACTCATAAACGTTGACTCGTGCGAACTCGACAAGAGCATAGAGTTGTTCTCACATGTGGGTTGCTAACAAACAACGAATAAAAAACGAGTAAAAAAACGAGTAAAAAACGAGTAAACAATCAACGATTAAACAATCAACTAGTAAAAAACAACGATTAAACAAACACCGATTAAATAAAAAAACACTTTGTGAGCTTGCACCCACCACACCATTGCGACTGCCGATAGTGTTTCGCAGCACCGAATTGGAGTTGTACATGTAATGTCACTCGTCTCACGCGTGAGAAGTCGTGATTAAAAGCATTGAAACGAGGTGAGATCTTCACATCAAGTAGGAGTAACGCTCAACGTCTATGCGGGGTCGAACTAGTCCCGGTATCTTACGGCCATGATTACCGATGCCGACGAATGTCATCACTTTCCGCACACTTACCCCGCAGTTGGGTACAGTGTACACCGAGTGCCCCACGCCGTTTTTACACCTGCCGACTCGCAGGCTGCCGCGCGTCCCACACAACTCAGGGTTCTATTTTCGGGCTTGTTTGTACTGTTCGATTGGTGAAGGCAGGCACCGTGTCTGGATTGGGAACTGATGTGAGTTGATGGGACAAGATCTGCGGTGAGTGCTGGGACATGACGGCGATATTGTTGCTGGTGATATGCGGGCAACATCACCGATCATCCGATGGAGGGCGTTAGCGTCGCCATATCAAGGTCAATCGGCGAGTGAGATTTTCTCTACGGAGCAAAGGAGATGACGACGGTAATAGGGAAACTCCTGATTATTGCGAAGTCATGCTACACATACCCCCTTCAGTTCAGCTTCCGGCTCGGGATTATCCATTCATGCGGCCGGCAGAATTCCAGGTTACGTCGCCTGTCTGGATTAGAACCCGTGGCCGAGGCTTCCGTGTGAGTCACCAATCCCAGGTATCCGTTCAGAGTGACCTGGAGATCAATTAGCCGTATGGGCATGTATGTCCTATGGATGTTTTATTGTGTAGATTCACTACATACCTAAGTAAGCAAGTATCCATATATCTTTTGACTTTCAGCAATATCGTATTCTTTTGAGTCATACTTCGAGAAAAGGTGATTCTCAGCACTCGCACTCGCATTTGCTGAAGGATTCTCGTTCAACAAGTGAACTCATGGTCTCCGTCCCCTACATTGACAGCCCGCCACATGATACTCGGCACTTCAGAAGGAATTCAAGTTTTGCTGGCTGCCAGAGGTGGAGATGTTGGCTGTTTGCGGAGGCAAGAATCGATTAAGGAGGAGGAAGGACCCCTGGGTAGGATTTTTAATAGCAGAAGTGAGCTCTCAACTTCAACCCCCTACTTCTGGAGTATCGTTGACGTCCTTGAGCGTGAAGATGTTCTGAGAGATCGGATTCGGCTTGGTGACAATAGCTACAATAATAGTAACATGTCGAGCGTTGGTCATTATGGCTGGTGCATTGTTCTCCTGTTACTCTACGGTTGCTTGCAGCGCCGATGGTATTTCTGCTTCGAGGATACAGCTGGTACGGAAGTGATATAGGCAAGTGCGTATGATGACGTAGGCTCCATCTGGATCTTTTAGATGGGGACTCGAAGAAATCCCAATTCTCAATAACTATGAAGCAGGTATCCGCTCGCGGCTCCGCAGCGGAAGAGCTCGTCAGCGGGGGAGCAGTAGATATCTGTGGTGCCATCTAGGCTGAAGTCATGCCAGAGATCAGTCTGACTCACTGCCGAGAAGGACATACCGTGAGAAGCGAGAATCCAGTGGCAAGAAGCGACCACTGTCTTTGATGATAGACCTCTTGAAAATGACCCAAAGTCAAAGTTTACTATACTCGTCACGATAGCACAACATAAATTGTACCTTTGTGATTGGCGTAAAGCTTTATCGAAGTTCGCTGTCGGTGGAAGTCTGGAGGTCAATTGACATGCTCCGTTTTAAGGTATACGAGTATTTGGTCTGGAGGCTGCGGATAACCGGCGAACGTCTGAAACGGACCTCGATACGAGTTTGTTGACGAGTCTCCCCGTAGAGATGAGAAGGCAGCAACAGCAAGAGCCAGCCAGGTACCTATGACTCTACTCTAAGCTGGAGACTCTCCAACGGATGAACCAAATCCGCTCGATAAAACGCTCAATGAAAGTATGCTTGTTGATTATGGCTCATCATGGCACACAAGTGAGTCGACACGGCATGTACAAGGTATGTGCTAACGTCACAAAATCATGCGGAACGGTCCATCCCCAGGTTCCCGGTCAATCGCTACGCTGAGTTTGGGGAGCGGCGAGGTTGCGGACGGAAAGCTACGAGGATCTGCGCTCGACAGCGGGCGCTTGAGCAAACGCTCCCCGGTATATACGGTGTGATCGGTCATGAAGAACTCGACGACACAAAGCGGTATTCGTGTACAACCTTACGAGATAAAGTGCCTACAGCATGCACTATTCGCGCGGCTACGATCGGACGCGAGCGGGCGCCTGGAATCCCGCATCTCAGAGGGCTTTCGCTAGCATAAGGTGCACTACTCTGGAGGCACTAAGGAGACACATAAGGCGGAGACTGGAAGATGGGCAGGGCAAAGGCAGGCAGGCCGGGACAGTGCAGGGATATAGATATGATCGTGACGCTAGAGGAGTTCGAGGGACTATCCGAGGATTCCGTGTAGGGGAAACTTGAATAATGAGGGGTCGTCGGAGGGGCTAGATATTGCTTGGTGCGTATTCGAGGGAATTCGAGGACGGCGGAGAGGAGCAAGCGTTTGTGGACCACACAGAGACGCCTACGCCTGCGCGGACTTCACGACCGATGATGAAAATGCTCTACATCGCCGTCTTTCTTTTGTTGACATGGCGTTGGTTGAGGGTTAGGGTCTGGCTGAGCAGCTGCGAACTCCCAAAATTTTCCGTGTGCGTTCGCCCATCGGAAACAGCGGGCGTAGGTTTCGGCGAGAGCACGCACCCCCACCTAGCCAGGGTTGAGGCTCGCTGTCGAAATATGCAGTCACAAACTTCTGTGCGGGCTGTTCTTTTGAGTGAGGCATCCAAGCTAATTTATTTTTTGGCTTTTTTATTTTTTCGCCGCTGTCGTGGCCAGATTAGGCAGTCGAACGCTAGCGGGGGTCCAAGAAAACCTTTTTTTTTCCGCCGTGCTTGCGCTAAGGTCTGTTGTGACTCGCCTTGGCAGTGAGGGGCACAGTGGTTTTTACTTATAAACCCCGCTTCCTTCACAACACCCGCCTCCCTCCCTTTCTCTCTCTTCTCTCCTTGTCACTGTGAGTACTTCCTTCCCCACCCCCAACTATTCGCACTTCTTCTTCTCTCCTGCTTCAACTCGCAACTCGTCTGCTTTGGTCAGCAACTGATTGAATACAGCATACCGAACAAGCCTACGTTCTTCTGAGTATCATCACATACCCCCCAAAACCAACACATCTACACTCACCACATCCAACCTTCAAAATGGGGTACGTTTCCGCTGCTCTTGCTTACTCACTTCATCCATCGTGCACACTTCGGTCGCCTGCCGATTGGACTTGATTGCGACTTTGTATCGGGTCCTCTCGTGAGGCTGATCTCGATGGTGATGTTGACTTTTTCGACCCCTCAATTGCTAATCACTTATACGTGTGCAGAAAGGAGAAGTCTCACATTAACGTCGTTGTCATCGGACACGTCGACTCCGGAAAGTCCACCACTACCGGTCACTTGATCTACAAGGTAAAATTCATCCATTGCTGATTGCGGCTCATTTTCAATGCGTGTTATCTGACTTGCCTTACCTATCTAGTGCGGTGGTATCGACAAGCGTACCATTGAGAAGTTCGAGAAGGAGGCCGCTGAGCTTGGAAAGGGTTCGTTCAAGTATGCCTGGGTTTTGGACAAACTGAAGGCCGAGCGTGAGCGTGGTATCACCATTGATATCGCTCTCTGGAAGTTCGAGACCCCCAAGTACTACGTCACCGTCATTGGTATGTCACGCTTTCCATCCTTCTGTGACTCCTCATACTAACGTTTCGAAACAGATGCCCCCGGTCACCGCGACTTCATCAAGAACATGATCACTGGTACTTCCCAGGCCGACTGCGCTATTCTCATCATCGCTGCCGGTACTGGTGAGTTCGAGGCTGGTATCTCCAAGGATGGCCAGACCCGTGAGCACGCTCTGCTCGCCTACACCCTCGGTGTTAAGCAGCTCATCGTCGCTATCAACAAGATGGATACCACCAAGTGGTCTGAGGACCGTTTCAAGGAGATCGTCAAGGAGGTTTCCAACTTCATCAAGAAGGTCGGATTCAACCCCAAGACCGTCGCTTTCGTCCCCATCTCCGGGTTCAACGGTGACAACATGATCGATTCTTCCTCCAACTGCCCCTGGTACAAGGGTAAGCTTTCTATTCCTTCCCCTCACTTCTGAAAATTCGTGCTGATTCGATTTCAGGTTGGGAGAAGGAGACTAAGGAGGGTGGAAAGTCCTCTGGAAAGACCCTTCTCGAGGCCATCGACTCCATCGACCGCCCCGAGCGTCCTTCCGGCAAGCCCCTCCGTCTTCCTCTTCAGGATGTCTACAAGATTGGTGGTATTGGCACAGTGCCCGTCGGACGTGTCGAGACCGGTACCATCAAGCCCGGTATGGTCGTCACCTTCGCGCCCGCTGGTGTGACCACCGAAGTCAAGTCCGTTGAGATGCACCACGAGCAGCTCACCGAGGGTCTTCCCGGAGACAACGTTGGTTTCAACGTCAAGGTTAGTTTCGATCTTTTTTCGCTTTCGTATCATCTACATTTACTAACTTCTACCCCTACAGAACGTCTCCGTCAAGGAGATCCGTCGTGGTAACGTTGCTGGTGACTCCAAGAACGACCCCCCCAAGGGTGCCGAGTCCTTCAACGCCCAGGTCATCTTGATGAACCACCCCGGTCAGGTCGGAAACGGTTACGCTCCCGTTCTTGACTGCCACACTGCCCACATCGCCTGCAAGTTCGCCGAGTTGATCGAGAAGATCGACCGTCGTACCGGTAAGAGTGTTGAGCAGGCCCCCAAGTTCATCAAGTCTGGTGATGCCGCCATCGTCAAGATGCAGCCTTCCAAGCCCATGTGTGTTGAGGCCTTCACTGAGTACCCTCCCCTTGGACGTTTCGCCGTCCGTGACATGAGACAGACCGTCGCCGTCGGTGTCATCAAGTCCGTTGTCAAGGTCGACAAGGTCGGAAAGGTCACCAAGGCTGCTGTCAAGGCTACCAAGTAAGTTTCTTCGAGTCTCATTCCTTCTTTTGCATCTTTCTAACCTCTACAGGAAATAAGTAATTTTCTTCTGGGTATTTGGGGCGGGGTATTTCTGGTGTTCTTGTGATAAAAGTTGGCTGGCCATGGGTTGGGGTTTTCTTTTGTTCTGAATGAGAAATGATCGAATCATTTTTTCGGGGTTAATTGGAAGTGTTCCACCTGATCTACGTCCTCTGTGAATCTGAAACCTTACACGTGAATTGAATCATCGTGAAAGTTTAAAAGGGAGCCCGCAATGTAGTTACTTTCCTATTATACCGGGTAAGGATACATCGACTGGTCACGATGCACGTCAGCCATGTTCTCTGCACTGTGCTTTGCATACTAGACTCCACCTGACGCTATCATGGCTGCATCATTTTCAAAACCTTCCCTCGCATCTTCTTTGCTCAGGTTATCTGAAGTCCGCCCGGCGGCGTGGGGTTCCCTTTCTACTTCCTGCAAACCGGTGGACGATGTCCTTATGGGCGGATTCCCCTATGGTTCGATTACCACTATCTCCGGCTCACATCCGCCGTCACGAACACTGGTGCGAATCTGACTCGTCCCACTTTACTGCCATGTCGTTGCTAACATCAGCCACCAGATAGCGCTGCACACCTTCTCCTCACATATCCTCTCGGACCCGACTACCGAAGCGATATGGGTGGACACGACGGGGAATTTCCCCGGCGAAACGCTCAAGGAAATCATTTTTGCCACATCTCCGTCACAAGAGGTCGCCACTTCGCTTCTGGAGCGGGCAAAGATCACCCGCGTCTTCGATCTCCAGGGCCTCGTCGAGACGATCGATGAGATCAGAGATGATCACCGCACGCGGCAGAGGGAGAGTAACGTTGTGCCTGATAGTGAGGGGGAGTCGGAGGACGAGGAGGGGGATGGTGGGCGCGAGGTGCCGTATGAGAGGACCAAGCGCGGCGTGAGGTTGGTGGTTGTCGATAACGTCACGCTGCTGTATGCGACGATGGTTAATAAGAGCCAGCTTCAGGGTATGTTTCCTTTCCCCCACCGATGGATGCGGGGGAGGGGCGTATGTGCTGATGTGCTGGGCTCCGTGCAGGCCAGGCTATGCTTGTGGAGGTTCTCCGCAGTTTTGCGGTGCTGGTGAAGACCTACGGGATCGCTGTATTGTTGCTAAACGATACACCCCATACTACCACCCCTCCTGACACGCCAAACTTTCATCCTAGATTTGCGTTCAAGCATAGCACACTGCCGAGTGTGTTTGCTGATTCGTCGCTGAGGTTCTTGAATGGATCAACGTTCTCTTACGGGGCTGACCTCCATATCTTGCTTTCGAGACATCCATATGAGCCCAACGAGGAGAGATATGGTAGGAGAGGGGCAAGGAGCACGGTTGATGAGGGCACGGTCTTCGAGATTGTGGCGGATAGGATCGGGGGGAGGACTGGACGTTGGACCGCGTTTGGGATTCTGGGGAATGAGCTTGTTGCGTTGTCTTAGGTCAATCCATTGAACTACATAATTCTTATAAGTGTGCTCAAAGAGCTTTTTTTCTCATCGATTTTGTATTCGGGCAATTCCGGCCATGGAAGCATGCCTGAAGAATTCCGAGCGTCGGGGATTATCCTGTGCACGAGTGATAAATCGTGTGGATTACGTTTGCCCAGACGCCTCCCGCATCGGCGCTAGTGGGGACAATTTACATCCCAAACTTTTCTCCTGGCGGTGGTTCTACAATACTTGAACGATCTCATATGCCACCAACAACAGGCTCCTTGTTCGCAGTATGCTGCCGCTGCCACGCCCGCTCTGCATACGCGACGTTCCGGACGCCCACCCGCATCGGCGCAGCACTGCGGTATACCACAGCAGCGAATTCTCACCACTCTCCTGCCGATGATCACGATGCTACCCCCACCGTCAGCGGCGGCAATGTTGGCGGGCCCACCTTGACGAAAATCGGCAACCCCATAAAAGAATACGCTGGGAAAAGAGTAGGAGATTCCGGCCACGAGCTCCTTGTCCTCGCCCCGCCACGGCCGAAATACACAGCACCGAAGGTTACTATCTCGCCGCTGGATAAGCTGCAGCTGGCGAATCTGTCGAATGCGGTGCTCACGTACGAGATGGAGGCATTGCTCGATGCCACCAAGATGGAGATATCGCTGGCCAGACCTCTCGAGCCACGGGTGTCGCAACAGCGATACGATCAACTTTACAACCAGCTGTCCCATGCGTTCAACATGACGCAGTTGCAGGACTACTTTGAGAGTTCGCTGCCAGAGGATACCACTACGCCACCGGAACACCGCCGGTACACAAGGAAGCCGGATGTCATCCATGCGGTGATGCGCGATCGGTGGAAGATGATTGTCGCCGAAGAAATCGCGGAACGCGAGGACGTGATTGTGCTCAAGGACATCAACATCACCACCAGAGATATCTTCTTCCTCATTGGCGAGGGTAGGTTTTCTCCACTCTCATCACCCACCCCACTATTGGCTCTTTGTGTTCTTGTTTTGTCGCTATGGGAAGAAGTTTGTGACAGTGACTGATAGATTTAGACGGGCGGATCCTACGACAATGGGCCGAAAGCTCTGCCGCCAGGATCACGGTCGACGTTGCGAAGGGGCTGCTCTCTATACAGGCCAGTTTGGCTAGTATAGAGAAGATCGAGAAAGCTCTTGCCGAAACGCTCAAGGCGGTTATAACTGAGGAGTTTTCCATCACCGCTACGAATCGGATTGCGCCTTTGAGGGATGAGTTTATTCCTACCATATCTCGCCTAACGAACACATTCATTGAGAATATCTCTCCAGATGCTGTATGTGTTTCCTCTCTCCAAGACACTCATTGTAAGGTTGCTAATTGTTGGTTCAGCTTCGCATTTCTACATTGGGCCCTTCACGACACAATCTCGACGATGCCCGGCGGCTCCTAATCTCTTCAATTGACTTACAGCTGAGGACGAACAGCTGTCTGCTGTACAACCCACCTATCATCAACTCGGAGATGGTTGCTCTTTACCCCACGTCCGAGCTTGCCTCGTTACCATGGACTGCGCGGAACCGAGAATGGGGCCGTGTGAAACCGGTGGTGCAGAACAAGAAGATCACTCGCGCAGCAGCCGACCGACTGACATACAAATCCGCCGACGTAATCCGACGAGTGGGAAGCGGAGACCGCGGATACATCTCTACCGTCTGGGAGGCACTGAGCGAGATATCCGAGAAAGCGAACAGCACATTGGACCAGCGGTTCAGCACAAAATACGAAGCAACGATTGGTCACCTCCTCTATGCCATCAACACCGATGACTACAACATCCGCACCACCAAGGATTACGAGCTTGACATCATGCGCTTCCTTCAATTATTCCACGACAAGCCTCGCGTGTTCGGTCATACCTTTGCTGGAATCCCCGTCTTCTCTCAGGATCCCATCCGCCGCTCCGACTTTGAGATTCCTGCGCCGCCGCTCGAGAACGCCACCTCGAAGGAATACTTCCAGCTGCGCTTCCTCCCCTCTCCCTGGGCGCATCCCTCCGTATTCGAGCAATACCCTCCGATCCGCATGACCTTCAGCATCGACGAATCCACGGGCTCCCCGCAGACGCCGCAGATCTTCGCGCTTGGCTCAGAGTCGCACGCAGACCTGATGCTCCCGCGCTTCAGCTGCGACCTGAAATTCGCGCGCCGCCAGGAAGGCTACCTCGAGGTCCGCGAGGACGCGCCGGAACTCGGCGGCATCGCCACGTCGGAATGGTCCCGCTTCGTCGCCAACTCCCAGCTCAACGTCGCAGAGGACTACACGCTCCGCGCCTCCACCAAGCTAAACATCCACATCCCCCGATGGATGGTCTTACCCCCGTCCGGAGACACATCTCCCGCCGACGCCTCCAACCCTCCTCGCCCGGAGGCTCCAGAGGCCCCCGAGTCGGAAATGATCTCGTACCAGTTCGTGGGTATGGAGTTCCGCCGCGTGGTGGAGCTGGTGGGCAAGGGCTACAAGATCTCGCGTGCGGTGGTCGAGGGCGGAGTCAGTGGTGGCCGCCGCACAGAGATCACGATGCAGTACTTGCCTGCGGCGGGCTCGAGCAGCAGCGGCGACGGCGCCGTCGACGGCTTCGTCGCCTTCACGAATAAGGCCATCAGCATGGTCTCTAGCGTTGATAACTTCTTGGAGAGGAAGAGGATGGCGCGGTAAACGGATGGGTTGTAGGATATCGAAAATAAGATGGGAACGGCTGCTGTGAGTGGGTGGGTGGTTGGTGGGATGGTTGGGTGAATGGATGATGGATGAGTGGATGGCGTATGATGGATGATGATTAGTTCGTTTTGCTTTTCTGGTCTGGGATTGGGAGACACGTTTGCGATGACGATGGTGTGGTTGAATGGTTGAATGTGGGATGTGGGATGGACGTATGTACGATATGATATAAACTAAGTACCTACCATATGTACTTGGTGTTGCTATCACTACCTAGTGTAAGTAATTACCCACAAGAAAAAATCTCCCGCGCGAAGCGAAAGCGGCGGGGAGTCAATAGAAATAGAGTTCATCACAATAGCTGAAGGCGGAAGAGGTTTTTTTCCTCAAGCATCTATTGTAGTTGCTTAAAACCGTTCGTCGTTCGTACAAATCAAACCAAACCCGCATTTGCCCATCCGTCGCCCTGACCTGACCTGTCCTGCCCTGCCGTAGGTACCTGTTGTCCCATTCCCATTTCATTTGACCAGAAAAGAAGTAAAAGAAAAAGAAAAAGAAAAGAAAGGAAAACAACGCCCATTGCCATTGCCATACCATAGCCATACCGAACCGATTCTGCACAAATACCTAAAACACTCCGGAGCGCCTTCGAACGAAAAGAAAAAGAAACAAAACGAAAACGAAAACCAAGCAAATCGTACCTACTAAAGGCGAAGGGCAAACACTATCATAGCAATAGAACAAACAAGCCAAGCCAAAGTACAAAGTAACAGGCCCTACATAGGCAACAAACACGGAACACGGCAAAGGGTAAGATAAGGGGAATGCACTACAATAAAAATAAAAATAAAAAGCAAATGTAGATTGACTTTCTGTCTGTCGGTGAAGGAGACATCACCTGAACTCATATGATGGGAATAATCGCTTGTTGGGCATCAGCGTGAGTTCTTGGAAAGGTTGGCTCTGCGAGTCGTAGTAGTAGCCTTGGATACGACCATCATCTCGCCTCAGTGCGAGGTAGTAGAAGCCGCCGATGGTGAGACCCCCCACGTCTGCCTCTGGCACCGGAGAGATAAAATCAAGCTCTGTATGGTGGCATTGTCAGTTCGAGTCCGGTTGGGCAGTTGATGAGATAATTTCGACCAACCTTTGATGCGTAAAAACAACCATCGATCATTGAGCTCTTTCATGAACTTCCTAGACACAAGGCACTTGACGAGCTCGTGGTTGGAAAGACAAACGAAAGGATCCAGCTTGCGCCAATTGTTGGCATCATCCCCCAACGTGCTCGCAAAAGTGAGGGTTTGAAGTGAGTGTCCGTTGAAGTCTATAATCTCGCCCTCGAAATAAGTCTTGATATTGGTCTTTGCATCCGTGAATGCCTCCATCGTACCCGCTGTTATGCATGCAAAATAAACTTTGTCAGCCATCTGCCTCTCAATGGAATAGGTATCTCGGTGGGTAAAGTATGGGGGTGAACTCACTTAGGCGCAATTGCTTGTAGTCGATACTCGATATGCTGAGCTTCACGGTCCATTGGCTAGAAGTTGAGCCACTCGAAGATGCGTTTGAACGGGTCGACGACATCTCGTAGATAGGTGATATCGCTGGTGCAATTTGCGAGCCCCAAAATACACCTCCAGCTTCCAGCCACGACGTTTCAGCAACTCGCAAGAACGATGTATCCAAGACAAGATCGTCACACCTTGGCTGTTCGTCGAACAGCCGCGCCCAATCGTCTCCGGTATAAAATCCCAGTCGTACAGCCAAGCGTAAGCTCTCCTGGGGAGTTTTGCATCCGCGGACCTTAGAAAGATACTCGATTGCTTTTTCAACCTCGTTGGATGCCTCCGGAAGACGCGAATCCTGTGACCCCTCATGTCCGTGTCGAGTCCTAAAGAATCGAGAACGAAGGATCGCACCAGTGTCATCCCAATCGGCATCATCCATCATTCTGTCTCTGGCCTGGTGATCTCTGCCTGACGATGTCGCTGGATCCGGCCAATAAACTCGTGGGCGTGTGATTCGTCGCGGATTCGTACTCCGCGTGGTCACCGGAGCAACGGTCGCAGAGGTACTGGTAGTGGTAGTAGCGGATGACGATGATGAATATGATGCGCCACTCCCACCCCCACCACCACCTCCTCCTCCTGATCCTCCGGCTCCTCGGCTTCCCCCTGCTCCTCCCCCACCTCCACCTCCACCACCAAATAGATCGCTGTACCGCGATCGCTGGGCCTCGCCCATCAAACGGAACCCTCCGGCTTCGAGCATAGCACTGAAGTCTCTGCTCATGAAGGGGAAATATCTGGGCAGATCTTCTTCGTAGCCGAAGAGTGGCGGTAATGAACGGCTTGTCGGTTCATCGTCGATTCCTGGCGGGGCTGGAGCAGGAGGCACCGGCGGAGCGGGGACCGGGGCCCAGTCATAGATCGATTGCCGCTCTCCAGGCCGCACCAGTGGTATACGGGGACCATAGGCGTGCTCTCTCGGGTGGCGGAGATCCTGGTCTCGGGAATTGCGACGTGGACGACTGGCGCCCGGTCGTCGCGGCCGACCACCGTCTAGCCCGCTAGTACCAGCTGGATCGTGCCGGTGAGAGCGATTTAACAGTGGCCCAGAGGCCCGAAGCCTGAGGGATTCATCAATGAGAGGTAGTTGATAGCGAGCAGTAACCTGGAAGTTACGAGCGTCAAGCTCAGCAACGCCAGGAAGGGTATCCGACCTTCGATGCGGCGACAGCGAAGGCGTGTCCTGGACGAGCAGCACACACACATACCGTTAGTGCAGGGGCGCTTTTTGTCTCTCTATCGTTTCGTTCGCGAAAGCAAGAAGAACCAACTACTACAAAACAACGAAACCATGAGTGTGAGTGAGTGTTTACCGATGGGGTGTTGGCGGGAGGCATATGCAGCCTAGGAGGGGGGTGGGGACCAAGAGGTGAAGGCCGCTGCCGAACGAAGTTACGAGACGATAAGATCGGTCGGTCGGGAGCGGTATGACCGAAGCTAAGGCGGTGCCAGCTGTCGACCAGTCGGAGGGGCGGGGGGGGGGAGGGTTGTGTGTGTGTAGTTGGAGGTGGCGGTAGCAGTGGGAGGACGAGGGAGGTGGAGGTGGAGGCGGTGGTGGAGATGGTGGTGGAGGTGGTTGTGGATGTGGAGGGAGTTGATAGTGGGAGGACGGGATGGTGGTTGGTTGGTTTTTGAACGAGCGGAGATGGAGGTGGTGACGGCCGAGCTATTGGACGGGAGAGGATTATGTAACTGGATGTAGAAAATCAGTCTGTCCGTGTAGTCACTATGCTCTCTCTTTCTCTCTCTCTATCTCTGTCTCTCTGTCTGTCTGTCTGTCTGGCTCTCGGGTTCGAGCTGGCTGTGAGGAGAGCGCGTTTCTTGAGGCGATATTCTCTCGGTAGAGCTGGAGCTGTCCGGAGCTTGTCGCTTAGCGCTTCCAGAGTCCAAAGTCGTTTGAAGCGGTCCCGTGGTGTTCGCGTTCAAGGCTGCGTTCGAGCTGTCTATCTATTTTTTCGGCAGCCGCGGCGGTAGTTTGCGATGGATGGACGGCCAGGCGGATCGGCTGGGGGAGGGGGCGCTGGGCGCTGGGTGCTCACCCTCGGGGCAACCCCTAACCCAGGGAGAGCTTCAGAGTTCAGTCGGCGCCGCGCTGGGTTCGTTGGCGAGCTCGTCAAGGCGGCTGCTTCCGGACGGGGCTCTAGGTAGCCCTTCTCTTCCACCAAACGCTCCACTCATCATCATTATCACCATCATCATCATTATCATTATCATCATGCCGACCTTAGCTTTCTAGCTCCGCGCTGTCGTTGGCTGACGACCTACACACATAACTCTAGTCACTCCCCTCAGTATCGGTACATGCCTACGAGCCCACTGCTGCTGCGATCACAGAGACGCACATATGCAGACGGCCTTACCTGCTTCTGTGGAGAAGAACACTTAAATACTTCACTAGACTATTCGGAGATGCATTGTGGCCGATTCCGATCAAGATCCAAGATTGACAGGCACCCCACCCCACCTTCCATTCACGTTAGCCCAACGATTCTTTTGCGGTGGTTTCCCTGCGTCAACTAAGTTACAGGCTCCAACCATAAGACCGCCTTGTATCTATGTTGATCTGGGCGGGGAAAAAAAATTCGCCAATCGGTGTTCTCTTCACCGAATTGCGACGAACCCCAGGAGCAGGATTGTTCGCGCGGACACCGGACACCACCGTGGCACGGTCACTTGGACGAGCGCCACAGATGCGAAATGATCAGCCACCCGGTAGATCCGTTGCGGACGGATTGACCGGCGGCCATAACTACTAATATATGGAATGTGCAAATGATGAAGTAAAGTGCGCCACTGCGGATTGTCACCATGCGTCATGGGGTCGGAAATACATCCCGTGGAGCATGCCCGCTATGAGCAGTGGTTACGAGCGCACACAGCAAGCCCTCCTCGTCGGGTCCGAAGAGCCGAGCTCGTCGAGGAAAAGTCTCGATACTTGTGGACGGCTGAGCCACACCGTGGGCGGCGGGGGTTGAGCCACAGGTGGAGTGCAAAGGCCGGGAAATTTCAGTCTCTTCTCCACCATACTGCACCTCCGTCCGCCCCTACATATCATCAACCCAAGGGAGCCATCTTCAACCGATCCCCATTCATACCGCCGTACTCAGCTGCCATACCCCCCGACCGAGTACCCAGCCTATTTGTGCCTCCGGGCTCTCTCACTCGAGCTCAATCGATCCCACCCCCACCACCACCACCCCACGTCAGTCGAAGCAGCCGTGGCTGGGCAATATCCAGGCGGATTCTATCCCCGGAAACTCCCCGAACGTTGATGGTACCGTACTCTGGGTGGAGTATGTACGTGTACTCTACATCAATGATCACCACCTCCATCTAGTACATACGTCGGTGATACGCCTACGATCTAGGTACTCCACCCACATATATACGGTACATGATTCCCAATCTCGCTCTCGCTCTAGCTAGCCAACCAGACCGGCAGGTGTAAACCCGACTCCGTAGATACTAGTGATACATACGCCGAACCGGAAGCAGAGATAGGAACCGACTGACTGACGGCTGCACTGCACTTGTAATGTGATGTGATGTGATGTGATGCCACTGTGACTACTATATATGCCACGTTTATTCGTGAAGACTCAAGACTCAATTTGTAATTCTACATACACACATACACACATACTTGGGTACATACACCCTACCTACAACCCGTATGTATGTATGTAGTGCCATTTATCTCCTGTAGATTCCCAGGTTTGGAGACTAATGGGTAATCTATTTAGTCTCCGACTCTCCGGGCCTGCTTTGGCTACAATGTATAGTACTTTAAGTGCCCTACTATAGAAATATCTCGGCAGTCACTTATCTTGATTCTTGCGTGATTCAAGTGCGTGCTCACTGCTGGATGGATTACCATGTCCGCATGGCCACATCTTTCTGCCTCGTATTCCTCCTCGTGTTCCTCCTCCTCCCTCGGAGACATATGTGCCTGTCCTATTATGCCTCCGAGAAGTGCCTTGAAAGTTGACATGCCGATCCCACATTCCGGTGCGGCGGTGCCTTGACGGGCCAGGTATTGGCCAACCGCCCGAGTACCGGTATTTTGCCCCCACTCTGCACTTTCAGCCCAATGCTCCGGACCAGGCAGATTTTTTCGAGTGTGCTGGATCCAGGTGTACGGAGCTTCGGAGCGGAACAACCGCGCTGCAGTCTACAGAAACAAGTGTCGTCCCAGTCCAAGTCACGCATCCTGATGGATGGGCTGGCTAGGACAACTCAATGCCTCCCACGGTGCGTACGCATAGACATAGCAAAACCATTGGGAGGTTGCAAACACAGCTGCATCGATAACGCATACCGTAATTAGTTACACTCGACCTCGCAGCTTCGAGTGGAGTGTGTATAGGTATATGATGCCCTCTATTACAATAATATGCTCTCGCGAGTCGCCGTTTTTCCCGCGGGCCGGGTTGGCTGTGGCAGTTGTCTCCTGGCTGTGGGCTTGTGGTTCCCGCCGCGGCGGTCTAGGTTTGAACTTCGCGATGGCCGAAGAGTCGTTCGTCCGGTTTTTCTTCTTTCTTTTCTTTTTCCTTGATTGATGGTGCCAGGTGGAAGAGAGCTCAGAGCTCAGTGTTGCGCGGATAAGGTATATATGAGGTATGTACCGGTCTTTTGGTCGTGATTGAGCGGTTGAGCGATTGATTGATTGATTGATTGAGCGATTGATTGCCATGTATAAAACGGGCGATAGAGTGCACACTGCAGGGGCCGTTTGGAAATTTGGAAACGATGTGCATCTCTTAGTGGAGCAGCCGGCTTCGGTACGTTGGTAACTATGAGGTATGTATTTATATGTACGGATGTATGTACGGATGTATGTACAAATATTCTGTCCTGCAAATTGTAATTGCCGGCTGGATGGGTGGACGAAACGTCCGAAGGCAGTAGTTAGAGGGACCGGACGAGCGGGAGATACTTGTGAAGTAGGCACTTTGCCGTTTCAGCCTGGACGCAAGTACGGTATTTACTTGATGTAAGTGCATACATGACCGACGCAGAACATGGGATTCTGCAGTCGGACTCGATATACATACGATCCAAGACCGCAGGCCGTTGTGATTTGGACGACGTTGTGACCGGAATGCGGTTAATTTAGCGCCTCCTCCTCCCTGTCCGGCGCCTATTTATGTATGTTACATACGCTTCTCCAGGCTCCTGCCAGTCTAGGTAATATGTAAATAGGTGTGAAGTATGTAGTGTTTCTGTTATCTCATGCTCGTTCCGTCGTTCGAGATGTTCTGAGCCTGGAGTAGAGTAGAGTACTACTGCTCCGGCCCCGTTTGGCCCTTGGGGGGATAGACCACTATTGGCACATATGTGACACCGAGCAGAGCAACACGGGTGATTGTAGGTGATCTATTGTGGCTACCTCTCTCCCTCCTGCTCACCTACATACCTCCTACTCTACCTACGGGGAACCACGTCCACCTCCCATCGACCAAACAGACAACAAAAAGAAACAGTGAACACCGAGCTCTCCTACTAACTAGCAGCGCCCAAGCTTTTGGCCAGCTGTTCTCTCTTCGTTGATCTCAAAAACACCTACAAGCTTGCCTCGGTGAGCGCGGTGTTCGATTATACTACTAGTAACGATGCTTATACGCCGGCAACCGGGATTCGGCTGAAGGGGATGCGTGGACGTAGATGGACGGTGTGTTTTACTCTCCCTCTCCCTCTCCCCCTCCCCTCTCCCTCTCTCTCCACCCATCTCTCCACAGCATTCCGTGAGGTTGAAGCCCGTTGGGCGGATACGAAGAGTTTCGAACAGCGAACTCCAGTACCTACTATCTATCCCCGCCTTCTCGTCAACAGACTACGGTACCGGTCAATATGTACATTGTACATACCCACCTAACGTGCCCCTCAAGGAGGGAAGGGGGGTTATGTTCCACCTACATACATACCCATTGAGAAATGACGGCAACAACCTGCGGCGTTTAGCCATACATACACACGACAACGGCACCGACAGCCTGAAGGGTCACGATGGGGCCTTCTCGGATGGCTCAAATCTCCCGGCACCTCCTCCTATTAGCCGGATTGTCCGGATTGGCCGGTGGTGCTTCTGCTGCTGCTGTGCGTCGGGGGGAGAAAGCAGCCCACTCGGAGTCGGAGGTGCACTACCTACCATGGCTAACTATGTACCCTATGTACATACTGGCAACCACCGCGGAGTGCGGACTACGACCGCGGGCTCTCCTCCGGCGAGGCCATGCTCTAGGAAAGCATCCATTGGATCGGAAGCAAAGCTCCCCCCGCAAGAACCACATGCACGTATCATATCACTTTTGGAATTCGCGGGAATACATACGCCCACATGATTTGAAGGGACCTGGAAAGTGGGCCTACTGCGAGGCACGATGCGATTGCAGCTGCTGCACAGCGCAGAGGAGGAGGGGGGAGGGGACACCGTCATCGACGGTATATGAGCTCATCGACGAAAAATGTGTTCCTTCGGAAGCTTTAGTAGCTAAGTATGTAGATACCTATTCCATATCTGCATGTGAATGTGAGAGGACCGACTAACTAACTACTCTACTATGCAGCGAGGACGCTGGCCAGCCCTGTCACGCACGCAAAGCACCATCTTCCGCTCGCTCGCTCTCCTCACAAGTGAGAAGCAGTTATGGCAGGCAGCTGGCGACAATGGACGAGCAATTGGCTGGCTGGTTACCGCAGCTTTTTTTTAATATTATTATATATTTTTTCTTTTCTCCGGCTCGCATGAAGGCTCGCTAGTTCCGATTGTCGATACTATCTATGGCCACACGGCGCCCTGGGTTTCGAATAGTTTACCTGCACCAACAATCTATCAACCGGGCATAATATCCCCCACCGAGCCCGGCAATTGAGAACTGTGAAACGACTGGCGGAAAGGAAACACATCGCTGCTGTTCTGCTCCGTTGTGTCCCGTGGTTCCGCCGTTTCCTGGCCTCTCTCTGCTCTGCTCTGGGGGTTTCTGCATGCATTAGCCCGGTTTTTTTTTCGGGGGTTTTTTTACTTTCCAATCCGGAATTTATGCTGGCCTTTTTGCCGGCCCATGGGAGAAGACGAAGGGACGTGGTGGGCGCGGTGGTGGGCGTGGTGGGCGTGGTGGTGGGGGGACGATGGGGGGAACGAGGACATTCGGGAGGAGGAGTAGGAGGAGTAGGATGAGGAGCCGGAGGACAATGACGACGAATCCGAGGCGACGGTGATTGCGGTGGTCTGGCTGACTGGCGGCCGGCAGTCGTTGCGCACCCTCAGCTTTGGCCTTAGCCCGTCCGAACTCCTTCGGTAACTGCAAACTGGCGCGAGAGTTCTGCCGCTGACGGAGAGTGCTCACTGCTCACTGCCCCACTTCCCACCGCTCAACCCCTCTCTTCCGCAAACAAATCCGAGACACGCTGGCTTTCCAGCGAATAATACAGCGAACCCTGGTGGGCCATGGGCTGGCCTTGCCGCATCCAGCAGCCACACGCGTGGCTTCGCTGTGGGCCAGTAGTGCACCCCTACTCCTGCTGGCTCCAATTGCGCAGGACCAAGACGACGCACGCCCATGGTCAGATAGAGTGGTAACTACGGGTCCACCGGTGTTATGCATCTGCCTTCCCACGAACGTCCGGCGATTCAGCAATCGGCCCTCTCGTTTTCATCCCAAGCGTCTCTGCGGCCGGCCAGCCATCTGGCGGCGATAGGTATCGGGAAACATGTTGCAGAAGCAGCGCCAGACTGAACGGACGACCCAGAAGGCCGCAGGCAGCACTGTCCTAACTACATGGTCGAGCCATTCCGAACGCGGAACAAAGCAAAGGCCTTGCTGAATCGCTGTTCTGCCCCACCACCCCTCCCCCTCACCCGGCTCTTGCGATCTCGATGGCCCTCGAGCTTCCCCTCATCTTCATCAGCTGTCTTTTCTGCGGGGCTCACTCTGGCTCTCTCGCTCGACCGAACCGATCGACTGCTGGTAATCCGCCCCACTGGATGGAGGCGGTTCTTGTCCTCGGCCTCGCCAAGGACAGTTCGGAGGGACGTAGAGTACCGTACTACGTCTCTCCACCACGAACCGGTTGCAAGCGTGGATCCTGCAGGCCGCCGGTTTGCTAGACATGGAGGACCGATGCTGGTCATTGATAGGCGATTTCGGGCGGCTCATCCTCGGCACTTACCCGAGAAACCCGAAAGCCCTTCAAACCACGTATCTGACGCGAACGTCCTCGAACGGAACTAACCACTCTAGCTCACGATCAACTGCTATTGCCTCCTTCCGCTCTATCTATCTATCTCCAGGTAGGCAGGCAAGCAAGCAGTCAGGCAGGCAGACAGGCAGCTGGCTTGAATACGCACAGCACATCCAGCTGAACACCGTGCTCCATCTGATGCGACTGCTATCCTACCATTGATCCTCCGCCGAGCGCAAGAATCAATCCAACTCAACAACAACCCCTCCTTCCGCCGCCGCCGCCACCACCACTCGAAACCCTGAGGTGTTTATGCACGGCAAGGAGACAGACAGTTCTCGGTATCTGAGGTTCCAGCGGCGACGACAACGGACAACGGACAATCTTCGATACCTGACCTGTCCAAACGGACTCCCATCCCAAGGCAACGGTGGCCAACCCATTGGAGCTCTAAATTTACACCGGACAGTGTGGAAAGCTGCAGCCCTTATCTCTTGCAACCGACGCCAAAACATCTCTGGGTTCTGCCCTGTTTGTTGCGTTTCGCCCCCCTTCTGCTCCATGACATGGCTGATTGATGGTCCACGATCTGGAGGCTTTTCCAACCCGGCATCCCTATCTAGGCTCTCAATCTCTTGGTTTTTTTTCTTCTTTCCGGCGAGCTCGAGTGTGCCGCTGAAGCGCTGCCCCATGCTACGGGACGGATATCGGGTGACGTCGTGGGCTGTTTCTGGTTGGGATGCATTGGTTCTTGCATGCTACCACTTGCTTCCTGTTCCTACTGCTGCAACTTCTACTGCTCAGCGTTGAAGTACGGTCTGTATGGCTGGCTAAGAAGACACACACAACACCCTTCTTCTTCTCCCTAGTATATTGCCCGCATATGCAGAAGATGCTTCCAAATGAAACCCGAGAGAAGCGAATGCAGTGTAGGTCTACGTCTGCGTGGTTAGCAGGGGGGGCCAAAGTGAATTCACACGCGCCGGAGCTCGGAAAGTTGACGCCCAAGATGTGGTGGATATAGAAATGTACCGGTAATTTGTGTACTGTGTATGTACAGAGAGATGTGATATCAATTGATACTGGGATGCAAGTGGATAGAAAAATCGTCCTCTAGTATCCACGTCCCAAGCAGTCGATAGCTTGAAGAGCATCTTCCGTGAGATATATAATCGACTACCCGGACGTCTTACCCAGCTCATCTTCACACACAATCTTCACCCTTCAAACCTACAACATCCTGAGCATTTACTGCCCCAATCAACTGCTGATAGCCCTCCTACAGCTACAGCCTGCTCCGACTTTAGGTATATAACATTGACGTCCTCCGGCCACTTCCTCTCCCTCATCACCTCCACCACCTCCTTCAACTTATAAGACTGGCCGGCAATCGCAATTAGCAACCGCAATTGCTAACACAATCTGTCACCAGCTTTGCCTATAGAAAAACACTCCATCACTTATCCGCCCAGCACCTCACTCATATCACATCGCATCACATCACATCAAAAACAATGGCTAAGATCAAGTCCATCGAGTACTTCCGCGTTCTCCCGAGATGGCTCTTCGTCAAGGTCACTACGGAGGACGGCCTCTATGGCTGGGGCGAATCCACGCTTGAGGGACATACGGAGGCCGTCGAGGGCTCGCTGAACGAACTCATCCTCAGATTCGTTGGCTACGAGGCAGAGTAAGTGATAATAATAAAATCAAAAGATCTGACAGATCACCCCCCCCTTCCCCGCTAGAGTCATATGACAGCACTGGGGACATCCAATTGACACTTCGTGCGTGCGCAGTGATATCGAGCATATCTGGCAGGTGGCCTGGCGGTTGGGCTTCTACCGTGGCGGCGCCGTCTTCATGTCCGCTATCTCTGGCATTGATATCGCCCTTTGGGATCTGAAAGGTACTTACTATGATACCACTACCACCACCACCACTCACAATCGCTCCGGCGGACTCATCATTTAACCGGGCTCTCTTCCACGATGCACACCCTCCCCCCTTGCTTGTCCCTATCTAACCATGCCCGGTAGCTGGGGAAAAAGAACTCTCAGCTGACTAGGGGGAAATGTAGGACGCAAACTCGGAGTGCCAGTTTACTCGCTGCTGGGAGGCAAGCTGCGTGACCAGCTCGCCGTCTACGCGTGGATCGGTGGTGACAGACCTTCCGATGTGGCCATTCAAGCGTATGCAAACCCCTCCTCCTCCCTTTCCGCCTACTGGGCCGTTCGTATCGTCTAGAGCCATCCATGAAAGTTGACATATTTATTTTTCTGCGGCACTAGTAAAATGCGCAAGGCGCAGGGTTTCACGGCCATCAAGATGAATGCCACCGAGGATCTTGGCTGGTTGGATTCTCCAAGCGCGCTAAATGCGTCGGTTGAGCGTCTGAAGGCCGTCAAGGCCGAGGGACTAGATGTTGGCCTCGACTTCCACGGCCGCCTGCACAAGCCGATGGCGAAGCAGCTTGCGAAGCTGCTCGAGCCGCATCAGCCGTTGTTCATCGAGGAGCCGTTATTGTCGGAGCACCCGGAGGCTATCAAGGCGTTCTCGCAGCACACCACCACCCCGATCGCCCTCGGAGAGCGCCTCTACAACCGCTGGGACGTCAAACCGTTCCTAGAGTCCTCCAGCATCGATATCCTCCAGCCCGACGTATCGCACTGTGGTGGCATCTCCGAGATCCGCAGGATCGCTGCCATGTGCGAGGCGTATGACGTCGGCCTCGGTAAGCCAGCCCGCTCTCCTGCCCGCGCTAGTGCGCTAGCGGCGTTCCTTCCTTCCTTCCTTATTTCCTTCCCTACCCCGCCATTCGGGTGACGACCAGTGACTGACTCTACAAACACAGCTCCGCACTGTCCACTCGGGCCGATTTCCCTTGCCGCGTCACTGCAGGTGGCCGTGGCGTGCCCCAACTTCGTGATCCAGGAGATGTCCCTGGGCATCCACTACAACAAGATGACGCCAGCAGGCGCGGGCACCTTCGACCTGTGCAGCTACCTCAAGGACCCGTCGGTCTTCGACGTGTCTGGCGGCTTCGTCAAGCGTCCCACCGGCGTTGGCATCGGCATCGAGATCGATGAGGAAATGGTCAGGAAGGTCAGCAAGGAGTGCACTACGGCCTGGAGGTGCCTCGAGTTTTTTGGCCCCGGAGGCGAGGTCAGGGAGTGGTAGGAGATAAGGGTGTTACTACTTCTTCCTTCCTTCTTTCTTTCTTTTCGATTCTTTTCACTGCGTTGTTCGTTCGTTTTCAGCTGTGTTCCCCCCTTTTCCTTCCTTCCTTTCTGTCTCTTCTCTTCTCTTCTCGTCCTTGTCCCCCCCTCCCCGCTCCGCTCCAGTCGGTCAAGCCCATAGTTACGCTTGGGTATGATGCTAAAGTGAGACGGAGCGCAAGAGTAAGCTGAGGAGATCTAGAGGCGTCGGGGGGAGGAGTGGGGAGCAAACGCAAAATGGTCATCATCATCGTTGTTGTCGTTGTCGTTAGGGGAAAGTGGTGTTATCTTAATGGGGCGGTGGATTCGCTTTTGTTTTCTTTTCTTTTCCGCATGTCTGTTTTTTCTTCTTTCCTTCTTTTATTTTTCTTTCCTTTCTGTCTTCTTTGGGGGTACAAGCGAAGGGTTCGTCACAGTACTGTAGGTCTTTTGTTTTTTTGGAATGGAACGCGCGAAATGAAAAAAAGTAAAACCAAAAAAAAAGGAAAAAAAGGAAAACCGACCGACATCGTGTCAGTGCAGTGCAGACTGTGCAGTGTTTGGTCTCCGGGTCCGAATGTCAGCAGGCAGGCAGGCAGGCAGGCAGGCATGAGTTTTATATCGGATGACCCCCCTCCTCTCTGGCCCCACCCTCGCCCCTCCATTTCGTCATGGAGTTACTCTACCTATCGTATCGTATGGTAACCACTGGTAACCACTGGTAACCACTGGTAACTACATACACTGGTGTTCCTGATCGTCCAATAGCACACCCGACAACAACTTTAGGGAAGAGTGCGGGGCCTGGGCTTGGCCAAACATATTCTCCGACAACCCCGTCCGGAAATCTTTAAACCAACCTCACCTCACTTCGCCTCTGATCCACTTTCCACTTCCCCTCTTCTCCCCGCTTATTGCAATATCGATGATGACGACGACGATGACGGCGATTCGTGGTAGTGGGAGTGGTGATGGTGCTGAGTGCTGAGTGGTGGGTGAGACAGCCATACAGACGCGAGTGACCACGTTTCACATCCGTTTGCTTTTGGGGTTGACGTCGGTAGTGGAGCCGTGGTGCGGGGCAGAATGAGATAGAGAGTACTTGGGTATTGGTGCTTTCCATCGCCCAAGAATCCTCTGCCTTTCATTTTCCATCGGGTGAATGAAAACCTCGGGGTCCTCCCCGTGGCATAACGATTACACGAGGGAGTGAGTGAGTGATATCGCATGCATGAATTACTCCCTGCGCCTAAAGCAAAGCGTACAGACCGTCTGCCCTGCGACGCCACCAAACGTAAAGCTAGGATACTTGACCCTGCCGTAGACCTGTAGCTCTCCTGCGGCGCCCTCCACAATCCTCCTCCCCAGCTCCTCCTCCGTCCAATTACAGCTCGTGACGACCAGCCAGCCACCCTTCCTCATCGCCGCGGCGACCTTGGCAGGGTACGCCTCTACCACCCGCCGCCCATCGGACAGCATCTCCTCGCTCAACGATATCGCGTCAAACGTGCCCTTATCCAGCACGACGTCGAAGCCTCCGGGGGGCACCCAGTGCTGTCCCATCAGCTCATCCTGTATGACATCCACGGTCTCGAACCGCACGTCCAGCCCCCGCTGCCGCGCAATCGTCCTCGCAAGGTCTACACTCGCGGGCGCGTAATCGATCCCGACCATCAAGCCGGCGTACTCCTCGTCCTCGTCCGCCTCCCGCAGCTCGAAGAGGAGGTGCCCGTTGCCCGTGCCGACGTCGAGGAATGAGGCGCTGGACGCTGATAACGGCAAAGAAGATAGGTACTGGATCATACGCTCCTCCGCGCATGACTCCGAGAACCAGATTATTCCCTCGTCGGAGGGGTTCTCGAGGAAGTTTTGTGTCTCCCGCGCGTATGCGCTCTCCCAGCTGGGGATGGGTTAGTGATGCTGATGGTGATGCGCGCGGAGGAGGGGAGGACAGACTGCTCTTTCGTTCCCAGCTCGGATGGGTCGAGGTGCTCTGGGAGACCATGGCCGGCCGTGGTTGTTGCGGGTGTGGGTTCGGGCATTGCGAGATGGTGAGCGCGGCCACGGGGTGGGGAATGAGCTATGATGTTTGGTGGGGTCAGGGCGTGGAGGCTCTGTGGGAAGTTCCGGGACTCCCTGCATGGCCGGCTACACACTCTATGTAGAGTAACTAGAGATTCTATATATGTGTAGATATATGTGTAGAGAAGATTAACATTCATCCTGCCCGCGAACTTGAAGACGAATTGCGATTCCGTGGGAAGCTCTCTTCTTCTTAATCCCGCCGAATCGAAAAGCTCTGTTGGTGGGAAGTGAGTGATCCGGCAAGCATCACTCTCGACCACAAGGTGCTTCCATCACCGGAATATTGATGGAGTGGGGGAGACTTCAACCCTCTCCTTCATCGTCACCGTGCCCCGCCTAACTTTCTTCTCGGGTTCGACATGGGAGACTGGATATGGCCAAGGTGACTTGATCGAGGAGCTCCTCAAGGTGGTGGAAGTGTGTCGACAACGTTGACGGATTGAATTGACCATGTCATTATCAGAATTCAATATGATCATAACAGAGTCCATTGAGTGAAATTGATAGCTGTGTACCTATCGGCCATTCAAGGTGTTTCCCTCGGTAACGATAGCTGCCGACCATCCCAGTTCGATAGATACCGGTAGTCATCTTTGCATGCTTCCGACCTCCCGCCCAGCTGAAGCGGTGCCTCTTCACCAACACATGCAGGGGCAGCAGGTACGCATTTGCTCTCAAGTAAGCGCAGTGAGCTGCAGGGCTGATTGTTGATAGATAATATAAAGCACTTCAATCCACCCTCTCAATCATTTGTACATACAATACGGTATCTGCTTCACAATGACCATCAAGAAGACTCCCATCTGGCTCGATTGCGACCCCGGTTTGCCCCCGCCAATCCCGCTCAGCTCAAGCTGTTAGTACACACATAGTTAACCCCACCTCCAGGTCACGATGTAAACCCTCCCTTCCATCGCCTGGACCCGCCAAAACTCCAGCTGATACAGACAGGATGCCTTCGCGATCATCCTCGCGGCCGAGCACCCTCACCTGGACCTATTGGGGGTGCGTTCCTCCCCTCCCCCTCCCTCAGCTCCCCCGCTGACCCACCAGATCTCGACCGTCCACGGCAACGCCTCTCTCCCCCGCGTAACCTACAACGTCCTCAGCATCCTGACGTCCATCGGGCGGACCTCCATCCCCGTGTACTCCGGCTGCTCCAAGCCCTTCATGCGGCCGGCCGTGCATGCGCCGGACATCCACGGCTCCAGCGGAATCGACGGGACTTCACTGCTGCCCATCCCCACCGCCTCCGCCCAACCCGCCAACGCGATCACCGCAATGGCGTCCGCGATCCTGTCGACTCCTCCACAGACCTGCGTTCTCGTCGCCACAGGCACACTAACGAACATCGCTCTACTCCTGGCGACGTTCCCGGCAGTGGCGGGGCACCTCCGGGCGCTGTCAGTGATGGGCGGAGCGTTCGGCACGCGCGCCGACGCGCGCGGGAATATCACGCCGCACGCGGAGTTCAATATCTACTGCGACCCTGAGGCCGCCCAGAGCATTTTCTCGAACCGCGCGCTGTCTGGCAGGATCACGCTCGTGCCGCTGGATATTACCCATACGGTGCTGGCGACGGATGAGGTGCTGGAGAGGCTACGCTACGGAGGAGAGGGCGTAAGGGGCAGCAGTGAGCTGAGAGTTATGCTCGTGGAGCTCCTCACGTTCTTCAGGGATACGTATGCCAAGGTCTTTGGGATTACGGCTGGCCCCCCGCTGCATGATCCGTTGGCGGTCGCGGCGGTGTTGCCGACGGACGAGGTGCAGTGGGAGATGGAGGAAGTGCGGGTCGAGGTTGTGTGCCATGGCGAGGAGGTCGGCAGGACCGTTAAGACGAGGGAGGAGCCCGCGGTGATCGGTGAGGGATTGGGAGCGGGCGGAAAGGATCCGTATACTACTGTTCTGGTGCCGAAGAAGGTCGATGTCGATGCGTTCTGGAAGTTGCTGTTGGATATGGTGACGGCGGCGGATGGGAGGTATACATGGCCGGAGACGGCGACTGTGGACGCCTAGACGGGCGATACCTACTTGTTTTTACTGTACTGGGAAATGGAGAGCTATGGATATAGAACCTTCATATACATTGCGAATGAAGTATAGAAGTATTGGTATCATCTAAAGTAGTGTACAAGTACAAAGCAGCAAAACTCCGCATTGCGCCGACATGATATGATCCAGGCGGTCGAGATGCGACACCCGAAAGTAAGTAAGTCTGTAGACAGCCAAATTCAACCCTCGACCTCGACCCTTCCCTCCTCCTCATCCTTCAGCACGCGGCGTTTCTGGCGCTCCCTGATCCTCCTCTCCTCCTGTCTCAGGGCCACAAAGCGTTCCACACGCTCCCTCTCGCAATGATGCTGCTCGTCTACAAACAGCGTGGACCACCCTTTATGAGTGCGGCAATTCTTCTTAATACAAACGCCGTCTCTGCCAGGGATCCACTCAGTCTCGAAAACGTTTGCGCCCTCGTCCGTCTCGCACCACTCGTCCCACTCGAGATCGTCGAGCGCCAGTCTGGTGTCGTAGCCACAGATGGCGGTGACCTTGCCGGCGTCAGGATCGCTCTGCAGCTCCTCGAGGATGCGGGCGCGGCGCTCGATCGCGAGCTCGACGTAGCGGCCGCGCTGCTCGATCCGCTTCTTCTGCTTGGTCAGCGCGTGGCGCTCCAGCAGGATCTTGGAGAGCCGCAGGGTTTCCTCCGTGGTGGGAGTGCAGGCGCCGCGCGGCGGCGTCGGTATGTGGTCGCCGAGACGCTTGAATTCCGCGCCGGTGGTGACGACGCTGGCGAGCGCGGCGACTTGCGGACGTGAGAGCGTCGAGCGAGGGATTGCGTATTTGTTCATGTAGTCGACGCCGCATTTCGTGGAGCAGTACTTGGACGGGGGGTTCTGGTCGATGGCGGCGGGTTTGCGGCAGTGTGGCAGCCGGCACATCCGTTTCCACGTCGTTCGCTGCGTCGATGTTTGACAGTGCTGGCCTTGGGGAATGTTAGCAGGTGGCCGACCGCAGTGGAGCTGATGGGGATGGGGGCCGTCGTACAATAGTACTTGTCAATGAGATTCCCATCCTCCTCCTTGACCTTGACACACTCTCCATGATACCAATCCTCACACCCATCACAGCAGATCATCCACTTCCCCGTATCCGGCTTGCGGCATATACAGTACAGCTCCCGTCCATCCTTGTCGTACTTTGGCAATCCGACAATGTTCGTCATGCTATCCTTCGAGTGCGCCTTCTTCTTCGTCGCCGCCGCCGGAGCATGCACCTTCTTCAACTTCTTCTTTGGCGATGCCGCATCCTGCATCACCTGGTCCTCGTCGTCGCCTCCGAAATCCCCGTCGTCGTCGTGCGTATGCCGCTTCTTGCTCTGCGCCTGCCCCTTCTTTTTCGGCGCCGGGGGCTTCTTCTTATGGCTTTTCTTTGGCATTGCGCTGGCGGTGCTGGCGGTGCTGGCGGTGGTTGTGGTAGAGGTGGTGGAGGTGGTGTTTGTCTTTGAGGGCAGAGGCAGAGGCAGAGGTAGAGGAGGTGGTGAAGCTCGCGTCCTCTGAGCCGCCTCGTAATCCATCGTGGGCGTGTCCGTCTCCGTCTCCGCGACCCCATCTCCCTCCCTCTCTCCCTCCTCCGACTCACGGTCGGATTCCTCCTCCGAGCCATCATCATCAACTGGTGGACGGTCCGACTCAGTCTCTGACGAGTCCTCCGGCGGCGGCAGCACGCGATCGGCGCGGTAGTCGGACATTTCCACCTCCACCTCGACCTCCACGTCCTCAGCTATCCGCTCGTCTTCTATTCCATCATCGTCGACATCGACGTCATGTGCTTGTGCTTGTGCTTGTGATGGTGCTGGGTGTGGTGGTGCTGGGTGTGGTGGTGCTGGGTGTGGTGGTGCTGGTGGAGGTGGAGGGTGAGGTGGCGCGGCGCGGTGGACGGGACTCGACGGACCGGACGACATTGGATTTAGCAGCGCTTGCAGTGAAGACATTGTGGAAAGCCCCCAGTGGTCGTGGTGGTTAGGTGAGGTCCTTAGGGCCGTCGTGGCGACGCTTGTGGACCGTGGACCGGGATAAAAGGTATCGCCCGCCTGGCGAGAGGGCTTGGCGGGAAGCTTCTTGTATCACACGGCCGGGGTTGTGGTCACCATGCCATGGTCTACATATAAAGGCCATATTCTATATGTACGACAATAAATTGATGTTCTCTCTCTCTTCGCAGGTGTCGGGCCGGGCGGGCAGGAAAGGTTGGGTAGGCGGACCGTCATAGTCTAGAAAGGCCATATACGACAATACATTGATATTCTCTCTCAGGAGTCAGCAGTCACCACAGACATATATACAAAACTTCTCAATCACACTCAATAACCACCCCTCCTCACCTCACCGCCATACCTCTCCCAAAAACCCCGACAGCTGGCATGTCCACCCCAGCGCTCATCCCACCATCCGGCCTTGTCCTTCTGCTCTTTAAGCGCGGGCACCAACTCGCCCTTGCCGAGTTTACAAAGTTTACAAGCCTGCCCACCCCTCCACACGCCCTTCCACTCCTCATCAATCTCCGGCACCGCTCCCGCCGTGGCCGCCTTTAGCCGCCCCGTCCCCTCCTTCCAGATCCTGCACGCCTCCTTGACCTCCCTCTCCTCCTTCTGAACCTCTGGGCCCCCGCCGGCGCCAAGTTTCATCCCGCCGGCGCCTGCACCACCACCTCCCACCCGGGCGCGCCGCTTGCGACCGGCAATGATCCGCCCGGCCACGCGCCCAAATTCACACACGCCCTCGAGAAACTGCCGTGTCTTTGGGTGCGAGAGCACGCGCTGCCGCAGCGGGAACGGAAGGCCCTTCAAGCTGTCCAGGAGCTTCTCCTGCGGAAGCAAGAACAGTGGCGAGAGCGTTTGTAGCAGTGCAGCGACGGGCGGGAATTGTTCTGGCGGGGGCGGGGGGAGCGGCTTGGGCGGCGTGGCGAAGCGGTGCAGTGATATACCGTGTGCTGCGGGTGCTGGTGAAGTACGGAATTGCGCTGGTGCTGGGGCGGGTGGCAGGGAGGTTCGTGCGGGTTGGTGGGGAATAGACGGTGATGCTGGTGCTGCAGGTGGTGGTGGTTGGGCACTCTGTGAGCGCGGCGGTGGGCGGTAACCGAACGCCTTCTGTGGTTCGGGCGTGGTGATCGGCGAAGTGACAAAATCTCCAAAATCATCATCCACATCCGGCGCTATAGGAGGAGGCGGCCGTAGGTCCAGCAGCCCGGGACTTGGTCTCTGCTGCCAAAACTGCTGCTGTACTGGCGGTGGCGGCGACGGTGTGTGTACAGGTGCACTCGGCCCAAAAATCTCAAACAAGCTCTGCGAATGTGAATGGCCCCTCACCGCCGACGGTCTGCGAGGAGGAGGCGGCGGGTGATCAAAGCTTCCCATTCCCATCGCCACCGAGGGCCCCCTCGGAGCGGCAGCCTCAAAGCCACCCAGCCCCATACTCATCGACGCCGAGGGCCGCCTCGGAGCCGCAGTTTCAAAGCCACCCAACCCCAGCCCCATGCCCATCGCCGCCGACTGTCTCCTCGAGCCGCTTCGTGCCGTCTCAAAGCTCCCGAAATCATCGAACCCGTCGTTGGCATACAGATCACTCGTAGCGGTGCCCCTCTGCGGCCCAATATCGAATAGCCCCGACGAGTACGGATCCATCGGCGCCGCTGGCCGGCCAAACGACCGTGTGCCATGGAGACTTACGGGGCGGCGTTGACGCTCCTGGTGCTGCAGTGCGCTTACGGGTCGGTGTTGGGGCGGACGGGGGTTGGATTTCAGGCCGGTGTCCATGATCCCCAACAGGTCGTCGAAGGTTGTGGCGGTTGCGCCGCGCCGCCGGCCATGGTGCTGCGGCGGCGGTGGCGGTGCCGGCGATGGCTGTGAGGGCGCCGGTGCCCGAGGTGGTTGATATAACGAGTCGAATTCACTCAGGATGTCCTGTGACATAGCTGTAGCTGTTTCTGCTGCTGCCGTAAGAAATTACGTAGAAGTGGGGGATCGATATCTGTGTTGGTATGCTGACGGGGGCAGGTAGCAGTCGGGAGGTAGGGGGGCGCGTGTAGGGGGAAGGTATGTAGATGAGATGGATGGGATGGATGGGATGGGATGGGACAGGAGATGTCCTTTCTCCTTTGCTTCCTCCTTCATCGAATAGAAGGACCTTGGTGGTCGTCTTGCTCCTTCTAGAATTCCCGAGTTCAGGGGACGGAGTCAATGCGCATACGGCAGCGCACGGCTATCGGATCGACAACTCCCATCCAGACTCCAGTCACCAGTGGCCGTGTAGAGTATGACAGGAATAGGTAAAGTGTGGTTGGCATGAGTAGTGGTCTAAGCGCGCTTTCAGGACACGGTTGCTAGCCAGGAACCTTCGACATGACGAGCTGACCTGGACGGACGAGAAGAGCATCTCATCTCAAATGGCCACAGTCACTTGACTCCAGTAACTATACCTCCATACTTTCCCCACATCTTTTAAAGTGTGCGAACCCACGCTCTCTTCATAGCCCACCAGATACGCTCTTTACGTACATACAGACTACGGTACACTGTACAGACCCACCCGTCCAACCAGCCAAGAACCATGGCGCGCCGCAAGCAGTCCCCGCCAGATCACGACCCGATCACCGAAGCGGCCGAGTCGCTCACTCACCGCGCCGAGTCCGCGCCCGACCACGGCAGCTCCATCTTCCAGCTCATCATCTGCGTAGGCGGGATCTACGCCAGCTTGTGAGCTCCCCCGCACCTCCCCTCCCCGTGCGCGCAGCTAACCCACTCCCCCAGCCTAGTATGGGCGCTGCTCCAAGAGCGGATCACGACGACCTCATACGGCCCTGACCGCAAGATCTTCCGCCACTCCTTGGTGCTCAACACGGTGCAGTCCCTCTTCGCGTCGCTCAGCGGCTACGCCTACTTCCGGATCTCGTCGTCGTCGTCCTCTCCGCCGCGGGTGTTCCCCGGCGTCAACATCACGTCGCGGCTCCTCCTCGTCGCGCTCACGCAGACCCTCGCCTCGCCGTTCGGCTACAAGGCGCTCACGCACATCGATTACATCACGTACATCCTCGCGAAGTCGTGCAAGCTGCTCCCCGTCATGTTCCTGCACGTCACGCTGTTCCGGCGCAAGTACCCGCTATACAAGTACCTCGTCGTCCTCGCGGTCTCCGCCGGCGTCGCAGTGTTCACACTGTACCCCAGCGTCCCCAAGACGCCCAAAACCCCGCGCACCCCCTCCAGCACAGACACGGAGAAAAACGTCCTCTGGGGCCTCTCCCTGCTCGGCATGAACCTGCTGTTCGACGGCCTGACGAACACGATCCAGGACGACATCTTCACGCGCGCCCCCAAGGGCACCGTCAGCGGCCCGCAGATGATGGCCGCGCTGAATACGCTCTCCAGCGTGCTAACGGCAACATACCTCCTGCTGAACCCGTGGAGCACCGAGCTGGCGGATGCTGCGGCGTTCGTGGCCGAGTTCCCGAAGGTCGGACTGGATATCCTCGGATTCGCGTTCTGTGGCGCTGTTGGACAGGTGTTTATCTGTATGAACCACCCCCCTTCCCCCCACCCCACGAAATGATTGACTAATGAGGTAACAGTCCACACGTTAGCGAAATTCGGCTCGCTGGTCCTGGTCACGGTCAATGTTACGAGGAAGATGCTGTCGATGGTGTTTTCGGTGGTGGCGTTCGGCCACAGCCTGTCGGTGATGCAGATGCTCGGAGTCGGGCTGGTGTTCAGCGGCATCGGCGCCGAGGCCGAGGTAAAGCGCCGCAGTGAGAATGCTAAGAAGCTGCAGAAGATGAAGATGAACGTGAACGGAAATGGAAATGGAAATGCGAATGGGTATGAAAAGAAGAAGGAATAGAAGATGTGAGTTTATAAGTTTATAAGCCACGGCGTTGTTAAATGCAAGGATTTGTATTTTGCGGGGCATAGCATAGAGATATAGATTATCACATGTATTCCCCAGTACACAATTCTAGCGATCATTCCCCAGTACACAATTCTAGCGATCTCGATTGAAATTAGTTCAATAGTATATCCGCAATTGAAGACGCTTTTTGGTTTTGATTTTTCCCAGAACCTTTTCCAAACGCCCACCATAAATCTTCCGTCTTCGCTTGTCTACAGGAAAGTCTACAGGAAAGCCTCCAGGTTCAACTCGACTGCCGAAACGGGGTATGGAATCTCAAACTTCTCCAAAACCGAAGGATGCAATCTGCAAGTACAAGAACGGTTAGTGGGTGCACAGTACTATAGCTTCGAGTGATAAAGAGTGAACATACATTCCGAACGAGCCAATCTTCTGCGTCTTCTCGCCCAAGCCGTCGACGGGAAGGTGTCGGAGGAAAACGGCCGCTCCTCGGCCAGGGAAGTAGGTAGAGTCTGAACGATGTTAGCTAGGTGCCTAGGTGATTGCCAAGTTGGGTGATGGGTGATGGAACTTACCGTCAGCCGCCTCGATCCAGTATCCCAACTTCGGCTCGACCGCGCCCGTCTCCGAGATGTCCGTGCTAAGCATGGCCATCAGACGGTCCAGCAGGCCGTGGACGACCTCGAAGCCGCTCGTCTTTCCGCAGTAGGCAGCAGCAAAGTGGCGTTCGTTCCTGCTCTTCCGCTCAAGGCTCATGTCCTTGAAGGCGACATCGCTGGCCTCAAAGACCTTGATGGGCAAGCTGTGCTTTCGGTTCTCCCTGATGGTCTTGAGGATACCGGGGAGCAGGCTGGTGCGCACGATCTGGTACTCGGCGGTCTTGGGGTTGGCTAACCGCACGGCGGTGGTGCCGTCGTCCTTTCGGTTGAGCCAGGCGAAGTTCTCGTCGTGCGAGCACAGGATCAGAGGCATCACCTCGGACCATCCGCACAGAGCCGATTCGAGACGGACGATGTCGGCGAGCTTGTTGAGAGGCAGAGGGCTGGCGATGGTGCCGCCAGTACCCTTGGGGAACGTTCTTGTGAGGTTATCGTAGCCGTACGAGATGGCAACATCCTCCATGATATCGCACTGGTGCAACACATCCGCCCGGGTGACGGGTACATCGACGTCGAGGATATCCGCGTTGGCCGCAGAAGGTTTCGCCGAGTAGCACATCCTTGTGAGCAGCTTGCAGATCTCCTCCGCCGAGAGCTCGAGTCCGCAGCAGGCGTTGATGTAGGAGATCTCGGCCGTTGTCGCGCGAGGCGTGACGTTGGGGACCTCTCTTGTCTCGTTGTTGTGGGGGGAGATGATCTTGACGGGCTCGACGGTGAATTCCTCATCGCAGTACTGCGAGAACATGGCGACAAGCATGTTGGTCACGATTTCCGCTTTAGTCCGGTCTGTAGCCGTGACCTCGATCAGGACGTTCCGAGTCTCCAGAGTGATTTTGGAGCGGTCACTGTTGATGAGCGGTGGCAACGAGCACACGTTGCGCTCCGCGTCGAGGACAACCGGGTACACTGGGGAATCGCGGATGATGTGGAGGTATCGTCCGATGTGTTTGTCGTTCTAAATGTAGTACATACCAAGTCAGGGTGTGCGAACATATGCTGAAAGGTTACAAGGCCTACCTCGTAGAAAGTCATGAGCTCCCGAGCATTCATGGACTTTGTCTGGTTCAACGGAGTAAACACAACATCCTCCGGAGCGAGAGCTTCGTAGGTGAAGGGCCCCTTCACAGTATCCAGATCGTGCGTGCCCATCGAGACGAGGGTTCTTTGCCGGCAAAGATTCTGGTGCAGCTTGTCCTGAAGCCCGATGAAGGAGTCATAGCGCTCCTGCGTGAATTTGACACCGCGCAGTACGGCGGCCGAGATGTATGGACGGATTTTGGTGGTCTGAAGGATCGGCCGGTCAGCGTTCCGGGCGCACCATTTCTCCCGAGGGAACAGAGGCGATTACCTCCTCGGTCACAGTGATCTGATGGACCTCGCCGTCCGGCGGCGCCACGACCCTGTAGTTGGGCACTGTCGCCCTGCCCAAGAAGATGTTGAGCATCAGAGCGATACCCTCGAAGCAGAGCATATCATATCTAACCAGCAACGTCAGCGAACAGTGCACGGCACCCGCGTCGCCCGGTCATCGCATAGTACCTGTTGGCGGGGATCTCGATCTTGAGCTGAGGAGCCTCGTCCTTTGGCCGATCCTTGTCATGTTCGGTCTGCGGCGATCGTTAATTCGAGGGATCCACGAAGACCGACTGGACAGAGCATTCAGTAGCTCGGTTGTTGGGGGGAGTGGAATGATCGTACGTCTTCATCGAGTTCGATGCCTGCACGAAACATGACCAAGTCAGTGACCCGCGCGGAACAAGAGAAGCACAGGCAAGCAAGCAGGCGCCAGTACCGAATTCGAAGCACAGTTCGTCGAACTCCTTGGTGGTGTAGTTCTTCCCCAGGGCGTCGAAGAGGGCGTACTTGTCGACGGAGATGGTCGGCATGTCTGCGAGTTATGGACGGGTGACAATCGGTGAGGGTATGACTGAGATGGAGGGGCTTATGGAGGGGTTATGGCCGGTAGCGGGAGCGACGTTCGGTTTTGGATCGATGGTTGGCTGGTTAGGCTTAGTGTCACACAGCCAGAAGCAGGAGCAGCGGGGAAGCAGGGTTTCCGTCCTCTCCGAGCCAAGCCGCGCCCATCTCTGCGCTCACTCGTCCTGCTGAGTTCCTTCCGCCAGAATTCCCCACTCTGCTGGCAAAGAAGAGGCATATGTACATCGTGGATGTGAGACGGACAGGGGAGCTCTGAAGATTTCTCTTCCGCTGCTAGTGCAGAGTAACTGTGCAAGTCCAGGTAACTATGGACAGACACCACTGATCATTCTTGACCTCTCGCTCGCCGTGTCGGTACGGACAGCCTTTCTTTCTACCCCACATACAGTTCCGAGGGGCCGATAGAAGATGTCAGATTAGAGCAGCACAGGTCCTAGTAGATCGACGGTAACGAAGCAAGCAATCCGATTGCTACTTGAATGGCCACGCGAGAGGTCAGTGGACGAGAAAGTGCTTGTGGTCGGCACATGCCATTGTACTTAGAGTCCTCGGGAGACGTGGGAGGTACCTGTATTCGAAGAGAGAGAAAGAGAGGTCGAGGGAGAGTGGGAAGACTTCTATGGGTCTGGGTCTTCTTCGCCCATTATGGCTCGAATCTCTCTGTCTTCGGAATCGAAAGAGAAGAGATCAAGATGGAAGAAAACATGCTCTCTCGCTCACTCTGTCTCCGCAACGTCAACAACGAGCCCCTCACCAACAGACCAACCACCCAACCCCCCAGTCTTGCCTGCATTGTTCTCTCACAACACAACCCAACCCCAACCATCCTCCAACTACTATCAACTACCACTACTACCGCTACCACTGCCATCACTCTCAGATTCACACAAACCACACTCCAACTCCCCCGCCTATCCCATTCCGCCGAAGCCCGCCCGCCCCCGCTCCCCGCCATCATCGTTCGAAAGTATCAAACTCGATAACAACCCCCCGTACCGTTGGCTACATACCAGTGTCGGTCGCACCTTGTTCGCGTCAGTTGCCCCGCCATCACCCACCACCATCCCCGCTACCTTGCTTCCCTCCCCTCCATCACCGTCATCAACTCCGTATCATTTGCATGCTGCTCTCGTTCCCACACATTTCGAGAGAAAGCGTGTCAAAGGATTGCGGTCCCTCTTCTGATGCCCTTCAGCCCCCGAGTTCCTTACACGTACTGAAAGCAAATAACTAGCTCCACAACTACCCCCCTCCCCCCGATAACGGCCTAGCTGCGTATTGACACCAACCATCTCTACCTCGCATTTCATATTCCGTCGGTACGAACTCGGATCTTCTTTATTACATATACTCGAACTACGCTCATAGCTGAAGAACCACAGAATATGGATGCCCAAAACTCAAGCGATGAGCTCTACCCCATAGCCGTCTTGATCGATGAACTAAAGGTTGGAACCCCCCTAGGCTTGATGCTCTGTTCAGGGGTGGGGCGAGGACAGGGTGCGAAAGAAGGCTACATATGGTGCAACGGAGGGCTGATTGCGTTCTGTTCTCGATAGCATGACGACGTTCTTCTCCGTCTCAATGCTATCAAGCGTCTCTCAACCATCGCGCTTGCACTCGGCGCAGAGAGGACGAGGGATGAATTGATTCCGTTTTTGGACGGTATGCAGCGTCGGTCTTACCCATAGCTACAGGGACTAGTACTAATGGTGCTCAAAGAATCGGTGGAGGATGAGGACGAGGTCCTGACAGCTCTCAGCGAAGAGCTCGGCAACTTCGTGGAATACGTCGGGGGTCCCGAGTTTGGTCATGTTCTCCTGTCGCCGCTAGAGAACCTTGCTGCGATCGAGGAGCCGCTCGTTCGCGAGAAGGTCAGTGATCTCTGCATCTTTCTTGATTCTCTGCTGGCGGGCACTGTGAGCAGTAACGAGAGAGAAGAAATTGACATTGTTCTGTCCAGGCTGTCGAGTCTCTCAACAAGATTTGCGAAGATTTGTCCCGCGCCCAAGTCGAAGAGTTCTTCATTCCCCTCGTAATCCGTTTGTCCAAGGCCGACTGGTTCACCTCTAAGATCTCTGCGACCGGACTGTTCACCGCACCTTACCGTAAGGCCTCGCCAGCGCTCCAGGAAGGGTTGCGACAGCAGTTCTCGCAGCTCGTACATGACGACACCCCGATGGTGCGCCGACAGGCGGCGACAAACCTGGCCAAATTCGTGGCTGCCATGCCCCCGGAGATCGTTGTTACTGAGATGATCCCGTTGTTCCAACACTTAGCACAGGACGACCAGGACAGTGTCAGACTGTTGACGGTGGAGGTTTTGATTAGCATCGCAGAGGTTGTCCCCAAGGATCAACACTCAAGCCATGTGGTGCTTTTGACGACTTTGAAGAATCTGTTCGGTGACAAGAGCTGGAGAGTCAGATACATGGTTGCGAATCGGTTCGAGAAGGTAACAGCAATGGCCAAAGTTCTGGTCCTAGTCCGTGCATCTCTCGGGGAGTGGGTGGGCTAACGATGGAATTATGCAGTTGGCAAAAGCAGTCGGCGATGAAGTAGTCCGACGAGATCTCGTACCCGCATTTGTTAAGCTTCTCAAAGATTCGGAAGCGGAAGTGCGAACAGCTATTGCCGGTCAAATTCCCGGTATGTCAAATTCGGGTATGATGCTTGTTAGCTCCGCTGACTGGTGATATCCCAGGGTTTTGCGGACTGCTCGACCGTCAAACTCTCTTGGACGACATCATGAGCGCAGTCGAGGACCTTGTGAGCGACAGCTCTCAGCATGTCAGGGCTGCATTGGGAACCCAGATAAGTGGTCTCGCACCTATCCTTGGAAAGGAAGAGTCAGTTGTTCAATTCCCACAATGCCTTTAGCGACCATCCTAACGCGCAGATGCCTGCAGGACCATTGCCCATCTACTACCAATGTTCCTCCAGATGCTCAAGGACGAGTTCCCAGACGTCCGCCTGCACATCATCTCGAAATTGGAGCTCGTGAACGACGGTATGGCATATGTTCTTTGCCCAACATCACTGACTATGCTGACGGTTATACAGTGATCGGTATCGAACTCCTGTCCCAATCTCTCTTGCCTGCGATTGTCCAGTTGGCGGAAGACAAGCAGTGGCGCGTTCGACTCGCCATCATCGAGTACATCCCCTTGCTCGCAAAACAACTGGGTGTCGAGTTCTTCGACGAGAAGCTCGGAAACCTTTGCATGAGCTGGCTCGGTGACACCGTCTTCTCGATCCGTGAGGCGGCGACACAGAACCTCAAGAAGTTGACGGAGGTGTTCGGAGTCGATTGGGCCAGACAGACCATCATCCCCAAGGTCATGGCGATGGGTAACCAGACAAACTACCTCTACCGTATGACGACTTGCACGGCTATTACTGTATGTTTGCAATTATCCCCAAACAACACATTACTCTCTAACACATGAATCTAGACTCTTGCGCCTGCGGTCAACATCGAAGTCATCCAGGAGTTTATCCTGCCCATGATCAACCAGCTGATCGATGATCGGATCCCCAACATCCGGTTCAACGTGGCGAAGTCCTTCGGCGTCTTGATCAGCGTCCTCCGACAGCTACCGGCCGAGGGTACACTGACGAACCTGAAACCCGAAGAGATTCCTACTGGCCCGAGTCCTGTAGCTCTCGAGTTGATACAGAAGCAAATCCTGCCAAATCTTGAGAAGCTCAGGGCAGATCAAGATCGTGATGTGCGGTTCTATGCGGAGCAGGCGTTGGTGAATGCGGGAGATTTCATGCAGACATCCTAAAAGAGCATCAGACTGGAGAGCGGGGCGGATTCTTTTGTTTCATAGATCGTGAATAGGCAGATCGGTCAATGTCTTGTATCCTGTGATGTGCAGAAGATGAGATGCCAGTTTTGTCCCTGCAGTGAACGGGTGAGGGAGGAACAGCGCATACGATGGGAGACGGAATGGGATCGGGCATACTTGCTTTTTTTGTTTGTACTTCCTATACGTAAGGTAGAAGCATCGCCTTAATTTGTAGTTTCTGTGTTTCGTTCTGATTTTAAGCACCGACCCACAAAAGGCAGGGCAGCATGAGGCACCTGTCGTCACTCGAGAAATAACTTGCTGTGCTATTATTAACCGCCAGCCGGCCCAGCGCTAATCCATGGCAGCCAAATGCTTGGCCCGTGGTCTCGCCAGCTCCATTAGCGAATGTGGGGTGGTTACCTAACATCTCTCGACTGCGATGCGCTCCAAATCCGACGCAAGGTGAGTTCGCCTTCTTCCTGCATTTGCGTCTCTCTCTCTCCCTCATTGAAGCTTATGGCCCGTCTGCTACAGCAAACGATGGAACACCATCCTCACCAAGTACTCCTCCGCGGCCTCGCTGAAGGATGGCACCGCCCAGCGAGACGGCGATAGTCCCTGTGAAGCTGGGTTACGGTCGATTTGCTGGAGGGTACTACACCTCGATCCTCTTGTATTGCGAGTGGGCTACTAAGTTTTACGCAGATATTCCTACTGTACCCGGACCTCGCCCCCGAAACCTGGATTACCACGCTCCGCTCCGAACGCAAGGCGTACGCCGAGCTACATTCCCACCACTTGCGGAACTTCGAAGACGAGTCACTCTTTGAAGTGCCGGATGTAGATCCTCTAGCCGAAGACGAGTCGGTGCGTGTCCCCTCGTCCGTCCGTCTTACTCTCGCTTTCGTCTGACTCGTAGGGGGGGGGGCAGAACCCGTACGAGATGTACAGGCGGGATGAAGAGTTGCGGCAAGAGATCCTGCAGGACGTGGAGCGGTGCATGCCCGAGAACACTTTCTTCCGGGAACCTCACGTGCAGAACTCGCTGCTCGAGATCCTGTTTATCTACTGCAAGCTTAACCAGGACGTGAGCTATCGGCAGGGCTTCCACGAGCTCGCCGCCGTCATGTATTGGGTTGTGGCGTGCGATGCGATCACGCCCAGTGATGAGGAGGTGGTGGTGGAGGAGGGGGACGAAATCATGCTGGAGGCGCTCGATGCCAGGTTTATCGACCACGATGCGTTTTCGCTCTTTCAGTGCGTGATGCGCGCTGCGAAACAGTGGTATGAGCTCGGTGAGGGCGAGCCCGGCAGGAGGGGCGGGTCTATCGTTAATTCGCCCATCGTCATGAAGAGTAAACATATTCATGAGACGCTACTAATGACCGCGGATCCGGAGTTGGCGGAGCGTCTGAAGGAGTTGGATGTGCTGCCGCAGGTGTTTTTGATGTCAGTACTTTCCTCTCCCCCCTTCCATCGGGGGACTGGCTGACTCTCTTTGGCAGTCGTTGGATCAGGTTGCTGTTCGGAAGGGAGTTCCCGTTCGAGGAGCTGCTCACAGTGTGGGACGTTATCTTTGCAGAAGATCCAGATCTTCATCTCGTCGATTTGATCTGTGTCTCGATGCTCCTTCGGATTCGGTGGAAACGTAGGTTCCCTCGAATTGAGCTTGATGTGATTGCATCGCTGAGAGGCAGATGATTACAGTTGTGAAGGCGGACTATTCCACTGCGCTGACGCTCCTCCTACGTTATCCATCCCCGTCGGCACCGTACGGGCCTGTCTCTTTTGTCGAAGACGCAAAGTATCTCCGCGACAATCTCTCCACAGGCGGCGGGAAATATATCATTACGAAGTACTCCAAGCGGGCACCCGAAGCCCGGCAGCCACGGCCATCTACGCAAAAGCCTCCCACACGCCGGACATTGAGCCCCTCCAACCTCCCACTCTTCCAAACCGCACAAATTGAGAGCATTGTTCAAGATGTCGCGAAGAACGTCCTGGATCGCAGCGAGAAATGGGGGGTCAACCGCGCTGTTCGCGAGGCGGTCGTAGAGGTCAAGAAGAACGTTCAGGGATATCAACCTAAGCCTCTGCCGAATACGAAGGAGGAGGAGCTGGAGCGGCGCAACCGGGAACTTACCAGCCGACTGCAGAAGGAGGAGGAGCGGAGAAGGCAGCTCGCACGTATTTTGGACACCAGTTTAGGCGTGCTACAGACCGAAAGTATCGGCCAGAAGGAGAGCGACGATGCCTTCCGGCGGATCACACATGTCAAGGAGTGTTTACTCGACGACTCCCGACCACTAGACAAAGACCTTCTTGTTTCACCGTCCACTCCCACGGCCACCTCCCCCGTCGCGGCCAAAACCCGGCGGCCCTCCGCCTCCACCAAACCCACCACTTCCACCACTTCCACCACCACCGCCACCACCACCACATCCTCGCCGCGTCCCCGGCGCTCCCCCACCTCCCCACCGGGCTCCTTCGTCAAGACCTCGTTCAAAAACAACTCGGACCCGGACTTCATCTCTCTCGCGCAGCGGCCGCGGGTGACGCTGGCGCAGAGCAGCTTTGCGTGGATGCTTGGCGACGAGCCGATCTCGAAGCATCGTAGCGGCTTTGTGGCCGCGCAGGGCGGAAAGAGTGCGCCTGTCGTAGAGAAGCAGATGGAGCCGAAGAAGGGGAAGCTGAAGGCTGCGGAAGATGGGCTCGGGCTGCAGAATGAACAGGGCGATACAGCATTCGATTTAAGGGATTTTAGGAAGGGCTAAGGCAGTTGGGGGTAATCGGGACTCGGGAGGTTGGTGTGGGAGGTCTGGAGGTCTTTCGTTATACCCGCATGCAACGCTCTTTTTCTTCTTTTTCTGCTTCTTGCGCTCCTGTCGTTAAATTGGCGCGGTTGTGAATTGTAGACAAATGAATTAAACCATAGTTACTCTAGCCTGTAGATCTTGAAACCCTCGTGAGCCTTCAGAGCCAGAAAGACTCCACCACAAGCCGTCACTCGTATCTAGGTATCTAAGTGTAAATTTACAAGTACTATCATGAAGGCACGGGGTCGAATACAGAATGATGGAACGAAAAAAATATTTACCTGCTCAAGTGACGGATCAGCCTCGGCCCCCTGGGCGGAACTTGGTCAAGGCAACACTGACGAAACCTAGAGGGCGAAGAAGGTATCGATGCTATGTAGGTAGGTAACCCTTTCTACGCCTTGCCCAGTGCCCACGTTCAGCCTTGTGAAGTTGGAACCGAAGTGCCAAAGCCTGCCAAAGCCTGCCATAGCCCGTCATAGCCTCCATACCGAAATTCGAATCTTGTCAACTTGTAGATCGTGGCAGACGGTGTAAGTATTCTATGTTATACATAAGGGATCGGTTTAGAAGCTTGCCCAAGCTCCACGATGTGTACCCCAACATGTAGATACTATTCAACTTTTAAGATTAGGAAGTCGGAGACCTAGGCAGGCAGGCTGCTGTTTCAACTAGGTAGTCAGCGAGTCACGTTTTAAAATCTGAAGAGAAGGGGGGAAGCAGGCGAAATACCTACCGGAGAAGCGGGGGAAAGCCGAATAGGTAGGTTGGTTTTCGAAGGGCATTTGAGGAAGCGATGGAACCCTCAAGGGATTGTGCCAGGCCATAGACATGGTCCATAGCATCCTAAATCCCATGATGTAGCTGCTGGGAGAGACACGGCGATCACTCGGCGAGGACGTTCGCAGCACCAGCAGTCTTAGAAGTACTGGTACCGTTGATAGGGAGTTGGAGGTGCGGTGCTATGTGGCAGCAGTCTTCGTGAGGTACTCGCTGATCTGGAGACTCCCAGCCTTTTCACTGAGATAGAACCTACCGCAGCATCCACCAGGTTAGAAAAGCCTAAAAAGAACGAAGACGACTCGTATCATACATACCCGGACTCAATAGCCTCCGGGAAGGCTTTGAAACCTGTTTTTAATGACTTGATTTGTTCAACGAAGATAGTATCAACTATGCAAACTTTTGGTTCTCTCTCCTCCATGGGAGGTGGGTGACCGCCGTTGTCGTCATAGGGATGATGGCGCCTCATATTACCTATTCAATGCCCGGTTGGGCACTGTGCGTATGTTGATAATATGAGTTTTGTGTCAGGCTGTGCTTTGGTCCACAAGCTCGTATCATCTTGGAATCGGCCTTCTCTTTCTCCAAGTATTATCTCCACCTAATTAATTGTCCGTCTTTGATAAGTCGAGTCATATTGCATGTCGCTTAGTACTCGACACCCTTGCCACGCCATTTCCTTGCACCCACCGACATATTTTTGCTCTGTCTTCATACCCAACTACAGTGCTCTTCTTATTGTGCTCTAATTTGAATGCATTGCGGTTGGTAGGTCAAAATCTCGACACGTTAGGTGGCCTTCAGTGACGGAGGAATTCGGACACGAATCGAAGATTTCTGGCGGCTGTGATGTCCCATCAGCTCACGCCCAGATATCGCAGTGCACCTATACATTGTGACGCAGTCCACCATCCTTCAGGATGATCTCCCAGCAGATCGTTGATCGCAGAGAAATGCTTCACTTCATCATACATCACTCGTCTATTTTCGGCCAGCCGAGAAACTGGGCCCCGAGCCCGTATCACGTGAGCGCACGGCTCGGAAGTGCCCTCGCCTCCGCAGTTTCTATGAATACATCGTGTAATAATCTCGGGCTCGGACACTGCTCTCAGGCCGCGACTGTGGGGGGGTCATATCCCTACTCTGTAATGCACCTCTCTCCTGTCATGGAGTAAGGAGGGTTTCATGGAGAGCTCTCTGGCCGCATAACTATTTCCACACCATTCTGGACCATCTACATACTGCGATACCTGTTTTGCATCCCCAGCTACGGGCTTGTCGTACGCATCTTGACGTAAGCTACAGGCAGAATGAAGTGCAGTGCAGGTACCGAGCTGCACCATGACCGGAGGCAGGGATTGCAATGCTGGCGCACACAGGAGTAATCTAAAAGTACTTAGTGCCCGAAACCCGCTTCCCTGCTGAGCTCTAATTTTGAACCGGTACTTCAGCTCCAGAGTTACTTTACTCCTCTCGATGCTTCGCGCGACAACGACTTCTTCTCCTATTCATACGAGCAACCACAACGGCATCTGAGATGGCAACAACTACTTCGACAGCGATACATACGGCTGGTGGCGATGGGGAAATGCGTGAGAGGAGGGAGAAGGTGACGGATAGAAGCAATGGCAGTAGCAATGACAGTGGCAATGGTAATACCAACGGCAATGGATTGCTCCGTCCGGATCTCAAGAGGAACTCGAGCGACTCCTCAATACTGTCTAGGTGAGTCCCACGCGTGCGTGCTGGCGGACGGGGGGATTGACGGATTGCTTCGACAGTGGAACAGCGACACCGCTCCCTGAAGACGCACCGCCGTCGCTGGTCTCGATCAGCCATGCCCGACACATCCGAAGAAAACGGATCTTCCCCACGGTCACGTACGAAAGCCGCGTGTCGCACTTCGACTCTCAGTCGCAGCACCACGACTTCCGAGGATTCTTCACGCTGTTCTGGATCGGGCTGTTCATAATGGTGCTCACTACTGCCCTGCGGAACCTGAAGGATACCGGGAAGGTGCTGCGCACAAGCATCTTCTCGCTGTTTGTCAATACACCGATGGAGCTCGGCGCGGCAGAGCTGTTGATGGCGTTGAGTGTGGCGTTCTGTCTGCCGCTGCAGAAAGCCGTCATGAGGGGTACGGTGAGCTGGGGGGTTTGGGGGTCGTATCTACAACATGTGCTTCAGGCCATCTGGTTGGCTGTTTGGGTGTATACGCCGTTCTTTCTGCAATGGCAATGGTATGCGCGCCCCCTCTGCGGTGGCGTTGGGTAGTGCTAACCTGCGGAATGTACAGGACACACCAAGTATTTTTCACACTGCACGCTCTCACGCTGCTGATGAAGGTACCGCTTCTCTCTCACTGCTCGCCTGCCCATTACTGTTGCTAATATACCCCGCTGTCAGATCCACTCCTACTCCTTCTACTGCGGTCACCTCTCAGAATGCTTCAAGAAGCTGCGCGCAATGGACTCCTCGCCAGTCGAGACCGAGTCCGAGAAAACCGCGGAGCTGCGGGATGCACTCGCTTTCGAGCTTACCAGTCCGTCGGGGAGAGTCACGTACCCGGAGAACCTGACACTGCACAACTTTGTGGATTTCATGCTATGTCCTACGCTGTGCTACGAGTTGTCTTATCCCAGGACTGAAGGTATTCGCTGGGGCAAAGTCGCCGAAAAGGCCGCCGCCATCTTTGGATGCATATTTCTTCTGACTGTCGTCAGCGAGGAGTTTATCCTCCCTGTGGTATGTTCTCACGGCCGAATGAGGAGGAGGATCAGAGTGGTATTGACGATGCGTACGTAGATGAATGAAGCATCTGCGCACCTTGAGAATGCGCGGACGGCCTTCGAGACGGTTGTTATCCTTATGGAGAGCATTAGCATGCTTCTCTTCCCGTTCATGGTGACCTTCCTCCTTGGTACGTAGCCTTTTACCCCGCCGCCGCCCTGCAGATCAACGGTATGCGTGAGATACTGATCATCCGCTAGTTTTCCTCGTAATCTTCGAATACGTTCTCGGCGCCTTTGCGGAAATCACCTGTTTCGCCGACCGCCACTTTTATTCCGACTGGTGGAACAGCACGGACTGGCTCGAGTTTTCGCGCGAATGGAACATTCCCGTGCACCGTTTCCTGCAACGCCACGTCTACGGTGTCAGCCGTGCGCACATGTCGCGTCCCCTCGCCATGTTCGTCACATTCCTCATTTCCGCGCTCGCCCATGAACTGGTGATGTTCTGCATCACCCAGAAGCTCCGTGGTTACGGCTTTGCCTGCCAGATGCTGCAGCTGCCCATCATTGCCGTGCAGAGAACGCCGTGGCTCAAGAAGAGGCGCACCTTCAATAATATTATGTTCTGGTGCTCGATGATTTATGGGTTGGCTATGGTATGCTTACACTTCCCCACCCTCCCTGCCCTCCCTCCGAAACCGATGGATCAATGCAATTACTAACGCACCGATAGATCAGTGCATTATATGTACTCCTCTGAAGCCCCGCCTGCCTTTCCTTCTTCTCAACTTTCCTTGACATTTGTACCATCATATAGCTAGCATATATTGAGCCCCCCCTGTAGCATTAGATTTACCCTTTTGGTTTTTGGTTTGGTTCTTTGGTTCTTTTTTTTGGCGTGGGCGTGGAGCCCGGACTTATTTTGTGGTTTTTGGTTTCTTGGTTTGCTTGCTGTTTGAGATCCCCTTTTTCCTTTCCTTTCCTTTACCTTTTGCTTCGGAAACATATTTCGTATTTAAACTACATCTTTATACCAGCTTTGTCGAGTAGAGTTTCATCCATTGTTCTTGAGTATGCATACTTCCGACTCATCCAAAGGATTGACCGTTGACTCTTGCGTGGAGCTGGCTGGCTGGCAGGAAAGACTCAAGAGGTCGGGGCGGGGTTGTGCTCAAAATAGTCTGCCTGGTGAATACAGTGATGTCCTCTCTTTCCCCTTTCTCTCTCCCTCTCTCATCAGGCCGGAGTGGAGTATCTACCGGAGATTTATACCCAAAGTCATATTGGATTGGCCTGCAAAGAAAACGAAAGAGAAGAGAGAAAAACGAAACCGAAAAAAAAACCCAGACTCCAAAGAAAGAGAGCGGACCACCATCATACCATCTCATCATCTCCAGCACATCTGCAGCCTTATTTTTTCAATCTCATTTCATCATCTCGAATGTCCCCACCATATGGTTGTTTGTTTGAAGTTTGACTTGTTGATGACTACTATACTACACGGATGGAAAAAATGATGAGACAGTTAAGAACCAGGAAGAGAAGAAATTGAGAACACAATGAATTTTTTTTATTTCCATCCATTTTTTGGACTTTTTTTCACCTGCCAGTAAAAAAAAAAGTACGACAGAAAATTATTCAAGAACAAGAAAGTGACAACAGCAAAAAGAATGTAATGATGGTCCTGTTTAGCAAAAAACACTCTCTGCTGAAGTCTGTTTTCTTGTATCGAGAAGTGGGTAGGGGGGCGGTTGGGCCGGTTCCCCTCTAGGCACCGAGGGCAGGGAATGCGGACTCGTCCTGGACGTTGACGTTGCCGCCGGCGGGCCTGCCACCCTGGTAGGCATTGCGGGGAGGGCCGCGGTCGTTGCGGTCGCCACCACGGTCGCCACGGTTGCCTCGTGGGGCACCGTCGCCACGGCCTCGGTCACCCCGTCCACGTCCGCCACGTCCACGCTCTCCTCCTCCGCCACGGCGCTGCTGATTAGGTTCGACGAATCGGGGCTCGATGTCGAGGAGGTTCTTGGTCTTGCGTTCCCTCGTGCGGGTCTTGTCCTTGGCGTCTCCGGCGAAGTAGTCCTCTCCAGCCTCCTTCTCGAGGGGCTTGGCGGTGGCCCACTTCTTGTCCTCGCGGGTTCCCTCGTTCGGGCGGCGAACGGCGGCGGGGGGGCCGAGGTTGGCCTGGCGCGCGGCGAGCTCGGCAAGGTACTCGTCGTAGGTCTTTGTCTTCTCCTCCTCCTCGGCGGCGGCGGCAGCCTCGGCATCGGCATCGGCGGTGACGGCGTTAGGGTCGGCGGGGTCGGCACCGGCGGCGTCCTTCTGGGCGAGCTCCTGTCCGGCGAGCTCGTCGTTCCATTCGCTCTCACCCTTGTTGGCGCCCCAGCCGTGCTCAGCCTGCTTCTCGTGCTCGCTGCGAACGGTTAGCTTCACAGAAACCTAATCGTCATGTGACGTCATCACTCGAGGTGAGATGAGGGGTAGGGGGAGCCGTACTCCCTTCCAGTTCCACTGTGACGGTCGAATTCACGGCCACGGCGGGCACCACCACGACGTGGGGCACCACCGCGGGAGTTGAAAGCGTCAGCGGCGCCGTCAGCGGTCTTGGTACGGTTTCTATCGCGACCAGCATCGCTGTCACGGAAAGCTGCAAACAAACAGTCAGAAGCCGTAATCATCCAAGGCGGTGCCATATCCGAATCGACTCACCCGCATCGTTGCCGGTGAAGCCTCCACGACCACCACGACGACCACCACGGGCGTTACCACCAGCGGGGGCGGCAGCGGCCTCAGGAGCAGGCTTCTCGTCCCGCTTCTTGGAGGTCGTCACATTCTTGACTACCTGCCTGGGGGCCTTGCTGGGCAGCTCGTCCTCAGGGAGGTCGTTGCCTGATGACCGGAGAGAAGGCGTATTAGCGCATTGCAATTGCAGTGTACAAACGAGGTCGGTTCATGCAATGCTCATCCGTCTGCGAGCGACGTAGAAGTGTCGAGTGGGGCATGACGGATGGGGGGACTGTGGACGGACGTACCGAGAGCATCGTAGGGATTCTGCAGCGAGAGCAAACGAGTCAGTAGCCGTTGGAAGAATGAAAGTCGTATCGTCCCAGCACGAGACGGAGCAGCCGTAGCATCAACAGCGAGCAAACTTGCCCGCTAGGTGCTGGGCGACAAATTATTCGGACGAACCTTGGACGCCACAGAGACAGACATGTTTGCCTGCTCTCTCCTAGTCACTGAACTTTTTCGATATGTGGGTGGGGGGGATGGTAGATGGGAGGTGGAGGACGGATGAGGTCGGAGGGGAGGGGGGTGTGGTTGTAGTTTGGATTGGTGTGGGGATCTGAGTTATCGCTGGCAGTGGACAACAGCAAGCAACTTCAGCCAGCCAAAAGTTTGTGGAATTAACGAAGATCCGAGTCCGAGGGAGGAGGGGAAACACCGCACTATTTTTCTCTTTCACAACGTGCAGGCGGAATTCCGAGCACTGATTGGCTGGAACTGGTGGAAGCTTGGCATGAGATCACTTGGACGTTGCAGCAGCTGTGGGCGGGGCAAGACTGCTGGTGATTAGGGCTAGGGCTGCATAGGGAGAAGGTGCGGTCTGAACTTGGAACCAATATAATTAGAATGCAAACAGCGGCGGGGTGGGGGTTGCGTGTTCAGCCGCATTCGCTCGTTTCGTGTCCGTGTGGCTGGCGACGGTTGGGCAGGCTCGCGGGCCACACCTCACCGCGACACCGCCGCAGGCAGAGGGTTGTGCGAGCGAGTCCGGAGCGACCTTTGGGTCTTCGCTCGGATAGATCTTTCTCGGTAAAAGGCCATCATCGTCATTATCCAGCATCATCATCGTCATCATCGCCATCATCATCATCTCATCGACCCATCAAACTCATCAACTCATCAACATCATCGCGAGCTAAATCTAACGATTGAGACTATTTCGCGATCGCGCGACCGCGGGAAGAGGAGCGGCGATGTGGAATCCTTCCTTTGGCGGACAAACAACACCCACACGTTTTGACGACGTCGGGGCTGAACATTGAATGGCGCTCGTCTTTCTCTCCCCGTCCAAGTCCGACGTCATAGGCGACCGAAACATTCCTCCGTCTCAACTTCACCGTCCCACGTCTCACACAGCTCGAGTATCGGATCTATCTAGTGCTGACATTTTTGTCTCCCGCTTTCGTCCCGCCCTCTCGCACTCGGAATGAGAAATCATCAAGGATGACGGCCTGTGCTTGTGCTTGTGCCTGTGTGCCTGGAGTGACGTGATGGGGAACGGTGGTGCTCGCAGCCTTGTCGACGGTTTTGAGAATTGGTTCCGGTCCGTTCCTCTTCCGTAGTCGTTTCTATCGATAGATACTGCACTTGATGCGTATCCGGCAATGAAGAGTTTCCTTTTACGAAGGTATTGGGAGAAGAAGAAGAAAAAGGAGAAGAGGAAGAAGAAGAAGAGGAAGAAGAAGAGGAGGAGGAGGAGGAGGAGGAGGAGGAGGAGGAGGAAGATAAGGAATGCCATGAACGTGAGCGTTCTCACCCATTGCTCGGAAACGTGATACGCGTATAACTACAGCCAGCCACCGTGTACTATTCCACACCGTTGGGCCTTACCGGCACGGCGTTGAGGCCAACACACCGACGACATATACACATTGCTGTGGATTTGTCGTCAATGTTGGGGGTTGGTTGGGTACCCAGTCATGTAGGAATACATGCTTGCACTCCCGTGGTCATCGGCGAAGTAGCGGTGGCAGATGGAGGCAGATAACGCATCTCTGCGTGTGTTTGCTTCTTCTTATTTTATTCTTCTGCTTCTTGCGGCTGGTGATGGCTTTCCGCTTCAACAGTTGCGTGCCTAGATACATACCGTACATGATGCATAGAGTTCGAGCTGAGGGTGATCTTGCACCGATTCCCTCCACAGTGCGGCGGACGGAGAGAAGGTGGGGGGCAGTAGCCAGTGTAGGGTGTGATGGTGCCAACTAGCAGTTTGTGGAGGAGGTGTGATACTCGTGATGCTCTACATACGCACTTACTTGGGTGACTACATGATATATGGGGAATCTGGCTGTAGAATAGAGTGTCTACATACTCCAGATACTCCACAGCATACTGGCGGCGGCGGCGGAAGCGCTGCACACTGCACAGGCAAACCCCTCGTCCCTCTCCCTCGTCTTGCAACTCGCTGTGGAGCAACGATGCCTGCCCTCCTAAGGCCTTGGCCCTCCGCCCAGGGTCACGCCTCCACGCCGCCGACCGAAAAAGCAAAAGTGGCGGTATGTTGCTCTACTCCATCACGTTAGCATGACTGCCCAACTCCGGGGACTCTGGTCTAGCTAAGAAGCTACAGATGACCGGTCGACGTGAAGCGAAGACCCTGAACCCAAGAAGAGAAAGTGGGAGTATCGTGAGACCCCCGGCCTCGGACCAGGCCGTCCGGAGGTCCCAATGTAGAGTACCCCAACGTATCCCCTCCCCTTCCTCCGCCTGATCTCATCTTCTTCCTCTTGATCTCATCTTGCTCCTCTTGATCTCATCTGCCTCCTTCACTCCTCCTCCTCCACCACCTTCTCCGCCGTCGCCGCGTCTCCGCCTCTGCCCGTCATCTCGCCGCTCTCTTGTGGAGATTGCCCTCCCATTTAACCACCCAATCCTCCCCCACCTCCTCCTCCCTCCTGCCCTCCCTCTTCTCCTCCTCCCCCTCTTCCCTTAACCCCCCGGGAAACGTGAACCCGACCATCCGACCGAACCAGACCACTCCCGGTCCTGCCACCATCCCATCCATTTCTTTCCTTGAAACGGATCGCCGTACCTGGTACGTTGCTGGGATTGACCACAATCTCCCTGCGTGCGAACAGACAGAGCATTTCAAAGCCCAGCGTCCGAGAGTCGTCGGAATAGAGGGTGAGAACCACAGAAAGAGAGAGTGTGTGTCTGCGTGTGTGTGCGAAACGTGCGTGCGAGGGAGACCCAAGACCAGGGAACCAGACAGGTCATATCAGGGGAAAGACAGACAGAACGGCCGCGAGAACTGGATCCGGAGAAGAGTGACGGGTGTTGTACTTTGGAGCAACAGCAATCTGGGCGCTCCGATTCCCCCCCAATTTGGCCGCATCTCGCACGCATCTCCCTCTAGTGGCAGGCGGTATCTCGGTCGGATTTCGAGCAACTCAAAGTGTGCCTACCTATTCCTGCGGCGCCCGGGACGAACGAGCGAGCATACGGAAGAAGAAAAGTTGTGGTGAACCCCGCCAACCCGTTGGCTTTGCGGCTGGTTCTTTCTGTACTCTACTACTACTTCTGATCTCACTCTATCGACGTTTGGGACCCAGTAAAACTACCCGCCCTCCCCCCCCTTTGCCTTGTCTCCAACCCTTTTCCTACCGGGCAACATAAACTACCACTCCTCCACCGTCGCCGCCATCTACCACCATCATCACCCACCAACCACCAACCGCCAACCACCAACTACCAACAAGGACAACCACAACCACAACAGCCTCCTCCCCTCCTCCCCCCCTCCCCCTCCCTCCTACTACTTCCTCCTCCCCCTCCACCTCCTCCTCCACCAAGTAATAATATCAACTACCACCAACTACCAATACCCCCCATCGCGATATCTAGTTCCCTCCTCCCAGCAAGCTTCTGCTCCAATTCCCTCTTCAGGGGCTTCCACCACCTAAGTACACCCACTTCGCCAGCCAACCGCTGCTGCAACCGCCACTCGTCTTTCGAACGCATCTAGACAGATTACAGGATCTCCGTTTTTCTCGATAGTACCTCCTGCTACGAGTCGCAAGCTGCCGCACCACCTGGTCAACCCCCGACCACCCCGGCGCAACCTATCAATCCTCTTGAATACCCCATAGCAAGCAACATACACAAGCATCAAGCATACGTACGTACACCGCATCTCCCCCCAAGTGTCGCTCGCACAACCCCCTGCCTTAGGGTGTTTATCTCTCCGAAACTTGGTTTCCTGGGAAGACCCCGACGTCTGTCTTCTGGCTGGATATGCCCGTTATCTCCCCTCTCCTTCTTGATTCCGCAGAGCAAAGTAAAAAAAAAGAGACCGCAAGGATCGCAATCGGAACTGATGTCTGGAGTATATAGAGCGGAGAGTATCGCCCACCATGTCTTTGGGTACCAACAATCCGTTTCGTGCACGACTTGCGGGCGCACCTGGAGGACCTACTTCTCCGCAGTTACAACCCGCCGATCCCTTCTCTTATGCACCCCCGGGACGTGAACGACCAAAGTCTCGCAATCCATTTCTAGACGTCTTTGACGACGACGCTGGCGATTTCAACCTTGGAAACGACCAGTCACGACATACACCTCGCGCAAACTCTTTTGACGTCTCTGCTGGCAAAGGATCGCTACTTACGGGGAGTGCTAAAGAGCTATTTGTACGTCCCTCACCTGATGTATATACGTTGGTTTGCGTTGCGATTCTAATTATTCGACGCAGGAGAACCTCACTATTTCCGACATGAACCGACCAGCACCACCGAACGCTCCCAGATTCCGGCCTCCACCACCGGGTCACCATAAATCGAGCTCTGCCGCCCAGAATGAGGGTATATTGATCACGTTGGAAGGCTCCTCGCGACCACCGCCGCCCCCAGGTGGCAGGCGTCCACCTCCCCCTCCTGGCAGCCGAATGGCTCCTCCCCCTCACGATGCCGAGCGATCTCGTAACCCTAGCAGAAGACCTCGACGGAACTCTGACTCCTCGGTGATCGATGTCCATGAGATTGAAGCTCGGGACCGGCAGAGACGGGGAGATAGACGGCCAGCCGAGAAGGGCCCGTCGACACAGAGCAAATCGCGTGGTGGTGATAAGCCACGACGCGATGCCTCTTCGGACCGGCGGAAGAAGCCCGCTGGGTTGGACGTTATCGATAAACTAGATGTGACTGGAATCTATGGCTCTGGATTATTCCATCACGATGGCCCGTTCGATGCGTGCAATCCTCATCGCAACAAGAGCTCCCGCCGGTTGGCTCCCGTGCAAGCCTTCCCAGCCGATTCGGCCAACAACTCGATGAGCGGCTTTGGACCCCTCCCGTCGAAGGCCGATCACTCGCACATTTTTGGAAATGGAAACGGCGAGGCGTTCAACGATTACACATCTAACGCTCGCCGCCCTTCTACCACCCGCGCGATCTCGTTCGATCCCAAATCCGCCATCGAGACGCTTCACGGCGATGAGTCCCTCGGCTTGGGTACATCGACCTTCCTAGACGGTGCACCCGCCTCGAAGCTTGCCATTCAAAAGACGGTGGCGGAGGGCTTCGATGACCGTCCTCGTTCGTCGAGCGAGGGTGCATTCGGCAACGGCGGAGGTATTCAGCGCAAGAAGTCGTTAGTGCAGAAGTTCCGTTCCATGAAGCCGGGCGAGACACCTATCGGTGGACGGAGACGTGCACCGCCACCTCCCGGTAACAGACAGCGCTCGCCTTCGGAGGGACGTTCCCCGACGACGCCGAGCAGCGGCGGAGACAGCCCGTTCTTCAACGACTACGACGATGCCTACGACAAGAAGGGGGAGACCATCTCGGTCGTCGACAAGGGTGGACGTGAACGGGTTCCCAACTCGCCAAAGAAGCCCCATCTCAACCGTGTCGGCACCGACGAAGGCAACTCGAACGGACTGATGAAGAGAGTGAGGAGTCTGTCCAAGCCCAAGCGGAGGGATTAGGAGGGGGGGGGGGGGGGGGGGGGGGTTTGATATCACTCAAATGATGTAGGCGGTGGCAGCGGCGACGCGGGTGACACTTGATTGTGAATTTTCCATTTCGTCGTCTGTATGTTGCATGTGTGTTTTTTTCTTTTCCCTTGCTCTGTGTGTGTGTGTGCTCTGTGTCTGGCGTCTTTGAGTGTGTGACCTTATTCTGTCCATTCTTTGCAGTTTTTTGCTTCTTTTTTTTTCTTTGTAAAACTTGGGTGGGGTGGAGGGAGATCCACTCAACCAGAAGAAAGGAAAGGAACGGAATGATTTTGGGATAGTTTTTTGTATCGTGTGTCGTGTCTTTGTCCTTGTTCTTCTCTGTCTGTCGGCCCTACTTCATTCATCCATATTTTTGTGTTCCATGTTTAACTACTACAACGGGGGGAGGGGATTTGGGGGAAGGGGGGGGGGGGGGGTTAGTAACTTTGTGGGTACCTTTTGAAAGGGGGACGAGGGGGCTGGCTGGTTGGTGACTTGATTGATACCTTGTGTGTGAAAGTACTTAGCATGACTGACTCGGACTTCCCTGGATTGGATATCATCACAGTTTTGTACGCAAGAGTTTATTTTTTTATTTTTTTTATTACTATTATTATTATACCAATTACATCCTTCCGTTTTGATTTTGACGATGGATTACCGTGGTGGTGATGGGAGGGGGGGGGGTGGTGGTTGTGGTGGTGAGTTTGGCAATGGTTGGTGTGGTGGTGGTGGTGGTGGTGGTGTGGTGAGCGTGGCGGTGCGATGGTGTGGCGAAAACACTGGGGGTGGTCCGTGCGGTGGCAGTTGCTCGGCTGGAAGCTCTTCTAAGTTGTGCCTAGCTCGGCTAACCTCACGCCCAACGCCAACAGTCAACTTCCAAGGCTGTTGAGTCCTGAGTCTTTGCAGCCATAGCTCCCCACCACCGCACCGCACTGCACCGCACTGCACAGTCGATGTTCCAGCCTTACCTATCTGCACTGTGCACTCGGTCAAAATCAACACATTCTGCGGGCGTAATTGAGACCATTGACCACCGTAATGTACCGGTACAGCGACAGGTGCAGTCATAGACTTCCCCACTGTCCACTGCCCAGTCCCCTCGCCGCGCTTGGGCTGTGTGGTCGTCGGCAACGACGGTGACTGCGAAAAAGCCCTCAGTCAGTGCTCGCGAAGCAGCATTGCAAGTGGGTAGCTCAATTCCGAGATTCTACGCTACTCTACTCTCTACTCCACTCCACTTCATGATCCGCGTCCCTCGAAGGCGGAGGAGGGTATAGTTACAATGCAATCTGATTCTCACATCTTCTCATCTTCTTCACATCCTCTTCACATGCAATCCCCACCTCATTGCCCAGCCCAGCTGCAGTAGCTCAGATACCTACCGCAAATAGCATCACTATCATAGACATGCATACCCGGTTGCCCAGCTACCTAAGCCAGCTAAGCCAGCTAATCCAATCCAGCGCTTCCCCATACCCCACATTCAGCCCCTCCGCTTCCCTTGCCTTCTTCCCCAGCATCCCCCCAGCCCCAACCCCCCTCAGCCAGACAGAGAGATAGGCGAGATCTCCGGCGGGGCGACGACCGGACCGGCCATGTGTGCTGTGGGCGTGTGTGGGCATGTAGAGTACATACGAGGAAGAACCGAATGTAACCGCCATATCAGACTTATCAGTAGATCAGTGGACATCTCCCTTTCCCCGGGGACCGGGGAGGGCGGATGTCGACTGTAGATAAAGAGTACGGGCCTGTGCGACCCACCCACGTACACGTCCACCACCATTCGTCACGATACCTACCGATTGAACTGTACACATACATTGAACTGTACACACACATTGAACTGTACACATACATTGAACTGTACACGTGCATAGTCTACCTGTAGCAAACGAGTACCTACAGTACAGTGTCTACAGTATCTACAGCACAGTACCAACAACAGCAATGTCCTCCCCCGCCTCGCGCCTCGCCGCGCTCGCCAGCCATCTTTGGGCCCCTTCGTCGTCCTCGTCCACCAGCTCCACCAGCACCACCTCCTCCTCGTCGAAAACAGAACAGCCCCCCCCTCAGAAGCGCACCAACCGCCACGAGCTCTCACCGACATACCTGCTGCCACGAGCCGCAAGCATCGAGCCAGACGCGGAGGCAATCGTGCACACGACTGCCACGGGCAAGGTTCTGCGGCGGACGTACCGCGAGTTTGCGGACCGCGCACGGGGGCTGGGGTATTTTGTGCGGGGGCGGGGGTATAAGCGGGGTGAGTTCCCCGTACTTATGATAAAGATGGGGGCTGATGTGATATGTGATGGCAGTGGGGATTCTCTGCCCGAACACGCCGGCGCACCTGGAGAGTATTTTCGGGATTGCGGCTGGGGGCGCGTTACAGGTTGCGGTGAATTATAGGCTCAAGCCCGAGGATATACGGTACATCTTCGCGCATGCGGAGGTTGAGGCGATCATTGTCGACCGCGAGTTTGTACACCTGCTTGATGGGTTCGATGAGGGTGTGCGCAGGATTATCGATGATGATGTGGACGCCACGGAGGGAGAGCTGAGTGGTGGGGAGTTTGACGATGTTATTGCGGAGGGGCTGAGGCTGGATGTCGAGGGGGGCGCGAAGGGCTGGGAGGGGCTGCAGATGGAAGCGCAACACGAGGACGATATTATGGCGCTGGCGTATACCAGTGGGACCACGGCGAAACCGAAGGTGAGTGATGAGTCCCCGCTCTGGATATTTGTGTGCGGAGATTGACGAGGTGAAGGGAGTCGAATACACGCACCGGGGGATCTACCTAGCGGCGCTGGCGAACGTGATCGAGTCCTCGCTGTCACCGCGCGACGTAATGGCGACCTCGCGGGCGAAGTACCTCACGATCCTGCCACTATTCCACGCGGTGGGGTGGACCTTCCCCTGGGCGGTGGTATCCGCGCGAGCCACACACTACTGCCTGCGCAAGATCGACTACGGCGAGATGTGGCGCCTGCTGAAGGACGAGGGCGTAACACACTTCAACGCCGCTCCAACAGTGAACACCCTGTTGTGCGCACACTCTTCCGCAGTGAAGCTCGCGGCCCCCGTCCGCGTCACCGTCGCCGCCTCCCCGCCCACAGCAAAGCTGTTCGCGGACATGATCGCGCTGAACCTGATCCCGGTGCACGTATACGGTCTCACAGAGACGTACGGGCCGATCACGCGCGGGTACTTCCTCCCGTCATGGCACGCCCTCCCCGCCGGCGAGAAGTACACGCTCATGGCGCGGCAAGGGCACGGCTTCGCGACGTCCCGACTGTGCCGTGTGATCAAGCCTGGTATCTCGCCGCCCGTCGACGTCGCGCGCAACGGGCTCGAAGTCGGCGAGATCGTGTTCTCAGGTAACATCTGCGCACGCGGCTACCACAAGGACGCGGCGGCGACCACGAAGCTCTTCGCGGACGGCGTGCTGCACACCGAAGATCTGGCGGTGTGGCACGCCGACGGCGCGGTGCAGATCATGGACCGCGCTAAGGACATCATCATCTCTGGTGGTGAGAATGTTTCCTCTGTTGCATTGGAGGGATTGTTGGTGCGACATCCAGATGTCCTGGAAGTGGGTGTCGTCGCTGTCCCCGACTCCCATTTTGGGGAACGCCCGAAGGCGTTTGTTACCCTGGCCCCCGGGGCAACGACCAAAGGGGAGGAGATTGTACTCTGGGCGAAGAAGAGCCCTGGCATTGCGGGGTTCATGGTGCCGCGCGAGGTCGAGGTCGTAAAGGAGCTGCCGAAAACTAGTACGGGGAAGATTCAGAAGAATGTGCTCAGGGCGTGGGTTAAGGGTGGAGAGAGGGCGTTTTGAGGGTTGGGTGGGTGGATTGATTGATTGGGAGCTTTTGGTTTGATTTTTATGATGCGTTTATGAGTGTGTTCGTTTATTCAGCTGTGAGGTTATGAGGTTATGAGGTTATGAGGCTATTCAGTTGTGAGTTTGTGAGTTTGTTCAGTTATGAGGTTATTCAGTTCTGAGCATACGACAATGCCGTTATGAGCATGAGCATGTACTCTACTTCTTACTAGATGAGATACCTACCTTTTACTTATGTACCTTAGGTACCTAGAGCCGATGGGCGATGGGCGATGGGCGATGGAAGGAAGTTGGCTCACGACTCACGAGGCACAAGCTTCAATATGTAGTTTAACGGTGGAATCTGATAGAGCACTCGAGTCTCGGAGTCGTGTGGGTTTATGAGTTTGTTCGTGCATTCAGTTATTCGTTTGTTTGTTTGTTCAGTTTTTCAGTTATTGCATAGGCACGGGAATGCCGTTATGAGCATGTACTCTACTTTGTACTCTTAGATGAGATACCTTCTTTTTACCCACCTATGATACCTAGAACCGTCGAGACTCGGTACCTATGGCACAAGTGATGATGCGTGATGCAATCCAGCAGTGTGCAGTGTGCAGTACCTATTCAGTGTTCACCGGTGAGATACGATGGGCGGTGGAAGGAAGTTGGTTCACGAGCCACAGACTTCAAGTCTAACGGTGGATTCTGATAGAGCACTCGGAGTCGTGGCCTGCCTGGCAGTATATCCTCAACATCTCGATACACTGAGGAATATCCCTCTTTCACGATTCATCTACCCAAGCACCTGAGTATCCAACTAAGTCATCAACCAAGCAACCAAGTCATCAACCAAGTAACCAGGTAACATGTACAACACAATCCACATTCTCAACATTGCCACTTAGATTACTCTAGAACTGTATTGTACAAGTGACTACATACATCATCCTACTCTCCAACCACATCTCCAACCACGTTTTGATCCCCACTCCACAGCCATATCCCACGATCAGATCCATCTACGAAAAGGGTAAGAGGCTTAAATGAAATATCAGGAATCGAAAAGCCCCACAAGCACAAGCACAAGCAACAACTGCCCCAAAAAACTCCAAAAGAAAAAAGAAAAAGAAACAAAAGAAGCAAAAGAAAGAGAAAAGTGAGTCGGAACGGGCGTGTCGGCGCATGCATGCTTGCCGGGTATCTCACTATAAAAGAAAAAGAAAAAGAAAAGAAAAGAAAAGGAACAAGAGAGAGAGAGAGAAAAGGAAAAGAGGAAAAAAGGAAAGGATGAATTACTCTCCATAGCTCACTTCGACGGCATCCTCCAACTGACCAGATCGTCCCTCAGCTCATCCACCTCCCGCGGGCTGGACTTTACCGACTTTACCGACTTTACCGACTTGGCCCCACCCCCGCTGGTGCCCCCGCTGGTGTGTACCGTCAACTTGCTCCTCCCCGTCATCACACTAACCGCGTACCCTCCTCTCTTCTTGCCATCCCTAATCGGCTCGACCGTCAACAGCGATGGCGCTGCAGGCGTCGCCTTCTCCACTCCCAGACCCCCAGTGGTGATCGGCGTATTGGTTCCCACGCTGAGCTGGCTTATCGAGTCGCTGTCGCTGCCTTCGAACATTCGCACGGACTTGGGTTTTCCTCCGCCGCCACCGTTGCCGGTCCAGCCGTCGCCGCCGGCAAAGATGTCTTCGATGCATTCGTCGGCGTTGAGTTCGCCTGGGATCAACTGCCAGCTTGCCGTCAGGTTGCGCCGGTACATGTCCTGATTTGCGCCGGCATCGCGATTCTTGATGTTGGGAACTGTCATTTCTAGTAGGATATTCCCGTCAGTCAAATCGCTCGGCTATATCGGCAGGATGGGAGGAGCATACTCCGCGAGTCGTCATTTTCCCTCTGCTCGCCGATGATCCCCGCAATCCCCGAGAACACCTGGGCGCCCTTCAACGGCGGCGTCGAGAAGTTCGGGTCACCCCCGACCTGATGCATCTCGATGCCGATCTTGACCGTCGAGTTGATCTTGCTGTCCTGCATCAGGTACCTCCTCGTCTTGCCCTCGAGTCCCGCGTACTCGGCCAGGTTCAGCCGTACCACACCCAGCAGTATGCGCTCTCTCCCGCCCGAGTACTCCTGGTGCACCTCGAGGACGATGTGGCTCTCCTGCAGCATGCTACCCTTGCCGATATTGAAGCGCAGGCCTTGGATTGAGTGCTCGTACCCCCATACCACCTTGTGCTCCTTGATGGGTTCGTGGCTGGTGCGTGAGCGGCAGTCGGCGCGCGTCGAACCTTCGACGTGCCATTTGATATACGCGTGACCGGAGACCAATGGGACGTTGTTCAGATCATGGATCTGTATGCCAAGGGTGGAAAACGTCAGAACTCGCGATCGATTGTGCCGCGCGTAACAAAGAAAAAACAAAAAAACAAGGAGGTAAGACGACGGACCTGTAATTTCAAATCGAATTTTGCCTGTACGGAACAATTGTCGTGTCAGTACGGTGGTCGCCTTGAGAAAGTACGTATGCGCAATATACGGGGGTGGGGGAGGGGTTTGTTGGCCGGGATATCTATCCACACGGGACGGACGGGACGAGCTTACTCGGCGGCTTTTGGGAACTATCAGATTGTCAAACCCCAGTTCTCTGATCAGCAAGTGGCGTCGCAAGCTCTCCGAGTTGAACGAGAGAGAAGAAGTGGAGGAGGCAATGGAGGACGAGGAGGAGGACGAAGATAAGCTCCGCTTCGGGGAGGAGGGCAAGATGGGCGGGGAGAACAGGAAAGCTGGGTAGTCCGGCGCGGGAGACGGCGGCGGACGGAGCACAACCGAACTCTGTCTCGTTTCGGAGGAGGAGGAGGAGGAGGAAGAGGAGCAGGATGGCCGCATACCAAAAGTGTTCATAGCTGCGAAGGAAGCAACGGAGCTCGACTTGTTTCTGGTGTTCTTGCGGCGGCGGTGGTAGTGGGTTCGCAGGGACGAAGAGGGAGAAGTGAAAGACGGAGACGAAGTGGCAGCACGACAGCAGTTTGGGTCATGGCATAAGTTAAAGGCTTAAGTCAAGTGCTTAATGGAGATAAGTAATTAGGATGTACGGATGCGTTTCTCTGTACGATGATGTACTCTGCAGCGTTCTTCCGGAAGCGACGGGGGAGGGGTGTGGGGGGTGGGCGAGTGGTGGGAGTGGGTGGGAGGGAGGTGGGAGGTGGGAGGAGGGAGTTGGAGAGGTGGAGTGGGAGGGTGATGGATTATTGTTTGGGTTCAGTTGGGAGGGGGGGTGGAGGATCTGAAGCAGGGGTAACTGACACCGTTGAGCTACATACAGCACTGAGACTTTTTTATTTTTTATTTTTTATTTTTTATTTTTATTTTTTATTTTTTATTTTTTATTTTTTTATTTCCATGTAGAGAATTGTGTCTTTTTGCTTACAGCTGGGCAGGCACGAAGCGGGCGTGCGTGCGACGTGCGTTGTGCGTCTTGCGTGCGTGCGGACGGTGTAAGGGGGACGAGTGAAGAGGGAGCGGAGACGAGCGGATGGGAGCGGGCGGAGCGGGGGGGGGACGAGCGGGTTGGCTGGAGAGGAACTGTGCTGTAGGGCAGAACTACGGGGTGAGTGGGTGCTTATGTAAGTGGTGTGGAAATCAGTGCGAACTGGCGAAGGCGGCGAAGGCAGCGAAGCGAGGGGCTTGGTTGGCTGGCTGCGGGCTTGGAGGGGGAGGGGAAGATGACCGGAATCGGGCAGCGCGATATGAGTGGACGGTGGAGTGCAGCTGGAGACTGGGGGCTGGCGGAGGTGTCGGGTTCCAGTGGGCCTCGAGAAGCGGACAGGGGCAGCAAGCAAGTGCGGTAGTCTGGAGAATACCAGCAAAGGGAAAGTGCGGCATGTGGGTAGGTGCTTGTTCCGATGATGTGCATGGCCGACGTGAAGCGGAGCAATCCATCAGCAAGAGGTGATCGCGATGTGTGTGGGGCGAGAACAATCTACTGACTGCCGATTTTCGGAGGTGAGGGACCATCGGATCCGACCAGTCCGAGGGAGGAGGGGGGAGGGGGGAGGGAGGAGGGAGGAGGGAGGAGGGAGGAGGGAGCGACGTGAATGAACGCGATGCAGACAAACGTCATCGACTGACTGGCTGCTCATCTCCATCCGTCACGGACTCGTCCCGCCGACATCTCGACGTTGGCCGTGTCCGCTGCGTCGGAAATCGGAAGCGACGGGCTCCCCCAAGTCCGGAGAAGCATCAAGCGTTGAGACGTTTCTTGCCTTGTTTCTGTGTGTCGGGAATCTCTCCGGTGAGTTGAAGTGTCGATGAAGATACATAGAGTGCAATCATGTAAATGTACCCAACTGCCAGGCGGCTGAATGCTCCCTGCCCACTGCAGTGCTACTCTACATTACCAACTAGCGACTCCCCACCCTCGTCGAGCAGCGCCACCACCACCACCACCACCACCTCCACTGTCACCATCACTGAGACCGGAGGTCGATCGCGTCACTCCTCCCACCCTCCCTCCTCACGCGCGTCAACAAACACCCCCCCTCAACAAACAGCCAAACAACCATGGACCAGCAGGAGCAGCAGCAACCGATCCCCCACGGGCGCACCCGACTCGAAGTCGAGCTCGAGGTAACTTCCATCCATCCTTCCCTCCCAACACACGCTTGCTCGTCGAGCATCTGACAGCCCACCCTGCTGACCGCATGCCCCATTTTACCACCGCCACACAGTTCGTCCAATGCCTCTCGAACCCCTTCTACCTCAGCTACCTAGCGCACACCAAAGTCCTCGACGACCCGCGGTTCATCCGCTACCTCGAGTACCTCGAGTACTTCCGCAAGCCCGATTATGCACGTCTGCTTACGTGAGTTGTGTCCCCGTCCCCGCTGCTGCCCACGCTGACAGTACACTACCAACGACAGATACCCAGTCTACTCCCTCGCGGCGCTCACCCTCCTGCGCCAACCGCAGTTCCGCAACGATATTGCGAATCCCGCACTCGCGCAGGAGATGATGCAGGATATGGTCGCGAGCTTCTTGCCGTCGCCCGCTGCTGCCGTGGCCGCAACAGCGCCTGCGGCAGAACCGGTAACAGTACTGGTGCCCGCCGTTAAGGAGAATGGGGGGGTGGGGGTGAATGTGAATGTGAATGTGAATGTGAATGTGAATGGGGCTTCTACTTCTGCTTGATACTTGATTTCTGGCTGGCTGGGTTGTAAGGCGTTGGGAGTGATTGGGAGTGATTTGGTTTTGTATAGGGAGCATAGGTGTAGGTTAGGTATATTATAGCATAGTGTCTGGTCGGGCGTTTGAACTTCAAGCTGGGTGTTTTGGACGGTTACATGTAGGTATCATAGGTACTCTAGGTATCATTGGTACTTAGTCATGTAGTCATGAAGTGGCTGTGGCGGTGAAACCCTCTGTCCGGTGACTTCATTTCGTGTGAAATTGTGCTCATTAATGAAACTGGGGGCGACGGGGGCGGGGAGGGGGGGGAGGCTGCGCGGGCCGTGAGTGTGGCACTGGCACTGACACGGATCACGACTCATGCAGCCACTCGGCCAATCCAGTTCCAGTTCCATCCCCGTCTCGTCCACCACCACAACCACCTGACAACACAGATTACCCTACCATCACCAACATCCCCACCGCCCGACCGAGCCATCACAGCCAACCACCTAGTTAACTACTCTGCATAGGTAGTTAATGGCCACGAATCCCTCACCACCACTTCCCTCATCACCATCCCCACCACCACCCCCAACACCGACAATATGCCCAGCATCCCCCCCTCCATGCCCACGCCCAAATCCGTGCACCTCGCAGCCATCGCGCGCATCGAGCGCGAAGAACAGCTCTTCCGCGAAGAGATCGAAAAGAAGCTGTCGGAGCGGCAGGTGCTGCAGACGATCCTCGACCGCGACTCGCTGCCAAAGAAGGAGAACGGGACTGGGGCTGGGGCTGGGGCTGCGAAGCGGTGATGCGGGGTTGGGGTGTGTGGATTAGGTGGCAGGGGTCAGTGGTGGCAGTGAGAAGTCGTCGCCGCCCGTTCGGATCCAGGCGCCTAATGCCGTGCGAACGTCGCGCTTTACTACCGCCCGCTCGGGTGATGCGGATTTTAGCTGAGCGTAGCTCCCGCTCCCGCCGTTCACCAACACACCCGCCGCCCCCGCCCCCAGCAGCACACCCACCTCAACAACCGCCCTCCAAATCCTCGCTTTACACAGCATACTCCCCGCCTTCTCCCTCTCCCTGTCCCCCACCACATCCCCGCCGAAAGCCTTCCTCCCCTGCAACACGCCACCAATCAGCACCTCCTCGCCCCTGCCCGCGACCTTCACAGCGACCAGATTACACGCGTTTGGCCCTGCGCCCGCCCTCCTCGAGAACGCAAACTCCCTTGTCGTCGTCGCCACCTCAAACGGCGCGAACTTATACCCGCCGCCCCATTCCCGCCCCAGCAGCGGCGCCATCCTTCCCGTCTCCGCCGCGCCGAACGCGCGCGCGCAGCCAGAGGTGGAGTACGCCGCCAACGGGAGCACGAGGGTGTCGATGTACGCACGCGCGGGGGAGAGGAGGAGGGATGCTGGTGTGAGAAGGAGGGAGATGCAGCAGCGCAGGGACAGCTTGTCGCTGCAGGATTTGGAATGGGTTGGTGGACTGTCGGCCCGCCCGGGCTTCGTGCGCACGGCGCCGAGGGAGGAGAAGTAGCCGCGGCCGCGGAGGTGCGGGGGGACAGCGGTGGAGGTGAGAGTGCTGGAGATGGTGGTGGGGGTGCTGGGAGTGGGGACGGCGGGAACGGTGGGAACCCAAGGCGTTGGGTCCGCTGCCGAGGCGATCAGGAGCTCCATTGAGCAGTCGCCGCCTGGGGGGTGTTAATGTATGGGAGGTAAGGGGACGGGAGGGGACGCACACGGCGCCTCGGAAGAATAGAAATGGATCTTGATGCTGGGGCGGATCTCGAATGGCTGTGGCTGTGCTGGTGATATCGATGTCGAGCGTTGCACGTATGCGGAAACGTAGGATTCCGAGTCCTTCGAGTGGGACAGTTTACGGCATTCTTCGATTAAGAAGCTGGGGTTGTGTTAGTGACGTGCGCTCGTCGTGCAGAGGGGGGAGGGGAGAGGGGAGAATACCAGTTAAACCCCCGGATCGCGATGACTATATTGTACACCCCACCCATTACCATCAGCCATCACCGCCACCGTCACCATCAGCGGGAAACAGCAGTGGGCACAGGCGGGAACCATACCCTCAGCATGGCAATCATGCAGCACCCACCCCTTCGCCAGCGGGACCTTATTCTCGGGGAGCACCTTCATTCCGGTCCTGTCGCGTTACGTTACCACCCGTTACCAGTTACCACCCACCATCCCCCATCTCGCACCCCCATCCCCCCATCCCCCCATCAGGGCGGCATCATAGCGAGTGAGTAGGTGGGTGAGCGGGTGAGGGGGTGAGCGACAAACCCGAGCGCAGCACAAAACATCTCTCCACATTCTACGGTGCACAAGTACATCAGTCCCTACTTTGTACAATACTCCAGTCCCTAATTTACTCCAGTCTCGAGCGGGAGGAAGAGGAGGAACAAGAAGGAGAGTACTACCGTCCTCAAGCACCACCCCCGAAAGCGGAACCCACTCGCGCTCGCGCGGCTGGTACTTCCGCGGCAGCGCGGTGAATGCGCGGATCACGGTCGTGGCGACTAAGTCTGCGAGCGCTTCGGTGGCTGAGGCCGAGGGAGTGGTTGTGGTGGTGGTGGTCATTCTGTCGAGGCGGTGTGGCGTGTGGCGTGACTGGAGTACAAAGGACGGTGTGTGAAGTAAGAGTCGAGGTTACGTCAGGGTACTTACTCAGTACTTGCATACACTAGTTACATAGCGGGGTGATCCGGACCCCGCCACCACCACCACCATCCCACCACCATCCCACCCCACCTCATCACTCACATCACATCATCTTCATCACCCTCGACCTCCAACCCACGACAGTCCAACCCACGCCAACCACCAACCCCAACCATGGCGGGCAAAAAAGCCGCACCAGAGAACACCAAGAAGGTAGCGGGCAACGCGAAGAAGGCCGCAGCAGCGGAGGCCAAGGCCGCATCCGACAATGCGAAGAAGGCGGTAGTCGAGGCTGAGGAGTGGAGCAAGGGCGCGAAGAGTAACGATAAGAAGTAACCCCTCCTCTCCCTTCCCCGCGCTGAGATGGGTAGATGTGAGGGCAGAGGGCTGATGAGCGGGATAGGGAGGCCGCGGAAGCCAAAAAGCGGGAGTTAGCTGCAAAGAAAGCCGAGAAAGACAAGCTTTTGGCGGAGGAGGAGGCCGCTGCGCCATCCAAGCCGAAGGGTGGGAAAGTAGCGGTGAAGCGGGGCGGGATCGATGGTGCGCTGGACGCGATCAACGCGACGGGAATCGACGACGCCCTGGACGCGCTTGCGATCACTACGAGCGACGGGAAGACGGTGACTGTTGACCGGCATCCCGAGCGGCGGTTTAAGGCGGCGTATGCCGCGTACAAAGAGCGGAGACTGCCTGAGGTCAAGGAGGAACATAAGGGCCTCAGACTTAACCAGATGGTCGAGCTTATCAAGAAGGAGTTTGATAAACACCCTGATAACCCCTTCAATCAGACGGGTATCGTCGCCCATAATGCCACTAGGGAGGAGATTGATGCGAAGAGGAGGGATGAGAGGGATAAGATCGAGAAGAGGCTGGCGGCGGGGAAATAAAAGGGCAGGCTGGTTTCGTGTGTTCTTTGCTTTTCGTTTGGCTGGTCGCTTGCTTTGAACTCTCTTTCTTGATGGACTGTATGGCTGTATGGGGGCTGGAGGCGCAAAAGCACACGGGCTCTCTACTGCTACTACTACTACTACTACTACTACTACTACTACTGTTTGCATACTACGCTGATCACCTCTGATAAACTACGGGTTGAATAAATCTTTTTCACTTATCAAAGTCCATCTCTAGCCGTGTCACCGTGTGAGTTCCTGTGACGCCGAACACTCGGTCATCTCGGAGAGTCGAAGCGACTAATCCCTGTGTAATGCCGGCAGTGCTTACTCTACGTCCTAGCTAACTGCAGTAGCTCCAACAGTACCTACATACAAAACACATCTCTAATCCTCACTCCTCCCCCCATCACCATCACCACACTCGGTAAATACAAACAGACATACAAATAAGATGTGGGACTACGACTACGTTTCGCTCACCGACGAGCAGAAGCTCCTGCGGCGCGCACAGCTGGACTGGGCCGGCTACTACGTGATCCTCTCGCAGCTGCTCGTTGGCGTGCTCGTGGGCTTATACCGCAACACTAGCGGCGGGAGTGGCGGCGGGAGGTTGCGCAGGCTGATGTGGAAATTGTACGATCCCATCTCGCTGCGCTATCCGAAGCTTAGGTGCTGGCGGGACTGGCTGGTTGTCGCCGCGTGGACCGGCTGGTGTATGTCACTCGTTGTGGTTAATACCGGGAATGGTTTGTATCAATCATTTCATTTCATGATGGATAACTGATATATGGCAGACTACTTCCACCTAACCAAATCCCTCGGCACCGTGGCGGCAGCGAACCTGCCACTGCACTTCCTGCTGGCGATGAAGCGCTCGCCGCTGCGCTGGCTGTTCGGGCTGTCGTACGAGGGCCAGGCAAACTTCTTGCACCGCTGGCTGGGGCGGATCATCAACCTCCTGCTGTACACGCATGCGGCGCTGTACCTCGACTTTTTCTGGCGGGCGGGGAAGATGAACACAAGGTTTCTGGAGGGAGACGTGCTCTGCGGCGTCGGCGCGGTGGGCGTGCTGTTCGCGATCGGCCTCTCGGCGAACCACACCATCCGCCACCGCTGGTACCGTACATTCTACCTCCTGCACATAACGCTAGCACCCCTTCTCTTCCCCCTGCTATACCTACACGTCTCCCACCTGCGCCCCTACCTCCTCTGCAGCATCTTCCTCTTCACCGTGGACCAAGCCCTAAAATACCACTTACGCATCCAGGCGCTCGCCAGCATAACCACCCCCTCCCCCGGCCTCCTGCTAATAACCGGCACGCTCCCCTCCGCCCCGCCCACCCCTCCACCCCCGGGATCGCACTGCCAGCTCCTCCACGCACAAAGCAGCTTTTGGGGGGCGAATCCATTCACCATCCTCCCCAGTAGTAGTAACAGCAGCGGCGGCGGCGGAAAGCAGATCCGCCTCATAGCCCGTGTCCGCGGCGGGACGACGAGGCGCCTCGCCGCACTCGCCCTCCGCACCACTGCCAATGGAAGGCCTGTGCAGGTGACGATTGATATGCCATTCGGCCCGACCACGCCGAGGCTGGACAGCTTCGACGACGTGGATAACGTGTTGTTCATCGCGGGCGGCGTGGGCGCTACGTTTGCTGTGGGGTGGGTGGTGCGGCTGCTGCAGCTCTCCACCACCAGCAACAGGGAGGGCGAGTGGGGGAGAGGGAAGGTGCGGTTCATATGGGCCGTCAAATCACCCGCCGAAGCGGCGTGGGCGCTGGAGTACCCCGGGGTCGCGGGGTGCGTGGAGTTGTTTATCACCAATCCCACTGGCACCGCCGCCACAAGTGATGTCCATGGGGACGAGGAGGGCGTGGAGATGACGGAAGGCCTGCTCTCCTCCACTGCGGCAACGGCGGGGGATGGTGCGGGGGATGGTACGGGTGATGGTACGGCGGACGGCGCCCTCGACGCGCTGGTACGGCTGGGGCTGGATAGGCACCGGATTGAGCGCGGAAGACCGAACTTGGCGAAGATGGTTGGTGAGACGGTTTTGCGCGCTGGCGAGGGGGGCGGGGGGAGCGGGGGGAACGGGGGGAGTACCGCGGTAATGGTGTGTGCGCCTGCTGCTATGGCGGCGGTGGTAAAGAGGGCGGTTGCGAGACAGGGCATGCACGGGAGAGATGTGTCGATTCATGTTGAGGAGTTTGGGCATTGATTCGTGGTTTGGGCTTTGGGGAGGGGGTAGGTAAATAGTGATATCCCATGGAGTAATTAGTGGTTTGATGTACATTAGGTATTGTGTGGTAGTCAATGGATAGCAAGTGTGTGCGCGCGTGTGTATATTTATATTCGAGAAAAACGTCTATACCCAAACTCATGATATCATCCAATCATAACTCACAACTCGATGTACCATCATATCGCGCCCCTACCCCGCAAACCCAACACTCCCCCTCCCCTTATCCGTAACCCTGGCATACTCGAGCAGCAGTCTAAACATCCAGACCTCCAAATCCTGCCTCCTTAGGGTCCTGCGGGCCCAGCTTCTACTCTCCCTTGCAATCCTGCTAGCAAACACCTCGCCCTCAGGCTCATACCTAAAAAAGCGCATGATCTCTGCGACCTCGTCGAGCTGGAGACTCAGCGGCACGTAATGTACCCACGGATGCAGCCACTCATCGTGCGACTCGCGGAACACCGCGAGCTTGAACACCACGGAGCGGGACTTGAGGAATGCGTGGTAGCGTCCCGAGAACGCGTTGCCGTCCATGTCTAGTAGGTATTTCCACGCCCAGGCCGAGTGCTGCGCGGCGACGGGCGCGAGATGGAAGAACCGGGATTGTATGGAACAGTCGGACGGCGTGCACTGGCCGATGTGGCTGAAGTATACGTTGAATAAGGACCGTAGGCTTTCGCGCGGAACGCGGGTTGTGTGCCAGGTTGTACTGTTGGTGGGGGTGAGGGTGCTGTTGGGGGTGGGGGTGCGCTCCAGGATCAAAGCCGTGTCAGAGGCGTCGATGACGGAGACGACGCGCTGGCGGTGGTGCCGCTTCCAGCCGCCGTTGCGCGAGAACCCGCCGGTCGTGGAGCCGCGCCAGTACAGCTTTTGGACCTTGCGGTCCCAGGGCAGGTCGCGGTGCTCGTCGTACGGCACCTTGTGCGCCCAGTACCACGGCGAGGGGTAGACGATGTCGCCGTAGGACGAGACCTTGCTCTGCGAGAACACCGGGTACAGCGACTTGACCACGTTGAAGGTGTTGGGGCGGTCGAAGAAGCCGTGGCGGTGCTCGAGGCTCGGCGACAGGCAGATGTCGGATGACGACGTGGCGTTGACGATGAAGCCCAGCAGCTGGCCCGATGGATGGTCCTCTTTCGTGTGGTGTGGCTGGCGCACGGGGGAGTCCGGCGGACAGGAGAGCGTCGAGTGAGCGAAGATGGAGGAGTGCGCGAAGCCGGTGAACGACGTCTTGTGGTACACGGGGGGCATGGATTTCTCCTCCCTGCTCAGCGGCGTGAACGAATTCCTGCTCTTTCCCTTCCTGAGATCCAGCTTCGCAATCTCCTTCTCTGCATCGGCGAGATGCTTCTGCAGGGCATCGAACGGCACCATGACCCTCGGCTCGTCATGAATATTAAACGGCAAGTCCATATCCGGCAGCCACCTAGCAAAGCCGCTTAGCATATCCCTCGTCGCCTTTTTCTGCCAATCCTGTCCCTGCCCTCCAACCTCTACCTTTCCACCACGTATATACGCGTGGAGCAGCCGATTATTCTTCATGAGCAGATCATCCCGATACCCCATCGCGGCGCGCGCACGCCTCCGGATCTCGTCGGGCGGCAGCCCCCAAAACGGCTTGAGCGAGTGGTATATGCTGTCGTACTCATCGACCAACACCACGTTGCGCGCCCGCGCAAACGCCCACCACGCGTCGAAGTGCGGCGGCGGCAACATCCCGTACCGCCGCTTGTACTCCACTACCGCCTCCGCGAGCGTGCGGCTCTGCCGCCCCCGCATGCTGTAGTACCGCTCCTCGGCCGCCGCGATCAGCAAAGGGATCGGATGCCCGCTCGTCGACGTGACCTTTTCCGGCCTTGCGCCGGGCCCACCCCCGTCCCCCTCTCCGAACAGCACCACCGCCAGCCCGACCACGCAACACACCAGCACGGCCGTGTGCGCCCTACCCACGTGTCCGCCCGCCACGACCAGCATCGCCACGAGCGCGAGAGCACTCGCCGCGGCCGCCGCAGCCTCCCACGCAGTCCACAGCGCGAACACGAGCGCCGCAACGAGGTGCACGCCCGCCACGCCCATGCCAGCAGTGCGAACAACAAGCACGGGCACGATCCCGCAGCGCAGCGCGTCGACCGCGGCGACAGTCGCAACCCTGGCCGCCACTGCCCCAAGACCGCCCGCATTCAGCACTGCCAGCGACCGCCATCCGCTGCCCCGCCACAAGGTAACATCGCCCAGTAGGTCTTCGACCACCACGCTGGCGAGTAATAGCGCGGGGATCAGGTACGCTGCCGCGTCTTGTAGTAGCCGGAAGTGCTCACCCAGCTCAATCACTTCCCGCTCGAGTACCCATAACACCCCCGCTGTCCCCGCCGCTCGTAGCACCACCGCGACTAAATCCTCAGTCCCGAGCGCACACACCCCCGCCACCCCTACAACCCCCGCAGCGGCAGTGAGTTTCCAGCCGGCCCTCCCCCATGCGGCGGCAAGGAGAACGGGGACCAGTGCTGCTGCTGCGCCCGCTCCCCCAGCTCCCCCGGCAGAACGTCCCGTTTCCGCGGCAAAGGCGCAAGTGGCGAGGAGGGCGGGCTGCCATTTGCGTTTCCACTTCCATCCCCAGCTCCAGTTCCAGCTGCTCCAGCTGCTGCTCTCCCAGCTCTCCTCCATCAGCCCTGCAGCGGCGTCGGTGTCGGCGGCGCTCGTGCTCGTCGTACTCCCCGTAGCAACGTAGATAGCAGTATAAACAACCCCCCAAGCCACCGCGGCAGTAAGATACGTAAACAGCGGAAACGCGTGCGCCTCCGAGACGAGTGTCAGCACGAGTAGCCAGCTGGCGGATTGTGCTGTTGAGGGGGGGTGCAGGTTCATGGCCGGTTCGCGTTTACGATGGGTTGGTGGCAGGGGAGGTGGAGGTGGTGGTGGGTCGTGAGGGTCGTGAGGGTCGTGAAGGTCGTTGTGTGTCGTCGTGAGGGTCGGCGTGAGGCATCGAGATGGTATATGGGTTGGGTTGGGTTGGGTTGGGATGGGTTGGGTTGGATGCGCCAAAGACGCCGACGCGGTGATCGTGCAGTGCACACCCAGGCCCGACGCGCTGGTCGATCGAAGCGTGGCGGCCACGCTAACAACTGGCAGGTGGGACCTGGGTGCACGGCGGGGGGTTACACAGTACACAGCTTCGCCGTGGGGTTTACACAGGTACTGGGTATGTAGATAAGCTGGATTCAGTACTCTACAGGATAGTCCTCAGTCCTCAGTCCCCCCCACCCCGTCTAAGTTGATCTCAAACCGATCTCATTATCAAAACCAACTAATTGGTACTCCCAGCTCCCTAGAGTACTCTAACTAGAGCGCTCAATCACCTATCACACACTCCCCCTCCCTCCCCTCAGCCCTCCCTCCCCTCCCTCCCCTCCCTCCCACAGTATTCATAGGTATCCCACACTATCCAGATTCCATAGGTATTCCCACATCACATCAATCAATACATCCCGATCCCGTCCCGTCAGGTCCAGTCCATTTTCGTCAACCAGTCAATCACAGTCCACAATCAAAATGCAAATCACATTCAAAGCCACGAAACAAAAAATTACCCCATCCCCTTCGCCGCCCATACGCCCGCAAAATGAAAGAAGCAAAAAAATCAAACCAAACAATCAATGAAGAATCGAAAAGTGAAATGGCACAAAGATTACAGTAAAAAACGCCCATCCCCACCGTATACGCCCATCCCCACCGTATATGCCCATCCTCTTCCCCGTAAACAAGCATCCCAAAGAATGAAGAAGAAAATGGAGATTACTGGACAAACATCATGAACCCGCTCGCCTCACCCCAGGACGCACCCTCCTTGACCGAGCACACCGACGACTCCATGCCGCCCGTATCCCACACAACCTCCTGCAGGATCTCGGAGCCACACACATCCTTCATGCCGAAGGGATCCCAGTCCTCGTAGTTGCTCATCGTTGGTGGCTTCTCGTCGCCGGTGGTGTCCTCGGGTGTGTACGCGGGCGTGAATAGCGAGCTGTCGAGTTTGCTCAGAGGCGAAATGTCCTCGATCCCCTCGAAACACTGGTGCAGTGCCATCGGAGAGCCGGCCGTGTCCCAAAACGTCGTAGGCGGGGTCGGAACCTGCTCGCCGTCTGGTGCGACGGGCTTGGAGCCCGACGCCGTGCGAACGGGGAGCGACACCTTGGACTGCGATGGCGACTTAGCCTTGGGTGTCATCGCGTTCCTAAGCGGGGTCGAGCCGGGAGGGAGCGGTGAGGAGCCAGCCTTGATCTGTGGGGTGGATGATGCACTGGGCCGCGGGGTAAGACCACCGGGAGCGGGAGAAGCCTTCATCGTTCCGTCTCGGTTCAGATGGAGTGCACCGGCAACCGAGGAGAGCGTGTATTCCAGAGGATTCTCGATCTTGAACTTGGCTCTCTCCCCTTCCAGGCGCCGTCTCTCGGCATCGCGCTCGTGCATCTTGTGGTGCTCCGCCAACTCGTTGCCGAGGGTGAACGCACCGGTACATCCCGGTCTGTCACACTTGAATTTCTTCTCGGCGGGCGGGGGCGGACGGGCCTTGGGCTGGGGCGAAGCTGTGACTTGCGGGGTGGCGGGCTTGGGAGAGCGGATTTTTGACGGCGACGCATTTTCCGGCTGATCGTTCGACTTTCGCTTGCGGTTGTTGGGAAGTCTCAGATCATCGACGGTGAGGGACGGCTTGATGACGATAGGCGGGCTACCATCCGGCGACATCCGGCCAGCCTTCTGGGCCAGCCGATGCTGCTCCGCAAGCTGCTCCGCATGCCGTTGCAGATTGTTGGCATTGAGGGCGGTCTGTTGCTGGGACGGAGCCGTGGCAGCAGCGGCAGCAGCCTCGGGTGGCACAGGTGCTCCGGGTGCTCCAGGCGCACGCGGGGCCGTCCGCTGAGTGAGTTGATGGATGGCGGCCGTGAACGCCTTAGCCTTCTCGGGATCGATCTGGTTCATCTTCGACATCTCCGCCTTGACCATGTTGAAATACTTCAATAGAAACCTGTAGCAATGATGATACTCCTGCAGTCCTATCGTGAGATTCTCCTTGACCTCCCCGCTAGGAAGAACATATTGAGACGCCAACAGGTTTTTCTAAACTGGCCGTCAGTCCTGCCCCATATCCGTAGACATAACACAAGCAAGGAACGGGATATCTTACCGCGCGCATTAGTTCCCTAGCATTCGTAGCATCGCCTCCAAGGAGCAGACACATGGGCAGTAGGTGATCAGTCCGCTTAATGAGCATCTTAGTCGCGTTAAGAATAAGATTATTCCTCAGCTCCTCCTTCTCCTGTGGTGGCATCTCGACGACCGGCCGCACGGGAGGGTTCTTCTGCTCCTCCTTCGACATGTATATCAACTGCTCAAAGACAATCTGCGACTGCTGAGTGAGGTCGACCGGTGGCCTCTGAGATGCCTGTGCGGGCGCATTCTGCGGTGGTGGTGGCGGTGGCTGCTGAACGGTCGGCTCCTGTTTGGGCTTCACAGCGGATGCATTCGACTGGGTGAAGTGTGCAAGGTTGTGCGGAACCTGGGTGGGCCTTGCGACCTCGGCTTGCGACGGTGGACGCTGCACCATTTTCGGCTCCTCCGGCTCAACCTTGACCTTCTTTGACAGGGTGGGAGAAGCGGTCTGCCTCTTCTGTAGTGGCTGCGCGGGTGCAGCGACGGGCGGCTTCGGCACTTGCATCGGAGCGGTCTCGGCGGGACTAACTGGCGCGGACGGAGGACGCGAGGCGGCAGCAGCGGCAAGGGCCTGCTGTTGCTGCATCTGTTGGGTTCGCAGATGTCGGAATCTCATGTACTGGATCGCGATCTGGAGGATCTGTTGCTGTTGGGGATTCAAGCCGCCGGCTGCATTCTGCTTGTGCATCTGCTGGATCTGCAGGTCGGTCATGTTGGCAACCTGCTGGGCCAACTGTGGAGGCAGGCTCGCCAGTGGAGATTTTATCGGTAGAGCCCCAGGACCGACGCCCGGACCTGGAGGACCACCGGGCTGCGCACCGGCCGCAAGTCCCCTCAGTCGCAATGCCTGCAACGCCTGCATCTTCTGCTGATACGCCCATCTAAGCTGCTTCGCGTTGATGGTTTCCAATAGTTCGGGCATGTTCTGCTGAGCCCATTGCTTCAACTCACCCCACTTCTTGAACTGTGGCGGGATTTGGCGTGAGACCGGACCCAGAATCGCGGGATCGACTTCTTTGGAATCGAGCACCATAATCTGCTCGGGTTTCAGCGTCATCGGTTGTTGCATTGGGACCCCTGGCCGTTGTGCGGCTGGATTCGCGGGTTGGGATAAACCCATCTGGCCCCCCTGTACTGCTGCGGCAGGTCCAGGCATCATATTTTGCACCTGAGCTTGAGCTTGCGCTTGTGCCTGAGCTTGTGCCTGGGCGTGAGCTTGAGCTTGAGCTTGAGCTTGAGCTTGAGCTTGAGCTTGAGCCTGGGCTTGTTGAGCTTGAGCTTGAGCCTGTGCCTGTGCCTGGGCTTGTGTCTGTGCCTGTGCCTGGGCTTGTTGCTGTGCCATCGCTTGCTGCTGCTGCCTCTGTTGAGCTTGGTGACGCTCAAACTTATCTAAAAAATTCCTCAGCTGCTCTGGGGGGAGACTTCTTATCTTCTCAACCACATGCGGAGGGAAATTTCGCAGCGTCTCGGGGGTCAGGCCGACAGGTTGCCGCTGCGCTGCCGGTTGCTGTGCTGTGGCGCCGCCCGGTTGTGTTGTCGGTGGTGGGAACGCGGCACCGGCGGGTTGGGGAGTGGGCATCGGCCGGTTGAGAGCCGCGAGCGGAGGCTGAGGCGGCGAGCCGTTCGGCGGGAACTTGCTCGCGTGCGCACGAGCTTGCGCCATCCGCTCGTTCCGCAACATAGTATGACGCCGTTGCTGTTCCAACTGGACCTGCTGCGCAGGGGTGAACGCAGTAGTCGGGGCCTGATTCGACACGGGAACCACCTCCACGCCACCGTTGGCCAGGGACCGCGCCGCCGCCTGTTGGTTTTCGTATTGCTGGGCGGTCCGCATCAAATCGTTCGCCATCGGTTGAGGTGCTCTGTTCACTGGGACCGAGGCCGGGGAAGGTGACGGACCACCGAGTCGTTGTGTCACGTTCTGGGGCGTCTGCTGTGGCGTGGGTCCCTGTCCTTGCATCCGCCTTATCTGAGCAGCCTGTGCCTGGGCTTGTGCGTGAGCCTGCGCCTGTTGGGCCTGGGCCTGAGCGGCTGCCTGTTGCTGCGCTTGCTGCTGTTGCTGTTGCTGCGCTTGCTGCGCTTGCTGTGCCTGAGCCTGAGCCTGTGCCTGTGCCTGAGCCTGAGCCTGTGCTTGTGCTTGTGCCTGGGCTTGTGCCTGGGCCTGTAACTGCCGTCTCAACAGAGCCAACGCTTGTTGACGGATGACAACCTGTGCGGGGGTTACATTCATTTGCGCTGCGAGTTGCCGTACTTCAGGCGTAGGGTTCTGGTTATAACTCTCGATCTGGGGACGGGTCATCTTGCCGGCGATCGCCTTCATAGCCTGTTGGATGTATTGTTGCTGTTGCTGAACCGTAAATGTGTGCACCTGTTGCTGCTGAGGCTGAGGCTGTTGCTGCTGCTGCTGTTGCTGCTGTTGTAGTTGCTGCTGCTGTTGCTGCTGTTGCTGGGCTTGCTGTTGCTGCTGCTGCTGCTGCTGCTGTTGTTGCGCATTCTGCGGACGATTCATGAACTGCTGCTGCTGGCTCTGCATCACGATCGCCTGTTGCTGTTGCTGTAGCTGCTGTTGCTGGTGTTGTTGCAACTGCTGCTGCTGCTGCTGCTGCTGCTGCAATTGCTGTTGATGCTGTTGCTGTTGCTGTTGCTGTTGCTGTTGCTGTTGCTGTTGCTGTTGCTGTTGCTGTTGCTGTTGCTGTTGCTGTTGCTGTTGCTGTTGCTGTTGCTGTTGCTGGACCAGAAACTGTTGCTGCTGCTGCTGCTGGCCGAGGGCATGCTGATTCGGGAATCCGCCGAGGCCTCCGCCGGCACCTCCGGGTCCGGGTGGCATCTGATTGCGCAGAGCCATCTCCGTCTCCTGCATCCTCTTCTTTCGCGAATCGCGAATGAGCAGCAGCTTGCTCCGACACTGGATGTGGTAATCGACCTAATGTTTCGGTTAGACACACGAACAGCTCTCCCGCTCTCTCCCCGCCGGAATCAACGGCGGCGAGTTGGTGGTTGGTGGCGCACCTTGTCTACAGCCTTCTCGTAGGTGCTCTTCTCAAACGTCGTCGCGATCTGGATGGCGTGAGCTTGCTCGACGTCGACGCGTACCAGCCGTAGCGATGAGGCACTGCAGAGACGACGGTTAGTAGCCGAAGGACAAAGCAAATCTGACGGATGGCTAGAAGTGGAGGGATAAAGAAAGAGTTTTTGTCGCTATTGCCATGGCGAAGTGCTGGCCATGAGCTAGCACACTTGCACGTCCACTCGCCTGAGCGGAGCACGATGAATGGTGCGTATAGAAAGGCAGCAACTGGGGGTGGGAGGGGTGTTCGTGGCAACGAACTAGGGGGGGAGGGGGGCCGAAAACAAACAGAAAGAAACCTTCACGCACATCTCTATGATCGTCTGAACTCGTTCTTGTAACGTCAACTCGCGGCGCCAGCCTTCGGGGTTCCAGTTCTGCCTCAGCTGCGCAGCGACATATTGAGACAACCGGTTGCCATCGGCCATGGGCACCATTCCTCCTCCATTTGCTGCTCCTGCTCCCGGTGTTCCTGCTCCTGGTGTTCCTGTTCCTCCTGCTCCTGCTCCCGCCACCGGCGCAACACCGGCCGGGTTCATATCTTCTTCTTTTTCAGCACCGTAGCTCCCGCTGCAGAGGAAAGCAGTGGCCCGGGACTGGGACTGGGGGGGTTGATACGATGATCCAGGTCCGTTAAACGCGAGTAGGTATGTCGGGACTGATCTGTTGCGTTATGGAGGGGGGTGTTTTTTTTTAACTCCGACTAGCCATAAAAGACCAAAGGTAGTTCGAGTAGCGACGAGAAGAGCAACCTTGGGCGGGTGGGCGTGTCGATCGTCACTGGCGTAGCGTAACAAGTGGACTCGGCGTGATGGCGCGCAGAAGTTACGGATGTGCTGTGGGCGCGATGTGTGGTGGGTGTGATGTGTGGTGGAGGTGGTGGTGGTGGTGGTGGTGGTGGGCGAGGTGTGTGGGTGCGAGCGTGAATGGGTGTGTGAGAACGAGCGAGCGTGCGAATGACGGGCAATAAATCCGAAGCGAAGGCGAAACGGCTCGAGTGGGTGGATAGGAAGGGTGCCTACTAAAGTAACCAGAAATGAAGTGTGAGTGGGGTCTCAGCTGGGCGAGCAGAGTGATTCGACGCACCGAAGTCGCTGACCTCGAACTGCAGCGCGACCGAGTTGGGAGGAGAATAGGCGATACGAACAACACAACCGTACAGCACGCCGCGATGGGGAGGAGGGTGGGTCCGGGAATTCTGGTTGGTAGTGGTATTACTGAGAGATTTTCAGGGAGCGATGGCCGTCATGGAGAGTCTGGCGGAGCGTTCGATTACAGGACCAGCAGTAAACGCACGGGGGTTTCGAGTGGTGGGAGAGCGAGGACTGCGGATGCGATGATGTTGTTCTTTGTTGTTGGTTTGCAGTTGCTGTCTACGGTTGACGGGGATTGGGGGGGGGGGGGGGGGGGGGGGGGGGGAGAGCCGTTTACGGGGTGAACAGCGGAGCAGACTCGGCGAAGGGTAGGAGACGACGGATGAGCACTAGGCTTTAGTCTTTTTGGGTTTTGCTTCGAAATACAACGGATCTCGAAGCGGGAGCGGCGATGGGCGAGACGAAGCGGAGGAGGATAGTGAAGAGGAAGAGAAATATAGCTGAGGAAGCTGGGCTGGGTTGGGGGGGGTAAGGTGGAGTGGGAGGTAGTGAGAGTAGTGGTGGGTGGAGGTGGGTGGTAGTGGTGGAGGGAGGTGGGTGGTAGTGGTGGAGGTGGGTGGTAATAGTAATGGTGTAGTATGTAGTGCAGTAATGTGGCGGGCAGGCAGGCAGGCACACACACGCGCAGCAAGCAGGCAAGCAGGATTCGCGGTATGTAGCGTACGAGTACGTAGTGGGCTGGCCGGGGGGTGGCTTTGGATGGATGGAGGAGGGTGGATGGATGTCAACGAACGAACGGAGGGGAGTATCTATTCGAGGTTTCGGAGTGTGAGTACTCTAGTAGAGGCAATAGAGGTAGTGGTATTGTGTAATGAGGGAGGGGGGAGTGATGGAGGTTGAGGAGGAAGAGGAGGATGAGGATGTGGTGGAGGAGGAGGATGGTGAAGCTATGGATCGACCGTTTCGGGAAGGGAAGCAAGTCAGAACTGGTGAGCGAGCAAATAGTTCGATAGATGCTACTCTGTAGCAGCAGCAGAAGCGGCGGCGGATGGAGAGAGGTTGACACGGTGGGATTGGGATTGGGCTGGCTTTGGTTGGGCTCTGGCGGACGAGTAGGGGTGCGGTGTAAGGGTGCAAGTGTGCAGAGTGCAGAGTGCAGAGTGCAAGTGTGCAAGTGTGTAGGTAGCGCAGTTGGCTGGGGGAGGAGGTGGGTGGGAGAGGATGGTGGTGGGTGGTGGGTGGATGGTGAGCCAGGGTTGAAATTCGCCAGGGTTTGGAGGGGGCCAACTTACTCGGATTGGCTGGGGCAGGGAAGGGGGACTTTGACTCGACTCTGCACGATGCTGGGGGGTGAGGTTTGTGATGGAGGAGGATGGAGGTATTTTTCGGAGAGGAGGCAGAATGGAACGGGTGAGGGGATGGTGGGAGGGGACGGTGGAGGGAGACGGCGGAAGAGATGGGAGGGAGACGGCGGAAGAGGTGGGCTTTCAGGGAGTGGGGATCCGAAAGGATGAGAACAGAGTATAGACTTCGAGGTGGTAGAATGATGGACGGTGGGCTTTCGGGAAGTGATGATCAGGGAATAGAGACTTCACGGTGGCAGCAATATGGATGATGGGTTTTCGGGGAGTGGGAATCCAGAAGAATGGAATAGAAACTTCACGGTGGCAGCACGATAGATGAAGAGCTTTCGGTGAGTGGTGACCCAGGAATCGACTTCACAATAACAGCATGATGCACGATGAGCTTTCGCGAAGCAACAATCCAAGCATATGGACATCACTGATGTACGATGAACCCACGAGAGTGAATGGTGGGCGATAGAGTACTTGCCAAGTGCCCACCCATACAATCCGTAAGTGCTCGCTCCGCAACGACAGCCATCACACATATCATACTGACGCGGTGGGTGGGTGGGAGGGAAGAAGTATGCCTTGCTCCAGGTACATCATACACACCGGCTGCTCGTGCTCTACATACACGCGGCCCACGGCCGTGGACGTTCGTTTCTCGACACTCACACTCACGAGTCACTGCGTGCCCGCATTCAATCCGGACATATATATCTACATCGCCTTGGCCTACTGTTTGATCGTTGATTGCATGCGACGTTCGAACATCACCTTGGCCGGGCGGGCTTGGAATCTGTCGGAACTCGAGCGCCGAGTGCATGCTCATGTCGCCACGGACGGGAAACTGCTTCCTTGGCTTCTTCCTCGTCGTCCTCCTCCTCCTCCCCTCCTCCCCTCCTCCCCTCCTCCTCCTCCTCCTCCTCCTCCTCTGTAGACAAACGGACGGCCAGATACTTCCCAACCCTCGAGAGTCCACCCCGTAGCTCCATGCAGGGTGGCATGTACTCTACCTACAGGCTCTAGATATGTACTCTACCCAACTCTCCCTGTAGTCCGCTCCAGCTTGGAGTATGTAGAGTATCAACATCTGCACGCAAGAGCCAGGGCCAGGGCCCCCCTCCATCGCCATCAGCATCCATGCCCTGATTCTGGGTGACCGAGCGGCACCGCAGTCGTGAAGAATTCAACCACATCCTCCGTCCGCGAGAGAGAGAGAGAAACGACACGGCCTTCGAGCTCGTGCGGATATCGCTCGGCACCCGTACGTCGTAGAATGCCCATCGCACGTTTCGTATGCGGCATCAGGTTCGAGGTATGAACCTCACCACACCATCTCGATTCTCGATTCTCTGCCCGCCGCCGCCGCGCTCGCGCCTCCTCGTCTTCGTCCTTGTTTTCGTCCTCCTCCTCCTCCTCCTCCTCCTCCTACTCCTCCGAGAGCTTCTCCCAGGCGACCGCCAGGCGAGCCCGAAGGATGGACACGTCCACCAGGCCATAGTATTCCCACCATCTCCTCCCTCCCTCCCTCCGTCCCTCGAAGTCCTCCCACCGTCGAAGACCTCATGCCTTGATCGTCTTCAAACCCTAGCCCAGCTCAACTACTCCACCCACCGGGGGGGCACCCCTCCCCCCCCCCCTGCCCTTAACTACAGCCAAGCGCAAGGCTGACTCGTTCAACTCCGGCCCCGACGCTAGTGAAATAAGCTGCGCTGCGGGTGGAGGAACCATTTTTGACACCTTTTGATGGGTGGTTATGCGCTGTGGCTTGATGGGCGGGAGTGGCGCGCGTGTTGTGGCGGGTGGCGGTACTAATAGAAGTCTGGAAGTACATAGCACGGACATGCGCCATGGGTAGTTAATGCCATTGCTTGGTGATGGTGAAGTTGGTGAATGCGATGCTTGGTGAATGCTGGGTGAATGCTTGGTGAATGCTGGTGAATGCGATGCTTGGTGAATGCGGAGTGCGAACCACGATCCATGCCATGCCATGCCGTTCGCGTATGTTCGCGAGATGGAATGGCGTTGCCGGGTTCCATCATGCCATGGTGTACTCACCACTCACCTCAGGTGTGAACATAGCGGTACATATCACGGTGGCTCAGCTTCGGCTGAGCCGATCGGATCGGATCGCGGGCGGCTGGAGATACTGGGCGGGAGACCGGTGAAGATGTGAAGATGTGGCCGAACCATAGGTCCACAGGTCCACAGCTCGAGCTAGATGGCTCGTTGTGCGAATTCTATGGTGCGCGCTGTATGTGTGAACCGGCGATCCATCGGCTCGGTCGCGTAGGTATGATACAGTGATTCGATCGCCCGGGGCATGGCCTTGCCGATTCCCATCCGCCCGCCGAGCACTCGGCCCGAACCTTGAAGGCTTGACCTGGCGATCCCGTAATCACGACTGCGATTAAGACGGGTCTGTGCCATCGTTGTCGCCGCAGTCTGATAGTAGTAGTCGTGCCTAGTGCTCTCTCCCTCTCAACCACCTTCTCTCAACCACCTGCTCTCAACCACCTTCTCTCCCAAGTTCCAACTCCGAGAACTCAATTACAATAGGTACGGTACATAAATACCCACCCACCAAGCCCTGTCGCGGTATCCAGCAAGCAATCTTCCTCGCCTCGGCCTACCTAACTTCCAACTACCGGTACCTATTTCCAGAAGAGAAGCCTCACTCTTGCATCTCCAGTATCCACTGTCCAGTTTTCAGTATGGTATCCACCAAGTTCCAACGTTGAACGACCACGACCACCACTTCAAAATTATAGGGGGTTGTGATGGGGGGGGGGGGGGGGGGAATTCCTTTAGGCCTTCTCAGCCGAACAAATCCACCGACGTTTCACATCCCCTCGCCCCTCTCCCCTCCCCCCTCCTCTTCCCAGGACACATCTCCGGCTGCCCCCCAGCACTCCCCAGCAAACATCTTCCTGGCACACACCGCCCTGGCACACATCTGGATTCTCCACCCCACATTTTTTTCTTTCCTATTTTGCTTTTTCGCCAGGCTAGGTATCCAGGCGAGGTATGGAGGCAGGTACTGGACGTTTGGAAGTGGAGGTGGAGGTGGAGGTGTCTCGGCCGACGACCTTGACTGTGAGTCTGTGACTACCTAGAGAAGAAATGGGCTATTCTGGAAGCTTTGCGCGCGGTTGGGAAGAAGAGAGAGGAGGAGGAGAAGGAGTAGGAGAACGGACTCAGGCGCTCTATACCTACAGGTACAGGTACAGGGCGGGTTCGGGATCATCAAGTCGACATCAACCATGCTACTATCTACACCTAGTATTCTAGAGTACTAGTAGTGGGATCAGTTCGGCACTCACGGGATATGGCGGATAACCGTCCAAAACCGTCGACTTGTTGACATGGCAAGATGGTAATGTGCGGAATACCCAATCACCTACAAGTTTACAAGTTACATGCCAACTCTGGACGGAGCGGAGTTTCCACTGTCCACTGTCCAAGGCACCCTTCACTTTGTTTCCCGGGTCTGCGACTCTGAGTGACTGTAGTGACTGCAATGGTGAGGTCAGGCGATCAAGTGTATGTACTCTATGTACTCTATGTACCTGTGCATGTACCTAACAGTGTAATGCATGTACCTGTACATGCACTCACTATGCACGTACCTAACGTACTGTATGTATGGGTGAAGTATGTACCATCCCATGCTGCGCATAGTAAGCATGAGCCTGCGCAACTGTCAACGTATGATACCTACATTCTATGCTACGGTATGCTACGGACGGTATGTTTGCGTCACGGAGCTGCACTCGGAAAAAAACATACCCCTCGACGATTCAGCCCGCCAGCTAGCGAGCCAGCCAGCCAGCCAGACAGCCAGACAGACAGTTTTTCTACTGCCTGTGTTGCGTTTGTACGAACTATGTATCCGGAAGGCGTCTATCGGCCCTGTAGGCTGTAGGCTGTAGGCTGTAGGCTGTAGGCTGTAGGCTGTAGCTTCAACGGACCGGGGCCGGATTGAAAGTTCGAAACCAGCCCCCGATTAGGTGCCTTTATCTCCGTCTCCATCTCGATTCCTGATAACCAGGGCTCAGGGGACACGGACGGACGGGGGCGGACGTCAATAATCGGGATCCATGCCGGAGGCTGCGGCTGCGACTGCGGCTGCGGGGTGTCTGGGTATCTTGTATGCTTCATGTCGGTATGTCAGTATGTGGTGGTGGGAGCCGAGATCGGGGCGGAAGAGTACAAGTAGAGTGAACGAGGTGGATACCCATTATCATAATGGGTGTGTTCAAACTTCGAGCCTTCGAGGCGCACGGATGAGATAGGTGCGGTACTAGGTACCATACTCTGCATAGCAGCGGTGGAAGCAGGTACTCCACATACGAGACAGGCAGGTAGGTAAATACATAGGCCGGATCGCGAGCGCAGACGTTCGAGTGCGCTTGAGCAGAACATCACTATCCGCGGTAGAATAAGAAGTCTCATTTGGCTTCTCTAGTAGGCCTCCATACCCAGACGATTCGGCATCCTCCAATCCACCACGGCCATACAAACATCCACTCCCTTCACCGCCCAAGTCTCTCGCAACACCTACCTGATCCTTATCCCAGTTATGGAGCCTGGATTCTGGATTGTGGAACATCCCCGCCTCGCCTCTCCACGCCTCGCGTCAACGGACGAGTGCTGGCCCCTGGGCCGAGAGCCATGATCCAGAGTGCCGCGAGTAGAGTAAAAATGTCGACTGCAATAACGCAAGAGCGCTGATGATGATTCAACAAACCGAACAAACAAAATCATAAGAGAACCCTCGCCTCTCATCCATACCTCCATACTTCCTACTGAAGTGCCATGCTCGCGCCGCCGCCGCCATCGTCGTCGTCGTCGTCGTCGGCAAAGTAAGTCGGCGCTAGAGTAGCTAGCAGAGCCACCCCTACTAGTATCCACAAGCTTGATGCACGCGGCAAGAAGGCTCCCGCTGAACAAAACCGCTTGGGGAAAGTTGTGACGGACTCGAACCAGAAGAAAGGAAGGAAAAAGGAAGGAAAAAAGGAAAGAAAAGAAGGGAAAGGAAGGAAAAAAGGAAAGAAAAGAAGGGAAAGGAAGGGGAAAAAAGGAAAAAAAACGAAGGGAAATGGACATGCTCGTGCTTAAACAAATCCGAAGAAAAAAAACAAAAGAAGGAAAAAGGGAAAATACACTCCCCGTGAGGAGCGTTGGTCGTGAGGCTTGACACGCTGGGTTTTGTTTTCCACGCCGGCGCAGACGTTGGGTTGGGATGAGTTGAGTGACGTGTGGTGGGTGAGGGGGAGAGTGCAATCCCGTGGCCTCGGTCGTCCATGGGCGCAGACTCCAGAGTGCGTGTAAGGTGCGCATAGTTGCTGCCAGTCTGCCAGCCTGCTGATAGTTGTGGCGAGTTATGATCTCGTTTTATAGAGGATGTATAGTACCTACTGAAGGCGTAACTTCTGGTGATACTTGTAGTGTCTGTACTCTGTTTGCCTCTTCCAAGTGGGACAGTGGGACGCTCTGCGCGGAGAACGACTGGGCTGGGGGTCTTGGAGACTGGGCGTTGCGACGGCGACGGCGGGCTGTTCAAGACTCCGGGATTTCAAGACTCCAGGTGTACAGTGTGCTACCGTATTCTAGGGCGTGCAAACAGTGAAAAGAAGGCAGCATGTGCTTGCAGCACATCGTACCGGCCACTGGACTCACAACCCTCAACTTCCAAGGCTTGTACTGGTACTGGCGCCTACATCGAGTATTTACGCCGTGTGGAACCTGTGCAACCTGTGGAGCCTGTACTGCCTACCTGTATGTAGAGTCAGCCCGCCAGCCCGCCAGCCCGTCTCTGCCCTATTCCCTACTCGCCACAACAGCAACAGCAACAGCAACAACAACAACTACCGGTGTTCGCCTTTCGCCTTTTCGCCACCGGTCCCGCTCCTTCGAGTCCAAACTTCAAACTTCAGCTGGCCCCGATCACTGCGACTCGACTCACCGCCGCTCACCCATCCTCACCTTCACCTTCCCCCCTGCCCCTCGCCCCATACCCCCGTACCCCCGCGAGCGAGCAATGCGTAAAGTATGCCCTCCCCCCCGAAACGGTTTGATCGCCGCAATCCAGGACAGACATCAAACATCACCCTGTCGCAGCTCCCGCCGCACCGCGGACCTGCGGTTGCTTACCAGTATATATACTAGGAAGGTATGAGTAGTTCGAGTCCTTGATTCCTTGATCCGCTCCCGCGTGCCAAGTCGCGTTTCCCGGGGTGTAGTTATCATCCGTCGCCATAGAGAATTTGGGGCGACGAGTGACGGCTACTACCTAGGAGGTATGTAGTACCATATATGGGCGCACGCACAAAGAGTGGGCTTGGAAATTGGTCGGCGCGGGGCATGGCGACGGGCGGGGAGCTCGACGAAGACTTCTGGATCGCTGAATACATAGTGGATATGTACTCTATATATATAGGCGTTTCGACGTGCCTCTGCGCGGTGGTAATGGTGACGGTGGTGCCGGTGGTGCCGGTGGTGATGGTGGTGACGGCGCTCGCTGGAGGGGGGGAGGGGGGAATATACTCGTAGTAAGGCCGTGGGAAACTGGGGAAACGGGGGAAACGGGGTACTGCTGGTGAAGCTGAAGCTGAGGACGGGGATGATGCTCCGAGCTCCGAGCTCCGAGCGCAAGGCTCGAGGCTCGAGGGCGAGAACAAAGCGACAACAATGCCTGGACTGGCTCACCGAGGATTCCGGTGGGGAGAAGGAGGAGATGGATGCAGTCGGGTAGTGTCGCTTTATTACGGTAGACCAGCTACCTATACTGTACATGCTAAACAGGTCGTCCAAAACCCAAATGCCGCTGTCACTCGTACCTATGATATCTACGATAGATAATTCCATGCTCTTTGTCTTTGATACATATTGCTACGGCATGTGTATTGCCAGCTTCGGAAACCGTCCTTTCATTTACACATCATCACCTCGCAGTGCCATGATCCATCACAGCTATCATCTACTACCATCTACATCATCGCCCCACTTAGAGCCCCGTTGTCGGCATCAATACGGTACGGTACGAACGATACGGCAACATTTGATTTGATTTTGTGGGAACGTTCAATCACCACATCGCACTCGCATTATCGGACTCGGCTCGAGTGATATCTGCGTACCCAGCCCCCCCCCCATAATGCGAGACACAAAGTGGACATGAACACGACGTGTGCGGAAGCCCAGGAAGCTGGGAAGGCGTGGAAAGATGGACGGGACGCTTGGGGAGGAAATATACATGATGGCATGATGTGCGCGCGGGAACAGGAACAGGAACATCATCAGCTTATCTACTTATCTATCTATGACACCTAGGATCCATACCTATGATCCATACAGTACGTAGAACTGAACCAGAGTGGTACAGACTGTCCAGTAATTGCTGCGAAGTCCGTTGCTCGGATAACAGCCATTCTACTATCGTTGATTTGGTGTAATCCCAGAACTGGCAACAGCTCTCGCTCCCGCTCTGACGCACGTACCCACCGAAGAGAACCCCTCACTGCCCACCGCTGGCTCAGCCTCGGCGTCGGCGTAGAGGTTGATTATTGCCGAAATCCTATATGATACATCCGTAGCGAGATCCACGGTAGGTACCCCACGACATCCTACTGCAGTACTAGTACCTGGGTATCCTACCGTACATCTTTGGTCAACCGCAAACTATGCTTGCTCGACTCTGCTGGCTCCGCTGGCTCCGGAGATGACGAGTAAACATTCGCCGGGAAAGACTCAAGAGGAGACAATGTCATACCTAGTTGCCGCGAGCTCCTGCACAGAGGCGGTGAGTGACGATGAGTGACGAGTGACGAGTATGTACTTGGCATCTCGCACTTTTGGTGGTGGTGATGGGCAAAGTAGTCCATGCTAGCGTTGTGAGAAATGGTGAAGAGAAAACCTATTGGGCCTCGAAGGGAGCACGCTGGCTGGCTGGCTGGCCGGCTGACTGACTGGGCAATGGGCAATGGACAATAGGCAATGTGCAATGGCCATCGATCAGATACCATAAATGGCCGATGTCAATGCCGATGTCAATGCCAATGCCAATGCCAGTGCCATTGCCATTGCCATTGCCAAGGGACAGCCCTCGGTAGGTACCTGTTTCTAGATACCTATTCCCTTGACGATGCCGGTAGCCAACAGGCGCAGCCTGCGGGACGGTTCAATGTCGATGTCGATGTCGACGCCGACGTTGGTGGGGGCGGGGGGGGGGGTGGTGGAGGGGCCTCGTTTAGGCTGCTAGGACGGGGGACAGATCGGGGTATGTACATTGTAGCCTGCGGGGAGATATGGAGTATGGACCATGGAGTATGGACCATAGTGGTGGTGTATTCATGGTGTCATTGGTCATTGTCGGGGCATGGGGCTTGAGGGTGGTTCGTCTTCCGAGGGTTGGATTGGGCTCCCAGACGGTGTGCCGGGGCGGTTCTATTCTGTTCTAGCCAGCCCGTGGATACTTCTCATCACTGGATCACTGGATCACTGGATCACTGGATCACTGGATCACTGGATCACTGGATCACTGGATCACTGGATCACTGGATCACTGGATCACTGGATCACTGGATCGCTAGGAGAGGCAGTACGGTATCATAGGTATGCCAATCCGCGGACCAATGACTATATTTTTTGCCTAAGTAAGTAAGAGGTAGGTATTATTCAGCGCAGCATCACATGTACAAACACGAAACATGGTATCATATATCGTCCACCCCCCCTCAATCCCCACCCTTTTATCCCCCTCCTCCCACCCTCACCCTCCCCCCTCTTCCCCCCTTTTTCACACCCACCACCCTACAAAACCCCACAAACCGCCAAAACCCTGTTCAGCCCCTCCTGGACCCAGTCCCAGGGCATGGAAAAAACCACCCTGAAGCAGCCGGGCGTTTCCGCGCGGAACTCGTCACCGCCGGCAATGAACACTCCCGCCTCCAGGAGGCGGCGGGCGAGCTCCCGCTCCGCCGTCACGGCGTCCGCGTACCCCGCTGGCAGGAAGGGGGAGAGGTCGAGCCAGAGGAAGAGCGCCGCGTTTCTTTACTCTGTTAGCCGCGCTCGGGGGGGGGGGGGGCACACACCCTTTGCAGTGGTACTTGATCCCGTGGGAATCCAGGATGGCTGTGGCGCGGGTGTAGTTCTCGCCCAGTCGCTGCGAGTTGGTGGTGATCCACGAGTCGAGGAATGCAGCGTCCGAGAGGATCGCCGTCCATGCTGCCTCCGCCAGGCCGCTCGGCCAGCCGAAGTGGCTTATGCTCCCCAGTCCCTGTAGCACCGACGGGTTGCTCTGGCTCACGAAGGCGCCGAGGCGGAAGCCGTTCGCGCTGAAGTCCTGCGTGGGGGGGGTCAGCGGGTGGGGCAGGAGGCGGGGGGAGGGGACGGGGGGAAGGACTTTGCTCATCCCGTAGAGCACGTGCACGAGCGCGGGGTCGATGATGCCGTGGGTATCGATGCTCAGGGCGCTGGTGAACGACTTCTCAGCGCGGGGGTTATCGTAGGCACTGAGGGCGTAGATCTCGTCGCAGACGAAGTGGATCCTCTCGCGGTGACAGAAGCGCATGATCTCTTTCAGGGCTTCTGGGGAGTAGCACTCTCCGAGGGGATTGTGGGGATTGACCACGACCAGCGCGCGGACCTTCCCCGGCACCAGCGGCCGCCCGTTCCATTCCTGCAGCGCCCGCTCGTAGTAACCCACGCAGCTCTCGGCGAACGGGTCGCTGCCGTGGAACCCAACGGCGACGGTGTGCACCCGCGCCCGCGCGTAGAAGTCGTTGGGAAAGGCGCTGTAGAATGGGCGGCCGACGAGGATGCCGTCCTCTGGGTCCGCGAGCGTCCAGGCGAGGGACTCGAGCAGCGTGGTCACCCCCGCGGAGACAACGATCTGGCTGGGTGTCACGGTGGTGAACGGCCGGAAGCGGGTGTTGAATAGCCCGCTCAGCGCGGTGCGCAGCGCGGCGCCACCGGTGGGCCCGGAGCCGTACGTGCACGTGAAGTTGTCGACCGTGAGCTGTCACCCCACCACCACCGCCGCTACTGTCAACCAACCCCACCATGCATACGTCACGCCGCAGAGGGGACTTACAGTTTTGTTGATAAACTCGGTGAGTTCTCGATACATCAGCGCCTATGTACCACGCACATATTAGCCCACAGAATCTTCACCACCCACTAATCCGCCCCACCGCGAAACATACATTCTCGGCAACGCCCAGGTTGATGATTCCCTCCGGATTGTGTTCGGCATGGTACTGATCGGCCAGTATGCGTGCGAACCGCTCCATTATCGCCACATCGCCAATGTTCTTGGAGACGCGCGTGGATATGAACGGCAGTGGTGGCGAGACCTGGGAGCGGCCATTGACCTTTCCGTTGCCATTGCCATTGGAGTGCGAATGGCGGCGGCCGGGATGCTCGCTGGTCGAGATGCGGTCATCGGTGGTGGTCGGAGACATCGTGTGTGTAAGTAGGTGCGGGTATGTAGAAGGCTTGCAAACAACGGCCCCGAGTGTCCAGAACAGAAGCCACCGACGGTGGAAAACGAACGAGCGTCCTGCCGTATTTATAATCAATCCGACTGACTGCGAGTCGCCATGGAATCCCGGCGCATGCTATCGTACATAACATACTCAGCGACTACTTCTGCTAATACAGCTACATAAAACTAGCATGTATGTATGTATGTATAGACAGACAAATATGGATGGGATGCAGGGCTGCGGCGTATGTATGGCGTATACACTCGGATGCGGATATGTAACTGCCCGACACTGCGACCTGATACTGCACGTGCGTACAGGGGAAGGAGCCGGTGAAGATCTTCGCACATCGAGATGTAACTCATCGCGAAGGTATGTGATGTATGTAGAGTAGCTATTTCGGCTGCCAGTACATGAGATGTCTGCTGTCTTTCTGGCCTTGGGGCTTGGAAGAAGTGGATGCCTAACCAGCACCAATGGCCTGCCTGCCGTCTTGAGCTTCGCCGGCGTCCGTCCGTTCCTTCCCTCGCTCCCTCGCCCGCCGATTCCGCGCGCGTGTCATATCCCATCACGCGGGTGCGTGGGGAATGTTTGCCGCCGCCGTTGCTGACATATCGGTGGATTAGTCGCCATGTACATACCTGGTCTGGACAGGCCATACTTGCTATGCGACAATAACTTGATTATTCTCTCGATCTGTATCTGGACTCTGGACTCTGGAGCTCATATCGACGGAATTCAGGAACTCCGGCGTGACAATGATGACCTCTACCTACCCACCGGATGGATCGATTGAAATGGTACAGGAGGGAGTTTGCAGCTATTTGCCCCCACCCCACCACAATATTTCGACGTCACTCTATTCCAGCCCAGCACAAATGCCAAACTAGCGAGATCCGACCCCCCCAGAAATCGAGACGAAGTTAGACGGGCGCATCGGTATCTACATCTGTGGTATCTACATCTGCGCCATACATCTGTGCATCGACGGCGCCAGCGCCGGCATTACCCGCCGCATGCGTACATAGATTAGATAGTACCTGTATGTACGATTGCCTTGCCTTACCGGGCATTTACGATTGATTGACTGGCTGCCTCCACGCACCCGCCGTTACCGTCCGTTGGTTAAGTGTTAAGTATGGTTAAGTTATGGTTAGGTATGCAAAGCTACCACGGAACAGCGGAATGGATCATCCGCGCCCTGCTGACAACTTAATCGTTCCCCGGACATGGATGGAAACGAAGAATGTTCCCGTACGGCTGGAGGGAAGAGAGCTGGAGGAGATGGAGCTGGAGGGGACGGAGCCTGCGAGTGATGCGGCCACCGCACGAAACGCGGAATGCGGTAGGGCGTATATTGAGTGTATATGCTCAGCTGACCACGAGGCTGACGGCTAGATGGGATGGGAGGATGGGAGGATGGAAGGATGGGAGGAATGTACGATGCGATGCGATGGGGTATTGGGGGATAGGTGAATGGTGGATGGTAGATTGATTGCATACGGTACTTACAGAGGTAGGTACGTATTTGCCCGCCTTTAAACTTGCTGTTGAACCCCACCCCCACACCAATACCGTAGGTCCGTAGCCGTCCCATGACGGTGTAGGTAGGTAGGGTACATATCAATATCACCATCCAGACAAACGGACAAACAGACAGCCTACCGGTCCACTTCGTCCGGTGGGTTTTAGGCACCAACATGGCATGGCATGGCATGGCAGACACCGACGAAGGCAGGCAAACAGGCAGGCCGGCCGGGTGAGCATCGAGACGAAGGCCGAGCTGTGACTCGTGACTCGTGAGGCGAACGTACATACATCGAACCGGTGCGGCGGTGCATGCTGGTGATTCCCGCAGCAAGCGGGATGGGGTGCAAATGCAGAATAGGACAGGACAGAACTGGACAGAACTGGACGGATAGTACCAGAAAAGAGAGGGAGAGAGGGAGAGAGAGAGCATCAATTTCTGCCGCATACGGCCTGTCCAGACCATGGCGACCCTCATATACTAATTTGTCAGTGAAGGAATGAAGGAACGGTGGATCCACACAATCTCACTCCCCATGCCCGCGTGACAGTCCATGAACCAATGAACCAGTACATGAACCAGTGCATTGATTTCCCATTGGCTTCCCCTTGAATTCCCATTGGATTCGCATATAAATCAACAGATTACCGTTCATCTCATCAGTTCAGCTCAGCTCTCTTAGGTAGGTAGACCACCTACTAGTACCGGTACACTTCTCCACTTCTCCACTTCTCCGCAAAACCAATAATCCAATAGGTAGGTAGCTGCAACAAATATAGATAGCATACAGTAACACAGTAATACAGAACGAACCCTCAAGGTAGCTACAAAGTCAGCCCTCGGCAGGTACTTTATGTGCTTAAGTAGCAGAGCTTGTAACTTGTAGAACTTGTAGAAACGCAGAAAGCATTGTACTTATCCAGCAGGACAAAAACAAACATACAGCAGCAATAATAGTGCAGAAACGACTAGAAAAGAAAACAAGAGCAACACCCGCGCACGACTCCGCCGCCCCCAGCCCGCCTCATATCCCGCCCCGCCCGGCATCCCGTAACCTGCAACCTGCAACCCGCATCCCGCAACATAGATATACATCCACCACCCCAAAGAAGTCCCATCGCTCCCCAATCTAGCTATCATCGCACACTGTACTGTACTCCTTTCCATTCCCTACGCGCCAATGCACCACACCCGCCCCGGCCCAGCCCAAAAACCCCCAGAAAAGCAAAAAAAAACCCAGTGTGTAAAGTAAACCCCAACGAGTCACCAACAAATCATTCTGTCTTAATATGCAACCATTCCACGCATCAGTGCCTAATGCAGCTCATAATCACTCGCCTCATCATCCAGCCCGCCCAGGCCGATGCCGCCATCACCATCATCCCACAGATTATCCGCCTGCTCGCCTTGGCCGGTGTTTTCGGCTTGGCCCTGGCCCTGGGCTTGGCCCGGTTGGTCTCTGTCTCTAGGTTCTCTTGCCTGGCGGTCCTCGCTCGCCTTCTGCTGGTTCAGGTAGTTGCGCAGCTGCTTTACGCCGCTGCCAGAGAAGACGCAGAATACGGCGCGCTGGTTGTCGTTGAATTCTAGGGACGGGCGGGTTAGTATTGCGGTGGTAAGGGACGGGGATTGCGCGTAAGACAAGACATGACATACCCTTCGGTGGCGACCGGCAGAACTTGGTGTAGTCCTTCCTCCTGTAGAATGCTTCCACGCCGGTCAGGGACAGGTGCGTCAGGCGCTGGCAATGGTTGATGAGGTCGGTAATTCCCTATGTCAAGTTGGTGGGATTTAGTCCAGTATAATACATCGAGTGATAAACGACCGACGGCGAGGACGGAACATACCTTGACAGTAAGATTCATGCAGTAACTCAGATGCACCCTCTCGAGTGGGCAAGGCGAGTTGCTGGGTCGTCTGCCTAGACTCTGAATCGCGAAATCCGTAATGTTGTTACACTTGACTAGTCCGATCCTTCTAAGTTTCGGTAGCAACGCAAGCTGGCACACACTTGCATCGGTGAGTCGCAGACAACACGCCAGATCGATGTATCTGATTCTGGTACAGCTCTGCACCAGCTGCGAGACGGCATGGTCCGTGATGTTGCTGCAGTGGCCGAGGTGCAGGTTGTGGAGGTTCTTGCCCAGCCTTGTGATGGAGTGGACGGCTCTGTCCGTGATGTTGCGGCATTTCGCGAGGATCAGATAGCGCAGGCGGTGCGCCATCTTGACGATCTTATCGACCGCTTCGTCGGTGACGAGTCCGCAGTCGGTAAGGTCCAGAATCCGGAGAGACTCAAAGGTTTTGTGCGGCGGAAGGTGCAGGAAAGCATCGTCGGTCAGGAGATCGCAGTACGCCAGCCGCAATTCTCGAAGGTGCTTAAGATTCGAGAGTAGGTGCGTAACCGAGTCGTCCGATATTTGGTGGCAGCGGTGGAAATCGATCTCGAGAAGCTGAGGACAGTTGGCTGCGAGTGCAAGAACAGTATTATCGGTGATTTCGACGCAGTCATTGAGTTTTAACTGCAAGTGTTAGCTTCGTTCCGCGAGCCCTAACACGAAATCACGAGGAACTCACCCTTCTCAACATCCTACGATTCTGCGATAAAGGTATTAGAGAGACATCCGTGATCTGCTTGCATCCGGCCAGATTCAATCCTTGCAGCCTCGGGCAGTTTTCGGCGACGGCCTGCATCGATTGGTCGGTGATGTTCACCATCTGAGACAGATCCAGCGCCTGGAGGCGCGGGTTGCGCTGCAGGATCTCCTGAAGCGGCGAATCCGTCAGTTGCGAACAATTGGTCAAGGTAAGCCTCTCGAGCCGGGTGCACTGGGTCAGCGGCTCGAGCGATCCGTCATTGACGAGTTCCGAGATCAGGTTGAGGTTGAGTCGTCGGATCAACTGCGGGTATGCGAAGAACGCGTTCTCCGAGAGCAAGGCTGTGACCATCTTCTGGTACTGCTCGAACTTGCCGAAGTACGGTCGCTGCCACAACAGCTCCACGCTGCAGTTGGCCCACTGCTTCGAAACCAGCATGCAGTGAGTCAGGTCCACGGGTGACGACAACTTGCTGAATATGGCCATCAGCAGCTCGGCCGGCAGGCGATGTACGGGGCTCAAGGGTACTGTGGTCTTCTGGGATTGGCCGGGGGACACCGCCATGTTCCGGAAGCCGGTGAGTTCGCCGATCGTAGTCTGCGAGTCGTCGTTGATCATCATGATGTCCTGCTCATCGTCGAGCATGCGTTCAGGACTACTACCCGACGAGCTCTCGGAGGGAGCACGCTCGGGAGAGCCCGAGTTGTGCTGTCGTGGGCGCATAGCTCTGTAGTGGTAGTGGGGATGGTGGTGGTTAGGGTGGTAGCGTAAGGTGTAAGGGGTGCAATGGAGTCGGAGAAGACGGGTCTTAGTCAAGGGCTGTAGCCACTTGTCTGTTGAGCTCTAACGGGACGGGGGGTCTCGGCGGCCGCTTAGTCGTCGATGTTCCGTTCCGCACAGATTATCGTCAAGTTATGGTTGGCTGTGCTTCTTGGAGTAGTTAGTTGCGTTGCGATCGCACACGGCTGGGGCGATGGCGGGTGGATGTTGATAACGCGGAACGGGGAGGGGAGTCGGGGGAGTCGACGGGAAGCGACAGATCCGTGTGATGGCCTGGAGTTAAAACGGGAAGAGGCCGAGGGTGATGATCGATAGGTGATAGAGGTGGTAATGGAGGGGGCTAGTAGTGGGCGAATCGGACTCGAAGCTGCTGCTATTGTTGTCCTGTTTTTTTATTCCAGCCGAGCAGGGGGGAATGTGCGTGTCTGCAGCGACCGTCGTAGCTGAGTAAGGACGTTTGTTTTTTGGGGGTATTCAGGAGGGCGCAATGTCCGACAGTTGGAGGAGAGGGTCCTCGAGTGCGAAGGCGGTGGTAGTGCGTGGATGGGAGTGGGCGGGGGTGGAGGGGAGTGGAGGCGGGGGAGGGCTCGTGCGGAGAAGTTGCAGTATTGTACTAGATATGATAGTACCGCGATGGATGCGGGACTGGGTAGAGCAGAGTACTGGATGCGTGTGCAGATTCACGAAGCGAGCTGGCTGGCCCAAGCCACCGCCACACTCTGGACATTGCTGGACCGTGATAGTCCAACGAACGGGAGCAACGTATCTACATACAAACGCCGGTTCACATTGCGGCGGATAGAAGGGGAAGGAAGCAAAAAATCACCATTCGCTTCGCACCGGCACGTTCGTTGTGCCGTCGGGCCAGTTCTCGGGGCTTCTCTGGAGTGTTGGAGACACTCCTCCCCCAGAACCGTCTCCTGTTCTCGACGACTACATACAGTACTCGGCCACTCTCCTCAAGCGGCAATCGGCTCGCAAGAGTGTGGGCGTATGTAAACAGTACTCGCTCTGCTCCTGACCCCGCTCTTGCTGATTCCCTCTTGCTGACAAGCGCCTGTAGACACACAGATCGCATCTCCAACACGCAGTGATCCAGAACCGCCCGCCCGACCCAGGCTCGCAGTCGAGCGGCATGGATATCGAGAAGCCGGGTCCCTTACATCCAAACATCCTCAGGTTCCCCTCGTTTCGTTACTCTGCCAGGAACTTCTCGATCTTGGGAAAGAGAACTGCTGAGCAGGAGCCGTGGCATTCTCTTCCGCCCCACGCGCTCTGAATGTTTGCAGGCTGCAAGGCTCGAAAGGACTTCTCATCTTCCATCTTCCCCACCCACTAACCGGAAAGATAGGTACTCCATCCTGATATCAGCGCGCTTATACCGCCCGGACCTGCCTCCTCCCTCGAATGATTGGTGAGGACAAAAATACTCTCACAGTTGGGCCTCCACCCTGCATTGTCCAATGTCCAGTGCTGCGGTGCATGATCCGTAGAGTGCTATAGGTACTCTATGCACCATGGTTCTTGCGACTCGTGGGGATGCCAGTATGGGATACCTACCTGTGTGCTCCGTGTCTTGGATCGCCATCCGTACCCCTCCCTTGGAGCCCCAGACTCGCGCGGGGAATATGCAGACCCAAGAGCTCCAGGCGCGGGATTATAGATGTGCGAATTACTTGCCTGATCAGGCCTTGACCGGGTGATTATCGGCGCATACGACTGTCTTTCTATGTGGAGTGACCTGACGTTGTATGTACTCTATTATCATAACGAGACTCTGGGAGTCTGGGAGTCCTGGGGCCTTGGAGATCCGGTCTCCCTGCCATCGTGCAGAATAGAGTGCTTCTGCTGCGTGATCACCGTCCAGAACCGTCCGCATCTGTGCAACCATGGAGTTTCGCACATCCGACGTTTCGCGCGTACGTGTCGTGGGCCCCGCGTGGGTTAGGTTACTCTAGTTATAGTTAGCTGGCAGGTCGGGTTAGCCCACTAGCACTGCGTCAACCTCAACTTCCGCTCCAAACCCCGCCCTTTGAGCTCTCCATGCTCAGCTTGCCTCCACATCATCCACGATGATCAGTTCTGCGATCTTTTTTGCGCTGTGTCTATTCTTCATCGCGGTGGTGACACTGCTGCTGCAGCGACGGTATCTGCCGCTCCGAAGCTCGCCGGAGTACCTGCTCGTCTCTACGTTTCTGGGACTGTTCCTGTCGTCGTCGATTATCGTACTCGTGCCCATTGATCTTGCATCCAGCTCGGCCACGGATGATGGGTCGCGGGGTATACCTGATCCCCTCTGCTTGACCGGGATGCAGCTGATGTGGAGAGTAAAGGTGTCACGCTTCCTCAGCGAGTTCTCCTGATCTCCTGGCGAATCTCCTACTGGCTCTGCTTCGTCCTCACCTGGGCGATCCTCCCGATCCTCCTCTCGTACTCCGACTCCGGCCACCGGTCGCCGCAGAAACGCCTCCTCCAATCGCTCCGCGAAAATGTCCGCTACCACCTCACGATGCTCACCGTCGGCGGTGTGGGTCTTGTCTACTTCTTCATCACGTCCGGCGTGCACATCTACAGTATCCAAGCGCTCCTCGTGGCGATATCCTACTGCTACGCCTTATTCCTCGCGATATCACTGATGGGGCACGGGCTCGTTGCGATCCCGCGGGGGCTGTTCCGGGCGGCGAGTGTGTCCGGCACGTTGCGGGAGCTGCAGCGGCGCGCGCCACGCGCATACGAGAAGCTAGTCGAAGCGACGAGCAATCTCGAGGCGGTGGAGGGCGAGGTTGCGCTCGTGGCTGAGCGCAAGACGGGGACCGCGCTCGAGTTCCAAGACTGGATTGAGGAGATCGCGGACATGGCGCGCGTTCCGCTGTCTGCGGGGAGTGCGCGCCGCGGTGGAGGCGCTTTCGCGGGTGGACTGCTGGGTCAGAGGTCCAGTGTGCCGCAGGTCATCACGGAACAGTACCTGGCGGCGTTGACGAGGAAGCTGAAGCTGTGCATTCACCGCCGTGCGCGGTTCCTCTCCGAGTGGGAGAACCTGGTCCAGGCCGCGGCGGACGCGCAGTCCGTCCTCGACTCCAAGTCGTCGCAGCGCTTGACGTTTATAAAACACTTCACGTCGCCCACACTGCTCGAGAACATCTCTGTGCTCAACCCCTACACGCGACACATCTACCACTTCCACGTTGTCCCCTACATTCACCTGCTCCTAGGTGTCCTGCTCTCCATCGCGTCGGCGATGATAGTCTGGACCGAGCTCGTATACTCCGCCTTCCCCAAGCTCGCTGTCATCCGATACACCGTCGTGCACCATCCCAGCTCCTCGACGGGCAAAATCGGGTTCGCGGGCCAATGCATCTCGAGTCTCTGGATCGCCTACATGTGTTTCGCGGCGTACTACACCCTCAGCTCGGTCAAAGTGTGGGGCTCATACGCGCTCGTCAAGCGGGGGACCTCCGCGAGTTCCGCATGCTTCTACGCCTCGTACGCGGCACGGCTCACCGTGCCGCTCGCGTACAACTTCGTGCTATTCCTGCCGGAGGAGGACATCGTGCAAAAAAGCGTGTTCTACAATTTCCTCGGGAAGCTGATCAAGCTCTCGACCATCTCTGAGGGCTTCAACGATTGGTTCCCCGTGCTCGTGCTGATCCCCGTCTGCGCAAGCCTCTTCAATCTCTACAGCCGCGTTAAGAACGTCTGTGGCTTTGGCGATGTCGAAGACGACGACGAGGACGACGTATTCGGCGGCGGCGGCTGGAGGGAGGGGAGAGACCTTATCGAGCGCGAGCTACAGGGCGTGACCACGGGAAGGCTGATGAACTACGGCTCCGCCACCACCAACCCCACCACCACACGACCCTCGAGGTATAGAGACAACCCTACGGAGGAGGAAGAGGACGCGGCGCCGCCGCTCGACGGCGGAATACTGGGGCTTGGCGGGTTCGTGCACCGCATTCGGAACACGTTCGATACTGTCGAGGCGCCCAGGTGGTTCAAGGACGCTACGGCGGCCGCGGAACAGAATCGCCCCAGGTGGATGAGGGGCGATGGCGCGGGTTAGCACTGAGGAGCGGAAGGGAATCGCGCATGCTGCTTTTGATACGAGGTCATGACTGAGATTAAGGATGGGATGGGGTGGGATGGGATGACATGGGATGCGATGCGATGGGAAGTGGGGTTTTGGTTTCATTGTTGCTTGGTGGTCGTGGTGGGATGGCAGAGGGATGGCAGAGGGAATGGATGATGGCGCGAACATGTGGCTGGCCGGGCGGATGCAGTCGGCGCAGGTCGAGAAGTCCCAGAGTGGGATGGACACCCCCAGGTGATCGTGACATCGAAGACATTTTCGAGCACTTTCTTCACATAAGTCTACCCTGGCGAGTGAGATATGGATATTGGCTTTTTAGCATCACGAAGTTACGAAACCGTCCCACAAACCAGGGTTTATGAGCAGACCGAGTCACAGCATTCGTGAACCGTGGAATTGGCAAACCCTTATTTCATTTACGAGCCAAGAAGAAAAAACACAAGTAAATTAACACCCCTTTTTTTCCCCGATTCCCGAAAACAGAACTCCATTTGCTCAACATCGCCAAGTCAATTTTTATTCCCATACCATCTCAATAGTCGTTATACTGAAAGAGAATCTGGTATCCTCCAACTAGCAATGACAGGATGCGATGATGTCGTAGGAAATGTTGTCGATTTACCGGGTCTCGAAGTACTCGAGGAGGACGTTGCGCTCCTGCGACTCCTCACCCCAGTCGCGGACGACACAGCACGAGCAGTTGACGACCTTGCGGGCGTTGCCCTCACGGTCGAGGACGCCTGATATCGGTGTTAGTTCCGACTCCGATGCGTTTCACTAGTTGCGGAGGGACATACAAAGACCAGCCCACTCTCCGAGCTTCTTTCCGTCGGCAACCTTGATGAGGGGGATCTTGTGCTCTGAGCACAAGGCCTCAACGAGCTTTTTGTAGGCGTCCTCATCGCAGTTCTCGTTCAGAACACACATGTGTGCCTGACGACGGTCCAGAGCCTTCGAGGCCTCACGGAGACCGCGGGCGAGTCCGTCGTGCACGAGGGCGTGGCGGAGAACACCCTTGAGAGCGTCCTCGACGGACATCTGCCCCTTGGTAGCAGCGTCGGCGGGGACCTCGATCTCCTCGGCGGCCTCGACCTGGGGGATCTAGTAGCGTGTGTTAGGTATGAGTGGAACGAGGGGGGCCCGGTGGCAGCGTCGTAGCTGCGACTGCTGGGATAACAAAGCGAAGACGTACTTCCTCTCCTGCGTCAGACTGTGGTGGGTGTTAGCGACTTTTCTTGTATTTCAAATTTATGTGTTCGATTCCGACGCTGCAAACGTACCATGATTTTTGATGTAGTGGGTGGAGTGAAGGTAATTTCTGATTGTCGTGATGTCTTTGGCGGTCCTCGAGGAAGTTCCTTGCTTTGTCGGTAAGATGATGGTTCGGGGCTTCGTTCTTCGGTCGTTGGTGGGGCTTCCGTCGTGTGTGAAAAAAATCCAGGGCTAGCCTGTGCCCTATCGCGCATAAGCGCAGTCACACTTTTTGGTGCGCCACAAAGGATTTCACACGCACTGTGCGCGCAACCCCCCCAGCAAACAGGACCCACCCAAAAAATATACCCAAAACCACCCCCCCCGACGACCGACCGAGCTCGACAAATCTACACTAACACATCGCAGCAATGGCAGTCGCGAAGTCCGGTACGTCTACTCCAACTCTACACTCCCACCACGGTCCCGAATTATTGCCGCTCGAAATTCCGACGACGGCAGGCGACGATGCGGACTATGGCAACGATAGCAAAGGGGACACGCGGCTGATCGAATGCTTCGAATTATAGGTATCGCCTACGGGCCCAACAAGGGATACAACAAGCTCACTCCCCGCGACCCCAAGGCAAAGATCTCCCGCCGCAAGGGACACCTTTCCAAGCGCACACAGTTCGTCCGCGAGATCGTTAAGGAGGTTGCTGGGTGGGTTCACTTCACATCTACGCTGCGTCGGATCTCCCCGCTGACAGTCGTTGAACAATAGTCTCTCCCCCTACGAGCGCCGTGTCATTGAGTTGCTCCGCAACTCCAAGGACAAGCGTGCCCGCAAGCTCGCCAAGAAGAGGGTGAGCATCCCTCCCTCCTCCCCTCGACCACCCCTGTCTAACACCTGCGATAGCTTGGAACCTACGGACGCGCCAAGAGAAAGGTCGACGAGTTGACGAACGTCATTGCCGAGTCCAGGAGGCACTAAACGGTGTCGCTTTTCGGAGAATGCTGTTTTTCCGTCGGGGGCTTAGTGACGTACGTGGTTGAGCAAATAAAAATACGAAAAAAGCTTTAACTTCGTCGCACAAAAATCGTTCTCTTTTCACGTTTCACGTTTCGTTCGGGATACTTGCGGTGTTACTACTTGTTGCTTTATGGGTTTGGGGCGGGGGTGAGAAGGGGGGAGGGGGGAGTGAGCGGTAGTTGTCGACGAATACGATTGATTGACTGCCGGAACTGATGACTTGACTGGAGTGCGCCGGCGGACTGGTGGATTGTGATGCTTAACTCCAAGTTCACTTGGCAGCAGCCATAACCACAGATCTTAAGAAACATGAAAACTAGACTCCAAGAAACACACTGCCTAAAGCTCGGCCATGAATCAGAGATATGGGCAGAGCAATGGAACTCTTGCTAGCTACTAGAACACTAGTAGTCATCACTCTTAACAGCTCTCCATGGATCGTAGACGTGCCTTTTTCAATCACTCATGCCGAGGGATTCCAGATGTATCCTCATGTAGACAATACGGAAGACCGATAAGCGGCAAACCCAACTTTCCAACCGCCCTTAAATCCTAGGTATCTAGTAATAACATAGGTACGGGGACTAGATATCCATGAGTAATGCACACGAATCTTACCTCCGTCCGAAACCTCTGTCAATGGACCTGCGAGGGTTAGGTATCGCAACTCTACCACCCCAGCGGACGAGGTAGACGGTCCGTCCCAGGGATTAGGGAAACTTCCAATACAACTGTGTTGTACCGTCGGAAGGACAGTGTTTGTGTGCGGACGGAGCTCCCGGCAGCACACATCCCACATCCCATACGGTAGAGTACATACCCGGTATGCCAGCGTCGGCATGCCGGCGGGACAGTTAACCGGCGCCGCCGTCGGGTAACTCACTAGTAGATAGTTCGGTACGTTGCGCTCTCCGGTCTTCCGGGATCTTAACATCTTATCGCATGTGCTAGCAGCTACGGACGGTAGAGTACTCGGCGGCGGCGGCATCAGGCGGGTGCTCGCCTCATGTCTTCTCACATCATCTCACATCATCCAACTCCGTCAACCCATCCAAGTACCTATCGTACTTGTCATACAAACCACGGCCCACCCTCACCCATTACATAGAACTTAGAAGCCGGCGGCGACTGCACAGTGCAGACGGGATAAGTGAAGTCTGTGTATTGCCGTGTCCTACTTACATACCTAGCCTCAATGATACAATGATCGATCATCAATCATTCAATGATTCAATCATCAACGATCAAACAACCCAACAGAATCATCAGCCTCCGGCCCAGTAGGTAGAATCCTCGGTAGGTAGAATCCGCAATAGGTAGAATCCTCAATCCTCACGCGGATCGAAAGGGCTAACCAAACACGATGCTTGAACTGCTTCACCAAATACCTATTGAATTCCCAGTTCTTCCAAGTTCCAAGTCCCTCAGAATGCCAAAACACCCACCCATTCACAAACCATACGTCATTAACAACATCACATCACCCTACCCATCATCACCATCGATCACCATCGGTCAAATCATCCCATACAATGCTACGCCTACAGCCAGCCAAACAGAGACAAAAAGGATAAGGTATTGGATATCATATCTCCCCCTTCACACGCTCTCCCCCCTGTGTCCTTAGACCCCATCACACCCTCACACCCCCCTCACCCCCCTCACCCCACACAAAAACGAAAAACACACCCCCTCCCCCACCCATCCCCCCCCCCCCTTCATCAATCCCTCGTAGAACACATACACATGCACACACAGACACAGACAAAAACATGATCAGAAATAACACCAGATCCAAACTCCGCATGCGGAAAATTCGACAATGGGAATATCTACCAAATCAGAAAGATCCGACAATCCGACAATCAGATAGACAGAGTTGACACACCACACGACACGCCACGACAACACGACACAACGACACGACAACACGACACTTGCAATTCATTGAAGCTAACCTCCCCCCACCGAGCAAAAAAAAAAAAAAAAACAGAAAAACCCAGGGCAAGTTGAAGTATAGTAAAAGTAAAGTGAAGAAAAAAGGAAGAAGAAAGAACAAAAAAAACACCCAGTACACAAGGGAAAACATATCAAGAAAAGGAAAAACATTAAGAAAAGGAAAGGAAAAAAAAGGAAAAGAAAAAAAAAAGAACACCCCTCACGCCGAGAACGCCAATTATCCGGAAGAGTTGTGGATGCCAGGAGGTGGCATGGATTGAGAGTGAGAGTGAGAGTGAGAGGAGGAGGTGGTGGATGGAGGATCGGGACTGGTGGATGAGGACGAGTATTGTTTGGCCCAGGCCTCGCTGACCGGTATGCTGAACCGTCTCCTGACCCGTTCTGCCATCTGCTCGCGGCTCGGGGGGAGGGAGAGGCTAGCGGGGCTGCCCTTGCCGTACGTCGGAACGTCCATGGCCACTTCGACGGTGGGAAGGCCTTGCTCGAGGAAGCTGGCATATCGCGGATCGTGTGAAGCGATGGCTTGAATGTCGCTGAACTAAATCCAATCAAAAGTCAGTATATAGGACGACATGCGATAGTTTGGACATGCATAAAACGCACCTTCACCCAGAAGACCGACTTGATGTTCAAGTACTTCTCCATCTCCATAGTCCGCGCCTGCGCCCGCTCTTCCATCGTCTTTTTGCTCCAACTCACGTCTTCACAAAGGATGGGCGAGAGCACGCTCCACATACGCAGCCTCTCGTGTTCCGTCGCCGTCCGACGTTCCGTCAGTTGGTATCCGTTGAGTTCGAGATTCGTAGTGCCGAGTACGAGGGCGACCTGAAGGTTCAGCACCCACCGCTCCTGCTTGTGCACGGTACCGTTCGGGGTAGACTCCCCCAAGTTGGGCAGCGTGGCGACAAAGAATGGGATGAAATGCCGGAAATCTTCGGCAGGGAGAGCGAGAGTCTGTTGCTCTGCGGCCACACGAAGGGTATGGGGAAGTGACTGGATTCGAGCTTCTTCCTTCGCCTGTTGCTGAAGGCGAAGAGCTTCCTGTTCACGCGTGATCTGCTGCTGGAGTTCCTCGGCGACTTTCCGGTCTCTGGCCTCCTTCCTCGCCTTTTCAAGCTCCAGATCTCGGCGCTTGGACTCTTCCTCGGCGGCTCTGCGTTCCTGTTCCAGACGCTCGTGCTCCAAACGCTGCCTCTCTGCCTCCTCCTTCTTGTGTTGGATCTCAAGACGGCGTTGTTCAGCGCGGACGGCCTCCCTCTGTCGTTCTTCTTCGAGTCGTGCCTCCTCCTCGATCCGTGCCTGGCGTTCCCTCTCCTCCTTCTCTTTAGCCTCCCTCTCCACCTTCTCCCTGGCTTCTCGTTCCTCACGCTCCTGCTCCTCCCTCTCCTGCCGTGCCCTTGCCTCGCGTTCAGCCGCCTCCTTCTGGATTCGTTCGGCCTCCGCCTTGGCATGGGCTTGACGTTCCAGTTCCCCTCGTCGTTTCGCCTCCAGATCGCGTTTGATCTGTTCAGACTTTTCGCGGAGTTCCTCTTGAAGTTGTTCCTTCTCGGCTTTCTCGCGAGCTTCCTTTTCAACCTTCTCTTTCTCCTCCTGCTCCTGTTCCTCCCGCTCACGAATGATCCGCTGCCTTCGCTCTTCCTCCTCCCGTAGTCGCCGTAGCTCCAGTTCACGGTTGATGACCTCGTCAGCACGCTTCTCCATGGATTCCTTGAGGGCCTTTTTTTGGATCGAGGCCAACTCCTTGATGAGATGTTTTTTCCTCAAGACTTCGCGGGCTTCCGATTGGAGCTGCTCCTGACTGATTCCACCAGCCAGTCCCTTTTCCCGTAGTCGCCCTTCCTTCGTCGTCCTCTTCTCCTTCTCCCGTTCCTTGACCCTCTGACGGCGGTCATCTTCGCCTGGGCGTGACTTATCGGCGTTCGACGAGGTTGACGCGTCGCGGCGACGTGGGGGCTCGGGAGCGGCGGGGGTGGGAGGTTTCGACGACTCTTCGCGTTTTAGGCGTCGGGGCTCTTCGGTGATGGAATCCCTTCGGCGGTCACGATCATCCGGATGTTCCTCCCTCCTGCGTCGTCTCAGTTGCTCCTCCTGCTGACGTCGTTCGATATCCGACCGTGGAGCCCGTGGTGGGGAACGCGTTCTGGAAGCCGGTCGCTTCATTTCCCTCGCGGTGCTGTTCGATCTCGTGCTGGACGGTCGGCGCTCCCGTGTAGACCTTACTTTCGCTGGTCGAACGAGCGGGGGAGCATCCTCCATCGGAGCATCCTCGGAAGGCTCCTGCTTCGTCTGCTTCTTTGGGGGGGCCTCGACTTTGATGGTGTCCTCGATTTCGGTCTTGACGGCCTTGACGACCGATGGCTTTTCGGTAGTCTTCTTGCCACTGTCACGTTCATCATCGCGTTCCTTCATCGTCGTCGGGGAATCGGCAGCACGCGCAGCCTCCTCGTCACGAACTTTTCCAGAGACTAGTCTCCGTCGTTTCTTAGCTGCTGCCGCGCCACCGGCCGCCACGGACTCCGACTCGCTGACGGTGGGAAGATCGCTCGCACGATGGGACGGATTCGCCGACGTCGAACGTTTCTCGTCGGTGTTCGATGATCGTGTGGGGCGGCCGCTCTGACTCGGATTGGATGAAGAATTACGTCGTGACTGTTTCGCTGTGGACGTGTTCGCATTCATTGTCGGGTGTCTGGCCTTTGGCGAGGATTTATGACGGGATGGTGACTTGGCCTCGCTTCGTCCACCCGCCTTTTGCCAAGCCTCTTGCAGCAATGCGACTTCCTCCTGCCAGTATTCCCCTTCCCTCTCGCGAGCGATTTCGGGATATGTCCGGCCTTTGCTGTCTTTTCGGAGAGGATCCGCGCCGTTTTCGAGGAGGTAGCGTAGAATGACATTGTTGCCACGTCCGATGGCTGCGAGCATAGGCGTTTCCTCTGCTGCCGGCATCGACACTTCTCGCTTCCTCCTGCTCCCTTCTCTGTCCACCACTCCGGGCGCCGGATCCACCTCGGCCTGGTACGCCAACAACAGACTGACAAGTTCAGCATGCCCACCCTTGATGGCTCCAACCAAAGCTTCGGTATCAGGTTTCAGGCCGGTTTCCAGCAGAGCATGCACCATCTCCATATCCCCCTCCCTCGCCTTTTCTCGAAGTTTGATGACTGAACCCTTTCCGGAATCCAACCACAACAGGTCCTTCCTACTCTGTTCGGCCCTGGCATTCCTCCTCCGAGTGCTCTGAGCGGGCGCAGCGGGGGATTGATGGGCGGGACTAACGACGGAATCATCCCTCGACGACGGACTATCACGGCCTCCTCCTCGAACACTTATATTCTCATCGTCGGAGGCTCGCTGCACCGGTCGTTGTTTGGAGGCTGCTTTGAGTAGTGCTTCAATCTCCTCACGAACTTCCGGAGACTCATCGCCCTCACTGTTGGCATCCAAACAGGTCCTTCCCCGGTTATCGCGTTGTGTCGGATTGGCGCCCAGGCCGATGAGGTACTTGATCACTGGGACGTGACCGTTCTCGACGGCATCCAGCAGCGGAGACTCGAGATCGATTCGCGAACGAACGTCATACTGTGCTCCGTACTTGACCAATACCTTGACGACACCGAGATGGCCATTGAGGGATGCCTCGTGGATAGGCATGTAACCTGCATTGTCTTCGGCATTTATCAGTTCGGTGCTCTGTTCGAGTATTGCCTCGACCTCAGCAACCGCCCCACGTCCACACGCCCGGTGCAGGTGCGTACGACCCGCAGTATCTCGTTTTGGCTTGTGAGACATGCTTATCGGCGACCCAGGTGTGCGAGCGGCAGAGGCAAGTCGCCGACGACTGGCGGGCTCGCTTTCGGATTCGGATGACGAATTATCGGAGAGGTGAACGATCGTTGTCCGTATGACTGGTAGTGGTATTTTGCGCTGGGGTCGACCAGCGGAGTTGGTGGTGGTAGTGGCGGCGGTGGTTGTGGCAGATGTTCCCTTAAGTTTCGTAATTCTTGTCGGGCTGAGTCGCGAGTTGGGGGGAAGTGAGGGGGACGATCGGGAGGTTTGCTTTCTTGTCTGCGGCGAGGAGGATTCGAAGCGTAGGGCTGGATTTCGATTCCGCCGGGGTCGCGTCCGCGTTCGTTTTCGAGGTTCGGGCTTGGGGTTTAGTTGGGGTTCATCTTCATGCGGTGGCTCGTCGTCGTCGCGATAGTCATCGTCCGATGTAGCACCATTGACCGGGGCCTTCCGTTTTTTGAAATTGTTGCCGTTATTGCTAGTGCCCACCGTGTTACTGCTGTCATAGAAATTGGTGGAAGCCCACGAATGACGCCTGGAATCAGGCTCGATGGTGAGCGACTGCGTGTGCGTGTGCGAAGGATTCGGTGGGAATTGTCGAGTATGGGATTGCGGCTGGCGGGGATTCCGTCGCCGCACCGGCGAAGTCTGGCGTGACGACCGTGTTGAACTGAGAGCCGACGAGTACTCGGCATCGTGCTCATCCTCATCAACATCCCCACTGTCGCTACTTCCCTCTGCTCGCACCACTCTTCGGGCACCAACTGCTGCTCCCAGTGGCTCACCGAGCGATGCACTCCTCTTCCTCCTCTTTCGCGGGCTCTCTTCCCCGTCTCCAACTGTTTCCCTTCCCCGCCATGAATTTCCCCCCGTCCTTTCCATCGTGACACGCCTGCTTCCACCGTTCCCCCGTCTCCCCCTGCTGCCATTCTCCATACGCAATTGTATGGAGCCCTGGCCTTCTTCCTCCTCCTGCCCGTCCAAAACCACCGTTTCGGCCTCGGAAAGGTCACCGTCACCATCGTCGTTAGAGGGGTTATTCGCGGGTTTCGCGAATGAGGAGGTAGTGGAGGAGTGGGGTGGTCGCGGAGGATTCTGTAGTTGTGTCTGTTTTTCAGTATTCAGTTGTTGTTGTTGTTGTTGTTGTTGTTGTTGTTGTTGTTGTTGTTGTTGTTGTTGTTGTTGTTGTTGTTGTTGTTGTTGTTGTTGTTGCTGTTGTTGTTGCTGTGATGATGATGATGTTGATTTATTCTTATATGGTGCCGCCGTCGAAGAGGAGGGTGGTATTTGCGAGGAGGGTCTGCGTGGAGGGAGGCCGCCGTTCGCGCTGGTAGTCGTCGATGATTCTGATCGAAGACCTTGGTGGGACGACATGTTATGCTATGAGGGTCCACGGCGATGGGAGAGCTTCATTGCTGAAACGCTACTACCCTCTGTCTGCGGTTGCGGACTTCCGGCGTCGAGGGCTGGAGGATATCTGGCGAGGGACGATGGTGAGGGTGGAGGGTGAGGGTGATGATAACGACACGCGGCGGAGGGCGTGATATGTGTGTGTGTGAGTGTATGTGTACGATATGTACCGAACGAATGAACGAGCGAACGCTTATTATTTTTTGTCCTCGCGAAAAAAAAAGTGAATAACGGTTATGTATGATCAAGGAGGGAGAAGGGGGTAGAGGGAGAAGGGAAACCGGACGGTGAAGGGGGGGTGTGGTGTGTAAGGGAGTGTGTGGGACAGGGACGGGGGGGACGGGGACGGGATAGAAGGAGAGCGAGAGAGAGAAAGGCGATAGGTACTTCTTTCTACTCTACTGCAGCACTCTCTCCACCACCAGCACTACTGCTGCTGCTACACTTCCCCACGACCACCGGGAGACGTTGGTGGCGAGGAAGGGGGGAGGGAGGGGGAGAGGGAGGGGGGTGGAAGGGAGGGAGGGAATTGTACGGGTAGGAGGGCGGGAAGGAAATAGACTTCACGGCAAGTGGGTCTTTCGGGGATTGGTGGTTTTTGGTGGCAGAAGCGGAATTCAAAATGTATGTGAGTTGAGTGAGGGTTTGGGCTTGGGGGGTGGAGGAAATGGCCAGAGCAAGCGGTCGCTGGGTGTGGGATGGAAATGGGTGTGTGGGCAAGTGGATTCGGTGGTGGTGGTGGTGGATGGATGCCCTTGCGAGGGAGCTGGAAGTACTCTAGTTTGGGGGCCGACGGCGGCGGAGGCGGGCGCACAAGCAAAGAGAGTCGACTACCTAGGCTTAGATGGTCAGTCAGTTCTGCTTGCGATGTAGGTTGACTTGACTTGATGATGGTCTGCCTGCCTGCTGACTGTCTGACTGTCTGACTGTCTGTCTTGCTGTGTCTGTCTGCTGTGCGCTGCTGCGATCCGATCTCGTAGGTAGAGTGCAATAGGGCACGTAGGGTATGTAGATACTATTCTTCAGGAGATAGAGTGCGGATAGATGGAGCAGGTCAGGTAGATGGGTTGCAGAAAGTCGATATGGGTAATAGAGTAGAGTAGGAGTAGATTCCGACTCGAAGGGAGATTTGATGGGAGGACTGGAGACTGGGGACTGGCTGGAGACTGACTGACTGGCCGACCGACTGATGGAACGGGCAGGGCGGCCCACTCGCTCTCTCTGTCTCTCGGTCTCTCTCTCTTCCCTACTCTCTCGTATCTCGCGCCTTCTCGTTCGTTCTCCTTCCGTTCCTCTCTCTCGCAAGCAAGCAAGCAACCATAAGGGAGGGAGGGACTGGAAGCAGCCGCAGCGACCACACATGCAACCATCAGCCAGCCAGCAACAGCAACCTGAGCCAGCCAGCAACAGCAACCTGAGCCAGCCAGTCCCGGCAAGCAAGCAGCGAAGCAACAAGCCCCCCCAGCGCAGCACAGAAAATCAAGGCCGTGGCCCAATCCAAATCCAATCCAACCCCAATCCGAGCCTGCACATCCATTCAGGCCGGGATGTTTTTTGCTGCGGCGCTTGCTCCCATCACGGGAATCGCTTCTCCGTTTCAGGGAGGGTCTCGGACCGCTGTGCCATGGTTGAGCGACGCTGCCCTGCCTTCTTGTGCTGGCGGTATGGAGGCCGCTGGTTTATTTATTTGTATTTTTATTTGTTTTCTATTTATCTATGCGAGGCAGCAATGAAGCCTAAAGGTCAGGTTACATGAGGTCGCACCTCGACTCCACGACTCCTCAAAGACTTGCCGACCGGCGACGGTACTCTATCATAGCACCGATGCAAAACGTGCCATACAAAAATCCATTTGGGAAACCTCGATTCCAGATTCCAGATTCCACTACTGTCAGCGTTTTTCCCGATTTCCCGATTGCGACACTTGTTCCGGTCCAGTGTCCACTTCGCTTCGATCTCTAGTAGGTAAGTCCAGTGCACTGCTCACGGCTCACTCGTGACTCGAGGTCAAAAATAATCGTAGAAAAAAACAAATAAAAAACAAATAAAATATTACGATCCATCGAGCGAACTAACCAAACGGAACACTGGCGCTTGTGAATGTACTCTATCTATCATATGTGGCCGGTACCGGTACCTGTCCCGCCGAGCGGCTCATGTTTCCGCACCCTATCAATCACCCGGGACTTTACTATAAAGTATCGATTAACGATATCTTCGATCCGGACCGAGCTCGCTGAGAGGAGTGCGGGCGTGTTTGAAATTGTCTTGTCGACGTGTTCGATTCTCTCTCTCCGATGTGTGGGCTAGAGTAAAGTACTGGCGGTGGGCTACACCGTTGTGGCGGATTGCACGCACGCATAATTTACACGTGACTGGAGCGGAAGATAAGATTGATCGATCGGATTAAGGTAATGGCCGGAGTGTTTCACAGCTCATCACACAGCCGCGCACAACACCACCACCATTATAAGTTCACAATATCCCTACTTAGCCAGTTCCACAGGTATTATTCCCACAAGGGAGGAAGCTTCATACACGACTGTCAAGTTGGCAAACCGTTCCGTTTGATGATGTCAGCAGAGCTCGTCCTAGCACATTAGCACAAAGTCCACTTTCCTCCCGGTCTTTGTGCTGTGATGACAGGATGAAAGTTTGTAGTTTGATCCACCAATCTATGTACTCTAAAAGGACCCATTCGATCTTGAGCTCAGGCAACATGCTTGTAGGTTTATCCACCAAGCTACCCAGGAACTCTGGAGTCTGGAAGGACCCATTCGAGCTCACGCAGCATGCTTGTTCCAATGGCTCTGGTCACATTAGCATAAGATCTTTTCTTCCACTCGGTGTTTGTGATGTGATGATAGGATGACAACTTATGGTTTGATCCATCAAGCTACTCACTCTGGAGTCTGGAAGGCGCCATTCGAGTTCACGCAGCATTACTTAGGTATTGTTCCAATAGCTTTGGTCACATTAGCATACCTAGGATCCTCTTTTCCTCCCGGTGTTTGTGATGTGCTAATAGGATGCTTGGAAGTTGTAGGTTTGATCCACCAAGCTACCTAGGAAGGTACTCTGGAAGGCGCCATTCGAAATCGAACTCACACAGCATTATCTTACCTATTGTTCCAAGTTCCAATGGCTCCGGTTCGTCCGGGGAATACCTACCCTATGTGGGGGAGTTTCGGTACCCAATACCGAATAGCACGCCGGAAGGCACGCCAAAACGCACCTTCATCGTTTCATTGAACGGTCATTGAATGATCCGTCAATCGGACACATCCATCATCCATGCAAGACGGCCTGGACATCAAGCCGTAGCAAGCCGTGCGTGCGACAGCCACTCCGGAGTCCGGACTGTTTCTACATAACATAACGGCAGCGGAAATTCTTGTTTCCGTACCCGACTGCCCCGGCAAGCCTGAGTACGATCTCTGCTCTGGCAATCGACCAATTAAAGCAGCCAGGCGGGAACAAACTGCACATTGTTTCGTTCTCCCCTTGGATTCCCCCAGGGATACTCACCTTGTGTCACTCGTGTGCATGCTTGCGCCGCTAATTTGCAAAGTACTGGTACTCATTTCGGCTGATGTGATTGATGGGTTGCCGTATGTCTGACACAAGTTTGTTGATCTAAAGAGTGGAGGACTTCCCTTGCGGTGTTTGCTACCTACCGCCCCTCACAAAGGCCTTGGATTTGGCGCATTTCGCGCACTGCACCCTTCAAAATCCAGATCCGCAGCCGCGCGACCGGGGTGGAGTGCCTGGGGCCTGGGCAAGGCTGATACCGCACAGCCACAACGGCAAATTCCGTCCGCAACTCCGCCACGCGTCATCCATCCGCATCCACACTCCACATCTCCACATCTCCACATCTCCACGAAACCCACCACGACGCATTTCTCTCTCTCCACGCCGGATTACTCCACCCCCCCCCCCACACACACACGCATAACAATGATACCACCACTCCCCCCCCTCCCCCTCCTCCTGCAGTCCCTCTACACCCTCGCCGCAGCGTCCATACTCCTGGCGAACTCGATCCCCGCGCTCCAGCGGCGGTTCGTAGGGTACGGCAAGACCGCTCCTCCCGCCGCTCCCTCCATCACTACCAAGGGGACCGCAACAGGGCTGCTAGACAAACTCGCGGCGATAACCGTCCCGCACACGTGGTTCACGCACTTCTACGTTTCCGCCGTGGTGTTCAGCGTATTCTGGATGATGCAGATCCTTGCGCGCGGGGGGTGGTACCAGGTTGTGGCTGGTATGGCGGGCGCGGGTGCGGGTGCGGGCGCGGGAATGGAGGGGACGGGGAAGGCGGGGATGGGGAAGGGGAAAGAGACGGGGATGAAAATCGAGCAGGTAGTGCTTGCGTGGGCGTGTTTCGTCGCGCAGGTGGGCCGGCGATTGTACGAGTGCCTGTACGTGCAGAAGAGCGGGGGTGCCAGTCGCATGTGGGTCGCGCACTATCTCGTCGGGCTGCTGTTCTATGCGGCCATGGCGGTGGGGGTGTGGGTCGAGGGGACGGGTATGTTTTCCGTCATCAGGAGTGTGGGGGTGGTGAGTGTGTGCTGATGGTTATCGACGTAGCGGCGATCGATGCGTTTAAGTTTTCGCCCACGGCGCTGAAGGGTCTGGTCAATGCGCCGTCGCTCAAGTCGTTTGTGGGGCTGATACTCCTGTTTGTCGCCAGCGGCGCGCAGCACGACTGCCATACTTACCTGGCGAGTCTCAAGAAGTACTCCCTCCCGACACATACGTTTTTCCGGGCCGTGGTGTGTCCGCACTATACCGCCGAGGTGGTGATTTACCTTGCCATCTCTGTTATTGCGGCGCCGCGCGGCGCCGTGGTAAATACTACGGTGTTTGCGGGCGCGGTGTTTGTGGCCGCCATACTAAGCGTCTCGGCGGGGAGGAACCGCGAGTGGTACAGGCAGAAGTTTGGGGAGGAGGCTGTGCGAGGGAAGTGGTGTATCATTCCAGGGGTCTATTGAAGCATAGGTAGGTTTGATAGAATAGATACCTATGGTGCGGGGGAACGATGAAGTCGTGCGTGTTCTGTTCTGTTCTGTTCCATCACTTCCGTCCAAACAACCTCCCCACGTCCGCAACCTTCAGCACGTCGCGGTACGTCAAACTCGTCCTAGTCTGCCGCTCATACCTGCCCTCCGTGAACGCCTGTGGCTCTCCCAGCAGCGCCCAGTTCGCAACCGTCTCCGGCCCCAAGTCCTCATCACTCGTCCGCGCCTCGATGCCGTGTAGGTGGCTCGCATACACCTCTCCCGTCGTAACCAGCAAACTGAGCACCGCTCCATCAGCCGCGCACCCGTCACCCCCACGCCCCCAACAGCACTCACCTCCGCGGCTCCTGCAAGATCCTGAACTTCGGCGTCCTCCCGCCCTCGCCCTTCTCGTAAATATCCAGCACGATCGGCGCGCCCAAGCTCACCGTGGCCACGACGGGATGATACGCCGCGCCGTCCTCGTGCGGCATGATTCCCTCGCCGGGGGTGTACTCATTGACAAGGACATGGTTCGGGCGCTTGTGCGGAGCGTGGTCCCACACGCCGAGAGCCTGCATGCGCGGGACGAGGGACTCGAGGAACGCCGGGAGCGCCGCAGAGAGAAGCACGTTGCTCGAGCTCAGCGCGCTGGGGTGTGTTTGCAGCCGCCGGTGGCTGAGGATCGTCCATTTCGGCTTGGGTTGAGAGAGGATGCTGGATTGCAAAGAGGATTCTTCGGCGGGCGTGATGAAGGATGGGATGTAGTGGATTGTTGGGGGGGGAGACGGGATGGCGGTTGCGGCGAGCGGGGCGGGGGTGGACATGCTGGTGGGGTGGGTGGTGGTGAGGTGCGGTGGTGGGGTGGAGTAGGACGGGCGAGGTCAGGCAGCTGGCGTTCACACTACCTATTCAGGTACAGGTCGCATGAATAGTGATGGAGCGTGCGGGAGATGGAGCGTGCAGTGCGGGCCCATCGTGTAACTCTCGGAGCTTTGGCGGGGATGTCAGGTGACTCGGGTGAGGCTCGAACAAGCTCGGTAGACCCTGACTGTGGTGAAGACTCTTAGAAGAAACTTTATCTCTTCACTCCCAGATACAGCAAGCGGTATGTGGGCGAGAAGACGAGGTGGAGTTGTGGGAAGAGGCGCACCAGCTATCACTCTGGAAAACACACCACTTATGGTATAGCCAGAGACGTGGGAGATATCTCGTATGAAGACTTGGCCCCCGCAGCAGAGAATTTTCGTGAGGTAACTAGGGGTGCGAACCATGCGGGAAGCATCTACAGCCGGATGATAAGTGTTGTATGATAGGTGGTATCTCTACCGAGTTGGAGCTCAAGGAGCGGGAAGATATACAGGCGGAGACGACGATGGCCAAGCGGCTGGCTGTAGAACGGGTTGCTGACTGCAATAGGGCATTCGGTACCGGCTAGGCTCAGTGGGAGTGTGTGCGGCGTGTAGAGAGATGTGTGAGAACTGTTTTTTGCGCGTGGGTGGATCGGGGGGCAAACGTGACGAGATGAAGATTCTGCACTGTTAGCTGCCCTCAGCCCTGCGGTTGGCGGATACAGCCGGAGGATATGCATTCAGGTAGGCAGACACGAACGACGGTGAAGATTCACATAAAGTAGACGATCCACCTAGTCGGAGAAAAAACCAGTAGTGCGGCTGCCGTTTGGGTGGAGGTACCCATGGGCGGCTTCCCTACTCACTGCAGGTTATACCCGGATCGTACCTGCTTGACTCGGAACGATGCTCTCACGTCCGTCCGTTTCTTTTCTTTGGCGAAATGTGGGATTGCGGGGAATTACTCGACTCCTTCTGGAGCTATCCAGGGGTCCGGTGTGGTTTCGTTTGGTGGGCTGCTGCAACTGCGGGCACTAAGCTCATCTTTCGGCGCCGCTACTCCCTGCTGAACGTTATCGATTGGGGTTTGCCCTACTGAGCCGCACTAGCCACTCCCGTCCCACACACCAAAACACCAGTCACTCGGAATCGCACTGAGTTTCCCAGCAAAGCCTCAACGAGTCTGCAGAACTACACCACGACGAACGACGACAAACGACAAACGCCCAACGCCGACGACAGACAACGCCGACCGACGCCGACCGCCGCCTCCCCGGATTCAGCAACCTCTCGTTATCACGCCATCTACACTCCTGCAAGAATGTCCACATTCGAGCCTGTGGTGAGTTCTACCTCCCAGCTGCTTCGGTTTTCCAGACCTTACGCGAAACTCAATGATCGCGTTGCGGCGCGCGCGCTATCTGCGGTGGAGCTTGGATGTTGGGAGCACGGGGAAGCTGGCAGAGCTTGCGAGAAGAGCATTAGATGTGCTAATAGCTATTCTTTTCGCTTATAGGTTGTCATCGATGGCAAGGGACATCTCCTTGGTCGCTTGGCCTCTACTGTGGCCAAGCAGCTCCTCAACGGACAGAAGATCGTTGTCGTGAGATGCGAGGACCTCAACATCTCCGGCGAGTTCTTCCGCGCTAAGCGTAAGTCTACACTCCTCTATCCTCGCTGCTGCCGCTCTCATCGCGTTCAAGCATGCTTACTCGATCGTCTCGCATACAGTGAAGTACCACGCCTACCTCCGCAAGGCCACCCGTTTCAACCATACCCACGGACTCTTCCACTTCCGTGCCCCGTCGCGTATCTTCTACAAGGCCGTCCGTGGTATGATTGCCCACAAGACTGCCCGTGGTAAGGCTGCGATGGACCGCTTGAAGGTCTTCGAGGGTGTCCCCCCTCCCTACGATACCAAGAAGAGGATGGTCGTGCCCCAGGCCCTCCGCATCTTGAGGTTGAAGCCCGGACGCAAATACTGCACCGTCGGACGGTTGTCGTCTGAGTTCGGCTGGAGCTACGGTGAGGTCGTTAGCAGGTGAGATCTCCCCGCGATTGTATCCGTTGTCGAAATGTCATACTGACGTCTTTCGCCACAGACTCGAGGAGAAGCGCAAGACCCGCTCTGAGGCCTATTACCAGAGGAAGAAGGCCTTGATCAGGAAGTTGAACGCTGCTAAGAGGGAGGTCACTACCAACTCTGAGGAGTTGGCCAAGTTCGGATACTAGACATTTGCTACGATGAATGCTATTCCCGATGTTTGACTGCCTCTCGACTAGTGACCTCAATGTAGACCATTTCTACGCTTTTCTTTCTCCATTTGGACATGTGATGGTTGAGCTATGACGGTTCAAAAGTTTTTTTTTCTTTTGGGGGCGGGCGCGTTTTTTTGTACGAGGCTCTCATACCCAAATGGGGTAGTTGAGTGATATATAATGTAGCACGTGACTCTCCTGGCACTCATACAGTGAATTTCCAGTAAGAATCCGCCTGCGCAATGCAAAGGAGCCTACTCCGATGCCTACGTGGGGTAACGATACCCATCTTTTTATCAAGTGCACTGCATCTAATGGCGATGAGAGGTTCTTTCGGATCTTCTGTCTTCTATTCTTGTCTACCATGCTATGCGTGCGCCGCCGTGGAGACTGACTTTTGGTTACAAAGAAATGAAAGAGAATGGAACGTAGTGCCCCCGACTGAATACTAGGTTCTTCTGAGGAGTGGCGGCGATCCGACGGCCTGAGGGGTTGCCGGCTGTGGTGATGAGCATCTCAGATACCAACGGACCTTATAACGGACCTTGGCCATTCAACCTGAGTCGTAACGTAATGCCCTTTCGTATGTATATTCCCACTGGTTGTAACTGGGTTAGTAGAAAAGCATGGGCGATGAGCTGGGAAATTGGGAATCATGTGCCATGACCGTAGTGACAATATGTGAGCCAAGCTTAGCGGGACTTCCCGCTCGGGACGCTAATAGCCATGTCCTGAATCAACCCCGTGCGTTACATCACCTCTCACCTTGAGCTTGAATGGGTGGGGAGAAGTCTATTCTTACACAGATCTCCAGTGCCAATCATACAAAGTACTCCTGTTTCTCTGTTTTGCCGCCCTGAATCCGAAACGTCCGCTGCCCCACCACGCCCCAGCCCCGGTGGACTCTATCAGCCGCAGCCTTCCATCCCACTGCAACCACCACGACCAGCGACCGTTCCCCACGATACCCCCTCCTCCACAAACAACCGATCCATCATGGCAACCCACAACACCGACGAAGTACGTGATCTCTCGCCGCTCCATCGGGCCACAGCTAACACGAGCTCCAGGGCGCCTCAGCCAAAGAGCTCCTCCTCGAAGCCGCGCGTCGCGACAACACCGAGCTTCTCACAGAAGTGCTCGAGCACCACCACACGCCGGAGTTCCTCAACAACTCGACCGACGCGCTCGGCAACACCGCGTTGCACGTCGCCGCACAGTATGGTGCTTGTACGCCTTCCCTCCCTCCCTCCCTCCATCCCCTTTGCGCGATTGATGCAGTGCTGATGCGGGACGTGCGAAAAAGACGACGTGATGGACGAGCTCCTGGACCAGGAGGGCCTCGAGGTCGACCCGCGGAATCGCATGGAGGGGAATACCCCGTTGCACAAGGCTGTCTACTTCGCCAAGGGCGAGAAACAGCTGGGATTGGAGATAGTCAAGTTGTTGACGGAGGCCGGGGCGGATCCTAGGTTCTTTCTCCTACTCCCCTACATCACCTACCCCCCTACCTCACCTACCCCCCTACCTCACCTACCCGGTACCTCGCCTGCCTACCCCGGAAACTAACGAGTAGAGTGAGTGCAGAGTCCGCAACAAGCAGAAACAGCGTCCGATCGATATCAGTGATCCGAGGGATACGGAGCTCCGCCAGGTTCTGCAGAGTGCGGAGTACATGATGAGTATGGGCAACGACTTGGTTCCCGAGGAGGACACAGACGACGGGCCCAGAAGCGGAAGCGAGAGTAGTTAAGCCGTGAATGGCGGGGGTTACTGCGTACATACTAAAGTTTAGACCGGTAGACGATTAGGGCTGGTGCTGGTGGGGTTTGGTTTGAAAAGTGGACGACGGGAGGGAGCATCATTGTGTTTTTTTCTTTCTTTCTACACATGCAATTGTGTGAGATGGGCGTTTGGATGGGTCATATGGGGCATCTCAGATTACTCGCGCTATACTATACCTACACTTTTACTTCCCAACACACATACATAGTTGCAGGGGATTCCTCGGGCGTTTGTGAGTGCTTGTCAACCGGTCAAGCGGGGTGGGAACGGTGGTGAGCCCTGACAAATGTGGAGACAGTAACTTGGGTTTGTGCGAGACAAGACTTCCCGAGATGATCAAAACCTGCCGGGGCAGGCCTCTTCGGGCTGCATACATCGCCTCGATGGTAGAGATATGTGGCTAAGGTCGAGTACTCTCTGACGCCAAATCTAAGGGGGCCGAGCAAGGCGTCTCGTTTGTCTCGATGCATCACCATTTCAACTTTCAAATGCCTCCGCTGCAAAGGCGGTCATAGAAACTCACGCAAGTTCAAAGCAGTAAAAATGGCTATTCAAGAACACCACCTTGCCCTCCCCGAGCTCTCAATTCAAACTAGAGTTGAACCTAGCTGTCATATGTATCCGACCCAACTCGAACCACTCTGCACACCTACATTATCTGTCCGAGCAATCACTCGTCCCCCAACCCACACCTCCCTTCCAGACCTACCTACATACCAAAAACACAAACACCACCACCACTCCCACCACCACCACCACCACCACAACCCTCACCACCACTTCCTCCTCCACGATGACGCATATCCAACCACCCGCCATAATCCTAACCCGCTACACCTGCGGTTGCGTCAGCCTCCCCAAGGACCTCGAGCGGGTGCAGGAGCTCCTTAGCAAGCGGCACGGCGGCGCCGGCATGTACCTCTCGCTCGGTGCGGCTGCGGACGCCTCGCTGGCGCAGGCGGACTACGAGTGTCTGCTGTGCGTGATCGCTAGGCTAGGGGAGGATGCGAGGGTCGGCATCGTTACCATGCGGATGCGGAGCGGCGGACGGGGCGGGCAGGGCGGGGAGTAGTGGAGATGGATGTAACGCCGTTAGAGACGGGGAGGGGATGCTCATGCTGCTTGATGCTGCATCCTTTACTGGTGAGCCGTTCTTCAGATGTGCGGGTTTAGTGTGCGGGAGGGCTGATTCTGTAGGCCTACCTACTTAATATTTAGAGTGCGATCAAGATGGGAGCGCGGGAGAGCGGATAATATTATGTTGCAGGTGGGCAGTTTGACATGCGTATGTACGACGATGTGAGTAATCCTTGGGCTTCGAGATCTAAGCTCGATGGGCATTGCTGATTGTTTAGATGCAGAACCACTTTATACCATTAATACCTATTCAGTGGGAAAACAAGTTACGGAGGACCTTAATAAGAGCGGAAACATCAAATCATTGTTGCATACGGGCCGTCTAGTCTATGGCGACAGCCCACAGGACCTAACTAACGGGCGAATCTCGGTCAGATGTTGGAAATGGTGAGTGATAAGTTGTGCAAATAGGTCGACAAATCATCACCACATCCTGGCATAGAATCTCGTTGGATTTTAATGTCTTCCATGATTGCTGGTCGTATTTTACCCCCATCTATGGACTTTAGAGTGGAGCAGGTCTCTGGTGGGTGTTTCCGATTATCGATAATCCGTATGGGTAATATGATTCACGGTGAAGGACTGAACTCAAAGTGGCTCGGCCGATGAGATGAGACTTTGTTTAATATAGAGTTGGCTTCTGTTGGATCTTCCGTGCGAAGGGCGGTACGATAGCCAGATCAATCCCTCTTTGTTTAGCTTTTTAGATTTCTCCAGTGGATCAAGACCGAACAAATTTGACGGTCAGGATCCGCTGTGACTATTAGCACGGTGTAGAACTTAGTGTTATCATCAATCGTATCAATCAAACACCTGAGAACTAGAACCTTTTTTGGATATTTCTGTCCCTCGTGATCATTCGTGGAACGGCCACGTCAGCACGTGATCTCCCCTGTCGCGCCCCTACTCTACAGGTATCCCCGCGACCTTTACACGTCGTCCTGGCATACCGTCACCACGTCGTCCCGTCATACCCTCACGACCTCAACCCGCCAGTTCCCCACCACGAAAATGTCCTCCACCTGCAAGCGCAGCGAATCCAGCACTCACAAACCGAAGCGAGTAAAAGCGGAAACCGGCGCCTCGACACCCCGCGAGCTCATCGTGCTCCAGAAGCTGCCGCCGCTGGAGATCGCGCCGCCCGCCGAGCTCCAGAGTCCGGTCGTTATCGATCCGCGAGCTACGGAGATCGCGCGGCGGATCCTCAGCGATGTGTGGGGATACCCGGCGTTCAGACTCGAGCAGGAGGCGGCGATTACAAGGCTCATATGTGGCGGGAGTGCGGCCGTCGTGTTTCCTACTGGTGGAGGGAAGAGCTTGGTATATCAGGTCTCCGCGCTGGCGTTTGATCTGTTCGATGAGATCTGTGGAAGGAAACCCGGGAGGGGTGTCACGCTGGTTGTCAGTCCGTTGATCGCGTTGATGAAGGTATGGGCTTTTTCGCTGGCGGAGGGGGGGATACGTGCTGATCGGTCGGCGCAGGACCAAACCGAAGCGTTGAAGAAGCGGGGGGTTAAGGCCGCTGCGCTCGATAGTTCCCAGGACAGGCACAGCGTGCTGAATACCTACGATATGTTGCGTTCGGGGGAGTTGAAGCTACTGTTAGTTAGTCGGGATATGCACGACTAGGGCCACCAGCTGATCGGATGCTAGTTATGTTGCGCCGGAACGACTCAATAACGAGGCATTCGTCGAGACGATCAAGGAGGTTAAGATCCGCATGGTGGCCGTGGACGAGGCCCACTGTGTTTCTGAATGGGGGCAGTCGTTTCGTCCCGATTACTTGAAGGTTGCGCGGTTCGCGAAGGAAGTCAATGCCGAGCGCGTGCTCTGCCTGACGGCGACGGTGCGATAAAATTTGAGCTTGTGGGTTTGAGTTGTTGCTGATTAGCTTGTAGGCTGCGCCGAAGGTTGCCAATGATATCCTCGTGGCATTCGACATCGCGCAGGAGGGTCTTTTTAAAACTCCCACGTTTCGTCCGAAGTTTGTTCCCATCTCCCGAACGTAAAATCGGTCACGGCTAACTTCCACAGTCTCCATCTCAATGCGATGGCTGTTGAATCTCAGGTCAAAAAGAAGACCCTTCTCTCTGAGTTTCTCAAGGCCAACCCAGGGCCATCGATCATCTATGTCACGACCCATGCTGTAGGCATCACCCTCCGTAACTTTTGACATTATGGCTGACATTCCCAAGGAAGCACAAATGGTGTCCGACTTTCTGGTGAAGCAAGGATTTACTGCTGCTGCATACCATGCAGGACTTGCTACTGACATACGTACCAAGATCCAGGACCGTTTCATGGCATCGAAAGACATGATTATTGCGGCAACGATTGCTTTCGGTATGGGCGTTGACAAGGCGGACATTCGCAATATTGTCCACTTTACGGTCCCCAAATCCCTGGAGGGCTACAGTCAGGAGATAGGCCGTGCCGGAAGAGATGGTCTTCGCGCCAACTGCATGTTGTATCTCACCGTCTCCGACATTCGGCAGCACGAATCCTTCTCTCGAGCCGACGTCCCTTCGCTCGCAAGTGTCACCGGGTGCCTCAAAGCCTTTTTCGGGGAGTTCCCACACGCCGAGCAAGACCACGTCGTGGAAGCGAACATGTACAGCCTCGGAAAGGATTGGGACATCCGCCCCGGCACTCTCACCCTGCTCTTCGCCCAGCTGGAGATCCGCTTCGGCATCCTCCGAGCCATCACTCCCAAATACTCGGCCTACTCATACACCCCCAATGCGCGCTTCTCATCACTCGTCGACGCATCCGACTTCATATCGAAAGCGATCGTTACCACCACGCGGAAAGCCAAAAGCCTCAGCCACATCGACGTGGACGCGACGGCGGAGCAGTACAACACGCAGCGCGAGCAGATCATCCGCAAGCTGCAGACGTGGTCCGAGCTAGGCGCGATCGATCTCAAGCCGTCGGGGGTGATCAACCGCTTCCGCGTGCTCAAGGCGCTGCCCACCGGCGAGGAGATCGCACGCCTTGCGCGAGAAACGCACCAGCAGATGGAGCTCAAGGAGCGCGAGAACATTGAGCGCGTCAGGGCCGTCGTCGAGCTGCTCGCGGGATACGAGTGCTACGCTGTCGCCCTGGCTGACCACTTTGGCGACGAGCTGGATGAGGCCTGCGGTGCCTGCGGATTCTGTGTCACCGCCACCCCCGTCGAGTTCGAGTGGCCCGGAAAGGAGGATGAGGCCACAGAGGTCGATATGGTCAAGATTCGTGCGGTGCTGAAGGCTGTCGGTCAGGATAATTGGGACGATCTGAGGTTCCTGGCCCGTGTCGCGTGGGGCATCACCAGTCCGAGAAGTACGAGGTTGAAGGTCGCGAAGACCCCGGCTTGGGGCTGCTGCGAGGGCGTCAGCTTTGAGAAGCTGGTTAAGGCGTTTGGCGTTGCGGTTGCGGTTTGAGCGGGGTTTCTTGCTTGGGTTATAGGTAGGTGTTTCTGCATGACTACTATATAGTACAGGGGCGCAAAATGAACGATGGGACAACCGCGAGCTACGTACCGACCGTGAATAGCCCCCAAACAATATCATAAGAGCTCACGGATCGTCTGGAAGTTTGATTGCCTGTTTACGATGCAGCGAGTTAGGTTTTAGGTTTACACCCGGCCGCCCAAATGTCCGGTAAGTATAAACTTGTAACACATGGCTAGAAAAAGTCAAAATATAGCCTACTGCCTACTGCCTACGCTGTCGACTCTTGACATATTGTAGATTGAGTTACGGGCAAGGGAACGTAATTCGCTCTAGCTAAGTTTTCGTATGTATAGGTACGGCACCGCCGCACCGATGAGTAACCAAGACTCGGAGGAGATATGTATGATATCTAGAGCTATGGAAGTCTGGAAGAAGGCCTGAAGTCCCTTCGGCTTCACACGGATACATGGAACGGCTGGGATGGATGGGATGGATTCTAGAAGAAACACGCCCCACAAAGACCAAGGGAGCAGCAGATAGAAGCCTACCACCTGATAACCAGGTCAATTCATGATTCATGTGCTATCACTCGCCACTTACCGCTCAACACTCTGCTCTGTGTTCCCATTATCGACGATAATTGGTCAGCCAAACGAGAGTACAGCCAAAGTATCTATTGGGCCCAAAATTGAGCAAGGAAACAACTTATAGAACCCACCGGCGACCGCCTTCCAGTGCCATGATCCATCATGAACAAGAAACTAAGCCTTTCGGGCTCGTGCTCGGACGCACGGGAAGCAGCCAGCACAGCGGAAAAGACTTTTCCCCAACCTCAAAGCTACGGAGCTGAGCTGAGCCTGCGTACTATATAACCGTGAGGCCTTCCGCACACCTCTCTTCGATCACCCACCCGCACACCCGCACACCCGCAACGAGCCTGCTATGTCAATGCCGGTGCCCGCCACCGGAGTGTTGCGCTGCGACCGCTGCCATAAGCCGTTCTTCAGATACCCTAGCGGCGAGGGTGTGCCCGGCGGAGGAGCAGATCATCGGTGTCAGCCCTGTTGTGCCGGTCGGGCCTGGCGGCGCACAAGCTACCGAAGACTCCTGAGGAGTGTGGGCGGCAGGCTGCGCGGTAGGCTGCGCAGTATGAGGTGGAGGGCTGGGAGGGCCTGGAAGAGGAGGGTCTGTAGGGGATGGAGGAAGGCCTGGAGGGCTTGGAGGGGGCGGTGGGTAGGTCTGATGAGGGCTATGGGGAGGTTGGGAAGGTGGTTTGCGCGGGGGTGCGGAAGGTTAAGACCGCGGTGAGTAAAGAGGTTGTGGTGTCGGGGCACTGGGGGTGCGGAGGATGTTGGTTGAGGTAACTTGAGTACTGGGGAAGTCGCATTGCTCGTTGGCGCGTCACAGAAGCGTGAGGCCTGCCTTGAACTGGGGAGGTTGAGCGTTGAGCGGACGAAGGCGCTTGGCTGGTATAGAGGTTGGGCGATGCTATTGGAACTTAGAAGGTTGCTCAATGAGCATTAGGAAGTTATATGGTGAGTGAGAGATAGTGTCGTAGTCACTCGACGGCATACCAGTTTCAAAATTCAAGCCTGCACCTATTCCCAAATATTCAATGAAACTTTCGTCCCAACTATGATCTTATGGCCACCGCCTAGTGAGATCATTCAACTCGAGCCTCTCTATCCGCCATTTCCATTCGAGTTGCCCGCCTTCGACATGACTGCCCACCAGCGTTCTATCGCCCACCGCCTCTCCCATTCAATCAAGCACCTCCCACCTCCGACCTCGCCCATAAAGAAAACCCGCGACTCGTCTGCTGTGATCCAGACGACGCCAAAACTCCGACCACCACGACCACTGAGCACCACGATTTCGACCACAACGAATCCGCACGAATTCGACCACTACAAATCCGACCACTACGAATCCGCACACGAACAAACACCCACCCACTAACTTAATCCGCGAATCCAGAATCCAGAATCCAGAATTCAACCCCCCCCCCCCACCCAGTATGTCAAGCCCCCCCCGCCCCCGCCCCCACCGCCATACGGCCTCATACACATGCGGGCACGCTCACAGCGGTCCCACAACGAGCACACGTCTTCTCCCACGTCCGTGCAACGCCTGCCTCTCGCGCTCTCCGTCATCGCCCAGCTTCTGGGTCCACGAGGCACAGCAGGCGACGCACTCGACGCACTCGACGCACCGGACGCTTGGAAAAGTCGTCGTGCTGGCGTGCGGACATTTTGCCCAAAAGCCTGGGGCGAGGGAGTCGGATGTTTGCGAGATATGTCAGCCGCGAGCTACGCCTGAGGGATGGGGTCGTGGAGGGAAGAGGGGGAAGGGGAGGGAGTGGGAGTGGAGGAGGGAGTGGGGGGAGTGGAGGGAAAGGGATGCAACGGGGGTGGAGGGGCTGAGGGGGAGGGAGCAGCGGAAAAGGGAGCAGGAGGACGCGAGGAGGTGGGCGAATAGTAGGGCTAGGGCCCCTGCGGGTCAGATGAAGCGGCAGCTGCAGCTAAAGGAGCCGGTACCGGTGGCGCCGAAGCCGTTCTTGGGGGCGGCGTGGGAGAGGGCGAGGGCTGAGGCGCTGGAGAGTGAGATGGCAGAGGAGGGCCGCAGGGTTATCAAGTCGGCGGTGGTCAAGTGGAGATGTGGACATCATGGTGCTGAGGTGTTTAGTGGGCAGGCGCAGGTCGAGAAGCAGTGTGAGAACTGTAGGTTGGGGAAGGGGGCGAAGGACAGGGTGAGTGCTTGGTTGAAAGGTATGGATGGCGGGAGCTGACTGTTGTTTGGCTTGGTTTGTTGCATCTTGTTTTGGGTTGAGAGCTGGATATCTCTGTTGGTATTTTGGGTCTTTTGGGTCTGTACGGTGACTGATTTTTTGTATTTAGCGTTGCCTGTATCCTTTGTTGTGTCCATCCGAGAAATCTTTGGTGTTGTCAAGCCGATACGTAGTCGGTGCGAGACGAACCTGTACCGTCCATCTCAGTAAAGAAATAACGGATTGAACATGGTGGCTGTCCCGACTCACTTAATCGAAATTGCCGAGTGACATCATGTGTTTCATGGTGGCAGTTGCACATATCACGGTTGCCTACCAGTCGAATCTATGCACCTCCACTAGCCGCAAAGACTGGTATGTAGTTGGAGTAGATGTGAAGAGAAGACCGAACTTATTTAGACTCTCGTCGGCATCATCGCAGCAGAGAGCTCCGTAGTCGGTTACACAATGGATCGCTTATAACATAGACGCCGGAAGAAATCTCTGCACCGTTGACGTCTCAACGGTTGTTGAGCATCTACCTACGGTACCTAGTCTTGTAATATACAGATACTAGACTTTCGCGATGAGATAGATGTCCGCCCATCAGGCTTCAGGCAGAGTATTCCCCTTGCCCGCCCCCGCTTTGGGCTCAGGATTTTATACGGGTAAATTAACCGTTTCGCAGAGCTGAAATTTTACATGGCACTCAGCCCGCATGAATCGCACGACGTTAGCCACAGGAATGCGCCGTGGCGTTGGCTGGGCCCGCGACCGAGCATCTGTCAGTTAGGTCGGCGACTCCATCGAATCGTCGATAAGTCCTTCCCCACAATGCCAAGGGCCTAGTTACGGCCGGGGTGTAAGAAATCGACGAGCTAGGGAGTTACGCTGGAAAGTGCAGACCTGAAACTTACGAGCGCACCGAGCCGGCCGCAAAAACGAATCTGGTGCCACATGATGGGTACATACCGGAGCTGGCGTGGATGGTATGTATGTGCCCTACCTACATACCCGAAGACTGCTTCCGCGGGTGGCCTAGACAAGCCTGCATGCTCCCGGTGGCGGCTTTCATGGTTCTTTGCACTTCACATCGGCCTCGTGGAACAGGATGCTCCGTCTTGCCACCGGAGCAGGACACACAGACGAGAATTGAGCACGGCCGCGCGTTGGAAATCGTGCAGAAGAATAGGAACAGCCGTCACAGACTGTTGCAGAGGACCAGGAACTAACTACCGCCACAGTCCGGTGGGGAGGATCAGGAACTACCGTCAACCAGGAACAGCCGCCACAGTCCGTCGCGGAGGATCAGGAACTACCGTCAACCAGGAACAGCCGCCACAGTCCGTCGCGGAGGATCAGGAACTACCGTCAACCAGGAACAGCCGCCACAGTCCGTCGCGGAGGATCAGGAACTACCGTCAACCAGGAACAGCCGCCACAGTCCGTCGCGGAGGATCAGGAACTACCGTCAACCAGGAACAGCCGCCACAGTCCGTCGCGGAGGATCAGGAACTACCGTCGCAGTGTTCCGCGTCACATATAACTATACGCCACAAATCCCGAAGAATGCAGACTGCCGTGCCAACCTTCCATCGCCCGCGGAGAATTGATTATTGAACGGGCTGAGCCCAGCGTCTGCCAGCACGCGTCAGCTGACCCGCACCCCTGTCGATTTGGCGATTGGTCCCATTAGCCGCAACACCGTCTCGAATCCTCCGATCCAAGCTAATCCCCGCGTCGTTCTGGTCGGCGACTTCTCGTCTCGCACGTCATGCTCGCTGGGCAATTAGTTACGTACTTGTAACCGCCAGAGACAAGGCCCAGCAACCAGCAATTGCGTGCAAATCCTATCATACGGACAACAACAACAACATCTGCAACAGCAGTCTCACACACTGCATAGAGCCCTTCCACCCGGCCGCCTCGAGCCCATGATGCCATCTACCCGGAACTCGAAAGGCGGCGCATAGGGAAGCCGGCGCTACAAATTACCTAACGACATCTCGAATTGTGCACTTTGTGCACCACATCCGCTGTGAATCGACAAGCAGCAGCAGCAGGAACAGCAGCAGCAGCAGCAGCAGCAACAGCAACAACAATGGTTAGTGAGACTGAGGTGGATGTGCCGCCATTCCGCACCGACGAAGCAGATATCCCTCTCCATTACGTCCCAACAACCGACACGAACATGGTGCTTTGGATGCTGCTGCTGCTGGCTGTTGCCTCGAAAGAAAAATCTGCCGTTTGCGTGCAAAAAAAGGAGGGCGTTCTTATAGCTTCGGGCTGTAGCTCCACTTGGCTTTGTCGCTCTGGCTCCCGGATCGTGGTTCTATTAAAGTAGCTCGAAGCAGTCTTTCTCTTCCACCCCCCATTCTCCGTCGCAGCAAAAGTGACCGAAGCTCCTCCTCCTATTTATCAGTGAAAGACCCGGCACCGGTCCCGCAAGAAGTCGTCAAGTTGAGTCGTCAAGTCGTTCGGTTGTCGTTCATCGATACATTCTCTCCCACTTCATCTCCAAGCTCGAGCTTCAAGGCGTCCTTATATATCGAATCCAAACCTACCTCCTCGCAAAAAAGCAATCTTGCCGCTGCTCCCCCACACAATACAATTCCGGTTTCTTACGAACACTCTTCACTAAGGGAGATGGCCGAAGATAACGCTCTGTTCCGCGTTGTAAGTACCACTCGCTGTGCCCAGTGCCATCCACCATACCCAGCCGTTCCATGCGGAATCCCGGCCACTAGCTTCCTTCCTTCGCCTTCCCCCCCCGCCCGGCCCGTCCGTACATATCATACATACATGCATAACTATCGCTCGCCCGTTGAAGTCGGCGTTCATTCACATCTCGAATACCCATCTCTTCGGCGATCAAACGTGCGTGGATTTGCTAATATGCTAATGCCCGAACGCAAATCCGTAGGTGTCTCACGGTACGTCCTAATTCAATCCTGGCTTCCGTTCAGCCCCCACACACACCCACACCCACACACCCACTCCACTCGATTGGCCGTCTTAGGCGTTGCCCGTGCGTAGTGTAGGTAGTGCTGCAGCGATCTGCCACGCAGCATCTTGATTCCGACATTATCTCGACCTGGCGGTTTAGGCCCAATGAGATCCCCCAAAAGCAAATAATTGGGCTCCAGACCAATAGAGGGGGTGGTTCTCCGGGGGAAGGAGACGGGGGAGGGGGGAGGGGGAGGGAGGGAGGGGGTGCGGGCGGGCGAGAGATAACTATCTACATATGGCCAACTGGCTGATTGATTTCGGGAAGGTCGCGGCGGAGCAGGCAACATTCGTGAGACAGCGGACGCGTATAAGGAGTCGGAGTCGGATCTGAAAATCCCCACCCTCAAGAGCGCCGTCTACACGACTGGAAGAGGCGGCACCGGAAACATGGCCATCAACGACCCAAACCACCCCGAGAACGCGCGCATCGCACAGGACGTCGAGGGTGTCCCCCCCGTGCTTTCGAATGACTTCCATGGTGGACGTGGTGTAGGTTTTGGGAATCCTCTTGATTTTCTGTGGTGTTACGGGTGGTGGTGGTGGTGATGCGTGGGAATATTGAACTGATGTTGGTGTGTTGGACATCACAGGGCGCCGGAAATGTCGTCTACCTTGACGACAACGAGTCGGACGCCAACACCATCGTCGAGGAAGCGCCATTCTCTGAGAGCCTCGAGAGCGAGAAAGCGCGGCTGGCAGACGGCGAGGTGAAGCGCGACTACCGGTACATTTCCCCCCCTCCCCACAATATTTCCCCCCGCCACCAAACCACCAAACCACCCACCCCTTCCCACAGCCACTAACACGGGAGTGTGTGTACCTAGGGGCTGGGCGGACCGCGGCAAAGACCTTCTAGTAATGAAGCTCACGGGCCGAGGCAAGAAATCGACATCGTCATGACTCCCTCTGCAGCCACCCTCCTCCCCAGCGTCGTCGTCAACGTCTTCGGTAGAGCAACCGAAACCGTCGTCGACGCCGCAGGTGTCGCAGACTTACGGTGCTACTATATTACATCGGGCTGGGTGGTTGCCGACGGCAAGGGGCGCTTGATTGATTGATTTTTTGGTTGGGATGGGCGGGGGATGCGGGATGCGGAATGGGCGGGGGATGGGCTGGGGATGGGCTGGGGATGGGATGCGGGAGGGGCGTATGACTTTTTAATTGGTGTTTGGATTGGCTGCGATGTTGCCCCTCGAGGGGGGCATGGCCCATGGGGGGTTTCGGGTTCGAGGTTTTGCTCGGGTTGTGCTTTCTGCTTGCGTTTTGTTTTATTTCAGAGTCTTGAATACTTGAATGGGTTTACCTACTTTACTATACTCTGTGCATATACGGCACTCCGTGGAACTCCAGGGTCTCGGGGGTCCCGGAGGCCGTGGTGATAAATATGTGATGGCTGTGGTCTGGAGAAAGTAGACGGTAGACCTAGTGTTCCCGAGTACGGGATGGCGGTGACGGAGGCGGTGACGGAGGTAACAGGCAATGCAACGTGGGATGTTGGCGGAAGCCATAGAAGCCATAGAAGCCATTCCTTCCCCTCCTCGCACTCTCGCGATCTCCCGCGATCTCCCGGGCCGAGAAAAGCGGGACGAGGTAGAAACAAGTACTTATCATACTTATGGAGTAGATTCTGGAACAAGCTAAGTATTGATCCACCCAGTCATAGCCACCCAGGATCGTTCGTGTTTACCGCAGAAGATCTCTCGATATGCAGCCTGTAGGTACCTCGAGTAACGTAGCTGACGAATCGATCCCACCATCTGTCCCGACTCCCGACTCCCGACTCCCGAGCGAACCAACCAGACAACACAGCTCTGTATAGTGCCCACTGCCATAGTCTAATCGGTAGGTATCCACCAATACTGACAACTCTACGCATATGTTCCCCCCTTCTACGACCCCTCTCCAAGCAAATCAGAAATTAGGAAAAGACGTCAGCTTTGCCCGCCCCTCCATCATAATCATCATCATGCAGGACCTCCCAGTAGACTCCCACCCACTGCCCAGGTCCCAGGGGGCCCAATCAGCCCCCGCCCCCGCCCCCGCCCCTGCCCCCGCCGCTGCCGACTGCATCCTCCAGGCTCCAGACTCCAGACTCCAGGATCCAGGCTCTAGCTATCTGACACGTGGATCATGTATGCGATAGGGGAGCTGCCAGTCTGCCAACCTGCCAGGGCTGAGCTGAACGGAGTCGTAGCAACGACGCAGCCCAGCCCGCTCGCCGGAGGCCCCCCCGAGGCCCGGAGATGCCAGTGCGCCCACTGCGCTCACAGCATCAGCAGCGAGAAGACGCGACCTATGATGTATGTATATACATACTCCCACTCTAAAATAGTGGCGGGTGATCGACGGGCCCATCGCATACGTAGTAACAGAGGTATACACGACGGAAGACGGTGCATTTATCCGAGTGGCTGCATCCCCTATCGGGGCCATCGGAGACATCGGAGCCATCGGGGCCATCGCCATTATCTGTCTACGAGTGCCTACCTACGGCAAAGCAAACAGAATCACCTCGCCTCGACTCGACTCGTACAGTGCTACAGCCTACGGTGCAGCGGTGATACTTGGCCTTTGGTGATACGCCCAGCACTGGCCGCTGGGGAGGGCGGTGATAGGCTGGGTGTTTGGATCGCTTCCGAGTACTAATAGTGATAATAGTGATAGTAGTGGTGAGGTAAGAACCCTGCCCTTGAAAGTTGACCTCGTAGGATAGATACTACCTACGTGTTCAATTGAATCGTGAGGCTGATGACGAGCTTCACAGTGCTCACTCGCACGTTGAGTATACTGCCGTAGGTAGTTGTGGCTGAACATTGTGGCAGCTTTGTTGTAGGAATGGAAGTCGGGGTGGGTACAGTCTTGTGGAGATGTTGTAGTACGTCCGAACTCGGAGGCACGGATGGCGGCGTGAGCCTGCCGATGATACAGGCGTGATGTTGCGAAGTGCCACTCGGCTCTTCACGAAGTTCGAATGCACCCGGCGTGGATGTTAGATAAACTTCTGACGCATATCGCACCCAGATTCAGGCTGCACGTGTTATAATACTCTAGAGCGCCTCTTTGGTAATCTAATAATCCCCATACAGGTTAGACCAAGATGTCGTGCTTGACAAGATGGAAAGATATATCGCAACAGGCCCGTGACCTCCGCTCATTCTATCGTACGTACCACATCAAGAATCTGGACTGGGGAATCAAAGCCGCAGCTGTAGGATACCTCCACGATAGGAGGGTTCGGAGTATTGTGTTGGGAATCCAATGTGAAGTCTTTAAACTCGCCGTGGAAGCTGGAGCCGGCTGGATGTGGTGACCTGAACTCAACGGGATCCGGTTCAGCTGGCGTTCGCAATATTTCCGATCACTGCTCATGGATAGCCGAGTCCTCTGGATCTTTAGCTTCTTTTCGTTTCTCCTCGGGGAATTCAATGTTCCCGCTGCAACAAACCTTGAAACTCTGTCAAGCCTTCAAGCCCGCACTTCCGCAGTCCAAGATCCCCCTAACGTGCAGTCCAAGACCCCCCTAACGTGCAGTTCCAACCCTTAACCCTTTACCCTAAGTCACAACGCACAACTCACAACGCACAACCCGCAACAAAACCGCTGCACCGCCCGCTCACCACCACTTTTCTTCCTACAATCACCACCTTCCCTCCAACATCCACTACCACTACCACCTCTATCAACTCCACTAGGAGCACTCCACATCGTCAACAACTCCATAATCAACAACTCCATAATCAAACCATAACTCCATAATCAACAACTCCATAATCAACAACTCCATAATCAACAACTCCATAATCAACAACTCCATAATCAACAACTCCATAATCAACAACTCCATAATCAACAACTCCATAATCAACAACTCCATAATCAACAACTCCATAATCAACAACTCCATAATCAACAACTGCTACATTCACACGGATGTGGGTGACCAGCCACTTGGGGCTTCTTGCCCTTGGGGCCTGCGTGCGCGCAGGGAGTCGACGGAGCCGTTGCCGCTCCGGGCCTTTGGCCCAATAATACACCTTCCTCCATCGAAACATGTTAGTACTCTCATCTTTTACTCCCTATCGTCTGCCACTATTCGCGGGCACTGTCATTATCATCAACCGCGTCGCTGCTGCTGCTGGTGGCGGCAGCATATCACTGTGGTAGTGCGCGCTGTCTGTCGCTGTTGATAGTTGTCGTCATGTGAATGGATGGATGGATGGAAGGCTAACGATACCAGCTGAGCTGTAAAGATGAACCCCACCAATGCCGACAACGACGATACCCACAACGATGACGCGGCCGTCTCAGATAACGACTCAGTCGAGACCATGTCCGATGCGAGCGGTTCGGACGACGTGGAAGAGTAACCTGTGGTCGCGATACTCGGCCATAAATGGTCGGAAGAAATAGAGCAGATGCTCTACCCCGTGCGCTGGGAAGGCTTTGGTCTTGTCGCGGCTACGTGGGTGAAGAGGAGACGCTTCTGACCGAAAAGCAAATTAGTTCGATCGAGAACGAGAACTATACCGAAGAGGAGACCGAGGAAGACGAGAAAGAAGCTACCTATCACTGTGGTAGCGATGCCACTGTGGTAACGATGCCGGTAGCAACTCCGACTACGGCGGAGGCGGGCCAGTGAAGCTGGCGGGATTCCTTGACGATGGAGGATATTGTCAAGAATATGGATGATGGAGATAGAGATGGATAGATAGATAGACAATGTTCAGTTGGTTCTCTACTTCTGATCGGGCTAGAGAGGCCCTCTATATACACATTCTTCTTGTCTAAGACATAATACTCTTACGTAGGAGATACTCAGGTCCTTCGGCTTCTGAGACGAGCACGGTTCATGCCGCGTCATCAGGTGGAGCCATTGGGATCGTGAGTCTTCTAGAGCCTTCCGGGCGTCTAATCTTGACAGATATCAAGATGCTGAAGCAGAGTCTCGACAGCTTGGCATATATGAAGTTCGAAGACGACACCACTGAATGGGTCGATAAGACCGGAATACGTCCGGCGCGGGAGACCCGTCGAGTTCTTCGATTGGGTGAAATGGGACAAGGAGCGACCTGCGGAGCAGGATGCTAAGGGGGCCAGAGAAGCTGACGGAGGAGGAGGCGGAGGCAATAGGCAATACAACATGCGCTGCTGGTGGCAGGCGAAAGCTATTTCTTCCCCTCATCGCACTCCCGCACTCCCGCACTCCCGCTATCTCCCGCGATCTCCCGGGCTGAGAAATGCGGGACGACGTAGGAACCACTTACTTACTTACTTCATAAGTAGGAAGTACTGGAAAAAGCCCAAAATCGATGCAACCAGTCATAGACTCACAGGATCGTTCAGGTTCACCGCAGAAGATATCTCAGTATGTAGGTACCATACATACCTCGAGTAAAGCATTGCAGCTGAGGAATCGATCCCATCATCTGTCGGATGTCCTAACTCCCGACTCCTGAGCGAAACCGGCCGGCCAACACAGCTCTGCAGAGTCCCATACGGTATCAATACCAATACCTATTACTGACAAAACTCTAGGTATGTACACTGGCGACAGCTTTTCCAGTGTGTCAACAGTAAGAGGTAGGTACTACCGTACTAGGTAGGCTGTACGAGTAGGTACCTAAATATGTATTGCGCGTCACTGTCCCCCCCTATCACGAACCCTCTCCAGTCAAATCGGAAACCATCAGAAACCGGGAAAAGACGTCAGTTCTGCCCGCTCCTCCATCATCATCATCATCATCATCATCATCATCACAGGATCTCCCACCTAGGGACCAGGGGAGCCAATCAGTCCCCGCCCCCGCCCCCACCGCCGCAGACTGCATCTTCCAGGCTCCAAGCTCCAGCAATCTGACACGTGGATGCGATAGGGGAGCTGCCAACCTTCCATCCTGCCAGGGCCGAGCTGCCAGAGTCGAGTTGAGGAGAGGTGATTCTGTTTGCTTTGCCGTAGATACTGGCGATGTTCCCGATGGCCCCGATGGATGGGGGATGCAGCTAGTGGCCACTCGGATAAATGCACCGTCTTCCGTCGTGTAGATATGTCCTTAACCACCTATGACATATGTATATACCGTAAGCGATGGGCACGTCGATCACCCGCCGCTATTTTAAAGTGTGAGTAGGCTGTTGATGCTGTTGATGCAGTGGGTGCAGTGGGCGCAGTAGCATCTCCGCGCCTTCGGTGGGGCCTCCGGCGAGCGGACTGGGCTGGGATGCATCGTGACTCGTTGCTATGTACGGTGCAGTGGTGATACCTGGCCTTCGGTGATACGCTCAGCACTGGCCAGGCCGCTGGCAAGCGCGGTGATAGGCTACCGGTGTTTGGATCGCTTCAAAGTACTAGTTAATAGTGATGATATGTAGTGGTGAGGTAAGAACCCTGCGCTTGACCTCATAGGGTACTACTCTACATGTTCAATCGTGGTCCATGAGGCTGATGACGAGGTTCACAGCGCTCACTCGGACGTTGACCGTAGCGCCGTAGGTATGTAGCTGTGGCTGAATATTGTGGCGGCTTTGTTGTAGGAATGGAAATCGGGATTGTTGCAGTACTGCAGAGGTGTTGTAGTACGCCTGAACTCGGTAGAATGGACGGTGGAACTGGCACGCCGACTGCAGCGATGATATGGGCGAGTGATCGACTATATTGCGGATTGATACCATTTCTAACACATATCCCACCTGGATTCTGCTTGGACGTCATCTAATGCAGTAAAGAATCTCCCGAGTAATCTAAAAATCCCCACTTAGATTGGATCAAGATGTCCCACCCGACCAGATGGAAAGAAGTATCAATAGGCCGGTGACCTCCGCTCACCTATCATACGTACCGCATAAGAAATCGGGCTTGAGGCACTAAACTGCAGCTTTAGGCATACGCCCTGGATTTGAGGGCTCGGGTGTGATATTGGAAATCCATTTTGGAGCCGGCTAGGTGTAGGTGACCGAAACTCGGCGGTGTCCGGTTCATCTGCGGTTTTCAATGTTTGCGATCACTGCTAATGGATAGCCGAATCGTCTGGATCCCTACTTCTTTCTTTCCGTTGCTCCTTGAGGCTTGCGGCATTCAACGTTCCCGCTGCAAAGAAGCTTGGCATTCTGCTGAGCACGTGAGCCCGCACGCCCGCAGTCCAAGATCCCACAAATGTGCGGTCTCAACCCTCAACCCCAAGTCACAACCCATAACTCACAACCCACAACCCGCAACAAAGCCGCTGCACAGCCCGCTCACCACCACTTCTCTTCCTACAATCACCACCTTCCCTCCAACAACCATTAACACAACCACCTCTATCAACTCCACTAGGAGCACTCTACATCGTCAGCAACTCCTATATCAACAATTGCTATGTCCACCATGATACACTCGAGGCTTCTTGCCCCCGGGGCCTGTGTGCGCGTAGAGAGTCGAAGGAGCCGTTGCAGCTCCGGGCCTTTGGCCCAATAAGACACCTTCCTCCATGGAAACATGTTGGTACTCCCATCTTTGCTTCCCTATCGTCCACCACTATTTGCGCGCACTGCCAGTATCATCATCCACGTCGCTGCTGCTAGTAGCGGCAGCATATCGCCGCGATGTCTGTCGCTGTTGATATTTGCCAATCTGTGAGTGGATGGATAGATGGAAGGCTAACGATACCAGCTTGTAAAGATGAACCCAACCATTGCCGACAACGATGATGCCGACAACGATGACGACAACGCCGCCGTCGTCAGCGGTGGAGACTTATTCATCGAGACTACGGTTCCGGACGATTATCGATCTCCTGATGGCTCCGTACCCCCGTTCAATGTTCGTTTTCTGGTATCCTCATCGGTTCTCTGGGCGGCCTCGCGAGTCTTCAATTGCATGTTCGGCCCCGATTCTTCCTACCAAGAAAGGATCGATCTATGGCAGTCATGGATCACGGGACGTGGAGGTCCGTCAGTAGTGGTGCTTGACGACGATCGCGATGGCCTCGAATACGTTTTTAATGCGCTCCATTTCCGATATGGACTACTTCGAAATCCCAGTGTGCCGCTGATGGCAGCCGTCTCCGATAACGACTCAGTCGAGACCATGTCCGATGGGAGCGGTTCGGACGACGTGGGAGAGTACCCTGTGGTCGCGATACTCGGGCACAAATGGTCGGACGAAATAGAGCAGATGCTCTACCCCGTGCGCTGGGAAGACTTTGGTCTTGTCGCGGCTACGTGGGTGAGGATTCCGACCCGGAGGAGACCCGGAGGAGACGCTTCTGACCGAGGAGCAAATTCGTTCGATCGAAAACTAGACCGAAAGGAGACCGAGGAAGACGAGGGAGACGTTACCTTTCACTGTGGTAGCGATGCCGGTAACAACTCCGACTACGGCGGAGGAGGGCCAGAGAAGCTGGCGGAGGAGGATGTTGAAATAATTGAGCAGATGTTGGCTGTTCTTTGTGAGGAGGATTTCGTGTACTAGTAGTGATAGTCTATACTGAAGAGTTGTTTCTACTAATTACTCCTGGCTGTGTAATGAACGTGCCTGGCAAATAAACGTTTCTTAGCCAGATTTATCCCGACCTATGGTTGGTCGGTCTGGATATATCCCGACCAGTCCCAACTATACCAAAAAATGGTCTGGACTGGTCTATGTACAACACTGCATCACGGGAATCCCTTTGAAGCCTGGGGAGTGTGGGAATCTGATACGATTAGCACCACGAGTCCGTAGCTCCGTGAGCCCGTCCTTCAGTCAACTTACGGGAATTCTCGGGGTGAGGGAGGTTGTTTTCTTATCCGTCTCTCCGAGATGAAAGAAGGAAGACCCTCCTTTGGGGCGAGATGACCGGCCCGAAGAAGAAGAATCTCTGGAATGGTATCAGCATGAGCCGTGCAACCGGCACCTCTCTGCCGCGTACTCCAGAGCACCACGGCCTTTGCAAAGCATCTCCGCCGCCGATAGGTCAGAACAGGGAAAACAGAGTAACAGGAGAAGCTACACGGTGGTATACCTTTTATATGCTTGAGAGTTCATAGATATATTGTGTACCCAGCTAGCTACTCCATCCAGCATCCCAATCACCGATTGGTACACATAGTTATATGCCCCTAGCAACTCTTCACGCAGCTCTTCGCCCAGCTCTTCGCCTAACACTTCGTCTAACACTTCGCCTAACACTTCGCCTAAGTCTAACTCTTACGCTATGTGCCTCGAGAATCTCCTTCTGCTCATGGATAGGTTGTCTCAAATCTTGATCTTTCATTTCCTCCATAACTATCTGCGGTGATATATCACCCATTTAAAGGTATTTCTTCGATAGGTAAAATACACTCGTAATAACCATCTTCGACTCTGTATGCCAGGAATGCGATTTAGTTAGTGCAGTTCGGAGGGCTATAGGTATTGCGAAGCGGCAGCTCCATCAACCAGTCGCTAAGCGCGTATCCTGCACACCCGCTTATTTCTTACGATTCGAGAATCAAGATGCACCGCCGTAAAGGGGGGTGATGAGCGTGCAGGGAAGGAAGGCTTGAGCCTCGCGCCTGATAGGTGACTGGACATATTCATCTCATCCGCGCTCGGCGACACTCATGGCAAAGACCGCACGCAGCGAGGTGGAAGTGTGCCGTTGTCAGGCCCGCAGCCCGCTCCGGATCTCTATTGCTCGGTAGCTGCGGAAACACGGTTATCATGATCTTATCTTTAGTGCTGATTCTATCGTCGATAGAGGTGAATTTTAACTCAATTCAGGTGCGGGGTATATCGAGGGGTGGAGAGCGGTGTCTCGTCGTCTCCGATGGATTGTTCCCTTCATCCGCTGATACCGCTCAAGCGTTTCACACCTGGACCCTCCTTCCGCCGGCTCGATCCGTGCGATCCCGCGCCGCTGACAATGTCGATTATGCACTCCGATGGCACCATCCAGCTGAACGTCGTTTACGGCTGTGGACACTGCCGCACAGTGATCGTCGAGTCCTCCGGAGTTGACCTGCCAGCTCTGCGGCGGCGTCCGTGTAGGTACTGTGTCAAGAGCAGGACTCTGCTGGGTGCTTGGGCGTTTGTCAAGTGGCGGTCGGCGAAGTGGAAGCTGGGATGGAAGAAGGGTGAAATCGGAGTCGTGGTGGAGACTGAGGGTGGAAAGGATGCCGATCGGTAGGTGTGTGTTGTACCCGTGTCGAGTATCTTCGCACGGGTTCGGTGGTTGGTTGGTATTAGGGCGAACCGGCGTCACATTTGGACAGCACATTCAAAGAACGTCGGTCATCTTGAACTTTCCTTTATCCTCCCCCTACTGCAAGACACACCCACACCTCAACATACAACATACAACAAACTTCGCGCCATCACCTCAAAATGACGGATCCAACGGATCCCCACCTCGCCGAACGCCCCCGACTCCGGTTAGCACTGACAACATCAAAAGTGGAAATGGAGCGCTCAACCGTACACCTAAGAACTATGTCCTTCCAGGGCTCTACTTACCATTCCACGCCCAGTAAGACCCCCTACTTCCTATCGCCGAGTACTTAACCGCTAAAATTATATAGCCGTCAAGTACAGCTGCGGCTGCACCCGCGAAGCCGACTCACCCGCCGACGACATTCGCAACCGCATCGAGCACCCGTGCATCCACTGCTTCATCCTCAGCCAAGCCTCGCGGTGGGTGAGGCTGCAGGCCTGGGCGTGGAAGAGGTACAACCGGCTCCACAGCCGCTCGCCGATCAGGTACCGGATGCGCAAGCAGCCGGCTAGTATGGAAGGGGAGGTGGAAGCTTCGGGCTGGTTTTGAGCACCATGTGTGTGGGGGTACCATCTAGCCGTGATCATTTCGCACATAGAGTGGCTCATAAAAGGGCGTTTTGACGTTTCTGGTGCTGTTGGCAGCTGTACTGTAAAGAGTACCATAGCAAGATGAAATTGCGACACGATGTGATGCGATTCCTTCGAGCAAGCAAGCAGAAAGAGAGAATAGCCCTTCACGCAACTATAGCCACGGGAGCCTCCTCCGCGGAATAGCTGCCCTTCAACGCAATCGTGAACTTAAACTTCGGACCATTCCCCGAAGACAGCAACAATAGCCCAAACCCGGGCGCGAACGTAGGTTAGATAACCTTAACGTCCTCAAAAGCCCCATGGGTGACGCCCATATCTCCGAGCGTTCCTGCTTCTTCCCTGCAGGAACAGTCGCGAAATTCCATGCGGTCCTTCGGGAAACGAAACGTCCGTCTACTTCAAGTCTATGATATCAGCGTGTCCAACTGCCAAACCGACGGATACGCTGGTGCGTGTTTCATTCCATGCCTCCCTGCCGGCGTACTGGAGGTGAGTTATCGAAAGCTTTCCTACTTCAACGTACAGGGCATAGACATAGTCGAGCACTTTTGCCGAGGGCTGCACGCAAGGTCCCTCACTAGCGAGTGATTCTTTGTGAAGTTTACGGTGTAGTGCGGCATCTTGATTCTTGAAGGGTTGCTTTGGTTGGTACTATTAGGGTAGCGATACTCGCTAGGTATACCGGCAGCTACTGTCAGCTACGGTATGTAGGGGTGGAATGCAGCAGTGACAAGAAAAAGTAAATAACATTTCCACCTCTGTGGGTTACAGCCTACCGGTATTCCCGATCTCTCCCAGCCGTTCTTGCAACCTCACCCGCCGTCCAGCGTTTATAGCCCAGCTCCTTCATCAGTTCAACTCGACCCACCCCCTTGGACACATAACCCCCCTCAGCACCCCACCATGCTCTCCCCCACCCCTCCCCCGCTTACCACGGCTACCAGTTTATATGTCAAAAAACACGCTCCAAACTGCGAATTCCGCCGCGGGCCTCCTATACAAATGCGATCACTACACCGCCTCGTTCTGTCTCCTCCCGCTTAGCGAGCGCTATTACACGCACCAGCGCTGCCCAAACTGCAGGATCGAACATCCGTCTGCGTGGTCGAGGGAGTGGTGGATGGAGCGCCTGAAGTCGCTGCTTCTTGCGTCCCGCCTGTGGAATCTTGTGGATACCGGCGGCAAAGAGGTGCGGGATGGGACTGGCGCGTGGTAGGCAAGCGGGTGAGAACCTGCGATGAGTTGGAGGGAAACCGGTGGGATGATGGAAGAGGCTGTTCATGTGGAAGGCGCTTTCCATGTGGAAAAGGCTATATATTCGGATGGTCCTCCAATTCATACGCCGCAATGGATGGCTAGAATGGATCGATGGGCTGTGTAGGGAATCTAGGGATGTCTACTCCCAGGATATAACCGGAGGCACATGTGCCGATTTCCCCCTGCCAATACACACCCAGATTCTGTCTTCAAGGTCCCAGATATGTATTTGGTAGTTGGTTGGATTCAAGTCGCGCTCTTCAATGCAGATATCTTCACTACTGGATCACAGCGAGAGAAAGCTGTAGTTCATCAAAATGCAGCCATTCACTCCAGTGATGTCGAAGGTCCGCTCGTCTAAAATAGCCCCGTAGATCATCCGGAAAGCGCGGATAGTCTCCTCTAGTGCCATTGGTGCCATCCAAAATAACCTAAACTCAACCGCCACGACGGCTTGTAGTCTCGCTTATTAGTCCAGCTCGTCGTCGTGTAATCATCCGTTTCTCGGTTCCCCACAGTTTGAACTCTGAATCCAAAACTCACATCCGCTTTCTAGCCTTCAGGGTTGGCATAAAGATCGAATGCTCATCCGTCGTCCTGTGCGTTTCGGAGGGGAAATTACCTCGGTATAGTGCGTAGGCGAGGCGGGATGGTCGTGAAAGTGCCATCTTCAGAGTATATGACGGGTATCCGGCTTCCTGCTGCTCCACAAAATCGTCATAGCACCACCGGAAGGGAGGTTTCCCACAGCCTCATCGAATAGGGAATCCGAGGTGGTCAAACCGATGCTCGATGAAATTCCTTGGTTTGGACCTCATGGCTCCTCCTCCTCATTAGCATGCCACATAAGAGGTATGTAAGTGGCAGGATCATGACGGAGAACGCCCTGCTGCGCAAGTTGAACTGCGTCTCCCGGCTGCTCCACGAAACCGCCGATCAGTCTTGACTGGGTAGCTGTTGGCATGAGTTTGCCATCGCTCCGGCTCGTTTCGGAATCCATCAAATCCGCAGCAGAGCCGTTATTATAGCCGTTGTAGGGATTTCAGCGGATCCCTGGGGAATGGCCTATACCCGGTACGCTGATCATGGTTAGGAGCAGAGGATTTTCGTCTAGTGGGCAGTTATATATGAGTAACTACCATGCTGGTCGCGACCCTAAAGCGACACTACTAATTTTCGTTTCCGGGTACATGGTCCCTGCACTCCTGGACAAGTCACGCTACGCTGAAGATCACAGCTGCGGACGAGACGTGATACACCATCGGTATCCCATGTGAGTAAACGATACGAAGACAGCTTATATCGCGCCAACCGTCCGTGTCTCGCTACTGGATGGCACGATCGCCCGGCCGTAACGCCACCGTCGGCTGCCGGTTCGACCAGTCCTCCCAGACGCATGGTGTCGAGCGGTGGGGCGGTGCATATGCGAGGCGTTCTCCACTGTTGAATAATCGAACAGGCCCTGCAGACGGTGCAATGGGTCTCCCGATGAAGCCGTGGGACGACTGCACAGCCACACGGCTGCAGCACCGGTCCAATCACCAGGGGCCCGGATACACGTGTGACGACGGTTAGCCTTGCGCGTCGTTTGATGCATTCGCTTGACCGGCGGATATCTATTATCTACTACGAAGAACAAACGAGACTATGCTATGTATAGCGCGACCGGTCCTCTTGACATCTGAGGATTCGCTCCGTAATATAAAAATCGCCATATTTCTCCGGTTCTTGGGAGCTACGGATCAGTATTATCGACTCGCAAATAAATAGCCATGGCATCTGAATCCACAGGTCCACAGTTGCCGAGACCTCCTCAGGCCCGCGCCAACGGCCATCCACGATTAAGCAACGCCAGCTCTGGGACATACGTCTCTACCGCATCCAATAGCGACACTTCATCGACACAGCGTGGGTATGAAATTCCCACCGAAGAACAAGTCCTACAGCACTACCGACTTCTTGCTGCTTTTGAAAAGCTCCGTCTCGCCATCAGCAACACTCCCGGACTTTTCGGCCTCGGCTCACCGCCGGGTATTGGGCAGCACGATATCAACCGAATTGCCGAGAAGCGATGGCAGGTTTATGTGACCCGCGCGGTAGAGAGGTTTACCGTTTGGTGGCAGAAGGTGCTGCCGAGAACGTTCGGGGGAATGCCGATGGACGAGCTTTCGAAGGATAATTTGATGGAACGACTGGCAATGTGGAGGTCGTCACCAAATGACAAACCCAAGACTAAGGCAGCGAGGGTAGATTTTGGAGTCCAGGGTTTGCCGCCACTTGGTAATCATCCTACAGCGACCGTCCGGGGGTGCGTGAGCTGATCGATGCAGATGTGATTATGATTTGGCACACGTATATGCTGAACGCCCTGGTTTTCCTTGAAGACTGTCACCAAACCGGAAGACTGGACCTCTGGCTCTCCGGTCTGCCACTGGATGCCATTGTAAGTGCTTGGTTCTGTATTTCATCTTGAATTTTCTCCTTTGACTGACCCCCCTAGTGCAATTCCATCGACCAAAATTTCGACTTCACGATGGACCCTGTAGCGGAAGTGGCATGGACCAAATCATCAAGACTTCCTGTTGATAATCTCGACATGCCTGACCGGAAGGACGTCACTTGTCCCACTTGTGGAACAGTCACGGCTACGCCTTGGACGGTAGTCCAAAAGATCACTGAGCCGGCAGCTCCATCCACGCCTGCAATGAAAAGCAATGGCTGGGCCGATCACGGCTTCGAGTTACGTTGTACCAATGACGGCTGTCAAGATATCTTGACCTACGAATCACTTTCGAGCGGCCGGTTTATCTCTGCCCTTCGTCGTGCCGAAGCCACGGGCGTAATGCTTCCCGTCTCGTTATTCGCCAGAATGGGAAAACTGGAGCCTGATATCTCGCAATATCATGCAAAGTCCCCTAATCACTGGCCCCATGAACTCTTCTCGAAGCTCCTGCCCAAGTTCGACAAGGCAATGGCAACCCAGCCTCTAGTCGGTATGGAAGACATCTGGAAGTTCACCGTACTCAACGCTCGGGAGACGGCTATCTCCAAGCCCAACCCTGACCGCCAATTCTTTCTGGAACAGATGATGACGCACTTCCACCTAAACCCCTCGCCCTTCGGCATCGACCTGGTATCCGCCGTGACACGGCAGGGGATCTTCAACCGACAGGTCGTAGCATTCGACTGGTCCACCACTAACACCACTAATCCGGACCGCTTAAAATTCGCCTTCAGGAAATACCAGCGTTTCTTTACGCTCTGGAAGAAGTACGCGTTTCTTGCGCGGAATCCGCTCGTGCCGACGCTGGATATGGACCTGGTGTGGAGCACGCACCTCCTCCGGCCGGAGGGATATTTCAAGCACACCATGGCGACGACCAAGCGGTTCGTCAACCACGGCGAGCGGCGGTGCGAATGGGAGCACAACACGGCCTTCATCCGGACATGCCAGGTGTACTGGAGCAATTTCAGGGAGTTGTACGACTGCTGTGCGTCTCCCGGCATCATCCCCACTCCATGCACACGTTGAGCTGACAGTGATCGCGACTCCAGGCGGATGTTGGTACTGCGAGGGCGTGCGCGCCACCCACCTCCCCACGTTCAGCACCTTCATAATCCGCAAAGAGACCCTGCGGACCCTCCTCCCCGAGCCCGGCGATCCGGCGACGCACATCTCGGCCTGCAACGCGGTCTTTGCGGACATCGCCGACACCGCCGCCGCCGCAAGCCTGCGCGACCGTTTTGAGCAGCTACTCTATCATCACCGCCGCGCAACCGAGGTGCGCGCGAAGTACGGAGCTCCGAAGTTCGTCGCCGACGCTGGGTATCCAACAACTATCAGCCAGGCGACTGGGAGCAGCGTGGATTCGCTGTGCCCGGAGAACTTCGCGGTCGATCCGACGGTCAGGATGATGTGGAGTACACTGGAGATCAGGAAGAGCGGGAAGGGAGGGAGCGGAAAGGGAAGCAGCAGCAATGGTAGGTGGGGCGACGCAGTGAGTGATTCCCGAGATTCGGCGTATTGGGCTGGGGGGGATATGGGCAGCGGGAGCAGTGGAGATGGTGGCAGTAGCGGCGGCAGCAGCAGCGGCGGATGTGGAGGTGGTGGTGGAGGGGGAGGGGGAGGAGGCGACTAGCTTAGGATATCGCGGAGAGGAGAGCAATAGACATTTCCAGCGCAGTTGCACAATGATACATATTCACTTGAGTTTCCTACGGTTCAGGCCCTCTCCAGGGTATGTATCTTGCTATCTGTCCGCAAATTCCGGGCAGGCACTTGCACGATGAGCAGTGTGTAATCCTGGATTTTTCGGGGTACGGGAAAATTCACGGGCATGGAAATTTCATGAGCACATAATCACGGCGAAGAGTCTTCCAGTTATGATCCCAAAGTAATTTTTATTCGTTCAAATCGAACCATGCTGTCAAGAAACAGAGAAAGGTGCGTCATTTCTCGCGATGATTCTAGCAACATAGAATCAAAGCTTAGTGTCTGCTGGTATTTACCTTCTCAACGTTTCGCGAGGCACATCGGTACGGCGCTCGTCTCCTCCGTCGGCTTCCTTGATGTGGGGTTTATCGGTGTGTCCTTCAACCTTCTTGAGTTTGTCCTTCTTGTAACGTCCTTCTTCAGTCTCCTTGAGATCGGCCTTCTCGGTCTGCTGACGGATGATGTTCTCGAGGTTAACGATGGCCATGCCAAGACCATCAATAAAACCTTTGTGGTAGCCGTGCTGGTAGGCTCCTTGGTATACTCGACCGGAGCGGAAGCCGAGATTGAAGGCGTTTTCACCAATAGCCCTGCTGGGGTTGGTATCGAGAATTTGATGGTCACTCATGGAAAAACTCGAAAGGATATTAGGGCTGACGTTGGTCGGGTTATCGCTCGAGGCAGCAGCGACTGGAGTGGCCGTCTTCTGGTAGTATTCCAATCTTGAGGTAAGATCCACAAGAGTCGAAGTCAACAGTGAGTGCCCGTCAGTCGTCGTCTTGTCACTGGCCTTGCCAGTCTTCTTGCTGTTGGCTTTGCCGTTCGCATTATCGATCGGGTTCATCTGCGCCTCGTCGGGTCGCGATGCGTGCCACGAAGCTCCCAATGCCGACACCGGAAGTGCCGAGTACTTGTGATGCTTCCTCGGCAGCTTGACTTGGTCGTCGATGTTCGATGGCCTGCCGCAAGTCGCAGCCACAGAACACGAGCGAACCATCTCGGGGATGTCAGATGACATCTGGTATGGTCGGCTTAAATCAGCTTTCCGTGAGGAAGATCGCGGAGAGCTTGAAGATACCTTAGGTATTCTGGGTGGGGGTATTGTGGGTGGGGGAGAGGAGTGTTTGAAGGTAAAGTAAGGAGTAGCAGTGGAGATGAGAGTTGTTTGTAGAAAAGAGTGGAGATGAGAGTTGTTTGTAGCAAAGACGGTTGTGGATGTGGTTAGAAAAGGTGATGCTCTCGACGACGATAGTGGGCTTGCGTTCGCTAGCGGCTTCGCATTTGTGGCGCGTGACTTGGTATCTGTGGCGTGTGGGTGTGATGGCGAAATGCTGCAGTGGCGTAGTGTGGGAGCGGCGTAGTGGCGTAGTGGCTCAGCATGCATCTCAAGTGTCACAATCACCGTCAACGATAAAAAAAAAGTACAGAGTAGACAGCTTCAGTTCATTGATATTAGATGCAGTCCTCGAAGTCCAGTGTCCACACATCACCAACCAAGCCCTCAATCCACTGTCCGCTCTATCCCTTTATCGCCGCCGCCTTGACTACCAACCGCTCGGCCCATCACCTCCGGTCGGTCCGTCATTCATTAACAGAGTACAAATTTCGATTGTTGATTTTCGTGTTGCCTGTCCGCCGACTTTTTACCGCCGCCCTATGGCCCTCGGAGAATCGCGAACGTCTTTTCAATATCGATTTTCAATTTGGTGCACCCGATGGATGGTGCTTTTTTTGTCGCCTTCGCGGTAAAGTAAAGGCTCCCTGGGAATGTCGAATATTCATTGATTTACAAGTCATGTCTGGATTTTCGTCGTTTATCCGCCGAATTTGTTTTTTTGTCGCCTCTGCCGTGAGGTGAAGGCTCCCTAATGGTCGATCTGGTGGTCTCCGTCAACCCGATTGGTTTTATCGGGGCCAAATTCCGTTTCCGTTGTTGCTGCTGTTGTGGTTGCTGCCGCCTCGAGTTGCGTGGTTTGTTGAACCGGTGCACCCGATGGTACTTTTTTTGTCGCCTTTGCCGCGGGTAAAGGCTCCCTGGGACAGTCTCCGCTTTCCGATTTTTTACCGGTGACGAATACCGCGATTGTTGTTGATGCGTTGTTGTTGTTGATGATGATGCTGTTGCTGTTGCTGAAAAGTGCTGACGCCTTTCCACTGTCTCGATTTTCGTCCTATAGGTATCCGCCGATTGTTTTTTTGTCGCCCCGTGAAGGGCTCCCATGGGGACTCGGGCTCCACCAGCTGCCCGGGCAGTCATGCAGTGTCGTCCGGAGGCCATTTCGATTCGGTCGCTCGCGCTCGCACCGTTGGGGACGGGTTGTCGTATGTCGTGCCGGCGGCCCGAAGACGTTCGAATCGAAGAAGAATTCGCTCGTACCATGCGGCGTGGTTACACCGGACTCTCGCGAGTGGGGAGGAAAGAGGGAGGAAGGAGACTGAGGAAGAAGGGCGGGTGGGGTTTTGTGGGTGGTGGCTGACGTGGCATCGGCCGGCCCAGTGGCCTTCCTTCTTCGGCTCGCCGGTCGGTGGGGACGCGGGGTGTATGCTCTGCCAAGTATTTGTGAAGACCGTGGCTAATGGTACAGGAGCGTGGTGTTTGTGGACTCTGGAGCTGCAGTATGCGGTATGCGGCGTTCGAGCACCAGTTAGAGAGCTCCTATAGCTGCGGGGCAATGGGGAGGGCGGTGGCTGGATTGTTGCTATGCGTGGGGAAGGATTAGTGGCTGGATATCATATTCCGTACGTTTTCTTCCCATCACACGAGTAATAACTATAACTCCATTCCCAGCCTTGTCCCATCTCCATCCATTGCGTATATACCCACTCCCCCGTGAGTTATCGCATCGAAACTTATTACCGTCGTATAATGGTGCCCCTCCAGCTCATAGATCTCCAGACAAAATCGCCTCCATGTATCTATAGTGTCGTTGATGTCAGCCATGTAGAGTAGCTACGTTCTTCGGAAATGATGGAATTACCTTCGGTCGCGAATAGCAGCTTTACCCAAGATTGTGCCCATTGTGTCCACGGCGCTTCTGATACTCTTGATCTGCTCGTCAAGCGGAATTGAAAGCTGCTCTCTCTCATATTCGGCGGCAGCCAGCAACGCCGGTTCCGCCATACGATCCCTTAGATTCTTCAGACTCTCCTCGACGTACTGGAGCTGCGCCAATGTCCGCGTGACCAGTGCTACCGCCTCCGAGTGATACCCACTCAATCCACGCAGAAGGTGCCTGTTCTCTTCCGTCACCACTTTGTGGTCCGACAGGAACTTCACTAGCCAGTCCCAGGCTCCTTGGTACTCATCCGCGTCATCGATGACCATTGATTCGCGCTGAGCGGCTTCGAAGATGACAAGCAGCTTTTTTTCCATGTCGTTGAGCCCTTCTACAGCCATCACGGTGTTCACGAGTAGCCTTGCGATGGAGCTCCCGATCGCGTCGGAGGATCGGATGAACATATCCGATATTGCCTGTTCAGCGGCTGCAAGGTCGTGGCTCGGGAGAGGTTTGAAGGGAGACACGAGTAGACGGTACATGTCGGAGTAGGGTTCGGCGGCGATGCGTTCGGCTTGCAGATGTTCCAGCTGACGGACCACCTGCACATCCAAGTCACTGATGTCGTGGAGCAAGCTGATGGACGTGTGGGAGAAGCGGGCTATCTCCTTCGAGCTGTCTCTTGCGGCGTCGGCAAAGTCGGCGAGACGATTCGATAGGTCTTCCCTATATTCAGAATAAGCTCGATTAACCGGAAAGACCTAACGTGGGTTGGATGGGGAGGGGGGACAGACCTGCCACCCAGCCTCGACATCTTGACCAATGTATGGAGCTGGCGCACCGCTATCTCGCTTTGCTTCAGCTTGTGTGAGGTAACGATTCCGCCAACGCTGTTCTCCATCATACTACAAAGCCGCACCTGCATATTCGTGAGCGCTGGGAAATCGGCGACTGATGGCTCAACGATCAGTGTGTGGCCGTGGGAGAAAACGCATTCCCACTTCAGCTCAGCTGCGATCGCCAGGAGTAGGAATCCCAACGCGAAAATGATTCGGCTCCGTGACCATCGAGTAGTCGCGCGCCGAGTACCCTCCGCGAGCCCAGTAACCTCCACGGGCCCATTGCCTGCCACCGGCGGTGCAGCGGGCGGTTCCGTGCGTGTAGTGCTTTGAGGACGCCTACGCTGGCGAGTAGGCGTGGGAGGGGGGCTCATGGTTCGCGGTGTCAGGATGCCGTTTTCGCTGTCATAGCCGTGGTCATAACTGTACTCGCTTCTGGTGGGAGTGGAATAGCCGGAGGAGCTGGCGATGGACTCTGGAGGCGTGGAGATATTTTGTCGCGTCATGATAGCTTGTTGTGGACGGGACAAGATTCAAGAGAGGGGGTGGTGTCCGTGATAGAGTTGGCCGCCGGGTTGCGGGGTGGGCGCGTGTAAGCTCCCGCATACATTACGTGGCTGACAGTTCCGGTTGCAGGAACCAATTGAGTACTAGGACTTCGTGTAACTTGAGGAATCTCCCACTCAAGCTATCTGCCATGCCGATCTTGTTGCCATTTGGCCGGAAAGTTGAAAATATTGAAGGCCACAAAAGGCCTCAACTCCACTGCACCAACATAATGAACGGGAGTTAGTACGGTATCGGGGGATTCGCAGGAATCTCGGAAGCGAGTTACGGTAATCTACAACCTTAACTACGGTCAACGCAGGGAAACAGGCCCGGAGTCGGTGTTGGTGGCGAAATATGTCTTCACGAACCACTAATGGGGAAAGCTGCAAGGGATACGAGCAAATTCATCTTCTCAGCTGAATATTCTTATTTATTTTGTCACAGGCATCATGTTTTGTCGGTTGGAATTTTGACTCCTTCAAGATTTTTCCTTTTGTGGAGCCGGCGGGGATGTGTCACTTCCGGAGGACGGAGCGGCTGGCCGTTGGCGGCCGGCGGGAATTGGCGGGAGGCTGGAGCTGGGAAGCGTGTCCGCAGTAGCAGTGGCGGTGCGGGAGTGATGGGAAATCCTTCACATGGAGTGCTACGAAGTAAGAAGAAGAGCACTTGCACTCCAGGCGGCGGTATCACCGCTGACGCAGCATCTGAAGGCGGTGACAGTGCGTAGAATCGAGTGACATCATCCGCCACGGAATGGTGGCTTCGCCCGAGTTATCACTAATGATGCGAATGAAGGCTTTCATGATGTTTCGGTCGGTCACACATTTCGAAGAGGTGGCCTTAGAAGCGACATTCATAGGACAAGCAAAATCAGTATTCATGGTATACGCCTTGAGGCTCGTATCTCTTGGGAGATCTATCAACAACTTCTTGTAGATAGGCTTCGCCTTCGCTTATGTCCGACTGTCTTCCAACAAGCAATTTTGTCCTCACCCGTTCACCAACTCTATCTAAACTAGCACCAAAGCTAAGCTCACAATGCCTGCAAACGCCACCGCAGGCACAAGCGCTCCCGCACCCACAGCCCTCGCCCCCACACTCGTCGGCTTCGCCCCGCCATCCTCAACAGTGGTTGATTTTCCAGCAGCACTAGCAGACTCCGACTCTTGCGTCTTTGGCGCGTCAACATCTCCCACCAGCAAGTTCTGGAAGACCTCGAGGGCCGCCATGTGTTCGCTGACACCACCCTCCGCAATTCCATACGGAGAGTCATCGTACTCCCCGATGATCCAGCTGAGTCCGCAGGTGTCTCCTCCGGGTTTTCCAGTGCACGACCTTGCAGCGCCGAGAGCCGAGGCCCGCAGCCGCTCGGTGATGTAGTCGCGCGTGAAAGGTGCGAGCTGGTAGGTTGCGCCGAGGAAGCGCGACATCAATGCTTTGAAGAAGCGCTGGTCGGTGTTGCAGGTGGGGGAGCGCGTGAAGGGCGCCGGTGACTCACACGCGGACTCCCGCATGATGTTGTCGGTGCCGTCGTTTTGATTGAAGAACGCCTCGTCCGTCGCGTTGAGGAGGGAGCTGGTTTCGAGTTGCCATTTTGTCGTCTGGGAGGTGTCGTTGGCCGAGGACTGGGGTGGGTATTAGTCAGGAGGAGTGAGGCAGGGAAGAGGAGGGACAAACATAGTAGTCGTAGAGATTTGCGGCGCCGGCTATATAGGCTCCGGCTGTGTGAGTCCACCGAACTTTAGACGGATCACCGCACATGTCGTCACTATCATGCAGGCCATCGTAAACTTCGTACTCGGGGCCGATGAGCTTGACCGCCCTAGCCCAGTTGTAGGCCTTCTCGCTCCACTCCACATACGTTTCATTCCCGGTGTACCGGGCCAGTCTCGCCGCCAGCTGGAAGAATAGTCCGTTCGCAGCTGAGTTCTTGTAATCGTATCCTTCGCTCGAGTTGAACACCAGCCACCTGAGGCCACCACTGCAGTTGCCCTCGTCCCACCGTGCCGCCTGGCGATCGAACACGGTCTTTGCGAGAGTGATCCATTGCGGTTTGTCGGCGGGAGGATCCGGGAACCCGCGTTCTGCTGCGGAAAGGGCGGCAATTGCCCAGGTTGCTTGGTCGTCGTTGGCGATGCCCAGCGTTTGGTTCGCGGGCTGAAAGTCGTTATTTTCGCCCACCTGGTGAAGGATGCCTTCGGTGACGATGGAGTTGTAGCTATCGTCGCCGGTTATCGCCCAGTAATCGATCCATGCCTGGTGATGTTGATTAGCGGAGTGGCGGAGGACTCGGGGAGAGAAGCCACGCGCACCCCCATCGCTGCACCGCCTTCCCACCAATAGTATCCCTTATCATTGCGCCCATCCGCTGTTTGGATCACACCAAAGTCGCCGGGAATGAACCAGGTTTCGTTCCGCGGGTAGAGTGCGGCCAGCTTCTTTGCCGCTGTAGCCGCAGCTTCCTTGATCGATTGCTTATCGTCGACGTTGAGAGAGATTGCGGAGGCTGCCTGTGCCACGGCAAGGAGTGAGATGAACGAATGTAGCTTCATTATGTTGGTAACGAATGTTGAAAACCGAATGTTGGTTGCGCTGCAGTGCAATTTCTGGGGATTCGGAGGCGTTAAATACTACATATGCCTAGCACTTGACTCGGGTATAAAAAGGAGTGGAACGGGACAAGTGTTCTGCAGGTGACAATTCCAACAGAAAGGAGGCAAAATTAAAGAATTAGAGTCATACTTAAACCCAGTCACCAGGTACCGTACTTGAGTATGCTCAAAAAGGAAATCGAACACCTCCTCCGCAAGGGTTGTGACCAATTAGCGCAGAGCCACTAATAAACCCAGGCACAATCATCGTATCGACAGACGCCCTGTCGGGATTCAGCTGGACCACAGGGTTCAATAGTGACGGTTGTGGTGCGGAGTCATCCGTTCCGCGTGCAGGCGGGAATTAGAGGTACGGAAGATCCGATACCCAGCGGATGGGAGCCTTATCTACAATATCGGTAATAGGGGTTCTCGAGGTTTGGCGGCAAGCGTATCTATCTTGGCAACGCACTTGGCGGATTCGTTGGTAACTATTGGAACAGGCTGGATGATGGCCTTAGCAAGGTTTAGCCTTGCTGAGGAATCGCGCGGTGATTCTCAATTTATCACCCACCATCACGGATTCACGACCGTGACCGATTTTCTTACCTCAAAACTATGCAGTCTTGCAGGAGAAGGGGAGAGATGTGCGGTTTGTCAGTGGTGGTTGAGAGCGTGACGGCTTGAAGCTTCTCCGGTGTCTCGTCAGCCTTGTCTGCGCGCCGCTAGTGATGCCCCGTTTCAGCCTGTCGGAAAGCCAATGAATCCGTCCGCCTGCGATAGGTAGTACAGATCTCTAACGACTGTAACTACCGCTACATATCTGGTAAGAAATACCTAATCTGTATCCCGCATGGTGAATTCCGACCGTTAATAAAGTAGGTATCGCATTGCATCCGCGAGCATCCGTAAACAGTGCACTGCCCCGGGAATCTCACGTTACAGCGAATACTATATACTAGTAGTGATAAGTACGCATAGTAGGGAGTTACCGGTAGGTACTTGTCAAGAACTGGGCGTGCAAGATTGGGTGTTTTGCTGGAGATGGATGGACGGAATGTAGGTATAGAGGAGTTCAAAGCCTACAAGGCCTTAGCAAACGCAACACACACCGATAGGCCGGCTTTATAGAATCCTAAGTACGGTGCCGGCTATACGATAGAGCGTGGCGTGAGGATTTGTGATACGTTAGGCTCATTTGCTCCCATAAACCAGATAAAGCTCGGTAGGAAAGCATAGAATGTAAATGACATTATGAACCCAGGACACGTTTTTGCAAATATCAATTCATAGCAATCATACGCCCTATTCTCAGAAGTTAACTACCAAGAACTGCCAGCTTTAACTACTCACTGTAAACCGCCACCATAACTGTCGGCGGAGAGGTGGGGTTCTGCGATGGTCAGCGGGAGGTTGAGGAGGCGCATGACATCTCGTAGTGTCCCGTAACGTGATGGGAAGCATGGCCCTCCCGTATGATATTTCCGGTGGTCGCGACGGAAGCGATGTTCAACGTCGGCCGGGCTCAGCAGGAGTAGACGGCGAAAATGAGACGCGGGAAAAATACTTGCGGACGACATTCTTGAGACTCGAATCCTCAAAGCTCTTGGGCCGAGTTCCAGTGGACAAAGACGAAGCACTTGAAGCCGGCGTATCCGTCGCAACTAGTACGGAATTATTTCTGCTCGAATGGCGCAGACTATGTCTCCTCGATAGTACCGCCGAAAGCGAATGACGGAATCCACTCGACCGTACAGGCCCGTCGCTGCGGACTGATACCGCAGAATAGCTGCTCAGGGTGCGCGTGGGCGAGGTGAGACTTGCGACGGAGGAGTGTACTGAGGAATGGTCGCTCGTCTTGGGCTCGGGCTCGGTGCTCTCGTCGAAGAGCGAGCCGAAAGATTGCACGGAGTAATTCTGCCAAGCGGGTGGGGGGTGCGCGGATTGTAAGGAGGTTGTGGAAGTGCGAAAACCGGTCGGGGTGCCGAAAGAGTCTACGGAGTAGACACTCGAGCTGGCGCTGCAGGCGGTGGTGGGGAAAGAAACGCTATTCTGCTCCGACATCGTGGTTTGGTAAACTTCTGGGCGTGTGGATATGTGTGTGTGTGTGTGTGTAGGCATAGAGAGTGGATATGTGTGTGTGTGTGTGTAGGCATAGAGAGTGGATTTCTGGGTGTTGTGCGGAGCAGGTTGTCCTTCCAAGTAGTAGCTATAATGAAAGCATTAAAGGTGATCTCAAATACTATTTCTCATATCGTCGGCAACATTCTATGAGTGCCCACCTATTCAATTCTCAAACATCTCGGCTAAGATGACGATCCGTAGACTTATATGTCGCATCAGATCCATTCAAAGCACAAGGCATGTATGGTGTTGTTTGCTCGTTCACCGCAGCCAAATTGACAGTGGCTGAACTTGGCCGTTGCAAGGGTGTCACCCAGCACTTTATAGGCATCGAATTCAAGTTTCCAGCACGAAAAAACCCCCGCATGGTCTAGTGGTCTACTAGGCCATGCAATCGGCGAGGAGAGTTGAGGGAAAGCTCTAGGCTCAACCCGGGGTGAAAACCTCTACTCTTGGGGTTTTCAAGCTACCCACCGGGGTGATGATGGTTTTTGTTTTTGGAGTGACGGTGGTGCATAGGATATCACTCGTGTAGAACTATCATGTGACACACCTTTGCCCTGCTGGCTTTGTTTTTTATGTTTAATCATCATTCATTGCATTCAAACTCAGTAGATCATGGCAGATTATATTCATAGCCGTTTCCACCTGGATTTAACCAACCGCTGGCTGCGAGCTCGATACCCGGTTCTCCACTGCTCTCCCTCCCAAGGGCCAGCTCTTCCTGAGAGTCAACCCTCGATAAAGTTGCATTAGATAGTGGATTGGAGTGTCTGTATCCGAATAAAGCTTACCAGTCCAGCTGATGAGTGAAATCCCATGGCGACATCTAAATCGCCGACGAACGACGAATTCGAGGGAGAAATAGGGCGCCGAGATGTTTTGGAAGGCCTTTACTGAGTGTGTTTATCATATTCCGGAATTCCGCAGTCGCTTTTCTCCTCGCCTATGTGCACGAGAGTTGTCTCTGAATTACAATTAATAAGGAAAACACACTACAGCAAAACCAATGTATTATCTCAAGTATGTAATGACAAAAACACTTTTCTTGCGCCTCGTCGTGGATCGCCACGCTGTACACCCACCGGTATCCTCCTCATCCTCTCATATGTACGCCTGTAACACCCTCCGGACGGACTCCCAGCATCCAATCCCTCCTTCAGGTTCCCTCACACTGAACGCAGACACCAGCTTATTTAGGCCCTTTCGACATATCCGGCAGCGAATTGATCCTCCACGCGGTCTTGACAGGAAATAGTTGGCCCCAGCTAGTACGTGCATGCCGCTGTTTGGGTGGATTCGAGGCAACGAGTCGGCTTTCCTGTTCCTCCTTGGACTGCCAGAAATCCCTGAGCGCTTTCGAATCCGGTGTTGCTGGTGCTGGCGCGGTCATGTCCTTGTCCGCTTCGTTGGGAGTGGTACTCGTAGGAGAGTAAGTTCCATCTCTCAGGCGTTCGCATTGTCCTCTCAACCGAGCCAACGTCTCAATCTCCTCGTCGCTAAGGGCCGTTTGCTGCGACTTGGTAGATCCAGATTCGTTTAGAGTGCTACTTGTAGATGTCCGGTGGTCGTGACGGCGCTCTCCTAGGCCGAATTTCGCCTTCGTCCTCACACAGCTCTTGCGGAGCTTTTCGACGCGCTCAGCCACCACGTTCCAGAGGCGTTGTTCTTGGCGAAGGTAGTGATACTGACGGTAGCAGACGCCACCAGTAGTCTTAAGGTGGTCGATGGCGAGCTCGCTTTGTCGCAGGGTTGCCTCCCACTCGGCCGCCTCCTTGGGGCTGAGGATGGGGTGTTTCATGGCCGGGGATGTGAGCATGTAGGGGTCGATCCACAATCCCCTTCTCGGCGTGAACTCCTCCTCGACTTTGGCTTTCACTCCATTCGGATCCTCCAATTTGGGTGCAAACTCCCTCAACGCCGCGTACTCCTCGCTCTGGACGATGGCCTCCCGTTCCGCGTGTGGGAAGCTCTCATCGGCGATTAACAGCTCCAGGGCATTCACGAAGTCATCTTTTGCCTTTGCCAAGTGCGCACCGATTGCTCTAGACCTGTCATCCCGTGGATCACCTCTGTGCATCCAAGACGAGTAGACGGCTGTGGCGTTGCTGCTGGCGGAATCGGGTCTTCTCTGATCGGCGGAGATCGGATTAAAGATGGCAGTGACAACACTGTTGGTGCTCAGGGTACTTAGTCTCTTCAGAGAACCTGAAGATGGAGTAGGCTGCGGCCTCGGTTTCTCGCTAGGCGTAGAAATCTTAATCGTGGGAACGGGAAGAAGCGAACGCTTACCCTCGAACGAAGTGGTCGAGAGCATACGCTTTACTTCCTCCTTCTTCTCCTTGCTAATGGGAACGTGCCGACGGCTCCTTGGAGAGAAATCTTTCCGCTGACTGTAGGCAGTGGATGGGCGGCGGTAGCCCTGGTGGTAGCCTTGCTGGCCGGTAGAAGGCTTAGCTACTGCTGCCCGTGAACCGTACGCCGTGACTGACCGGGGCGGCATCGGAGGTGAATATATCATCGTCGGAATATTCTTAACAGTACCCGCAGGTGTAGGGCAGGGGTGCGGTAGCAGCTCTCCGGATTGTCTGCTCGTACTGGTGCGATGAGATGTGTTGTTGGAGGTAGTCAAACCAGGCTGGGGTCGCGAAGCTTTGATCCCTGTCGCTGGGTTCTGCTTTGCTGCGCTGGCCAATGTGGGGCGAGACAGCGAATTCGCAGTGCTCAGCCGCTGCGGTTGACCATCTCTTCCGGGATTGCTGGGACGCCGAAAGGTATTGTAGGTAGCAGCCGAGCTTGGGCGAAAATTGTAGGTAGCAGCCGAGCCTGGGCGAGAATTGTAGGTAGCAGCCGAACTTGGACGAGAATTGTCGATTCCTGGCTTCTGGATGTTGAGAGTACGATTTTCCTGTGGAAGCGGACGGTTTCGTGATGGCACAGCTGAGGGAGGGTGCTGCAAGGATGTAGACCGCAGGGCCGGCGTGGAAGCGCGAGATGAATTGCGGTTGGCGAATCCTGGACCCATGAGTACAGGGCCGGGTCCTTCATTTCGAAACAGTGGTGTTATCGGTCGCCGCACCATATCGGGGGTAATGCGGCCTGGCATTCCTCGTCCCACCACCGCAGCGGACGTACTGTGGTTCGAAGCGTTAGTATTACCATGGTTTCTTCCTCGTCCACGTCCCAGTGTTCCGGCCACCGGTATAGAACTCCGAGTTAGATCGGGGGTACTGTGACGACCAAGTCGTCGTTGTTCCGCGGCCACAATAGTGGGTGGCCGACTCTGAATTGGACCGGCATTGATTCCTAATGCTCTACGCCCACGTCCTAACCCTTCGAGCATCGGCGTAGAACTCCTTTCTGGATAGCGGACGAGATCGGGGGTGTTACGACCTAGACCATTGCTGGACTGCGGAGTGGCACTGCGAGGTGGAGGTGCGGTGGTGGTCTTGATGTTTTCTCGCGACTTCCTCAGCGGATTCTTTGGGGGAATTTGTGGCGGCATTAGGGAGAGATTTGCTATCGTAGGACCGTGAGTAGAAGCCGCGGGTTTGAAGTTAGATGCTTCAACTTCGGGCGGCCCGTTCGATATTTTTGGATATCGGTTTGACATGGTGGAGTTGCCGATAGGGCGGGTGTGTTGCGATGTGTTGTCGAGCTCTATCGTGGTTGAAAAGATAGGTCTCAAAGTGAAAGCGCCAAGAACCCAAATCAGGATATTTTGCGATTGAGAACACTATTTGATGGTCTGTGATTCACACATGTACACAATACGTCACTCGTTGTTTCCTTTTTCTGGACCGAGCGGCATACATGTTTGTGTTTGCAGACCGCAATTGCACCTGTGCCCATCATAGGCTTTCCTTACCTTATTTAACTTTGTAATGCGATCTCACGGCTATTGAACCAACAAATGTCATACTCGAGGTGCGACATACTTTCTACTAACGGTAGCAGACGAGATTGTCGATTGTGAATGAGGCAGCTTCTTCTCTCATGTGCAGATTTAATACAACAGCCGACTATGTTTGACTCTTAGACGGCATTCCGGAGTTCTCTGGCGGAAATTTCAAAGATCATTTTGCAACTGACGCTGCCGTTGAAACTGCTAGCGGTTCTGTAGCTGTATCACGTGCAGGAGTGAAAACCCGTCCAAGGTTCTTATCGCTTTGAATACGAGGCCGAGGAAGAATTGGGGAGAAGCAAAATAACTCTAGGAGGTACCATGGGAGCTTCTAGGGGGGTTCATGTACGAGAAGAGGACGGAGGATTTGATGTGAGTACACATGTACCCAGGAGCAGAATGCCAGATTTGAGCCGATCAACGGGGGCTGTGCAAGACCACGAGTTTCTGTTCTGGAAGCTGTTACGAGAATCGAGATTAGTTCCGCTGTTTCTATATAGGTGTTGGCGAACCAAGTTGAACTGCTTTAGAAACCGTCGCACTAACGTCACCACGTGACTCCCACACGCATGGCCGGCGAAGTTGACTCTCTTCATGATGAGGTACTTATGCAGCTTGATAAATGTGGATTGAATTTATCCCGTCACATCCCTCATCCGCAGACCGACGGAATAATACTACCGATGCCCGTAAGTGAAAACGAAAAGAAAAAAAAAAAACGAACTAAGAACAACGCCCAAAAGAAACGCCAAAAAAAATGCCAAAAAAAACCGTAAAAAAATCCCCCTTCAGGACTGGCTAGGACCGCGCAAAAGTCTGCTCCCTGGGTCCATTTCTATCTACATCACGCTGCGGTGGTCTCGAGGGTTTTGGGTTCCGCTTTCCGCCCTTGCCGGGCGGCTGCTGACCCCAGGGGACGCTTCTCGGAGCATTGCATTCCACACACTTCCGCCACTTCTCACTGTTGAGATGGGTGCAGCGGGGGCAACTCCAAGCCATTCCTGCAGGCTGCAGCTGCTCTTCTATCAGTTGGTAGAGGGTGGTTGGGGGGGAGGGAGTCCGAGAGTCTGAAAGATCTGTGTTGCTGTTGTTGTTGACGTATGCTGTTGAACTTCTGGATTCAGGGTATGTTTGTTGGTATGATCGCGATTATGGAGAGGTCTCGAGGATGGGGGGAGAGGCGCTGTATTTATACTTCTGAGCGGGAGGAATGCCCGTTTTCGTCTGTGGATGTCATCAGGACTCCGCTTTCTATCATGACCTGGAGGTTACCAGACGGGGCCGGGCCTTTCGCTGGTTCGTCCCAGATGTGATATGGACGGAACCACTAAGAAGACGCTATCTAGAGCCTAGATGGCAGTAGACGAATAGCTGTGTGTCGTGGGTGGACGCTATGGGGCATCAAGCACGCTGCACACATAGGTCAGAACGACTTCACTCGGCAATCAGAATCCATGTCGTTGAAGTATTGCCGGGGTGTGGGCCTACTGAATTCCCATACCCTTGCAGAGCTTTCTAACCAGCTGGTCTCTATAGATTTGGGCTTTCGATGTTTGCTGTTAGGTTTCGCCACAAGCCCTAAATGGAAGTAACTCGCCATGGGTGCTCACGCATGATGCTTACGGACCTGGTGTCTCGGTTTACTTGCGGATAGTGGAAGAGGGGAAAAACCCTACGATGTCCGGCGGTATAGAAACACGGAGTGTGGACTTAGAACTGCCATAGCCGGACCTGGCCGAGTACACAATATTGAAACAAAAAAATGGGTCCCTTGTTTGGCGAGTGCTTGGTAGTGATCGGGGCGATCGTTGAATTGGACGAAAAGCCAGAGCATTCTGCTGCACTTAAAGATTTCATTAGAAGTACATCATGAATGTGGAGATCTGAATTCGGCGGAGCGGAATCACACCGCCTACCTACTATGTTATCAATTGCGTGCTTTGTAAGATGGTCGTGGAGAGCTTTCACTCGATACTTCAGTGGGTACTACTACTACATTCACGGATGGCCGGTTTGCAGCCTGCAGGATTCGTTCAACGCACTCCATTCTATTTCATCCAGTACTTCAACACTCAAATACTTGAACACTCCAATACTTGAACATTCCAACACTTGAACACTCTAACACTCCAATGACTGCTGCCAAGGACGATTGAAAACGGTGTGGTGATTCTCTATTTCCCGGAGTCCCACCCCCGTCTGCCTTTCCATCCTCCTGAGCCGTAGGCTACTCCACTCCGAGTCTGCAGGATTCATCCCAAGAAGCCAATGGTGTATCGACACCCTTGCCTCCTCGGACTCGGGAGTCGGGACAGCGTGTGTTGTGCTCCTTCGGGAAAGCGCAGAGTTCCGTGCCAGCCCTCGTCTCCAAATCAGGGTATCAGCCTTCGCCGTCCGTCGGAGGTGACAAGTATAGAGAGAAAAGGGCGTATGTATTGCAGTGAGGACGAGCAAGTAGAATATCGCATCGGAAGCTTCACGCGAAGCGCTTCGCTTTGCTACTCCGCCCGCTAGGGAGCAGCAATCGTCCCATGTGCAAAAACAGTATCCATTCAAGATAGCTATTTCGGACGCATTCCTTCGATCGATCGTGTTACGTTCTCTTCTCAATGCTGTTCTGGCGATGGTAGGTGTAATAACACCGGAACCGGAACGGTATATGCCACTGGAGGCCGGTGTTTTTGGTGAAGGGAGTTGAGTCTACTGGAAAAAATCGAGGTGCCTAACAGGGTGGGTGTTGGGGGGTTGGCGGGTTGGTTCCTGAGTGATCGCACGTGATAAAAAAGTTGCTGAAAAACAGCAAGCGAGTGAAATCCTATGTTTCAGTTGAGCTCACCAGCTCACTTGCCGAGCCGGGCTCCAATCTCCACCAACCTGGTGTTGTCTCACGAGTTACTTTCTCTCTCTCTCTCTCCCGGCGGAGCGAATTAGGGCTGAGGGTTTGAACCGGCTGATTAAACGTCTGGTGCGAGACAAGGTTGAGATTGGACTCGGGACAGTCGGGAGTGAACATGTACATAGTGATAATACACCTGTGTACACTCTACGACTATCTGATGGCCTATATGCGATATACATAGCAGCATTCATTCCAGCGGAGACGAGAGACGAATTCCGTAACGGGCCCGAGGAATGCTCGCCGCTCGGCGCCCCTGAACAGGTTACAGGCCGACACGGGAACCGATTCCCGACATCCTCTGCTACAGTCTTCATACCTACGACCAGACCCTCCAACAGTTCGAACTGGGAACAAATCGGGGCCGTTCCCAGACCAACCAACTGTTGGGGGTAGCGAACTGAACCAACTGCCGGGTTTTGAACCGGGAAAACTGCTAGGCCCAACAGTTCAGTGAGGCTTAAAATTTAGGGTGAAACCCGTCATCACCACAAACCTACCCGGTAACCTCCTACAACCCGCCACCCATTCGCTACCATCATGTGGCCGCTGCTATACCAGTTGACGAGCTCCAGGACTATTTTTCATTGACTGTGGGGAGGAATGTTGGAAACAGTCCTCACGCGATCGAATGGTGGCTGAGACCGGCGCAGAATCGTCGTTTCCCTAATCTTAGGCTTCAGCCGAATGGCCATAGACATTCTGTCTTTTGCAGCCATGTCGGCTGAGGTTGAACGGCTGTCCTCCAAGTGCCAGATGGTTCTGACGGATCATCAGCATTCCCTAGGTACCGATAGTGTTGAAGCTCTGGAGAGTATCATTGGATTCAACCGCTATACTCCCAGTATGAATGAGTAGCATCAGAGTACTGTATAGTGAAGGGGGGGGGGTAAAAAATACGCTTTTTTCGGAACAGTACGGACAAAAATTGTATTACTAAAGTGAAATTACGTATTTTGACCGTACCGATGCGCAAAAAAAGCGAATTTTTTACCCCCCCCCCCTCCCTTCATTGTGCAGTAGAAATTCAGAATTAGTACTGTACAAATCTTCTATTGCTCTCTCTGTGACCATTCAAAAATATTATGCATACTAAACCCCTTTTCTATCACTTTTTCCGTGACAATAGGAGCCTATTTCGCCCATTTTTGCTCCTCTGACTGAACTGTCAGTTCAATTTACTATCGCTTTTTCCGGACCAATAGGACCCTATGTTGGCCAATTTCCCTCCACTGACTGAACCGCCGGTTCATCCGCTGAACTGACAGTTCTGCCAGTTTTCTCGGGAACAACTGGCACACCTACCCAAACCAACTGGGAACTGGCAGCCTCTGTTCCCAACTGAACCGGGAACAAAATCAACCCGAACTGAACTGTTTAAACCAGTGTTCCCATTTCAACTGACTAGCTGTTGGATGGTGTGCCTACGGCTCGCCACGATCGAAGAGGAGTCGGGACCGAGTGCGATACCGCCATTGGAGCTTGGGCGGCGTCTTACACGATGGCTATGGCTGTGTAGCTGTACTGTCGGCTGATGGGTTGGGTTGGGTGGCAATTGATTACCTATTGATACCGGGTACATACACACCGCGTCTGGGGGAATACATCTGGCACATCTCGATTCCTGCCAGTGAGCCGGTCTGCGAACAATGTGAAACGAAAGTTGCATGAGAATGATGTACCCGCATCGATGTGGTGGGGGTAGTTAGCCCCGCCATCCATGCATCCATGCATTAATCCGCGGCGCTTAGCGCCGGCGATGAGGCTTGTGGGCGGAGCCACTTCCTTCGAACAGGCCAACACTGGGTATTGCCGATTCCCACATGCACAGGCCCTCGTTCTTCGAAAAATCCGAAAAACCCAATAATTCCATTTCCAACAAACTCCCGCGAAACGCTGACAAAAATAAGTACACAGATATGCAAACAAACCCATAAACATAGAAACACAGAATCATATCCACAGCTCTCCCATATATCTACATGCATCACCGACATTGCCCCTCCGCCCCTCCGCCCCTCCGCCCCTCCGCCACGGCCTACGGGACCACCCCCGGACAACGCTTCAACTACCTAACCCCACCGGCTTCTCCGGATCCGCAATCCTCCTCCTCCCACCAACCCAGTCCATATTGAGCCTCTGCAGATTCTGGACTGTGCAAATGCAATGATAAGTAAACGAGCCGATGACGAGGATGACCATGAGCCCGCACGTGGCGCACAGGACGACCATGCTCATCATAGCGAACCACCAACTGCTCTTTTCGAGGGACGGGCGTTCGAGGGGGACGGTATTCTCGTCGGTGCTGAGCAGCAGCTGTAGCGCGGTCAAGACGACGGAGACGTAGACGACCGCTAGCAGCAGCCACGCGAAGTTCTGGTTGAAGAACTGCTTGTACGTCACGTACTGCGAGTAGTAGCCGTTCGGAAAGTCGATGCAGAAGCGGTGCGCCTGGTTTACGCGCGGCAGCCGCAGCTCGCCGTACTTGTATCGCTTGTTCACCTTGCTGTCCTCCAGGTACGTGAAGTGCGGGGCCAGGCGCGCCCACACCTCCCATTCCAGATTCTCCGGCACTAGATTTTCGTCATGCGCGATCTTCAGATCGATGGGGGACTGGATCAGCTTCGCGTACGATCGCAGGAAGCCGAGTGCCAGGGCCCGCAGGTCCTCGTCAGGTTCGATGTGCTCATCAAAGAATGGCACCGACAGGAGGTAGGCGGGAAGTGGCTTGATGAAGATGATCTGTTCGTACCAGAGCAGGTGAAGCCAGGGTTTTTCGTTGATGACGATGCCGCGATTGCAAACTTTCTGTTGGTGGAGGGCACGGATGTTGTAGGGTCGCCCGGCCCACCACAGGTGCTGGTGCATGCCGTTGAGGCGGTCGACCTCGAGGTCGCGGCGCAGGAATTTCTTCACATCTTGGTCCTTTGGGAGGATCGGGTTGCCGGGGATGCTGATGGAGTGGTTGACGGCGATTTTGGCTGGGCCGAAGAGGTGATTCTCCTCTTCGGGCTTGGATAGTGTGACGGAGGAGGAGATGGACTCGGTTCGTGCGGTGAAGACTCGCGGAAACGGCGCTGTCGACTATCGCGTGCCCGTGTTAGCTCTTCTCTATCCCAGCACACGCGTCGCACAGTAACTACGCACCCGTCTCGTCAGTGTTGGCGCAGGTGGTGCATTCATGACTTCTGGCTCTCACTGTTTCCCGCATCCGGGTGGGACATCGATAAATATGTAGTTCACGCAAGACGCAGTTCCCAAGGCTGTGCGGGGGTTGACATGGAAGCGCTACGCCATGCAGAAAAAGCAACTCTGTGTGCGCACGCTGCGTTGGCCACTTTTCAGTGGCTGGGATTCAGGGGTACACGGTAAGACGGAGGTGGGACAAACGTGAAGGAAAATCGATCGAGTGGAACACCTCGCGCGCCCGCCCTAGAAGATCACCACTGCTGATAATTCCGCAAAGGGTAAAGAGGACGCGTTCCCGTCGAATGTGTTGGTGTGGCGAATGGCGAGGCGTTAATAGGTGGTTTCGTGGTACGGTATATGCCAGTACCGCACCCAATGCCTCATTGAGGACCACCTCCCTGCTGTTTTCGAATGCGAACTTGCGAAGAGTCGTCCCCAAATAGCCCGTCCGGTAGCCAGAGTTTATGCTGTGCATCGTGCTGTATAGTACCTGGCCTGCTAGAGGTTCCCTATTCCACAGTATTCCTTCATCATCTTCCCAGTGACCAGAGTCGCTGTCGAACAAAGCCACTGGATTGAACTGAGAGAAAGCTGCTGTCACCGTATCAGCAAACAACGAAGAGAAGTCATCCCTAAGCTCACAGCGCTACCAGTGCGTCCCTGCCTATCTAGCGCCCTATTGTGTCCCTAAGAACATCTCCAATTCTTCCATGTACACCTAGATGTAGAGTACAGTTCTCGTGTGTACCGATACAGTGAGTCCCGAATTCGCCGTAATATCGCATGGTATTGCTCGGTTATCTCGTTCCGATAGACAGATCTGATGCCGTTTAAGCCTTTCCGATAGTGCTTATACAGCTCCGGGCCACAAATACTCTCGTGCCTCCTCCCGTTCTTTTCCGTGAGCATGGTGTTGTTGTTGTTGTGGCGAGCATGGTGTTGTTGTTGTTGTTGTGGCGAGCATGGTGTTGTTACGTGTTGTGATGTGATGAGTGTCCGAACGCGTTGCACGATGCATCGTGACGTACCGGTAACTAACTCAGCCACAACGGAGGAATGCAGGAGGAATGGAAACATGGAGACATGAAGCTCTTTCTGATTGCGAATTCTGCCCCACTGTAGAGTAGGTACCTACACACCATCATCCATGCATGCAGTCGGAGTGTCTAGAAGAGCGGCCTGTGCCGGCGCTGCCGTAACCGAGCGGGAGCGGGAGCTTAAGCCTAAGGCATGGACTTAGCGATGTGTGTATGTTGCGGGCAATCCGTCGGGACTCGGTCGCGCCGACATGGTTCCATAACCTGGACTCCTCGAGCCCATGCATGCGGCGGAACCTCCGGAGTCCGGATCGCAGATGCACACTATTTGAGGCGAGGGCATGTTTCATCGATGGATGGAATCAGCCCACGCTCGTGCAGTTGACCGCCACCGGCTGATAACCCTACATATCTGTTAGTCTTTCAGTCTCCGGAAGTCCAGATTACAGCCGCCTCGGTTTTCCGCTACGCATATCGAGCCGTATTGTATTCCAACCCTAAGTGCATAATCACCATTTCGCCCGTTGGCTTTGTACTTTCCCCGTCTCCGAGTCTCCGACCATGTATTGACAACGAGTCGGGCGCTGTGCCCTTCCTCCTTATCCTCGTTGCCATCTTCATCCTCATAAACATCCGAGGGTAGAGCGACCCGTCATCCGTCGAACGGTGACGAGCCCTTAGCGAGTGTCACTAGCCACAGCCTCCCAATCTCGCCCGCCGCAGCCCTCGTCCAGCCAGCCAGCGTAATTCTCACCATCCTAGCCATCCTTCGGACGCGAATACCGCGTCAACGAGGGGAACATTGGCGGTCACTTGGCTGCTGTAATCGCCGCCGGGCATTTGGTACTGAATTGCTGGCCACGTGGGCGTGTCGATGTCGCGCAATTGAGTTACTGGATGGCAAAGCGGTAGAGTCTGATAGCCGAATACCACCTCCTATGTAGTGCAGGTGGTCACGGCTGCGCTAATCTTCAGCAGGAGAGAAGTTCGATTTTCCAGGTGGGCCGCTGATTTGAGATTAGCCGCCTACATACAGACTCAGTGTTTCCCATTCGTAATCGATCAGAACCCCCACATACCAAACCATCTCTACCCCCATATTCCTGACATTGCAATCGGATTGCAAGTCCATAGGCTACCAAGGTTGCGGCCTATTCGTCCCAAAATTTCGCTAGATGAGCTTTTCTGGGCGACCTTTACTTGATGCCCATGAAGCCTCAAAGGAAACGAGTACGGGTACGGGCGTCTAGAGGTAACTCCCGGCCCTCGGTGTGCTGCGTATGGCTGCAGGTAGGTGGGTATTCGATCAGTAATATCTGGGATGTATGTGTCCTGTGATCTGGCTCCCGGACGCAGTAGTCGATAAACCCACGGCTTCGAAAACGCCTCCTATCGTGCAGAAGGCGTAACTCCACTCTCTTTGTAGATTTGTAGTCGATCCACACACTGCCGATTGAGTCCTGCATCCTAAGAATAGGAGGTTCTCGAACATCGAGTGAGATTTTGTCGGATAACTTGGTGAGTCCGATGTTCGGTCACTTGAGAATGTTCTCGGTACGTGAACCGGTAGTGGGACCCATGCAGGAGCAACGCATGATCCGAAGCTTGTATCTGCGGGTAGCTACCGACAGCAGCTATTGCGGTAGATGCCGCACAATGTCATCGAAGACGAGTCCGATCGTCACAGCCGGAACGGTTCCCTGTAGTGCAAAGTCAGCTAGCTGTGGCCGGTCTTGTTCGACCAACACATCGTAGGAGACCCACCACAACTCCGACTCCAAGCCGTTGTACAGTCCATAGTGTCCCTCGCTATGGATTACGAACTCCCGGCAACCGACGGTGTTCTTATAGGTCATCTCTTCGGCCACCTTGCCTCTCTGATCCACGGTAATGGCACCGAATGTGCAAGTCACCGAATTTGCAAGTAACCGCAATTAACCCCGGTATGTAGGAAGACTGAACTCTGGAGGGCATCGCTGAAGAAACTCTTACCATGGTTTTGAAAGCAGTAGTAGTGGGCGACCTCCTCCTACGCAACCGGTCGAGCTGCCGATAAGCCCTGTGAAGCGTCCTGCGTATAGGTATTCGACTTCTCTCGACCATATCCGGACGAATATCCGGATATATCTCCTCGGCGTTGGCTGCCTCACTTCGACCTCAATTTTATGCGGAATCCTTTATACGTCCGCTTTTTAATCGTCTCTCTCCATCTCTTCTGTATACGATCCTTCTCGATGAGTCCAGGGCATCGCATAGGAAAAGTCCTGGCCGATGTCGCACTTTCTGACATCTGCATAGCAGTGGCGAATGTGGTGGTAATGATCGACCATCCGTGACGGCGGCGCGGCGATTCTTATCCGGTCGAGAAACCGGCCCTGGAGGGGGGATGAAATGAATCCTGCGAACAGGAGCGCAACCACGGGCGGTACCGGTTTCGACGGTCTATCGACCCGAGGCACCCAAGAGCGAAGTATGGAGACCGTCTGAGGCAAGTTTCGCTCACGAACAATGGAAGGCGACTTGGTGACCTGACGAAGGGGGCTTTGGTCGGTCTGTAGTATGTGGTGCCGGAAAGATCGTTCGTAGGACAGCCCTTCATGTAGAAATGGAGTAGGTCGTTGGCTGGATTCTCGTAGCCGTAATGCGGACCATTCGGGAGCGGTGTGGTAATCGGATGTTGGATAAAAACTGGAGGTAGATAACTTATGGCAATCAAAAGAGGTCGGGCGAGTGATCAGTCTCTAGTGGGGGATGAAGGTGAACGATTTCGCTGCGTTGGTACAGGTAACGTAGGTAGTCGGACTGTGCAGTGCGAGCGTCTGACGAGGACGGTGGGATTGAGTATCATCGGTCCCACTATTGCCCGCTGGTGAAAATTGCCATCAGTGCACCTGCAGGTAAACACGGTTCTGGAGGGTATGGAAAGGCCTGTACCTCCGCTGACTTGGTATGTGGGGAGTCTCCAAGTAAGTTGAATGCTACAGGTAATCAGCGGCTCTACCCTTCGACCCTGCCCGCCCGTACCATCGTGTTTCTATATACTACGAATTTCGAGCGTGCGGATAACTTTTGCTACTGCTGCCAAGGTGTTCCTTTGCTATTTGCTGCACAACCGATGACGTTGACTGTCGCGTCGTGCGGGAGTGGCGGCTGTTTGTGTGTGTGGGGTCCTCCTATTTCTCCAACGCTCGGGGCTAATCGCTTTAAAGACCCATCTCCTTCCTCCTTCCTCCTTCCTCCTTCCTCCTTCCTCCTTCCTCCTTCCTCCTTCCTCCTTCCTCCATCTCTTCGTCCTTTCTACCTCCATCATCCCTCCTTTTTCCTTCCACCTTCTACCTCATCATCCCTCCTTTCTCCTTCCACCTTCCACCTTCCACCTTCCCCACCTTCCCCTCCACACTCTATCATTTATCCCACCCTTCCTCATCCTCCTATCCCTTGATACCACTTTTTTTTTCAGACCACTTGGTCATGCAAAAGCAACAACCATCAGTCAGCCTCATCCGCCGAAGATGAATACCGATTACAGCCCGACTCTATGTTCGACCGATGCACTTCAATCCTCAGGAACGACACCAACCCATCGCTATTGGCTTACCGAGTCCACCTCCAACCCGCTACGTCTCCAGCTGATTCAGCTGGGTCCGCCGCCCTCGAACCAGCGCCTTCACAAAATACCAGTCTGCCGAGCCACCGACCCTAGGCAATCGATCTGAAGACTGAGACCAAGGAGCTGAAAATTTTTCGGTTCCTTGGTAAGAACGACTACGAAGGACCAGATTGAGCGCCGGGGAGGCGAAGAAGCGATACGACGAGAGCTCGGTCCTTGGCTCCCCGGACCACCGTCCGGGGTGGCAACACTCTGGACACAACGAGGTAAATATCATCTCCCCCTCCCTTCTCACTTATATTCATGAATAATACTAACTTTTATTAGTAATCAAAGCCAACAATGGCTACTGTAGAGGTCATAACCTAAAACCTCACACCTCACACCTTACCGCCCGAGGTGGTAACTGGTTCCCCGGACCACCGTTCGGGGTGGCAACACTCTGGACACAACGAGGTAAATATCATCTCCCCCTCCATTCTCACTTATATTCATGAATAATACTAACTTTTATTAGTAATCAAAGCCAACGATGGCCACTATATAGCTCTATAACAGAAAAGAAACACACTCACCACCGACCTTGGTTCCCCGGACCACCGTCCGGGGTGGCAACACCCTGGATGCAACGAGGTAAACATCATCTCCCCCTCCCTTCTCACTTACATTCATGAATAATACTAACATCTACTATTACTTAGTGCCGTACGATGGCTACTGTTAACTTACCGTTGCTATGATTAAATAACGACTAGAAAGGCTATGAGATTGATAGAGAGAAAAATGCGGGGCATGGTGAGCTGGGGGAGACGTGGTCACAGTCGTGTACATATCGGACCGATACAAAAAAATGAAGCCGGCCCTGCTATATTGAACGTTCCATTCGCGTGATTAAACTGTAGAGATATGTAGGCCAATGCTCAGATATTGCGTGATGCCATCGAGAGATCCGAAGTGGAGGCGCGGCCGCAGTGCCTCCGGTGTGCATAGCATTAGGGAATTGCAACGAGCTCATGGCCGCAAACGTATGTAGTAGCTCTTGAGTCTCCGTCTCGCCATCCGCAAGGCGGCGCCGTGGTGACGCAGATTTAGTACGTTTTTTTTTTGTTTGTTTCATCATCGTAACATTAGATATTTCTCAGACTATGGCGGTATACACACATCCGGTTCGGCTCCACTGTCCCCAACCGCTGGCCGCGAACTAGATGTAGCATGGTATACCTGCGGACCTGCGGAGTACAGTGACACTCTGGTCAACGACCCCGCCCTCATATTCCGGATTCCTCAACACACCACGCTCGCCGGTCAAGTCTACAGCCTGCCGATATTCATCCCCGCCGTTCATGTCACAACGGTGAAATCCCCAAGCTCAACATCCAGAACAATCCCTCCAGTCGAACGAGATCCCCACCCCTCCCCTCCCCTCCCCGTCCCCAGCCCTGCTATTCGTTACGAAATCATCAGCGATCACCCGCTATGAACAATCTCTGGCTTGATCACGCCAGGTGCGCTCTGAATTTTCTAGCCCGCATTACCATCACAAGCGTCTCTGTTAGTATAGTGGTTAGTATTTCCGCCTGTCATTTACTGATAGTCCGCGGGAGACCAGGGTTCAATTCCCTGACAGAGAGTTCCTTTTTTGGGCTTTTGCATGGCAGTATGGGAGGTCTGCTGATGGTGTTTTGAACTCTTTGAAGATGGGCAGTGGTGAAGGATGAGGGGGAGTGGTGGCGAGGAGGAGGTGAGGAGGAACGCCTGCGGCCGTTTTAGGAGGGGAAACTGGTGAAGCCTAGTAAATTACGGACAATTCGGACGACGGCGGACGGGGCGTCACGGAGGCTGAAGACAGGGAAATGGTTGGTGGAATACTGTCATCTATTTGTAGCGCTCCAAGTAGTCCAACGCGTCCGTAGTCACTCACATGGACGGGGCGGGACTTCATCGATGCATTCCGCCCTGACCCCTGCGGCATAGACTACATGTCGCCGTCTGGAGGAGCAGGCGGAGCAGACGGAGCAGACGTATATACGGCAGTCGACACTAGACAGCTGCCCAGCACGGTCCGGGTTACCGAGCGAGTACATATGGGCAAAGACACTGTACTGGGAGTGGCATCAGCAGGCTGCAGCGCGCAATTGCCGATACAGGGTAGCGTTACGCCAGATGATATCAGAGAGGCGGTATCTCCCTCCGTTTCCATCACGGAAACCGGGGGTTCTGCAGCTAGATTGAGCGGGTTGGGTTGGGTGGGGTTGTGTGTTTCGATAACAGTTTCCCAGACAGAGCGGGGTGGGTGGGGCTGTGTACCCCGCTGAATTGTCTTCGCTGGGGAATATGAGACTCTCAAATGGAAATTGGAATTGTCGCATTCATCGGGTCGGAATGGAATGGGCTATGTGTCGCTGTAAGCGATTTGTGAGCGACCGATTTGTTCACCGGATGTATTTAGACGGAGGAAAAGTAACAGACTCATTCTCTATACAATCGAGCCACTCACTCCCGTAGCTCTGGTATGTGAGGCCGCACTGGTCGGGACTACCCATATTGCATCTTGCAGTTCGAGGGGAAGCTTCTAGGCTGCATGGAAGTTTTGTGAGGGAAGGGATTTCTACGTAGAGGAGAGGAAAATGGAAGAAGAACTGGACATCGGCAGTCGGAGCGGAGGAATCGTGGACACGGGGATATTCAAGTAATAACGGATGAGAGGATATTTACGTAGTCACGGCGGAGAAAAAAGATGTTCGCAGTTCAATCAGATCATTATTCTCAAACCAAACTTATTGCAGCCTTTCCGCAGAAGACAAGCCAACAGGATTCAGAAGCTAAGCCGAAGGATTAAACAGCTGTGCGGTGCTACTGAGCCAGTGATGCCAGTAGTACCTCGGTGGTGTAACCAAGTTAAGCTCCGCGGGCCCAGTTGAGAGTTCCACCACCCGTTCTGTCCTCGCCGCCGTTGTTTCCTTGACCACTGCCCTGCGTCTCGTTGTTGTCCTTGCCCTTACCCTTATTACCGCGACCGTGAGCGAGCGGCTTCTGATTCTTGGGTTCAGGTCCAGTCCACCAAGTGCCGAAAATCGCCGTAAGGATCTTGTGAACCGGGCTGTGGTCGAGGCGCTTGCGTTCGCAGTCGGGGCACAACTGGTGGGTGTAGTAGCGGAGGTTCAACGGGGCTTTGTAGAACTCCAGGGTGTGGTGATCACACTTATAGCGGAATTCGAAGATAGAATTGAAGTTGGGGTCCTTGGGGTTTCCGCGGGGGACCGCCTGAAGGGACCGCAGCATCGGGATCGGGTTGTAGCGGCTCGAGCTGCCCTGGTACGTGCTCTCCGTGCCGGTGCCGGGCTCAGAGGCGCCTTCGACTGCGGTGGAATCCTCGGAAGGGAGGAAGGGCGAGGGCGGCAGCGCCGGAAGAGTGTGGTGGCTGCTTGGGCTCGTCTGGTTGATGCTCTTCTTCGAGGACTCTGAATCAGGCGAGAGGGGAAGAGGCGGAAGGTATCTGTCGCTGCTGCTGCTTGGGCCGGCCTGGTTGACGCTCTTCTTGACTGGGGTGGAGAAAGGCGACGGAGGCAAAGCCAGCAGAGTGTGGTGCCTGCTGGGGCTCATCTGGTTGACGCTCTTCCTGGATGGCTCCTCGGCGCCTTGGTCCGCGGTGGTGACCGGCATGATCTGGTCGTAGTCGTCGAAAGTTGCGAACGATGAAGACTTCGTGGGTGGTGAGGGGAGGTGGGAGTGTGTAGATTTTTGTATTTTGAAGGGTGAGGTGAGAGAGGAACGGAAGGAGGAGTGGGGGAGGAAGAGAGGGAGTTGAGTCGGTGAAGGGGGCAGAGGTGGTATGGGACGAGAGAAGAAAACCAAGTATCACCAGCTACCCTCCTTCAAAGGTGATGACATCTCTGCCACACGCAACACCAACTTCACCATCACTCGGTCGGAACACGATTTCTACTCCATTGCAAACCCCGGGCTCGGCCAGACATACGCCGTTAAGGAAAGGAATCTAAGCGAAGCCCTACGCAAGCAAGAGTCGCCAGCAGCCAGTCGAGAGCCACCCGCACTGTTGCCCTGCTCCCGGACGACCAGATCGCAGACGGCTGGATAGGTCAAACTGGTCGCCGGCGAACTCGACGATCCCAGAGTCGAATAGCCAGGCCGTGCCACCAAGTACAGTAACCACCTCTCCGGCCTACCTCGAGCGCAGAGCTCCGGAAAACGAATGCCCTGATGCGCGGTCGTGGTGCTAGCAGCCCAACCGGCCCAAGTTCTAACCATCCCGCGCAATACGCTGCTCGGCGCATGGGCACTATGCATGATGGAGGGCAAGGGAGGGAAGACTGAGCCATCCGAACGAGATGGGCACGGGCGGGAGCGCGAGGTTGTGGCAGTCTTCGTGGGGCGCGAGGATTTGACGGCCGGGGAGGAGATGGCTTGGGAGATCGGTGAATCTTGGACCGGATAGCAGAAGGTGCCCACGTGGACCGACTAGCGGCGGAACGGATGAACCAGGCATTACCGAACGGTATGTCTTCATGATACATCCAATACGGTATCTCGGAATTCTATCCAGGGGAAATCGGGGCCGGGGGAGAGACAAGGAGCCATCTTCAGTCCCGCAAACGTTGGAGTGCGCATTTCCACTTACACCACTTACACCGTTTTACGCCGGTCATGAAGGTCTCTTCGATCCCTCAAGACCCAACCGGATCCGCGGATGGATGAAACCGTCTAAACCCCAGGGCCAGCCAAGGGTTCGAGAGTGAGAGTGTGTGGGGTATGTACTCGAATTTTTACCACATAGCCGGTAGTTGTACTGCGTCTCCGCCAATGCGTCTGCAATGCGTCTGCAATGCGTCTGCAATGCGTATTGTAATGCGTTGGGTTGTAAAACACGTTTATGTAGGTAATTTGCAGTGTTGTCAAATGCGTTATTTTAGGTACATAATTTATTAATCTGTGGTACTATGCTCCTTGTCCTTCTTCCTACAGTTGCCTGGCTGCATACCGCACTGCCACCGCCGCGGATAGCACATCCTCCCCGTCGCTGATAACAGACTCTACCCACCATGGATACCACAGTCTTGTCGCCAGTGCCCTTGCCGTCCTTGCTGTTCTTGGCGTCCTGCGCTGGCTGTCAGCCAAGTTGGTCTTCCCACACTGCCCTTACCGCCGATACCACACTGCCCTTACCGCCGATACCACACTCTCATCGCCGGTGCCCTTGCTGTTCTCCCGGTGGATACCACCCTTCCCCCGCCGCGGATAGAACACTGTCCTCGCAGCGAATGACTCGCTGGCAACGTGGCGAAGTGATGGAGGAGCTGTCGGGAGAGGAGCTGCCTGTGAGTGGAGCTATCAGCGAAAGGAAACGTAGTGGGCATGGCGGGGTTGACCAAATGAGGAGGGGGACTTAAGCTAACACCCACAGGTTTTCTTCTTCTTTCTTGATCACCATCTATCGAATAGACGGCTAACCTCCCATCTCCGCTCCCTCCTCTGTGTGTGCTCCCATCCTCGTCACGCCGGTCGACCTGGAGAATATTGGCACAGTGTTGATGTGAATGTATGTATTGACGGTGATGTAAAGACAGTGTACGATACAGAAGTAAAAGAGAGAGTGTACAAAAGGACAAGTTGTGATAACGAGTTTAACTTCTTGGTGACGAGGCCACAAACATTGGTGACGAGGCCATAAACCTAGGTGACGAGGCCACAAACTTAGCCACGGTGGCCTACCGCCGCCGGTGCTTCACTAAAAGAGCCTCACCGGTGGTGGATGTGGTGATGATGATAGTGATGAGAGAGAGCGCAGAGTACGGCGGCAGTATACCTAGACAAGAGTACTCCAACGTCACCGTGATACGCATCGCGAAGGCCAGCATCATCGTACTGTCAACATGAACTTCAACAGACTGTCGAGGTCGGGTTTTTATTCGAGTCTCGCGGGTTTACTCAGTCATTCCTACTCGGTGACTGGAGTCATCCCTGATTATTGACTAGAGTCATTCCTTCATTACCTAGAGTCATTCCCTAACTGTGTGGATTGATTGACTCTTCCAATGCTTCCCGGATGACACTTATACGTAACAAAGACCAATACAACAACTTTTCTTCTCAAAGCTACTCCCCGTCTACCTTTAAAGTTTAGAGCACACCTGAGAGTAAAGCTTGGCAGAATTCACGCATTTTTCGGCAATAACGTAATTTTCACGGTGCGCATCTGTCACTAAAACTGTGCAACGCATTTTACGACATTTTGTGTGCAATAAACGCGCGATCAACGCATCGCTTGTACCCTAGGGCATAGACAACGGTGCGCATCCGGACATCAGCACCACCAATTTTCAGCACTCGACTCCTGGAGGAGGAGCTATCGGAGGAAAGTCGCATGTGCTCGACGGTATTCCGTATTCGAGCAGGAAAGAGAGAGATCTTCAATTTATTTCGCAATTCGAGCAAGAAAGTTGCACGGATTCGAGCAGGCCGAGTGACGGCGCTAGCATGGTGGGATGGCCTGGGCCCGAGAGCCGCGATGTGGGTTTTATTGGTGACAGTGTAGGTAGGTAGCTTAAGATGCGAGCTGACCGCTGCCCGGCGGGAGCGGACTATCGTATTGACTCCTGAGTACTCTACTATGATAGTGGCTGATCATCTGGGCGATCTTCTACTCCACTCCAGTCTCTATGTGCTCGAAAAAAGTACCCGTACATCCGGCAGCGAAATTCACGCCGTTCTGCCGCACCTCTACAGAGACTGTCTACGGCGATCAACATCGTTCATCATGGATAATGGATCGTAATCCGTTGCAGCAGTGGAAAACCACACGAATTTACTTAGCAGTACTCGATCCTACATACCACGCCTCCGACTCCCGGGGGCTCTGTGTGTATTGTGTGTTGTTGTCCAGGCGAAGCTGTTTGGTGAACAACACATGATATGTCCGACGACGACGACGAGATATTTGATCATGATGGCCAGAGGGAATACCTAAACCGGCAACCGGTAAAGCACCGCCAGCAACTGTCGCTTCCAGAGGTGGACCATGTTGACGCCTCCAAGGCTCCACCAAAGGCAAGTTGCAACAGCAACTTCACCATCCAGCACATGATCAGTTTCAAGTTGATACGGTAGACTGGTACTCCACAGAATTCTTCTCGACTTTGACCTATCTACATGTTGGCTATTGCCTCTTGAGTAATTTATCCCTTCCGTTGGTGCACCACCAAGTTCCAATGTATTTGCCCACCACGCGGCTGACGCCGGCCTTAACGTCGCCGTTTCTTCCCACGGTGATTCGGCAGTGCCGCAGTCCTCGAGGCTAATGCAATGACTGACCCACACTGCCACTGCCATTCTTGCGATGCGCTAACAGAACGAAAGACGAGCAAAAAATGACTCTCTGTCAGGGAATTGAACCCTGGTCTCCCGCGGACTATCACAGAATGACAGGCGGAAATACTAACCACTATACTAACAGAGACGGTTGTATGAAGGACCTTAAAAGCGCACATCATATAGCAGTGATGAAGAGTGGCAGGGCATTACCTCTCCGCCAACCCCCACGACCGGCGAGCCGCAGTGTCGAGATTTGGACGGCCAGGGAAGTTCCTGCTGATCAGGTATTAGCGGATCATTGTGAGGAGCGCGGCGCAGTAAACATGACTGTAATGCGGGGGGGATGGGAAAGAATCGATCGTACTCCATCGTCATCTCCGTACGACCACGGCAGTTTATTTTACATCGCATGAGGTATCAAGTTCGTCCGCTTCGTCCCTTCCTCCACATACGGTTACACGCCCTCTCTACTCCGCTCCTCCGTCCCGTTCTCGTCCCTCATCCCGTTCCCGTGCGCTCCCCCGTCCCCATCCAAGCTATTGACCGTGCTGTGATAGGAACTATTCATCTCCATGTCACCGGCGCCCGCGCTGATGCCAATCTCCGACGACCTGTCCTTCTCGACCGTGGTCCCCAGTATCCGCGGAAACACTCTCTTCACCACGATGTGCAGACACGGTATCGACGCGCAGATGATTGCCAGGTTGCATTCGATCGCTGTCCAGAGCGCGGGGTATACGACTTTATCTGCGCTTCATCAGCCTGACAGCACGGGTCGTTAGGGGTCCGGGGGGAGGTGGGGGGCCCTACATGTAGGATCGGCAAAGAAGCGAGCAATGTTTGGGATATCGATGAAATACGACATCCGCGTCACACTCGACACCCAGACGCTCCCTCCGGCGCCGAAGCTGGCGTACAGCACCCACCTCTGCCGCCTCGGTACTCTGATCCTCTAGATAAGCTTCAGCGGCGCAAGCCAACAGACAAAGTCCATCACGACGCCCATCACCGCAACCGTAAACCGTATAGGAAAGAAGACTCGGCACGAGCTCTTGATGAACGCGGGTACGTCTTCCGGGTGAATGCCCGATCGCCGCGGACATTTGAAGACGCTAATCGAGAGCGTGATCACCGTCACGAGCGCGTTGAGCGCAAACAGCGTCCAGTAGAACCGGCGCATTTTGGGTGACGGCGCTAAGCGGAGGAGCTGCAGCAGGAGAGAGGCGCGAGCGAAGCCGAGGCAGACGCAGTAGCTGATTTGCGTGCCGATCATGTACTGCATCGCCGTGTTCAATCGGGAGAAGGAGGTGAGAAAATCGGGGAGAAGTACATACTCTGGGGAGACGGGACAGATTGGCTGGGGAAACATCCCACGTGTCGTCCGGTCCCTGCCCGGACGGCCAGACATGTAGATGTCGTCAACGACAGCGCGGCGAGGACAGCGACAACGATGCAGTAGTCATCCCAGCCCACGCTCCTCAGCAGAAACATCCGCCCGTACATCCTGCCGGTTACTATGATCGCCGCAAGGGTTGAGAGGGTGATTATCGAGGTCGAAAGATACGGGACAAGGTTCTCGTACGGGAGCCCATCGCTAGCCATACCGGTGAAGAATGCGAACCGATCGACGAGTCGCTACTTCATCACTGCCCTCGTTCGGGAGGAGGGGGGGAGGAGGGTTCTTCATATGTACGAGCGGTGGTGGCAAGCTTGTACGCTGTCGAACAGAGTTATCAGCCCCCAACGGTGCGAGATGGCAATGCCGTCAGAGTGCCGTGCATTCAGCCGTCCGTGAAAAGGAGATCTCTCGTTCTCTCTCCTACTAGATGGTGGAACCGATGAGTTGTCCGTAGCTTGTTGAGAAGCGTCAGGATCGACATTCTGATCTTCATCCACCCGTGTGTTCCTGACAAGAGCGACATCCCGGGGGTGTGTCGGATTTCGGGGATCCATCTAGTTCGAGTGGGGATGTCGACGAAGAAAACCGTCTTCGCGTTTCGGACCCTTAAGAAGGATGTGGGATGCGCTTCCCTCCCACGTTCTATCGCAACCGAAGTTCGCTTCGATCTCTGGGACTGCACACATCTTTGCGGATGAAACAATCTAACGTCTTGGGGACATGGCTTCGGGGAAAAATCCCTTCTAACGGAGTTTCCCGGGGCATTAATCCACATCCCTGATCCCGCTTGTCCCCTTCGCGTTCAGGTGAAGCTGAATATTCTAGACTCCACATCTCCCTTCAGCTTGTTTTGCCGCGATAAAATAACAAGTCCGTCAACTACACAGAGATACCGGCAGCAAGGTGGTGGGCGGGCGGGGCCGCACTTTCGGGGAGGGTTCAGTCTCCGGGGCAAGTGATCTGTAATTGGTACCTACATAGATACCCGGTTTCAGTTCAGGACCTACACTGACTTCAACTGGGCATCCCAGGGTCGGAAGGGTCTCACTTGTGGAGCAGTGGCGTATCTTCAGAGTCTTTTTCGCATACAGTCTCCAGGAATTTTTGCAGCTACCTATTCTCCCCGTGCGTTTGCGAGAAGCACGGGGACTCGGGAGCGCTGTAACTGGGTATGACATATCTACGTATCCGTCGGTGACAGTATCGGGACTCGGGAAATGCGGCGGCGGCGCGCTGATCGTAAACGAGGATACCTAGTCTTGACTCTTGAGGCAAGAGTCTTGACGGTTGACCGGTGAGAGACCCTCGACGGATACATACGGGCAACTGATGAACTAATTCAATTGACTAGAAAAGCAACAAGAGAGAAAAACAAGTCCAACTTTTGGGAATATGTGTAGTGGTTGAAAATGTCTGATGTGTTGAACAAGAGACCGACACAGAGAAGCACCAACAGAGAACAGTTCACATTCAGCGACCGCATCAGATCCATACCGCCGTTCACCGCTCACCGCTCCCCACAACATAGAGCCACCTCTACCCCCGAATCCCACAAATTACAATACCCACTGTAGGCGTTGATGTCTCCACAACACAGGTGCAGCGAAGCTTGTGTGTACCGGCCGCCAAGCTACTAGCTCTAGTTAGGCAGACAAATTGACACCGGTGCCAATACAAACATGAACCAGCGCTAATAGCTCAGTTGGGAGAGCGTCAGACTGAAGTAATTCGGTCCTATCCAATATCCGGGGTAATCTGAAGGTCACCCGTTCAATCCGGGTTTGGCGCATCAATCTTTTGCTTTCGTCAGGTCGGTGGGATGAGGAATAGTTTTTTTTCATTCCGAGCAGGCAGGAGTAGATGTCGTGGTGCATATATTGGTGGGGTGGGGTAGGGTGAGAGCGGTGAAAGAACGGTTCCTGCGGGAATAGACTTTTATCGGCCTCGCTCGCTCGTTTGGCGGATCAAGTACATGATCGCAGACTGCTGAGTCGCTTACCCGCTGCAGTGCAAATTACATCTCGCTCTTCCGGATCTCTACATAGATCGCGGTGTTGTGGATCGCTTTAAAGTTTCAGCACATCACGTCACGACCCACGGTTGAAACTTGAAAACGTCCATTCCCCTTTCAAACACACATGTGAGTTATAAACAACTGTATTAACCAACCAGTCTCCATATTCTCGAATCCAATCCTCCGGAGCGACCTAAATACGACCTAAACAAGCCAAACAATACAAATTCAAGCAAATAAGAACAATCATTATCATACACCCCTCCTTCACCGTGCGCTACCTCCCACGAGTCCAGTCACTACACAGTAAACTCCTTCCACCCCTCGACCAGCCCATCAGCGAGCTTCGACACGACCGCCCAAGCGGGCAGAAACCTCTCTACCTCCCAGAGCGCAGGGACGAGTGTCTTATCGTTCGCATCGCTCCAGAGACACACGACGCGGCCCTTCATTTCCCCCTCACCCTCGACCTCAACATCCCACGATTCATCCCACGACCTGGTCCAGAGGCGGATCTCGCGCGCGCCGTTGGGGTGCACGGGTTTCCCCATGACCTTGGTGTGCTTGCCAAAGATGCGGATGCTGGTCACGGGATTCACAAATATCAGCTTGCACGCGCGGCTGTTGGCAGGCGTGACGACGAAGCGGCTGCGGGTAGTGGTGAGGCGTGTCGCGTGCAGGATCAGCCAGCCCGAAGGATCGGTGACACCTGGTACAGGCGCCGGAGTGAGGGCCGGCGACCACTCTACCCGTGTGAGACCGACGCGGAGAGGGTCCGGGTGCACGCTGATGTTGGCGGTGTGCGCGGAGGGAATGTAGTCCTTCACGATGCGCGGGACGAAGTCTGGGTGGCCGACGAGGTAGGCGGAGGTGTTGCCCGTGGTGAGGTCGATGGATTGTTGGAAGTAGACCTTGAGGCGCGAGTCGGTGCTGAAGGGGAAGGCGGTGAGGTTGTATATGAGGGTGGCGAGGAAGGCGAGGAATACACACAGGGTGACGTGGTAGCTGATTCGGTGGTAGAAAGGGGAACCGGGGAGGAGGATCATCACTGAGAGAGCGGAAACTAGGAGGTAGAAGGTTAGGGTGCTGCTGCCGTCAGCGCCGGTTTGGTTGGCGGCGGTGGAGAGGACCAGGGCGACGGAGCCGGTAAATATCAGCGGTAAAGGCACCGACAGGAAGAACTGCGGGATCCACACCCAGGTCGGCATGTCTTTACTCCAGGCTTGCTCGCGGCCGAAGACGCCCTCGGAGGGAACGGGGTCCTCCTCTTCCTCTTCCTCCTCCTCCTCTCTTTCGGTGTTCCCGTTGTAGTTGCCACGCCCGTAACCACCGAAACTAGGGGGTCTTCCAAGCCCGCGGGCATTGAGAGGCGTCCGTTCTGTCGCGGCAATTTCCTCGTCTTCCGAATCATCGACGTTAACAGTGTTGTCCGGAATCAAGTCGAGGGGCAGTGTAGTGGGCTTGGAGGGCAACCCGAAGAGCTCCAGTAGCGAGATCCAGGCACAGAGGAATACCCCAGCATAGGAGATGAGCATCCAGTATCCGCTCGCAATATCCTTGCGATCGATGGAAACGGCGACAGCAATCATTATCACCCACCAGAGCAGCCACTGCTCGATGAACGCGTAGCCACGTCCCAGTGCGGTGGGCCGTACAGTGTCTGCGTCCGCACCACGGAGCACAAACCACGCCAAACTCCACCACAGTGCCAGGAACATGGCCCATACCGAGTACTGGCTCGAGTAAGCGATCATAGGATTGACCTTGTTGACGAGGAAAGCGAGGCCGATGGTTGCTCCTGTCGCTATGACGAAAGCGACGGGGAAGCGGAGGAGACCGCGCCAGCCCCGCGTGGTCCGGGGAGCATTCGAGGAACGCGAAGGCTGAGGGACCAACGGGGTGTTGCTGAGATAGTACAATTTGTTGTTGGTGTACAGGAAATACGTCGTTATGGCCATGATCACGAAGGGAACGACGATGAGTGTGATGGTGAGTGCGAACAATGTGTGTATCCGCAAAACAGCGAATGTGCGACCAAACAAGTCGAACCAAACACCGGTATGTCCAATCCCCGCCGGAGGACCACTATCGCGATCGAACTGCCGAGTGGTGTCGGAGGTTGCAGCTTCGAGAGTCTGCAACGAGGTTCCGAGCATGTGCCAGAGCGACTCTTTCGACGAATGCTTGACATCGTCGTCCTGCGTGTGGTATCTGCTCCTCGGCTCCCAGAACGCCACATCCAATCCCCTCATTCCCAGTTGCTCCGTGAAGATTTTGTAATCGGTCTGACTCTTGACCAAGCCCTGCTTGAATCCATCACCGCTAACGACCGTTCCGAACGGACGCTTGCTCTGCTTGTACCATCTGGTCACCTCAGCATCGGTGGATCTGAACAGTGTGGCACGTCCGCCGGCACCAGCACCTTCTAAGTTGAGGAACGAATGCGAAAGGTTGGCCATCGGGTGTATCGACCATGCCGCCGCTCCATTCAAGAAGTCCTCTTCACCGTTGTTGAGCAGTGCGATCAGCCCGCGCTTGATCCTCTTGTCGCCCTTCCGACTGGGATGCGTAAACGCCTGGATGACCTGCAACACCGAGACCACCGCCATCCCATCATCCGTAGCACCATAGCCGGTCGAAACACTATCGTAATGCGCGTTCACCAACACCGGGCTAAGCGACGCGTCGGAGCCGTGGACATGGACGATGATATTCGTTCCCTCGAAGTACACGCTCAACCCGCTCGCCGCCTCGGCGGCGAAGAGCACATTGCTCTCATTATCGTCGACAATCTCGGCGACGCCATCGTAGCCCGCTTCGACATTCCGCTTCACGATGTCCTCGACCCGGTTGAGAAGGTACTTGCGCACTTCGTCGTTGCGCGCCGAGTTGTACGGGCGGAATTCTTTCGTCAGGACGCGTAGGTCCTGCCAGGCTTGCGCGAAGTCGATGCCCCAGGAGTCGAGTTCGCCGTGGGACGCGACGGGCGGCGGGACGAAGTGTGTCCAGAGCAGAGCGCTGAGGATCGCGAAGTACGCGAGGACGCTGAGGATCGTGACTGGCGTCGGCCGGAAGGCGACGGCATCTTTGAGTGCCATCGTTGCGGCGGCAGAGGTGGCGGTGGAATGCGAAGGGTGTCCCGTCCGGGAGGTTCGTGTGTAAGGGTGGTGCTGCTGACGTCAACTATTGGAGGTGGCTGGGGCCCGCGGGCGCAAGGGGCATTCCTCTCTGTTTCGTCGTGACTATTTTGTTTTGTTTCGAAGGTTTTTTTTGTGTAAGGCGTGGGTACTCGATCGCAGTTGTCGGTGTGAGGGGCAATCGGGTTTGAAAATCTCCAGTCTGTGGCCTTGACAGCGGGCGGCGGCTTTCCGTCCGTCCTGGAGCAGCCACCTACGGGAGGCAGGGTTGATGGGCACCAGATCATGGGTCCCCCCATGTGGAGCGCCGTGCGGAGTGCCGATGACGCAATGCACTTCGCGATGCAGTACATACCACCCAGCCAGTGGGGATATGAGGAAAGAAAGAATGCATGACATTGATGCATACGTGATTTAAGTGTCGCTAACTATTCGTCAAAGCTGCGGAACAACTTACAGCCACTCGGGTTGAAGAAATAGAGTACATACTCCAGTCATGATCTTGGATTAGGTGTGCCGGATCAACATGCATAAATGCACAATCTAATCGCGATGATCAAGGCTGAGGATAACTGAGCTAGCGATGAAAATTCCATGATTAATAATCCGTACACGGAGATTCTACATACGAGTGCACGTACATCAGCATTCACAGCAAAAAAGTATTGGGCATCTCTCCATGGCGAATCTTGCAGCCTTTAAATACAAGAACAGCGCTATTCGGTACATCCGATGTAATCGATTAAAAAAGGGTAGACCGAGTGATACCTCATGGTTGTCCCCTGCTTGTCCCACCATCGTCCGATCCTTTTGCCCATACCACTACCTCATTGTTTGCTCAGGCGGGAAAGCTGTCATTCCAGTACTTACTCCTATCAAGATAACCCACCTCTCGACGATGATGATTTTACTGTGGCATGTGAGTAACCATCCTCCCTGGTCCTCTTAGTGAAGACAGAGGGAAAGATATTTTTGGAGGTTGACGAGCCAGATTGTCGTTATCATCCGTAGTAATATCTACCATCTGCACAATGAGGGGGGTTTGTAACAGTGATACCCCACGTAGTGTACATGCAACTGCCGCCCACATATGTGATTCTACTAAGCCGTCGTCTTTCGTGGATAACTTTACAAGTACTAAGTCCACCATTGGCCAATTTGAAAATTAACTGATTTTTAACACGGTATGGGCCAATGCATACATGTATCTCTGTTAGTATAGTGGTTAGTATTTCCGCCTGTCATTCTGTGATAGTTCGCGGGAGACCAGGGTTCAATTCCCTGACAGAGAGTATCTCTTTTTGCCCGAGAGTGCTATCAATTTTAGTGGTTTTGTCTGGAGTCGGTTACTGAGTCAGACGATTAGTTTTACCTGGTACCCCAGTGTAAATATATCAGACTCTTGACAACCGATTATGCTCAGCTGGGGTGAGAAAAAGCATCACGTTGTGTTTTTTTGAGTTTCACAGACAGGACCCAGGGCATTTCTTTCCGTGGAAATTTTTGGTGGTCGTACCTGGGTCGAACGCTCACAGCTTTTTCATCATCTTGAGGTGAGTTCTAAAACAGAGTAGTATCCTGTGCACATTTCGATCACTGGTTTCTTCACAAAACGCACACCTAACCTCTTGGACCAGTTAGGCGATCGCTCCTGCCGAACCGGCGGAAGGCCAAAGATTACACGCGGCAAGATGATCCTATCATGAACAGCTCTGGGGCAGAGCGATTGGAGGGATGCCGGCGGAAGGAGAGGGAAGGAGAGAGATGTCGGTGGAAGGTAGGCAGCACCAGCGGTGGGGGGTCAAACGGTGCCGTATGCTGTCTTAGCCGTCGGCTTCGGCTTCTGCTTCTTCTTCTTGGTCTTCTTCTTTTTCTTCTTCTTCTCATAATCATCATCCTTACCATCATCCTGATAGACGATCAACCGTCACGATTTCTCTTTTTCTCTGTATGTGCTTTCTTCAAAGATTCCGCCTCCGGCCTGGAGGATCGATGGCCCACGAACCGCTCGCAAAACCAGAAGTGACTATGGAGGGCAAAACAGCTTTTACGGAAATGCATTGGCATTCTCCCTTATCCAGCTCGGAGTATTGTAACTCCATGAGGAATTGTCTTGAATAGTTGATCTTATCCTCAAGACATCACTCGTGGCCGTCGTTCGATATGACCCGTCATGAGGACAACTCGATCCGCCCAACGGTATTAACTCGGCGTGCTTCTGCTGTTCGCGCGATGACTTCCTAATGACGGACTTATTACAACTCTAACTATCCGAGACGAATACCGCTGTGCGGTTTACTTTCGGCCGCATCCAAGGATCCGTAATCCCTCGGAGATCTAACGGTTCTCACCTTGCGAGATACCACCAACCATCACTCAGTCTAATCCGCCCTACCACAAAAGAAGGCGATTGAGCTCCCGCAAAAGGAGAAAATATCCAATCTCCCCCTCTACCCGGCCGAATCCGAAGAGCTAATTGTTTTATACTGTTCGAATAATGGACGACCAAGAAACGCCTGCACCCGAACCCACGACCATTCTCGAGCGCTTCTATCAAGCCGGACTTCTTGCGGCAGACAACATAGACTATATCAATGAGATGGTCCGGAACGATCCCACATCTCATAAAAATGCGCCCGCCGATGCGCCCGCCAATGCGCCTGCCGACACCGGCGGCGACGCGGCGGTCGCTTTGGCTGCGGAATTGTGGCCAGATGAAATTCTCCAGCAGAGATTATGGCCACAGAAAAACATCCAACCGCCATTCAATTACATGGCTATGCAATCACCGTCGGGTAATGCTGCTACCCAGGAAAACAACGATCCCGCTCCTCCGGGGGTTTACCCTCCCATATTTGCTCCGAATCCACAGCAACCCGGTGAGTCTCAGCCAATCCTCGCCCCACAGCCGGAACATCTGATCCCACTCCTCCAAGATTTTGGCGGCTCCCAGGGCCCCCAATACATCGACCCAGCGCTTTTGGAACCACCACCAAACCCCGGTATACCCAACCCCGAGGCTGTCTATGTCCCCCCGACGGGCCCAGGCTATGGCTCTCCAGGCGGAAATTACTTCAGACCGGAAGGGGAACCTGTGGATGGTAACCCCGCTTTCGACCCTACCCTGAACCAGCAAGGCGGCACGCCTGCGCCAGGCGACGTATTTAATATGGATGACTTCGAACACCTCTTCCGGGGGTTGGAGATTCCTATGCCAGACGGAAACCCGGGTGACGTGGGTGGACAGCTCCCGGACCTGGGTGGTGGCATGCCAGGCAACATTTTCGAGAACTTGGACCAGTACGGCAATCCTCTGCCAGGCGGAAACATGGGTGACATCGGTGAACAGAACTTGGACCAGTACGGCAATCCTCTGCCAGGCGGAAACATGTGTGACATCGGTGGATATCCTGCCCCGGATTCAGGCCAGGTGAATTTAGACAGTCTGTTCGATTTCCCGACGGATGATGGCGGTCCGTCCGGTGCCGGCCCAGAAGTCGAAGCCCCTTCCACGAGTACACGAGGCAGAGGGCGCAGAGGCCGTAGGGGTCGTGCTGGCCGCGAGAGGCAAACTGGTGGTTGCGTAACGAAGCCCCCGCAAAATCCACCAGCCGGCCATCCTCCACTTCCACCGGGCTACCAAATTCCACCATCGTACCGACGACCGCAGAACCCGCGACAGCCGCCGGAGAAAAATCCGATGCAGAATTTACCCGTCCCGGAAAACCCTGAATTACGGTCGTCAGGCACGGGACAAGGAATTGAATACCTGTCGGCCCGGATTGCAGAGTACAACTTGAGGGTGATGAGACTCAGGGAGAAGCTGCCTGTGGGTGCTGCCGATACTGACGCAATACTTGTGCTGCTGGGCACGGTGCAGGGGATGCGGACTGCGATCGACAGTATGATTACTGCGCAGCAAGAGCAGGGCGGGAACCAAAACCAAGGACCGAATCCAGCCCAGCCGCAGCAGGGTCATAACCCATTCGTCAATCCAGCGCCTCCAGCTCCTCCTGCTGCTCCTGCTGCCCTTGCACCGCCGGCCAACGCCCCGATTGCTGACCAACAATGGGCAAAAGCCCAACGCCAGCCGGCGCCACCTGGCGCCGACCCGGACGTATGGGACACACCCATACCACCGGCATGGGGTACGCCAAGGGGCGAGCTCCGTACACATCCCATAGCGAAATCACTGTGGTGGCCGATTGTCAGGCGGCCGCTGCTGTTCGCGCCGGGTATGCGCTTCGCTAATCAATGGTACTACGGCTGGCTAATAAACCGTCCCGACGTGCACAACAAACACGAAGGAGACGCACGGCATTGGGTTTGCTATTTCTGTAGGTCACCCCTTAAACTCCTCCCCCTTCCCCTCCCCCTGGTTTCTGCTCATACGTGCTAATAAAACAGGTGGAAAATCAATCCCGTACCGACAGATCTACCATGCGTACGCTCACCTCAAAAACCAGCACAAACTCAAGAAGGATGAACTATAAGCTGTGTAGCTGCGACATACCTAGCAGTGCTGGCACATGTACCGGCTTTAAATTGAGAACCTTGGTCTCCCAGTGAAGGAAGACAGGCCGATAATGATATGGTACTCCATTCCGCGCACATCACCGCCGGTGTAATGTTGGCTATTTTCTCCTGGTGTGAAATGCCTTGGAGGGAATCGTGTTGAATAGGCTGCAGACTCGGTCATCGAAGAAATACTAGAATTGAAGGAAGATAAATACCCGACCAGAAGAAGATTTTGTATAAACATAAGTGTGTATGTAAATACTGAATAGCATAGCTGCTGGAAATTTTTGATTAGAAGTTCTGAATCCATACTTCCTCTCAAGATTCCAGGTCCTGTCATCTCATCCGCCGTTTACCTCCGCTCCTTTTCCATGTCCATGATGAACTTCTTCCTCCGCTGCCCCAACTCGAGAAGGCATGTGATGAAACCTCATTTCTTCTCGGACATAATGCCCAGTAGCTCTCTATCAACATGCGTCGTCCAGAGAAGGCGATGGAGGGAATCGGACGGCAGTAAGTGACGTTCGGACGGCGGAATTGCCGCCGCTTAGGACATAGCCGCGACATCAGGGGTGCGCCCGCTAGTGGCGCGGCGTGAAATAGCATTCGCCTCTCCCCAAGTGCGGGAGTGTGGAACGCGCGCAGTCGACTCGGATCTCCGTCGTGATAGATGGAATAGGGTTCGTTGTCGCCTCCCCCTCCCCCCACCCCCGGCTGTATTAGCATTGTGCGGGGTACATAGACTAAGCAGACTAAGCAAACCCGCAGCGTAGCCGACAGTCGCAGCCGGTGCAGAAGCGAGGCGACTCAGGCGAGGCGAGGCGTCGGCTCCTTCCAAGTTCCCCACCCCCACCATGAATGATCGTCGCACTGGTTGTTTCGGACCTGGTTATCCCCGCATCCGACGCGCGCCCGTTGTGAGATCAGACCAGTGCTGACAATGCGTCCGGATGAAGCTACAGAGACGGCGACCCAAACTCGTTCGTGCTGCTTACCAACGTCGAACGGAGATCTGTTTCGAAATTGGAAATTCAGGATCCCGGTAAAGCCTTGTCACTTCAGCAAGGCGTTGTGATGGATAAGGTACCTATCAATTCATGAGCAAGGCGTTGGAAAAGCACTATCGGGGCCGCAAGGCGTTCGAAAGTGACAGGCTGACAGTGACAGGCCTGACCTCATTATGATACGGATATCCAGGCGAAGTCGTTACGTTGTTTCCGGGAAAGAATCGCGAATGCTCATGGTATTCCGCTCAATGGATGCCTTGTAGCTCAACTCTCTCCCCCCACCACCGCCACTGGAGGTTTCGGAAACCTGGACGTACACGATAGCTTGATTCTCCCCGCAAAACGTGTTCAGTGGAGAAGAAGCCCGAGCGTACGCTTTTCAGGTCAGCTGGCGAATGTTGAGAGGATTTTCTGCAACGGGATCGAAAGATGGGAACTAAGGAGAGGACAGACACCATGGATGCTGAATAAACCGGAAGCCAGGATCTCCGATGTCGAGTCTAATTCGGGAACACTGATGATGGGGCATCTCAGTGACGGTGTGATACGGCTCCCTGTCTTCGCGTTGCATGGCGGAAATGCGCAGGCTTCACCGGTGTCGACTCGATATATATAAAAGCTCCCCCAAAACAAGGTAGCTATCCCACCACCAGTTCAGTTCCCAACCTGAGTTGACACCTCCAGCCTGCTACAGCTCTCGTCACAATCATGTCCTTCTCCGCTGAGCTCAAGAACTGCGCTCTCCCCCCACACCACACCCAAGACACTCTGGGCGCGGCTTTCACCGAACTGCGCGCCCTCCTCGGTCCCGAGAACGTCGAAATCGTCAGCACCGCCTCCCTCGACGACAAATCCTACTACGATCCTCCGAAGACCCACGATCCCTTCCACATCCTCGGGCAGGACGAGCTTGTCGCGTCTGCCGTGCTTCGGCCAGGCTCTACCGAGGATGTGCAGGCCATCGTCAAGCTCGCAAACAAGCACCGCCTGCCCATCTGGCCGACTAGCATCGGACGGAACTTTGGATACGGCGGGGCCGCGCCAAGGGTGCGAGGTTCAGCGGTTGTGGATCTCGGCGCCAGGATGAATAAGGTCCTCGACTTGAACGAGCCCAATGCTTTTGCGCTCATCGAGCCGGGAGTCACGTTCTTGGGCTTGTACGAAGAGATCCAGAGGCGTGGGATGAAGCTGTGGGTTGATTCGCCCGATCTGGGCGGCGGGAGTGTGCTTGGGAATACGCTCGATCGAGGTGTGGGATATACACCATACGGTAAGTTCATACTGGTCTTGTATTGCGCGGGAATGCGTACTCACCTGTGATGATAGGTGATCACTTCGGGACCCACTGCGGTATGGAGGTTGTTCTGCCGAACGGAGAGGTAAGAGCTTGGAACCCGTGCTGCACGATGGAGCTCCGAAACTGATTCTCTGATACTAGGTTGTCCGTACTGGTATGGGCGCTCTGCCCGACAAGAACCAGCCGACGGGAAGTGCCAACACCTGGCAACTCTTCCCCTACGGCTTCGGCCCATTCCACGACGGAATCTTTACACAGAGTAACTATGGTATCGTGACTAAGATGGGTGTCTGGCTTGTACGTGTTCCCCCGCCCCAGATTCGCCTCCATTCCGAGACTAACCTAACACTCCCCAGATGCCCGACCCCGGCGGCTACCAAGCCTTCATGATCAGCTTCCAGAAGGACGAAGACCTCCACCCCGCCATCGAGATCATCCGTCCTCTCCGGATCGCTGGAATCCTACAAAACACGCCCTCGATCCGCAGTGCTACTCTCGACCTCGCCGTCGGCGGGCCGCGCAAAGACTACTCATTGACCGGCAAGCCTCTGACATCCGCCGAGATCGACAACGCCGTTGCCAAATCGACAACCAAGATTGGGCGTTGGTCCTTCTACGGCGCGCTGTACGGGCCGGAGGCGGTACGGGACGTATTCTGGGCGGCGATCAAGGGCGCGTTCAGCAAGATCCCCGGCGCAACATTCCACTTCCCCTCCGACGTGCCGCCGGAGAAATCGGTGCTGCACATCCGTGAGGGCACGCTGCGGGGGCTGCCCACGTTCACCGAGCTGGAGTGGACCAACTTTGTCCCGAACGGCTCCGCGTTCTTCTTCAGCCCGATCTCGCCGGTGTCGGGCGACCACGCCGATAGGCAGTACAAGCTGGCTAAGGACCGCTGCGATGAGTTTGGCTTCGACTACATCGGCACGTTCACAGTCGGCATGCGCGAACTCCACCATATCGTCTGCCTCGTCTTTGATCGCACGAATGAGGAGGAGAAGAAGCGCGCGTACAAGATGCTGAACTTGATGGTCCAGGACTGTGCCGATGCTGGGTATGGAGAGTACAGGACGCATCTGGCGTTGATGGACCAGGTTTGTTCCCCTTCACCCACTGCTAGCGATTGTTACTGACAACTTCTAGATCGCCGGCACGTACAACTGGAACGACAACGCGCTCATGAAGCTGAACGAGACGCTGAAGGATGCGCTGGACCCGAACGGGATCATGGCGCCGGGGAAGTCTGGCGTGTGGCCGCAGGCGTACCGGGAAGTCAAGAAAAGGGTGGTGAGCGGAACGTCAAAGATTTAGATACGGAGATAGTTTATGAAGCCCCGCTGAGGGGGAAATTTACTCAGAGTTGTTCTTGCAGCTATCTCGAAAATATGTTCTCGGCTATTCTGGCTTTGTTCTTCGCAGTTGTACTGTACACAATAGGTTCAGATGCTGAAATTGGCACCCACTCCCGGGTTGCCCCGTGACCATCTCGACACAGTCTATTCCTCTCAGAACTTGTACTCCTTCCTTTAGTAACAGAGAATACCCCGTCCCGCGCCGGTTCCTCACTCCGACAACATATCTTCAAGTGAACCTGTTGCCTAAGATCCAAACGTCACAATTTGTACTCTGGAGTTAAGAGCATTCAAGTGTGACAATAGTACATTGTAATCAATTAATCAAGTCTTTCAATCGCATCCATGAATATCAAGTGTTTATGTGGTCGTTCACAAGTTCGCACTCGTGAAAATGTGTTTTCGGCGTTCGCTCCTGAGATCTTGCTGTTTTCCGAAAAGCCCTCGCGCACCCTATCCCCCTCACCTCTTCACCTTCTCGCCTTCTCACCTCAATACCTCACCACCTCAATCCACTCACCACCTCACCACCTCACCACCCAGATCCACTCACCGCTTCCAAACCACCTTCTACTCCAAAACAACCACATAGTATTCACCATGCGGTCATTGAACCACAGACCGACCACACCCAGCCCACCCAAGGACTCGCTGCCGCCCCGGCACCCCTTCCCACTCCGCCGGCTCTCCACGGCCTCCCCCGACGGCGCGCTCCACCTGATGGAGGAGCCCGCATCGACCACGCGCGACGGCGGGGGTGTCCACCGGCACACCCTCAGCCCGATGGGGAACGCGATCTTCCTGGACTCTCCCATTAAGCCCAGAGAAGGTCCCTGCGTCATTCACGGGGACTCCTACCAGCTCGTCAAGTGCGCGCTGCAAGCGCTGCCGAACATCGCCAACGAGTTCGCGTACCCCGTCGTCGCCCACATCCTCGCACAGGTGCGCGAGCTCCTAGACTGTAAGACATGCGTTGTCTGCACGCTTACTAGGGCCAACAATTGGCTCCTGGTCGGATTGCTCGCTACGGGTCATTCCACGGATGACTACGTCTACACCGTCTTTGAGGGCCTCGTCAGGGAGGAGGTCGATATTGACGAGGCCCTCGCCCGCGTCCTCGCTGGGAGGAAGAGGGTGGTCGGTCAGGGTCAGTCGCGTGGTTCTTCGGAGAAAAGGGACTGGCGTCTGCTCTTCAAGAGGGCCGCTGGAAAGCTCGCTGTGGGCAGGAGGAAGAGCTGGCGTATCCGTTTCAACATGGCGGTGGAAAAGCTCGCGGCCAAATTGAAGGGCAAGAAGAATAATCCACCAACGGAAGGTACCGACACTACGTTCACGGAAGGGTACGTGCAGGAAATGGAACCCCCGATGCACGTATGGGACAGCCGCCTCTCCAATATTTCCACCAACTTCTGAGTATCACTCGCCAACCCTGATGTCACCCAAAACATCCTCACGCACATACTCTCTTTTGATTTCATTTTCTTTCTGCATGGCTGCTTTGCTTGTTAGTTTGTGTTCATCGGTCCCAGGGTCGGCTGGTTTCAACTTTCCGGCTGTCGGCTGGGGGAGAGGGGGCGTGGCCGGTCCCCCTCTAAGCTCTTGTTATGTGCGCTCCAGAATAAATTCGCAACACAGGTAGGCACTCCCCCTTCCCGCGTGTCTCCCATATCGCTTATTGGCCCTCCCAGACTCGAAATACATGTCGTTACCTACAGCGGGTATTTCGCGATGCATCCACCGGAACCGACAACTACGAATGCGACATGCTGCAATTCACACTAGCGGATTAGGGGCTGGGTAGCTTGCGGTTTACGGTTTACGGTGGAGGATGAGGGATTCTGCGTTTTTCTGTGTGTACCTTAGCGGAAATAGGATTGCCTAAGATGCCTCAAACCATTGGATATCGTCCTCATACACTCACTTTGCTGTGGGGAATACATGATACATCACATATACTGTATCTGGCCGGCCATGCTTGTGGCCTAGACGATTAGCTGTCCTGTCCTGTTCATTGAATGTCACTCGCTGTTGATAATTCTACGGGAGAATGAATTCTACGAGGTTGGGTTGGGTGACAAGAATGACATCTCCAACAAGTACTATCCATTAGTTTTCGAGCAGGAATGTCAGCTCTGTGTGATTCTGGAATGAGATTAATTTCCGTTACTCCGTGCATAGTGAGTGATATCTATACAAAGATTCGTTCCGTGGACAGTTCGGCTACCTATGCGGCGGTGCGCATTTCGTCAAAACGTCAGGCGCAGTGCAGCGAGCATGAGTATTGCACGGAGGTGCTCCATGAAGCTGCGCCATACCATTGGATTTCGGCCTCTGCACGACTAACGCGGCATGGTGGGTATCGACACGCCATCACGTTAACAGCGAGTGATCCCGTAGGCTGTATATCTACATGTCGGCCTCGCCGTCTGCGCAATTGTACCAAAGGACTACTATAGTGCATGGAGAATTCCGTTCACCTCGCCCTGCACTTTAGGTCCCGATATGGGCAAGGATTTGTATTTAGAGTGGGTTGAGAGCGATTACCGTAAGCACGTGTGGTCCTTTTGCCAGTGGATCGGCGAACTGGCGCACCTAATGAAGCCGACGCTAGCGGGACTGCGACATAGCGAGCGTCAGTACTACTACGCATAGCTAGGCGAATCGGCGGCTCTCTCGCAAGCTTTTGAAGCACAAATCACAATTCAAAGAGCAAGCCCTAACGAGTGATCAGCGAACAGGAAGACCCGAAGAAGCCGACGCTAGCGTATGAGAGTCTTAGCGCCGCCAACAAAACCCTACTTCCTCGACACCTTCCTCTACATCTTCCTCTCTTCCTCTACATCTTCCTCCCTTCTTCCTCCCTTCCTCTCATCTTTTTGAAAAAACACTAACATACCATCAACACAACAATATCATCAGCCCCCGGTGGCCTAACTTGAAGAACTTCTGGATCCTTCAGCAATGCATCGATCAAGTACGCTTCGCGACAGCTTCCTCGCGCCACCTGGGGATTTCGCCGTTGGCCCATTCACTAAAATGTTGGGGGTCACGGCTCCCCAGGTGGCTACAGACTACGCATCAGCTGTTCTCCGACAGAGGATATCCGATCCTCGCACCAGCGTCGCTGCTGGTGCCGGCGCTTGAGTCGGAGAACCTCGAGCCGTGGAAGAAGATCAGGTCTGCGGGTTTCCCCGCAGAGTCCTGACCATCAGCACTGCTGTGCTGTTGTTTCCCGGCTGAGTGAGTATTTCCCTCCGATTCAACAGTACTCTTGTGGTGTGGTGGCCGACTTCGAACGAACGAAAACTAACGTCAAGAAGGAGTTACTCGAGAGAGTATAGACACTGTTCGTGCCGGGTCGCGGTAAGAACCTGCACACCACCATGAGGCATCTGATGATGATGATATGGTCGCTGACTGCTAGAAGCTAGTAGGATAATAGAGCGTACCCGTGGCCTGCGGGCCGAGCTTCGTGCCCATAGCCTTCACATCAAAGCAACCACCGCACTCAATCCCGACTCAAGCGAAACATAAAAATATGATGAAGATACCGCTCTTCAGAACCTTCGAACGCATCAAAAAGGTTGCCAAGAAGGCAGCAAGGGCGTCGGTGCTTTTCGTGCCGAAGCGTGGTATGTACTATCTGCTCACCACTCACCATTCGGCATTTAATCATGGTCGCTGACTGCTAGAAGCTGGTCGGATGCCGAAGGGAACTCGCAGCCTGTGGGCTGACTCGCGTGAGCGAGACCAGATGGATGGTGCGTCTCTCGAGACGCATATGGGATGGTAGGGAGTACTAGTACTCCTATCAAAGCGGGTCTTGGTGAAGCTAGTGAGGAGAAGGGTGCTTCTCCTGACAAACTACTTCCACGTAAGCATCCTCGAAACACGAACCTCGGCAGTGGAGACACCAATCGCTGACATGAGGACTCGCGGCCCGACCCAACCAGTCCCGTGGAGAACACCCTCACGAATGCAACAGCCCCCGAGCTTGCATCTGCAAGCAATCCCGAGCGAACCGACAATGCCGCTGTACAACGGTGGATGGCGTTCGCAGCTCGTGCGGCCGATACGGCTACCCCCGATGATCGTGCCCCGAGGCGCAGACGTCTCACGAACCGCCAGCTTGCGGGTCCAGCAATCACGCCTACACCGCAGTTTCATGGTAAGGCAAATTACGTCCTTCTTCAGCAGCTTGAACTGACTGTGAGCATGTAGTCCAAACGAGAGTCCTGGGCGACATAAACAATGGACAACCGCCAACGAGTCATCGGGGCAGACCTAGAAACCGGCGAACGTGGTCATAGCTTACAACATCTTGAATCCATCATACCATGAAGTAGTACTACTAGGACATCCTATCCTCTGAGCAAGAGAGTTACATTGGCGGTTGGGAAATTTTATATTTTGGACAAAGGATTTGCGTTGGCGTTTGGGAAATTTTATACTTTGGACAAGGGATTTGCGTTGGCGTTGGGGAAATATTACACTTGGGTTACGGGAATCGTTTTAGTATTTGAATGTGAAACTGGGGGTCTGTTTTTCTGCACGATCCAATCGCGTGACACTCCGTTGCCGTATTGCCTTCGGCGGAAAGCCACCAAACTGTGTTTACCATCTCGTCACCTCCCGGCGTGCAAATAGTATTCAGTCGTCATCGCGTACTCATAGCATGAGCGATCATTGCCGGAAGACCATGATATGGTAGTGAGTACTACTCCCATCGAGACGGAGCTTCCAAGTTCCCGAAGCTGGTCACATCCGCTGACAGGTTGGTTATACAGATTCCAACGTTTGTTGGTCGTCCGGAGGGGAACTATTCGACTATATAGTCGAGGCCCTCAAAGAAAGCTTTTTGAAAGCTTTTTTTTGGCTTAATGATAGTTTTTTCCTTGCTGCTTGCAGCGAATAATTTTGTCTCTTTCGCTGCTAGCGAGAGGATGAAATTGTTCGTTGGCGAGCTTGGTCTGTTCGGTTGCGCTTCTTAGCTTCACGGCAGTGCGTGATTGTTGACTTCACTCTACTCCCTCCAGCCGGTAGTAGTGATTACATACAAACCAAGAAGATATTTCTACATAGTACACAGCCTACTATACCATAAACTAGATAGTCTCGAGGCTCTTTGATCTGCAGCCCATGTTGGCGTCGTCGTTTATCATTCCGTTACTCCGTGTATAGTGCGTGATATTTGATGATCCACTCCGTGGACTATTCGGCTAGGTACCTATGGTGCGCATTCCGTCAAAACGTCAGGAGCAGTACAGTGAGCATGAGTACCGCTCTGAAATGTTCCATGAAGCTGTGCCATACCGTTGGATTTGGGCCTCCGCACGACCAACGTGTCATAGGATCGATAGGCCGTCACGTGAACAGCGAGTGATCCCGTAGGCTATAAATGTCAGCCGCACCGCACTATTATTCCGAAGGACCGGGGCGTGGAGGATTCCGTTCACCTCCCCCTGCGCTTTAGGTCCCGATATGCGCACGGATTGGTATTTTAGAGTGGGTTGAGAGCGACTACCGTAATATGCGCGTTTGGTCCTTCAGGCTTCGGCTCTGAACAGACTGCTCTGCGCACTGCGCAGTGGTTGCGATATCCGCCACTCATCGTCCGAGCCTGTCTTTGTGGAAATTAGAAGTTGATTCTAGGTACTCTATATTCTATGGACTACTCTCTAGTAGATGCGCGATGGATTGTGACGAGAATGTTTTTTTGTGGTTCGGGGGCGAGTCAGGTACTGCCAGACAAGGGGGGGTGTAGGAGCATGTGACAACAAGTGGTGAATGATGCTGATCCTCAACCGCAATTGGGGATCAATTCTAGAACATATGAAGTTGCGAATCCGCCGGGCCGGACAGACGTCGAACTGGGCCGACCTTTCCCCCAAGGTCCTCGTTGCGGAGGACGGTTGACGGCACAACCGACAAACCGCATCATACTCTATGTACTAGTACTACTAGTAGTCGTCGTATTCGCTCGAACTCGGCGAAGCTTTTTTCGCTTGCGCCAACTCCCTGGATTGGGACGGGCATGATTGGGTATGGACGTTTGGCCATCACTGTGAGATGAGACACGCGGAGTGGGGGCTAACGTCCGTGCACGAGCGCTGTAGGCGGCATCACTTTGTATGTAGGCAAATCATATGTAGAGTATCGATTTCCTTTCCTCCGAATTCTCAATCCAATCCAATCCGCTTCCCCGAGGCCAGGCGGATGATCCGGACAGGAGCACCTCTGAATCTCTGATCGCTTCGTGGTCGTGGTCGTGGTCGTCGTCGTCGTCTAGCGGGCATCTGATCTCATGTTTCACGTCTATTTTTCCCCGGGAAATCGAATAGGTACCTGACGGACGTCCGCGATGCGTCGTTCCAATCGACCCCGCGGCCTGGGGTTGGCATCGGAGGGCATGTATTATGAGCCCCTCAGCTCTTGTCGCTGCGCATTGCGGAGTTTGCCATCGGTTCCAGCTTTCGGCATGTGAAGCTCGACATGCTCATGCGGCCCAGCGGCTCGGACACCCGTGTTTGTACATAAGTTGCGGCGGAATATTAGACCATGCGCCTCCCGATGGCTCCCCGCTTCCCCCACGAGACCATCATTTCCACCGCTGGCGTGGCCGCTAGCTGGAAGTGAGACCCGCCAGAGCCAGTCATGTCGCGGATCGGCTCGCACGGACCACCGGCCGGCCCAGTACCCTGTTTTGGCCTTTACGGCGGCTATAACAACCTCGCCATATAAATTATAATCTTCACACCCGATCAACCCTGCCTGAAGAATGCGGGTTGCCACCCGACCCCTTGGATTTATCATTTCTCGGGGGTGGGGGGGGGGGGGGGGGGGGGGGGGGGGAGGGTGTCGGCTAGGTACTCTACTACCTATACGTAAACGGATTGCTGAGGGCGATCGGTTTTCACTAGAAGGGTGCCTGCGGAATTTCGTTCCCACAGCACTCTCGCAGCTCCGTCCATGGCGGCGTCGTCGTCGGTCGACATCACTCTGGCCATCAGATCACCCTCCGGCTACCCACTGTAATGTACCTACCTCCTACCGAGCACGACATTCGCGTTCATCAAGTGGAGGGCCGGCAGCTGCCGCTGCCGCAAGATGATATCTTGACGGAGACGCGTGTGGCGATTGCGGTAGTGGCCGCGATGGCTTTCGTCATATGTTCTATGAGGGTATGTAGGACTTGCGTTCGTTCGAGCGGGCCGCTGTAGAAGGGGGGTGCTGACCGCTTGCGCCAAGTATAGCTGGTTGTACGGTATTTCGTGGTGCACAGATTCGGCATCGATGATGTGATGGTAATTATCGCAATGGTGCCTATTCCTCCCCACCCAGACTATCGTCGACGAAGCTGACCGTCCCTCCGTATGTAGATAATGAACTCGCTATTCGCGGCCCTCACCATCGCCACCACCTACCACGGCGTAGGCGAGCATCTATGGAACGTCTCCTCCAGGACTCTGCAGACACTGTTCAAAGTTCTCACCCGCACATCCCACCCACCATCACCCGCACTACCCTAACTAACCACGTGCACCAGCAGATCTACTTCGCCGCGCTCTGTAGCTACCTCTACGTCGCGCTCTCGGTGAAGATCAGCCTCCTCGTCTTCCTGATGCGGCACTTCCCTGATGCCATCATCCAAAAGACCGGGCGAGGACTGGTAGTGTTCCTCGTGGTGTTCACGATCACCGGGCAGCTCCCGTTGACATTCCAGTGCTCGCCCGTGCGCGCCATGTGGGAGCCGGTCGAGGGCGCCAGGTGTTTGGGCAAAAACACCTTGTTTGCCATCACCGTCTATCAGGCCGTCGTGATGTTCGTGACGGACGCGATCATCCTCGTCCTCCCGTTGCGCCCGCTGTGGAGGCTGAAAGTCCCGCTAAGGGAAAGGATTCCGTTGATTGGATTGTTCGGACTTGGTTTGTCCCCACCCGCCTCCGCTAATTCGTAACGGCCGGCTAACACCCACCACCAGGAACCATCGCCTGCGCTGCCTCGCTGATCCGCTTCACGACGCTGGCGTACACCAAGGACGAGGTGGACTTTACGTACTCGGTAGCGAAGAGCGGGATCTGGATGAACGTCGAGTTCTCGTTCGCGCTGATGGCGGGGTCTTTGCCGTCGCTGCGGGTTATCCCGGGGATACGGCGGTTGGCCGGGTATCTGTCGCGGGACGCCGAGAATAGTGGGGATACCGGGACTGTGGTCGAAGCATATGTGAGGAAGCCGAGGGGGAGGCAGAGAGGCTTTGCGACAAGAGAGTTGGAGAGTGGTAGTCGCCAGACGGAAGGCAGGAGGAGTCCGCTCGGTGGCGAGGAAATGGTGCCGCTGAGTGGAAGGCGAGGGAGTAATTGATTTGGTTGGAAGATTCGAGAGCTGCCCGTGAAACTTCTAGAGTGAATCCCATCTGCAAAGCGTACGGGTTTGTTAGTATGCCACGCCATGTTCCTGCGAAAGGTACCATTCGTGATGTGAGCGTAAATACGTCTTGGGGAGATCTATCACTGAAGAGATCAGCGGTTGATCATATAGCACCTGGTGCGCACCTTTCCATGGATTCTCGGTTCAAGCTGCGAGCGCGACATATCCCTTTGAATGCGTATCCGGACCTGCAGTTTTGGCGTTTAACCGTTGGATGGCGGCAATTATTGTGATAGGTATTAATGGCCGGTGAGGTAGCAGCCTTTCGTCCTGCACCAGACACGCTCCTCAGTTGAGGTAGAGATGAAGACGCATCCATGACATCATGTCAGTATCCTAGCAACTTGCACGGAGGAAGGGGGATTAGCGACGGGTCTGTCCAGGGATTAGTTTGCACAACAGCTGAGTGTTCAGGTCGAAACAGACACGGTCCGTAAGGATGATGAAGACTGGATTCATTCAGAAATATATAGTACACTTGTATCTTACAGCACCGACCGACGAGCGTCTCCCCCATGTGTCCCCCAGCACTACTTCGAAGCCCCCAGCTGATCCCTGATACCTGACGCGAGATTTCCGAGCAGTCCCGGCCCGGACGTATTTTTCGAAGCGTCGTCGTTATCCGGCCGTTTCGGCGCGCCCTATACGCACATCACAAATCAGCTCGATCCCATCCCATCTCCATCATTACTCCCTTACACACTCGGAGACACGCACCGGCTTTTCGCTCGAAAACATCCCTCCCAGAACCCCGGTCGACGTCTTCGAGTCAGGATCGGTCACGGTATTGGCTGGAGTACGCGTTGCGCCGGCGCCGCCGCGGATGGCGGAGTTTTGGTGGTTGGTTGATGAGGTGGACATTCTGTGTGTGCGTGTGTGATGTGGGAGTGGTAATTGGGTGGTGAGTTTCAGAAGTGAGTGCAGTTGATGAATGGAACGGTTGATGAACAGGTATAATTTATATACGGCGGTCGGGCTGTGGCGGTCGGTATGATCGCGGTCGTGGATGCCGTCGACGTCATGATGTTCGATAGCGGGTGGGTGACTTACGTCAGTGTGTCGTTACGGAGATCGGTGCATGGTCAATCACTCGCTTTATCTAGCATGTGACGAGTTCTATGGCAGAGCACTCGATTTTCACATGCGAATTTGACGGGATGATAAGAGACACTGTCGGGAAGAGAGGTCACTGCAATGAACTTGGTTGTGGCTTACACGGATTGCGTGTGTATGAATCTAAGCAAGGAAGATCACACACAATAAGAGATGAATGGAAAAAAAAATGACACTCTGTGGGAGAATGTGTCAAGCACTCTAGACCGTACCGAAATGGTCTAGGGCGCTTCGTCTCCATTGCAGTATGTAGGCACGAGATAGCACGAGTTGCAATCAACTTCGGGGATTTATGAAAGATCTCGCTGCTGATGGCGATCGACCGAACATGCCAGGTCCCCCGCATTCCAATTTCAAGTACATAGCAGCCGCGCGTCGCAGATCCTGCGTTCCGTAACCGACGCTGCCTGGCTGCCATCGGTCTAGATCTCTGCATACTATGCCATCACCATCGCTTTCATATCGCTTCGGAAAAGGTAAATTCATCTAGGTACATAGCCAGAGCTCGACATGGATATAATCCCACTCTAGCCGAGATGTCAATTACCCCGGATCAATCCATGGTTATTTCCCCGGACAAATCCCGGCCGAGGACCTGTCATTTACCGAGTTTCAGCAGGCGACATGAGATAACCTTAACCTTGATTACCCCAGATTCCCCAGATTCCCCAGCTTCCCCGGATTTCCAGCTCCAACTCGAACCTGAACTCAATGCATCACGAGCGCCGATGATGAAGTCCTCCATCTCCGTCCTCACAGTTGTACTCGCCGCCGCCGCCACCGCCGTTGTGGCAGCAGCGCCATCCGTGCGCCTCTCCGGCTCCAACACCGTCTACGAAGGCGTTCACATCCCCTCCTTCGACCAAGAAGCCTTCCTGGGCGTTCCATACGCCTCGCAGCCGGTGCGCTTCACGCCGTCCCGTCTGCTCGTCCCAGGCACCGGCCGTGTCTCCGCGCGAACCTACGGCACCTCCTGTCCCGCCTACGGCTCGGCGACGACCGAGCAGGTAACCGCGGGGATCATCACACTGGGCGAGGACTGCTTGAACCTTAACGTCGTCCGCCCCACAGGCGAGAATGGTCCCCTGCCCGTGGCTGTGTGGATCTATGGTGGAGGCTGGCAGCAGGGCAGCGCCGCAGATCTGAAATATAACCTCAGCCATATCGTACAGCAGAGTGTTGAGATGGGGAAGCCTATGATCGGCGTGAGTATTAATTATAGGACCGCGGGGTTCGGGTTCTTGTATTCGCAGGAGGTCCAGGTAGGTGCTGAGGGCTTTGCCGTGGGTGGGGGAATGCGGCGGTTTGCGCGGAGCTGACGGAGAGTAGAACTCCGGAAACGCGAATCTTGGCTTGAAGGACCAGAGGGTAGCGCTGCAGTGGATTCAGAAGTATATCCACGCCTTTGGAGGAGATCCTAAGAAGGTTACCATATGGGGAGAGGTCAGTTCAGTTGGCGGCTCCGCAGGAACACCGGTGGAGGTTGCGGGAAACTGACGGAAGAAATAGTCGGCGGGTGCGTATAGTATTGGAAACCACTTGCTCGCGTATGGCGGAAGGGATGATGGACTGTTTCGCGGAGGTGTGTACACTTCCGAGCTGCCATGAGTGAAGATGGCGATGCTGATCTTGCGTTAGCCATCCTGCAATCCGGAACCGCGGTAGGCCCACCACTCAACGACACCCGCTGGTACCAACCAATCTACAACCGCGTCACCGCCGCTACGGGGTTCGTCACCTTCTTTCTCCCTGTCTTGCCGCGACTGCTGACACAATCCCCAGCTGTGCCGACGCCATTGACACCCTCGACTGCCTCCGCAACCTCCCATACGCAACGCTCTACCCGGCACTCAACGTGGGCGTGGAATGGTTTGCTGCGGTGGATGGCGACATGATTGGCGGCTGGGGCTCGGCGGGTACGAATGCCGGACGGTTCATCAAAGTCCCTCTTCTCCTCGGCTCCAACACGGACGAGGGTACGTCGTTCGGCGTTTCGGGGGTGAACAGTGATGCCGATGCCGTGGCGCAATTGATTTGTATCCCCCCCCCTCCCACAGACCTACATGGGGGCAACACTGACCCGCCACCCGCGCAGCCTCCAAACGCTGGGTCCTTACCCCCGTACAGGCCAGCAAGCTCCTAACCTTCTACCCTGACGACCCCATCGTCGGCAGTCCATACGGCACCGGAAGCCGGACGTTCCCCGCTCTCGGCGCGCAATACAAGCGGTACTCCTCCATGGCGGGGGACCTAACGATGGACGCACCACGGCGGCAGCTCGCGCAAGCCGCCGCAAAGTACTCCGCCGTATTCTCGTACCGCTTCGACACGCCGCCGCCCAACAGCACCGAAAAGGTTGGCATTGGCCACGGCGCCGAAGTGCCGTTCGTGTTTGCGGATCCCACGGCGAGTCTTGGGAATGGTACCGCGGTCAATGCACTCGCCAGGAAGATGGCGAGGTTGTGGGTCGCGTTCGTGGTCGATGGGAGGCCGGCGGAGGAGGCGGCTTGGCCGAGGTATAGGAATGAGCGCCCCAGGAATTTGGTGCTCCGCGCGGATAGGAGCTACACTGAGGAGGATACGTATAGGAGGGAGGGGATGGCGTATATCAACTCGCTGTTGAGATAGGTAGATAGGAAGCAGCGGGGATGTGCATACGGGGACAGGAACTCGTACATACAATCTGTATTATTAGTATGACGAAATGCACGAATATCCAAAGCGAGGAGAAGCAACCTTCGAAGTGTACGAATAGCTTCCGGGGTGCAATCTGTGATTTTCATAGAGCCGACCTGTAGGCTGAGGGTCTCGGTTCTGGCGGCACTCGCTCCTTCCGGCGGACTGGCTGTTGGAATGTGTGAATAAGTATTGTTATTGTGTATAGACTGGATTGTGAAAGCCTCGAGGGAAGACAGAAAAGAGGGGTGGTAGGTGGCCAGTGCTTCCCGCCGCCATGACCGCGTAAGCGACTAAGTAACGAGTGACATATTACGACACTGGCGAGTGCTGGCGACAGCACGTCGGATCGATGACGATGCCGATATCGGCTGCAGATCAAGAAGCCTTAAGATTATCTAGTTCATGACATAGTAGGCTGTGTAAAAATATCTTCTTGAATCACTAATACCGGCTGTAGGGAGTGAAGTGAATTCAACAATGAAGCACTGCCGTGAAGCCAAGCAGCGCAACCGAAGAGAGCAAGCTCGTAAACGAACAATTTCATCCTCTCGCCAGCAGCCAAAGAAACAACATTATTCGCTGCAAGCAGCAAGGAAAAAACTATCATTAAGCCAAAAAAAAAGCTTTCAAGTAAAAAGCTTTCTTCAAGGGCCGCGACTAGAATGTAGTCGCTCATGCTATGAGTACTCATGTCAGCGATTGGTGTCTCCACTGCCGAGGTTCGTGTTTCGAGGATGCTTACGTGGAAGTAGTTTGTCAGGAGAAGCACCCTTCTCCTCACTAGCTTCACCAAGACCCGCTTTGATAGGAGTACTAGTACTCCCTACCATCCCATATGCGTCTCGAGAGACGCACCATCCATCTGGTCTCGCTCACGCGAGTCAGCCCACAGGCTGCGAGTGCCCTTCGGCATCCGACCAGCTTCTAGCAGTCAGCGACCATGATTAAATGCCGAATGGTGAGTGGTGAGCAGATAGTACATACCACGCTTCGGCACGAAAAGCACCGACGCCCTTGCTGCCTTCTTGGCAACCTTTTTGATGCGTTCGAAGGTTCTGAAGAGCGGTATCTTCATCATATTTTTATGTTTCGCTTGAGTCGGGATTGAGTGCAGTGGTTGCTTTGATGTGAAGGCTATGGGCACGAAGCTCGGCCCGCAGGCCACGGGTACGCTCTATTATCCTACTAGCTTCTAGCAGTCAGCGACCATATCATCATCAGATGCCTCATGGTGGTGTGCAGGTTCTTACCGCGACCCGGCACGAACAGTGTCTATACTCTCTCGAGTAACTCCTTCTTGACGTTAGTTTTCGTTCGTTCGAAGTCGGCCACCACACCACAAGAGTACTGTTGAATCGGAGGGAAATACTCACTCAGCCGGGAAACAACAGCACAGCAGTGCTGATGGTCAGGACTCTGCGGGGAAACCCGCAGACCTGATCTTCTTCCACGGCTCGAGGTTCTCCGACTCAAGCGCCGGCACCAGCAGCGACGCTGGTGCGAGGATCGGATATCCTCTGTCGGAGAACAGCTGATGCGTAGTCTGTAGCCACCTGGGGAGCCGTGACCCCCAACATTTTAGTGAATGGGCCAACGGCGAAATCCCCAGGTGGCGCGAGGAAGCTGTCGCGAAGCGTACTTGATCGATGCATTGCTGAAGGATCCAGAAGTTCTTCAAGTTAGGCCACCGGGGGCTGATGATATTGTTGTGTTGATGGTATGTTAGTGTTTTTTCAAAAAGATGAGAGGAAGGGAGGAAGAAGGGAGGAAGATGTAGAGGAAGAGAGGAAGATGTAGAGGAAGGTGTCGAGGAAGTAGGGTTTTGTTGGCGGCGCTAAGACTCTCATACGCTAGCGTCGGCTTCTTCGGGTCTTCCTGTTCGCTGATCACTCGTTAGGGCTTGCTCTTTGAATTGTGATTTGTGCTTCAAAAGCTTGCGAGAGAGCCGCCGATTCGCCTAGCTATGCGTAGTAGTACTGACGCTCGCTATGTCGCAGTCCCGCTATCATCTTCACATTACCTCGACCGTCGACAGCGGCGACAGTGCGGTAAGTGATGCACGGCACTGCCGGACTCAACGAAAGTGTGATGTGATCAGAAAAATGCTCTCCGTCTATCTCCCGCTCGGAAACCACCGTGTGTAGCTGTCTGCGAGCGCTGCCAGAAACAGATTCGTTCTCGGTGTGGACTCCAGCCATCCATCATACCGCAAGCCTCCTCCAGCCTCCTCCAGCCTCCTCACGTGCAGTGTCAGCCCGTCACGTGCCGATGGCCCTTCCCAGCTCGCTCCCCGTCAGAGTACTGGCATACAACAGGCAGGCATGGTTGGGTATGCAGTTTTGTTCGCCATAGTCTAGTAACTATCATAGTAAGGCTATGTCAATAAACTATATAGTATTCTCTCTCGGCCTTTACTAGATCTACAGACAAACAGACCAACAAACCTCGTTAGTGCTGAGTGCTCATGTTCCTACCTGTTCCTTGAAGCGATAATCCCTCTTCTATGTAGAAGGCACAGAGTCTCCATTCCTGCGCTGCGTCATTATGCTATGCATTCGTCGATTTCGTTTGTTCAGTCGCAATACCAGCGACCTACCGGTATATAGATCGTGGCGTCTGTCGGGCCGTCGGTTACGTGTAGGTAGTCGGGTAGAGACTTCGAGGGCCTGGTCGAAGAAGAACGAAGAAAGCGGGTACCTGAGAAGAAAGCGGGTACCTGAGACCAAGTCGGTAGCCACGACGAAGGAAGAAGGCCTTTACTGTACGATCCGCGCAGAACGGATGGGCCGGGATCCCGAATCCCGAATCCCAATATCACCCGCATCCAGCATTCAACCGGCAAGCCGAGCGAGGCATGATCCCTCCCTCCCCCGTGCACCACGCCTGTCGACCCCGAAGATTCGGCCCGATCCGATCATCGATGGCCATCGCATATGTAGACATCACGGACAGAGCCGCCAAGGAACTGGCGTTTGCCGGACTGCATGCGCCAGAAGATATAATCGTGTAAGTTGAAGCTGAAGTTGTTGCCAAGACTGCTGAACTTCTGGTCTTCTGCACAATCTTCTGCACAAAATACGTCGTGGCGCTTCTACATATTGTTCAGTACATAAGGTATTCTGCAGGGGAGCAGCGAGGCAGGGATGAACGCCACTCAATGCACTCCAAGCCCCCACCCGACTCCCGACCAAGCCACGGGAAATGAAAGTTGCACCGGCACAGCTGAAGGCCAAGCCGCCAAGCTTAGGGCTGAATCGCAGTGCAGAGGCCAAGATGTTTTGGCGGGGGTAAGCTGGCAGGGGAGGCCCGATAGTCCGATAACCCGACTGGGGGGCGCACAGCCACTCAACTCCACTCCACTCGCTTCCGGACGCCACCGATCACCGACTACAGACCAATCGGCGGTCGCTGGTCAGGGTCTGGCGCGCATGCTTTTGAAATTGTGTGTTTGATAAGAACACACTCAGCAGCGACGACGCAGAACCGGCCGGGAGAGGGTTGCAGACTTGCGGTACTGCAGAAGCCGGCACGACTCACGAGGGCGAGGACGAAGAACGTTGAAGCGTCCCCGCCGGCCCCCCCGAGACTCCAGTCTCCAGTCGTTATGTACCGATAATGTACCGCACGGTATGTACATAAGCAGCCATGTCCTCACGCTAAATACGGTATCCAACCAGACACCTGAGTGTCGAAAGGAATAGAGTATGTAGATATAGTTATTACGGTACACCTGTAACAGCGCTGGCTGGCCGCTGGTTTCCGGTCAGCCATAGGGAATATGCACGAATAGGCAGCAACCTGCAGATCACCGAGGAGCGAGTACCTAGTACCTACCATCGTACTACTATTACTAGTAGTACTACTAGTAGTAGTAGTAGCGCACGTTGTTGCAGCGTATACCGCAACACGGTCGTCGACTTCAGCTGAATCTGAAGCCGAATCTGAATTAATGATCTTTTCTGGTCGCGAGCTTTCGATCGATCAAACAGGATGCGGGGGGCACCTGGAGCCACGAACACGACCACCACCACGACCACCACCACAGTGCCAGCGCAACGCTGATGTCAGGCCGCCGGCGGCCGCGCGAGCATCTGCGCTCACTGAAAAGCTCCGTACGAGTAGATATGTGCATACCGTATTCCGTATTCCGTTTACTGATCACGGCATTTATCCACCCGTCGCGACGGCCTTGAGATTCAACTGCACCGCGTATGTATAGTAAGTACCGTATTTGGGGGAGCCCGTCGCACGGCAGGAGGAACGCACGCGGCATGCCCCCGGCTCAAAATAAAAAGCTTGTTTCCTCATCATCATTATTATCATCATCACCAATTGGTCGGCTGTGGGTGTGCATAGCAACGTAGCACGCAATTGGTGGCGTTGTTTTTGCACTTCGAAAGCGATTTATGTGAGGTAAGCGACGGGCGAACTCTGTCTTTCTTCTTTCTTTCTTCCTTTCTTTCTTCTTCAGCTCTCGATCTCAGATTCTCAGCTCTCGATCTCCGAATCTCTAAATCTCAGTTCGGTTGCCGACGCCCCACTCCCGCGCGACGCCCGCCCGCCGAAAATAGCCCGATAATACTCCAAATACTACCCCGCAGCGCCGCAGTGCCGCAGCGGCGCATTTAGTCAATCAAGCAACCAGTCAGCCACTCAGTCAAACTCAGCATTCGCTCGAGTGGGCGAGTGAAAATGCACGCACGGACGTAACGTAGCGTACCTACTACCTATGATAGAAGCGGATTACACCCGCCAAGCGATGACGGCCAAGATCATGCGCGAGTCGCGACCGCCGACCGCCGACCCCCAGTGACAAAAGTTTCTTACTTATGTAGAGTACGCCGAGCCGTCGCGAAGTGCTATTGTATATGGGCCGGTAGCATTCGTGTCTGCGCCATCGACCGCCGCCGGTTGAAACTGAATTGTAATTACACGGCTGCAGCTCTCCTGCTGCTGCCTGCGGCCTGCCCGTGCATGGATCGTTAGCCGCGAGCGAGCGTGCGAGCGAGCATTCCTACCGTATGTATGACGGATTTGAGTTTTCTCACCGAGGGAGAATAGGGTACCTACCTGTGCCTACCAGTGCCGGGGAGGTTAATTGTCACGATGGCTGGGGGCGGGGGTGATGTATGGTGCCGGACGCTTTAACGGGCAAGCGAGGGACGAAAAATGACCCCCAGCGCCGACCGCTACTCCTCTCCACCACAACAAAAAGAATTTATTTGGAACCGTAGAATGATAGAGTAGTATTTCTAGAACGGTTCTACGGTTTCAAAATTAAATTATTGGTGGTTGGTGGAGAGGAGTGGGACTTGAAAAGTCGGGTATTTTGTGTGAGGGGGGTATGCCATTGGACATACGCTAGACCCTATTAAACGTGACGCTAGCCATATTAGTACAGATCGAGTGAAATTGATGAGTACCCAAACAACTTATACACACGGAAGAAAAAAGTGGGTCTACGAGGGCACGGCTGAAGTGGTGGTGAGTAGCCCAATAGGACGAACCAAAGTCAAGTTAATCGAACAAAAACTGGCTGAAATATTGGTTTACCGCCATAGGTTTTGGTGGGATCATATGTTCGCACTCGACATCTTGGCGGGCCCACCTCCATTGGATATACCAAGACGCTAGCCCGTTAAAGTGTCCGGCACCATAGAGAACATCTGCGGGCAACGGGCTGGGCAGTGCTGTAGGGCTCGGTTCCCGACAGACCACGATCCACGACTCCACGACGGGTGCGCTATTTTAGGGCTTTCAGCTGGGTATGTAGGGCTGTATGTAGGAAACTAACTGCTAGTAGGAATCTACAATTCTGAGGGCGGCATATGATGCCGGTACTGCATATAGTTTATGTAGGTATATTGTACTCTATCTGTTTATACCCGCTGCGTGATTGGCATGGTCAATTGGTCCCAGGGCTTAGAGAAGTGGCAGGTGTAATGCTGGGGTTGGCTGTTGGGTTTGTATGTCCTTTGGGGATTTCTGTTTCGAATGTCGTTTTGCCGAATCCCGGTCGGCAGGGCTGAGTTGCCGAGTACTCCACTCTACTATTCTACACAGGGTAGTTAGTTAGAACTGAGAGACATGACTCACCAGAGATGAACAATTGCCATTCACAGTCGAATTCTATCTTTTGGAGGGCTGGTCTCGCACTGCCGAAATGGAGCGGGGAAAAGTGAGACCCTGAGCTCGCCGGAAAAGCATATTGGAGGGGAATATTCACAGGGAGTGACGCGCGAAAACCCCGCCAACAACAAATCCACGCCCGTCGGTCCGTCACCAATGACAGAACGCCATGTGCCTACCTTTCACCCCGTCGACTTTATTCAAGGTAAACGAATATGTAAGTAAGATAGCTACGGTACATATGAGACCTGCTGGGACCTGTGATAAGTTGCATGGCTAACTAGCGTGGACATCTGCTACTATTACTGGTAGTTGGTTAACAGTTGACTAGCTCGGATTGAAACGACTTTCCTCAGGGAACCATCACCACCACCACGACGGCCGCCAGACGAGACCAGACTAGGCCTGACAAAACCGATATTACATTGGCGCGACACCGGGATGTAATCGTGCTGACTGCGCTGAATTAGAGACAAGCCCCAACCTGTATGTGTGTACTGGCATCGACCCCACCGGTGAAGCTGCTAGCTCGACACAACACAGGTGCCTAGGAGTAACCACCCCACAGCTGTCTGCCGAAATCTTTCGGGCTACTCCGCTTTGCTTTACTTTGACGACGGGGAAGGAATTATAAGACCGAGTTCATCTCCCCGCCGAGTATTCAGCCAGCCAGCCCGTTCACACAGTCGATCCCACCAGCGGGGCAGAGTCAGCATCTACAGCAGCAACTCCGAGCACAACACGCCCTACAATGGCAATGAGACGTCCTACAATGGCAATGACATTCGGTCAAAAGCCCACGCCCAAGGCTGGCGCGCAGTAAGTTCGACCTTCGAAACCACCAGCCAGCCAGTCACTCACCGTTCTCTAGACAGCGCCTGAAGCAGCGGCAAGGCCAGCTCCTTCCGTGGATCGCGAGTCCTCTCACCCACTTCTTCCACACGAACCATGACGAGCACGTACACAAGCCGCTGCGGACCACGGAGGAGGCAGCAGGCCCCACAAAGGTGCAGAACGTGTCGAATGTGGCCGAGAAAGACGAGATCCTCTACGAGGAGATTGAGGCCGAAGAGGCCACCTCCGGAGAGCTGTTCTACGATCTGTTCTTCGTTGCCAATCTGACCACCATCACTTCCGTGCATTACATGACCGATTACAACAGTCAGTTGAACCCCCCGCAAGCTCGTGGGCTCCAAGTTGCTCGGTGGGACCGCCCTAACTGACAGATGGTGTCTCCGCGCAGCTCTAATCTCGTACATCTTCTTCTTCATCATCTTGTGGTTCTCGTGGCTGCAGACCACGCTGTACGACATCCGCTTCTCTGTCGACTCCGTCTACGAGCGATGCATGAAGGCCATCCACTTCGCCGTCATGATCGGGTTCGCGTCGGTCTCGACCAACTGGAATCCTATGGATACCACGCTTCCCAGCACCGTTGCGAACTTGCAGTTCATGGCCATCACCCTCATGGCGTCGAGGTTCACACTGGGTATCCAGTATGGTGTCGCCGCCGGGTATGCCCGGAGGGTCAACAAGGGGATGTTGCCGTTGATCCTGCACAGCGCAATGATGTTTATCGCTGGTGCCGTTTACCTCGGTGTATGAGCCCCCTCACCATAGACATAGGACTGGAGTGACTGACAGTCTCCGTAACAGCTCTTTTTCGTGTTCCGCAACGGCACACAGCCCCGCGCCTACATCGCCATGTTCATCGTGATCGCGGTCGAGGTTATCGCCGTGCTAGTGACGTCGGCGGTGTGGAAAGTTGTTAGTTTCAAGATGACGCATCTCGTCGAGCGCATGGGACTCCTGACGCTCATCGTCATCGGCGAGGGCATCATCGTCATGCTCAAGGCCGTGAACGTGGTCGAAAAGGGATCAGCGTACGGCCGCGGATGGAGCGCGAGTATCTTCTGCATCGTCGGTGCTGCGGTGATGGTGATTGTGAGTATCCCCTGGTTGTTCCGGGAGTGTGCACTGTGGGGGGGTTGACTGCTGACGGGAAAACTAGTATATGCTCTACATGTTCTACTTCGACTACACCCCGCGAGGCGTCCACTACGGCACCATCCGACAGCAGTTCTGGGCGGTGCTTCACTTTCCATACCACCTGTCGATCGTGCTCGCCGTCGAAGGGCTGCGGCAGTGGACGACCTACTGGAGTTACCTACAGGCGCAGCACGTGATTTCCCGCGAATTCAACAACGTCGGCACGCTGAGCCGCGATGCACTCAAGAACCAAACGCTCGACATTATCGACAAGTACGTGGAGTACCTGTACCACGACGAGACGTCGAAGACGATCCTGAAGCAGTACTACCTCTTGGTGGACGAGATCCCGTATCTGCGGGACCTTCCGATCGACAGCTGGTCGGTCGAGAACCAGACAACGCTGGGCCACGTGACGACGGACCTGTTCCGCGGATACGCCGAGTTCTACGGGATCAAGGTGCCGAAGGCCAAGACCGAGCAGACGTTCCTTGACCCGTTCTCGCCCGACTACGATCCCTCAAAGGACATCACGGCCGTCTACCGCTTCGTGTTTACATACTTCTTTACCGCGTTCGGGTGCATCTTCTTCATGCTGGGGCTGTTCGGCCTCTTCGTCCGCAGGAAGAAGGACGTCTGGGATTACATCGCCGTCACCCTCCGATTCGTCGTCGGTATCACCTTCTGTCTGCTCGAGAGGATTAAGGCGGACCCTCTCATGTATGATGACTTCATCGCGAGCCCGTGGCCTATCCCCGTCGTGTGTATTGTCATGTTTATCAGTAAGCTCCCCCACCACTTCCCCTCCCCGTACCCTCGCTAACCCGCCGCAGCCCTGTGGATGGACAAGATCATCGGCCTGTTTGCGTACCGACGGATGAAGGGGAAGATGAACTATAACTCGGTCTGATCAGTGTTTCTTTTTCGTTTTCTTTCTTTCTTCCATGTCATTGTCCATTTCTTTATCTTCGCTGGGTTGCAGTTTTCTTCAGGCGCTGGTTCGATCATTTTTGTTATCGTGGGGTTGGGTTGGTGTTGGGTTGCGTTGCGGATTGGGAGTTGGGATATCTATCGGGAGCGTAGAGATGCGGCGAGAAATACACGAGGGAATGCAGATTCCATATCTTATGAAAGCACACTCCGTCGTCCCGCTCTGCTGGCCCGCGCCGTACGGCACCCCGCCAAAGCTAACGGTTGACACGTGTGAAGTTAGTGTGCGGCCGGGAGCAGCGGGTGCGGAAGGTGTGAATTGGTTGGAGTTAACTTTCTTTTCTTTTGTTTTTTTATTGAATAGTGTACTTCTCTCTCACGGGCAGGCGAGAGACCCCGATTAGCTAGTCTCGCGGCGGTGGATCTCTTTAGTATGGACGTCGTGATCTACTTAGGTCTATAGACACGTCAATAAAATGATTTCCCCCCCCCTCCCCCCCCCACCCGTTAGTGTGCGGCAATCTAGCCCTGCGATGCTGCGCCAAAGCCCGCTCCCGTACCAGTCCCCCCCCGTAACAAGCGTACCGGTATCATAGAAATCTTCCGCAGGCTGCGGCTGGAAACGCGCGGAGAAGTGTTATGGTAACAGGAGATCAACTGGCCGATGCGGCGATACCGGTATCCCAACCGCCTGAAGGAATTTGGAAATATGAGCTGTGGCTCTAGGTGGGGTTTTTCTGATCCATACAATACGTCGGTACCTTTATATTCTAGGGATTTCATTTGATTCTACTTCCGATAATCTAATTCCACGTTTGGTTCGGGTGATAGTTGATCGTGGATCGTTGAGTCCATGCGAGCCAGCAACGGACCGACGGTCGATCACGAGATTCGAGAAAGGACTGAATTGTAATAGTTAGCATGAATAAGCCCGATGCACCTCGCCATCGCTGGTTATTGCGATTCTCGTTCAATATCACATCATCAAGCCACAGCAAGCCATAGCAAGCTTACCAATATTATTCCTGCTCTCCAAAACCGAGCGAGATCTAGAGCGATGTACAATTCATTATCTGTCAGCTGTGAAGAGTAAGCATGCAGCTCACGTATCCCACACGGCGGTACTGCGTGGATCATAAATTCACAATCCGGATGGGCCGGATGGGCCCAGAGCGGGGTCTACAGTACCTTTTCGACGGAAGCTGGAACTATCGACGGGTAATCTACCAGCTCCAGCCTCAGCTTCAGCTGTTGAACCAGCTCGTCCGCCCAACGGTAGTTTTTCGAATCTAGAATCTCGGTTCCTCAGTGCGCGCCTGCTCACTCGCTCATCGCGAACTTCGCGGTGACACAGCGGTTTTGAAATCACGAACTCAGACAATGCTAGTAGTTAGGCGTGCGGTGATCTTATCACTCCCGCCACGTGTAGAGTCGCGGGGGGGGGGGGGGGGGGGGGGAGGGCCCGGAGGGGGGGGGCGAGCGAAAACTAGAGTAGGACACCACGCGACTGATCACTGCCCTCGGGCCTCCGCACGAGAGCTTAGTCGTGATAAGCGCTGATGCATGGCAAGTCCCGGCCCCATCATCAGTAGTGCGTGGCTCCCGAGGTTGGTAATACGGTCGCCAACAAGAGCATCCAAGAGCCATTCCAAGGGTCGGCCGCGCGATGGCTGCTGCTGCGCTGCATAGTTTGTCACTCGTTTGCTGCAGACGCGACGTGGAATCTCGTTGCGAAATCACTCCGTAGGCACCCTCCATTCCACGGATGACTCGGATAAATACTTGCAACCTAGGAATGGTTAACTGAGGGGGAGCGGAGGATCAAGCCGAGCTCTTGTGACTTGTTCGGCGCGCGAGGTGATCGACCCGTCTCCAGCGATTAGGTCGTCACTTGTGCTCGCTCTTCACATCGGATGAGCAAGTCTTGGTAAGGTCTAGCTAGCCCTCCAGCCGCGGCAAAAACTGGCTTGGAACCTCGCGGCTCCTAAATCACTTATAAAAACCCCCTCTTCTGCTCCTCATTCTCTCCTTCTCTTTACAACTACCACAGCTTCCTTCCTTCCTTCATTCGCCTTCCTTCCTTCATTCGCCTTCCTCGCTCCCTTCCTTCCTTCCACCTGATCTCGGGATCAAACCTCAAGATACGTCATCCCCCCCCCCCCCCATTTCTTACTTCTAGGATAACCTTACAGAGCTAACCTGCTCAGCCGTAATAGCGAGGAACTGAGGGATCCGTGCAGCTGGTCTACAAAGTAGACTGTTGCACCCATAGACGGATCCAACCCTCGAGGCTGAGCAGAAAAGATCCAAGGACGGGGTTTTCTCTTCTGCTGCCGGCAAAGTTCTTTCCCCCTTCCTCCGGGGGTCCAAGTCGGGTGAGAGCCGACTTGCTCCCGTTGGATGGCCTCTCCGAAACTGGGTGACAGACGGTTTCGTGTTGACGAGGAAGAAAAAAAATAAGAAAGTATAACTTGGTTTATTACCCTCTCAAGTTATATGTGGAAGTCTTCTTCCTTTGCTGTGAGAGAGCAAAGGTCTTTCCTCCTGGCCATGCATGTCATGTATGAGAGACATGCCGCATGCATGGCCAAGGCCCATGCCTCCGAAACAGGGCTACAGGCGGTATCGGACGAGAAAACAACAAAACTAAAGAAGGTATAACTCGGTCTACTACCGCCCTAAGTTATGCGCGTATAACGTGGTTTACTATCCCTCCACATTATGCGCGGAGGTCTTCTTCCTTTCAGAGCGAAGGTCTTTCCTCCGGCCATGCATGCAGTTGAGGCATGCATGCGCCATTGGCCAAATTTTGTTGCTCTGGCCGCTGTGCGTGAGGATGACGTCGGCTTCTTCGTTTACTACGGGCCCGTGCCCTTCTAAATATACAGAATATGTGTGCCATTGAGAGATAGACCCTTCGGCGAGACCACACATCTCCACCCCCAGATACAGTTCGCATGACCGAGCCCTTGACCCTTCAAAAACAGAGCTCCTTGAAACTTCTCCATCTCCTTATAACGGAAATGAGGAGAGATCCTTCATGTTCTCCGGACGCCGTAATCTGACATGGTTTAACCAGATACGTGATATGTACGTTTGTGTCTGAGATCTGGCTTAACTATGATCGAATCAGTGCTTGTCTGGAAGCAGGCGTTTTCCGAAGCGATGATCGACGGACGTTTGGCGGCAGCAGGCGGGTGATTAAGCGAAGGAAGGTTAATAGTGGATCATAGCAGGTACACCGTACTACTACTAGTAGCAGTATATGGTGTATCTCGGCGGCGGACGAGGAGCCCAACTAGTAGTGCGGGGCTTGATCAAGCCGTGGCGGTACCTATTCAGACTCTCAGTAAATAGGTTGAGCGCGGATACTAAAGCACCGTAGACTACCTACTCTACATATCCCACCGCCATTGTAGGTACTATGTACTCCATCACTCCGCCACAACGTCGCCCACGCACCGGAGGTGGAGAAAACATACACATCTTCCAATCCTGATCCATCTGTATATCTACTTACCCCCCCTGTAGGGTGAGTTGTGTCACTCGCCATCTATCCGTTTTGCTTCCTCCCTTCCATCGATGATCAAGTCCATCAAAGGGAATAACACGTGATACCGCCGAGTGATATCCACCTAATGCTACCTCCGCCCAGCCAAAACTTGTGAAAAATAAAAACAGAAACCTTCCCCACCCCATTGGATGGCTTGGAAACCCACAAGAGCTGAATACAAAGGTCAGTTACCTGGGTGGAAGTCAGAACGTTCCCTCAACTCCCCTCGCCGATTGCGAGGCCTAGACCGACCACTAGACCACGCGGGGGTTTTTTCCGTGCTGGAGACATGAATTTGATGTTTACAAAGTGACAGTAGGTGTCCCCCATATCTACGAGGATACTTCAACGAGCGGCACTCGTGATACCCGCCCGCCCGCTCGTGTGCACGTGCGATCTGCACGCATCGATCACTCGCCGCCCCCCCTCCCCCCTCCCCCCCCCTCATCCCCGACCGCTTCCACCCACTCCCCCTCCTCCTCCTCCTCGCGGACCCCACCACACCTCAGTGCGCATCGGCCCCACGATACCTCACCGGCCCCAGTCTTCCGAGACGACGCGCACCGCGCACATATCCGGCCGCACAGCCGAGACAACAGCCCTCCGCTCTCGATCGCCCTCTCCCTCGCCCCCGAGATCGGCCTCGCAGTACCCGTTAACGGGCGTGGCCATCGGGATACGGAACTAGGTAGTCGCGAGATCACTGGGGACTCCCGGACTTGGGAGGGCACGCGAGCGGGGGGTCTCGGCTGCGATGGCATACGGTCTACGGACGCACCGCCGCCGCCGCAGAATATATATTTTTGTACCGTACATACTGGTAGCGGCGGAGACGCATCCATCCAGATTCCAGAGTGCGTATGTACTACCGCTTGCCGCGAGCCGCTCGCTGAAGACTGAGGTGCAGGATCCATGATCCATCATCCGGGACTCGTGCGTGCGTGCATGCATGTCGAGTGTGTGTGGGAGGGTGGGGGCCGGAACTGAGCGTGCGTCTGGATACTATAATAGGTGGGTGGGTGGTTGGCCGTGTGCATACATATCGTTGGTACATATCCCCAGCCGGGGGATTTGAGGAGATACGTACGGTGCTATCTTCTGCCGGCCCCCAGTCTTTACTTACTCGCCGCTAGCTAATCGCCGCTTGGAGGATTTGGTACTATATCCCCTATGCGGATTTCGATTGGGCGATGGCACTGCAGTTGCACTGCAGCAGTAGCGGTGGTGCGGGGGCGGGGGATGTGGGCCAATACGCTCTCTGGGCCAATCGGCCAATTCAGTCAATACAAAGTCCGTGTCTTCATTACCTATTACAGAAGAAGAACATAAAAAAGAATAAAGAATAAGGAAAGAAAAAGGCTTCGATGAATGTACCGCAGCCCAGCCCAAACACAAACCCACGCGAGTAGTCACTTCCGATCCTTCATCTCCATCAGCGCCCGCTCATCAGTTCTTCAGCGGCTTCTGCGCGTATCCAACGTAGCTGCAAGGTTGTCGTTAGCTTTCGCCTCGAAAGAAAGAGAAAAAAAACTCAGTGGGAGGACAGGAAGGAAGCCTTACTGAACGGAATACATGTGGGTATTCTTATTCCTCGTCGCCTGGTATCCGTCGTTACAAATCTTCTGGGCCTTCGCGACGTCGTAACCCAAGATTCTCGTCAGTGCCGCCAATCCGTATGAAGGGAAAGCGGTCTGCCCCTGCAGCAGCATCATGACGCCGACCTCCTTCAGCCGCTTGTCCTTCGCCCACGGACCCCATGGATGCCGCACGGCAAAGGTGTGTAGGCCCTCGAGGCCGGCGTTGGTGAGCAGCTTGTCGATGTCGCCCTCTCGCGTCGTGGGTTTGCCAATCTTGTCCAGCGCGGTGTTGAGGATGTCGCAGTACACTTTGGCGGGATTATCGGGCTTCATGGTGCCGTCGTCACACAAGATGTCGACTGTGAGAATAGACGTTAGTTAATCATGCGTAAAGTGATTTTCCGGTGCGGGGGGTACCGTTCGTGTCCGCCATCTCGATATATCCGCCGGGCTTAAGGCAGCGGTACGCTTCCGCCATCACGGCCGGCCAGTTGGAGATAGCCTGGGCGACATTTCGGAAATGGATAAAATCGAAGGTGTTATCGGCGTATGTCCAGGGTTTCTCGGCATCGTCCATGGTGAACTTGCAGTTCGGGGGTACCCAACTTGGTTGGATCGGACTGTATGGCGGAAAGGGAAGGGAGAGCACGTCAGTACGGTTCCCATACATGTTTCCGACTCCGACTTCGATTTTAGACATGCCTCAGGTCGATTCCGATAACCTCCGCCATGGGATACCGATCGGCCATATCGATCGCCCAGATTCCGGTTCCTGTGCCAACATCGAGGATGCGCTGTGGGTCTTTCAACGGCGACTTGTGCAGTTTCCCGTCGAACAGTCGCAGCAGGATCTCGTTGTGCAGGTCCATCCGGTCCTGCTCCTTCTCGTCAGTGGGCAGCAGGTTCTTGTCTTCTCCGAAGTAGGCATGGTAGCGACGGCCTAAGTGGAAAAAGGAAAGACGGTGTCAGCGAGGAGGGGGGAGGATGTGACAATGGGAAGAGCTACCGTTCTCGAAGATGTATTCGTGCACGGAGGACGAGAGGGATGTCGAGCTAGTGTCGTAGCCGGCGGAGCCATAGTCGGAGTCGTCATTCTCGTACTGCGCAACGGTATCAGCTCCCGGATTTCACTCGAATGTCCACTGCGATGTGTCCGGCTACTCACCACTTTCGGGTCGACCTCGATGTTGGCACTTGGGGCGTTCACGGTAGCCATCGTGAAGATTTTCGATGTTTTTTTTGGAGTGTTGTTGGAGTCGAACAAGCTTTGTGGGGCCGTCCGCACCCAGAAACGGCGAGGGATGCTACCTATTTATCCCTCGCCCGGTCGCTGAGGGACCGGCCGTAGACTGCGGGGAGGACGGGGGGAGGACGAGGGGATCGTAGTAGTGGTGTCGGGAGCGGCGTTTCTGGGTGGATGGAAGGATAACAAGAGTAGTAGAGTGGACTGGGGGTGTATTGTGATGGTGGCGCTACTGCTGAGTGTAACTATGCAAGTACATAGAGTACTTACCCAAGTAGTAGTTACCGGTATCGGTTCTACGTGGACAGCTGAATCCTAACCATCCAGCTACACACAAGAATCCATTCATACATACATAGCGCCGTTTCCATGGTTGGCTCGCTGGTAATACAGATACACGTGGAAGCTCCGAGGAGGGACGAGATGAAAGGGGACCCGATGAAAGTGCAGATATGTCCTAGTGGTGAGCATCCGGTACCGCGACGCTGGACTCTGGAGACTGTGGAACTTGCCGATGTAACCATGCTCGGACGGCAATCCTGGACGGAAGACGACTGGTTCGGAGAATGCTTCATGCACTGAAAGTTGCAGTGCCTATGTATCACGTCCATGTGCCCAGCACGATTGTGCATCCATCTCGGCTCCGAATGAAATCGGGCCTCTCCAGGTGCCTACCTTCGTACGAAGAGGAATATGTATGTAGTACCGGTATACCTATGCCAGCCTTCGAACTCAAAACCCTAACCACCACAACCGTACAAGTACGTAATCAGCTTCAGCCCATTGCCGGCAATTAGCGAGCGGCGAGCGCGGTGCAAGCACGACCCAACAGCGACGCCGGACGAGTGGGGCGCACAAGGCAACCGGGAGCGAGTGAGTACTTGCGTGCGTCTCTCACCCTGTGAGCGAAATCGGTGATGCACTGTGAGATCGTCGGCCACTCCTCCCCCTGTCTAAAAGCCACCTCCAAGTTCCAAGTTCCAACACAGAAGTCGGATGCATGTGGTGCATGTCAAAAAGCGGAGAGACGCAGCAGAGACGCACGGCGTACATGGGGGAGACCCACAGCGCGGACTTCCGGTAACCTGCAGGCAGGCAGGACGATGGAGGAATCCGGATTCTCCATGATGGATGTCTGTCGGGATGGCGTCTCCTGCGAGCCCGCATGCTGGGTTGCCGGCTAACTAATGGTATGCCAGCCGCACGTAAGTAGCCCATTGGGCTTGGTTGTGTTCTTGAACCGCTCCAACTCTCCACTCTGGCCGAAGCGAAGACTCCTGTCCGCCGCAGTTCCTCCACTTCGAAAACCGGTATAGAGTAGAGTAGCAGCGAATCGTATTGCCCTTCCCGGATGGTACTCTAAACGCAGTAGGCGTTGCTCGTGCTCCTGCATGGCCGAGAGCCAGTGCGCTGGCGGTTGCACTCGCTCATCCAATCGGTTCGACACAGCATTAAGCCATGGTGAGAATCTTCCGCATATGCGTCGAGTATGCATACATACCAAGAAATGGCGTCGCCCATCGACGATGCGGAGGTGTATTGTAAATATGCACGGTACGGTAAGTGTTCGGGGGCATTCGAAGGGCCTGTATTCGGGTGTGAGAAAAAGTCGTGCACCACCACCACTACCACATGGTGCTTAATGGGGCGCACCACTTACCCTTACACCCGAGTACATAGAGTACATACATATGTACATGGCGGAAGCGGTTTAAAAGATGCGCAGGGGGGGGGGGGGGGGGCGGGGGGGCGGGGGGGGGGGGGGGGGGGTCCGTCTGATGCACATTGCACACACAGAATTGCTTCTGTTGAAGATGGCTTCGAGTGTCTTTCTTTTTTTCTTCATGGAGGATCATGGGAGTATGTGCACACCAGCCGTGCGGATTTTCAGAGTTCCATGATAGCGCCCCATGTAGCCTCCGTAACCGAGCGGGGAATCTGGTCCGCAACTGACAATCGCTCTCTAGCGTTGGCTGCCGCAGACCGGTCTGTTTGTTGGCGAACACGCGGCGCGGCGGCAGTTAAGCGATGTGACCAGCCATCGGTGCTAGTTCATAGCCACTGCTGCCAACCCATTGCTGCCGGTATTTACCCACCAATTACTTCCGGATACAGAGTGGCGGACGCTGGCGCGAGTCGTAGACTTGTAGTTGTTATCGTTGTCGATGCCAACATCGCCCACCTTCCATATCTGTCAACAGGTTCCAGCGCAGCACCTGCAGTGTTCGGAGCCAGACAAGGAGCCGGCAGAGCCATTTGCTGCGGTGCCTGTGTGCATATCCGGCCCACGGGGGGAGAATACTGGCTCTGCTTATGCCCCGTGTAGCTCCTCGATGGAACCAAGCCTTCGTGTTCGATGCCGGGAGGTATGTACATATCCTAAATGAAAGAGATATCCGCGCAGTGGCATCGAGGTTTCCGTACTAGAATCGGCGGGATTTCCGGAATCGGGGACGGTGACTGCAGATGTGAGCGGTAACGGCCTGAGTGGATTCGATGTGCGCCTGCCGATTCGCCCCGGCTGGCACGGAAATCGACGGCAAAGACGATCCTGCCATCTTCACCGAATATGTAGCTATGATAGACTCCCGTTTCTCGAAGGCCAGCGTATAGTTAGTACCGTATTGAACCGAGCAACTGCAGTACCTACTCATATGTAGACCCCGGGATACACACTCGAAAAGAGTACCTATGCATGATAAGATTTTTAAGGATCTTTCAAAGCGGCGGTAACCGTACCACTATACCTAGTACACCTTGATCCTCACGGAATAAGATTCACGCGTACTGGTATCCTAAGGAACTTGCCGTATGTATCCAAGCTGTCCTAAGCCCGACGTGGCGGCGGCGTGGTTCTGACGATATAGCTGGAGGCAATTGGAGCAGATATGTCTTGGATTCTTGGGCTAGATTGGTTCCCGAGTGCACTAGTAGCGGGGTAGTTAGTTAGCATGGGGTATCTCCCGTACTGGTACAGTAGCTCGATACCAATAGCGAGGGCGCTTCTGTTTCTCTCCGGTATGTAGAATAGGTACGTACAAACACCAATTTCGTCTTTCTTGTTCTTATCTTCTCCCGGGGGACCTCTCCTTTCAGGCCAGAGTCGTGACAGCCGGTGGCTTGCAGAGGAGCGTCCGCCAAACCGGAGAAGGTGCACTAGATATGTAGGGCTGTCGGTGGCGGCGACGACGGCTATTGCGACGAGAGTTGTAATTCCAAGCCCAAACGATGGTGGTGAAAAGCGCCAGCAAGCCTCACGGATCGGAAAGGCTGACGATATGAACCCTGGGAAGTGTCAGTTATACATAGCTTCATACGTGCACGACCCAACGCCCAGGCGGGAGCAACCCATGGTTCTTCCGCAAAATCTCGGGACCAGTGCGTGTATCTGGGATTTTTGGTGTGCGAGGTGGGACCTCGGGGTAGTTTCTCAACGCGCGACGGACCAAGGAGCTGAGTAGTCGGGACTCGGGAGTCTGGCGGTTGGATAATGATGACGGTGACGGTTTTGCGAGGGCTCTTTGCCAATGCCTCTCCGGGCCTGACGAGGAGGGAGGCGTAAATAGAGGAGAGAGCGGAGATGGGGGTAGGCCGTCTATTCGATAGATGATGATCGAGAAAGAAGAAGGAGAGGAAGAACAAGACCATGCCATGCCCGCCAACGTAGATGCGCACTATTGTACTAACCACATTCGATTTCCCTCGCCGACAGGAGTGTTCCTTCACTTCCTCCTCTCACTGGCAGCTCATCCATTCCCGACAGATCCTCCATCTCTCCGCCACAGTGATGCATTGTGATGATGGTATCAAATCAGAAAATGTACTATGGTGCCTGCATCTTGACAGCATGAAGGCGGCAAAAGAAACCACCAAAAGAAGCCGCACTCTATTCTCCAATCCAATCCCTAATCTCCCGTGAGATTTCGATGAAACTTACATGCACTAAAATCGGAGTATTACTGCTTCTTGCATGATTGGTAGAAATGGGCACGAGATGGATTTTGATGATTGAAGGGTGAGATCGGTTCATGGGGGTGCACTCGGATTCTTCATGGTTTCGCAGTCGGAACAAGGGTTCGATGATGGTGTCGGATTGACGAGGAAGGACATTGGTTGATGGGATGAAGATAGTTCTATCCCGACTCAATCAAACCCCCGACCGCACCGTACCAGTCACCGAACCTTGGTCCAACTGTCAGAGAAGGTGTAGTTCTTCGCGGAGCATGTACGTTTGCTACTTCGTACACCCATCACTACCACCCTCAGCAGCAAACAATCCGCAAACCAACCAGCGCACCACGTCAATGTCGTTGTCTCGCACAGCGGCCAGAGCACTAACATTTTGGCTAATGGCGCATGCATGCCTCTCGTGAATGGCCGGAGGAAAAACCTTTGCTCTGAAAGGAAGAAGACCTCCGCGTATAACGTGGGGGGATAGTAAACCACGTTATACGCGTATAACTTGATATCCTATGCCGGGTCTGATCCTTAGAGGAGGCGGAAGCTTTGTTTTCTGATTGTTTCTCAATAACGTGTGACGTAGATATCTACGCATAGTGCAAGTGTGACGGAGTGATGGAGTGATGCAGGAGCTGTCGGCGGGAGAGAACAAATGTGTTTAGTAGCAGGCTTCTACAGTGGCGGGCTTCCATATTGGCGGGCTTCAACGTTGGTGGGCATGGCGGGGTCGGTCAACTGTGGAGGCGGGGGTTTCTTCTTCTTCTTCTTCCATTTTCTTGGTCATCTTTCACATCACAATCGATCAACCTCTACCTCCTGTTTCTTCTGTGTGTGCTCTCTTCTCGATCCGCCGCCTCGGAAAGGTGTTTACAAAGAGGCCGTCTGCGAAACCGCGGTTAAGCATCACGAGATGTCGAATGGAACGTTGTACAGTAAAAAGCCCCTCATTATTAATATTAAAAAAACTGCTCTATTACTCCTCCTCTTCCCCTCCGAGCATTGCGAAAGTATGTGCATGCCACTTTCAACTCCTCCACACAGTGGCTCTAATCATTCCTCTTCCTCTAAACAGGTGGGCGGAGTGTTACTCCACGGAACAGATGGGAAACTAACGATCGTTGGAAGAGTATCATGCCAGCTTCAGCGAGGGAGCCATCACTTGACACATCACGGGAATGCAAACGCACATACGTACGCGGCAGTAGTCTATTGACGGTACCAAGTTGCGACGATCGTGACGGGCTCAACTGGCACAGCAGCTGGCAGCAAGGTGTGTCCCCTCCAGTAGGTGCAGGGTCCTCCGCTGGCACTAACTGTGAACTTGTGTGTTAAATAGGCGTGTTTCGGTATTTGCCAGATTTATTTCGTTTTCATCGATTTATAGGCTGAACGATGGTGGAAAGCGAAGACATTGGTTCTCTGCCTGCGAGAGATTGAGCAGAATACCATGGGGGTAGCACTCGTTTACATAACCCGAGAGGGGTTGCGGATACCTGCATAACAGGCTCGGGATGACAGCGGCTGCGTAAATGCATCTCACCGGCGCGGGTCCGATGTAGCGGGAGAGCTGTCAGGCCGCTTCGCTCTGCCGCCTCAGCCTTACCTTATTTCCGTCGATGATCTTCGACGACGGCATTGCGACATCGCACATTGCCGCACAGACTTGACTGTTACCAATGGCCACGGAGTATCAAGAGGATTGGCTCTCCACCAAAAATAGCTTTGCATTGTGCTTCTACTAGCACCCTGGCTCACACGTAGGTAGCTGCGCGCTTCTGCGCGCTCCCAGCCATTACATAACCACGAAAAAGAAATGCGCATCTCCTCCGAACTATGCCCAGAGTAGAAGGATGGAAGTGTTTGCGTGAAGATTCCAACACATCCGCAGCAGACCTGGGGCTGAGCTAGCAGCTGGGATGAGGGAGGCACGTGAGAGATACGCCAGGCTGTACACTGGGCTTTCCGAGCACGATATAAGTTCCACCGGCCCTCCGGCGCTCAGTTCTAGGCACATATCTGTGCCGACCACGAATCTGTGCCGAAAACACCAATTTTTGCAACGCGCAAAAATGTGCGCAGAAGCTATCACACTCCCTCATTTAACCTGGGCCTCTGGGGAGGGACAGAGGTCTTTTCCGAGGGTTTCCCCATCATTCCTCTACCGTCGAGCTCTGACCATCCAGTCCCCCCCACCCCCACCTTTCAGCCCACCATCGCCTGAATATCAGCTCTGTTCCTACGATTTTGTTTATACTTGAACTTCAGAATCCATTCCTTTGCCTAAGGTTATTTGAATCTCAGGCAGCCGAAACATGATTCCGGTAGTGCAATTTTCGTTGCCGTCGCCGGGCCGCCTGGTCAGCTGAGCCATGTCACCGGCTCGCGACTATTGTTGACTGACTCCTCGAATTGTGTATATAGAACTCGATACGTTCCACTTCCGCCTCGACGAATAACTCCAAGCTACACGTTCTCCGCCCGTACGACAAGCGTCTTCAGCCTCCGTTTATTCTACATTACCACGAGCTACGCGGTCTTATCAGAGACGGGCGGCTACTCGCAGCGCAGAGCGTCTTGTATTCCGTCACTCTCAAACTCGATCGTGACTCCGGATGTTCGCATATGGACAAGGACGATGGCCAGAAAAGAGATACCGATGGGGTTTCCAGAATGACGGGCCCCTTTGGCAGAGCTCGCACCCCACCCTACAAGGAACTCAGGAAGACTCCTTCGATGGAATCATGGGGTAGGGGTCTGGAGGATGAAGATCCATACGGCCATGAAAGTGTATGTAGAAGATCTGGAGAGACGAGTTCCTACCCCGGGCATTTACTAATCCATGAGCAACAGCTTAGAACCGTCGATTGGCGCAGCTCATCGGGGAGCGAATCATCGGATTCGTCAACAAAAATGGGCTCAAGCAGCAAGATTCTCCGCGATCTCAAGAGGCTGCCCGACTGCGATACATTCGAGCGCACTCGGGTGTGGGTGAACTTCGGAACCTACACTGTGAGTTATCCCCCGCAATACCGGTGATCTGGGCCTTGGAAGTCTCAAAAAGCTGATTGCTGGGTAAAGGTTTCGACCGACCTCACTCCCTGGCAGTTACTCAAGTACCGAGTGCAAAGCAACCGAGCCAAGCGCGACGAAGAAATTGCCCGCGTGATCGATCTGAGCACATTGCTGCTTTCGAAGCCGGCCGTGGGCGCCCAAGCCCATTCCGGCGGATACGAAGGGCAGCACGAACGACAGCACGAACGACAGCACGGACGTGGAGGAGAGACACGGCGCAGCGGATCAAAGGGTGATTACAGGGCGTCGGGAGCGGGTGGACAGCCGCCGAAGCGGCACAAGTCGTCCAACAACGGAGGCGCGGATTCGGGACGGGGGCCACCCCAGGACAACGCGTCAACTGGTGGAGACGCGCCTTCCGCTGGCAGTGCTAATGCGATACTCTGCTCATTATGTCCTGAAGATCCACTGTTCACGACTACGGATGAGCTTCTGTAAGTCCGCTAGGCCTTCAAATTCCTGCTGAAGATCATTCTCTAAAATCTCCTGCCTCAATCAGACAGCATCGGGTCAGAATTCATTGCTGCCCCATATGCGAAGAGAAGCTGCAAACGGATGAAATCGGTCGTTGGGTTGTCCCGCCACAATCCGAAATCACCTTTTTTAGAAACAATGCAGATATGAAGTAATATCCTGCCGATTTTTGTGTTGTCATAGAAGTTTCAAGTACTAATCTAACCTACAGGCAACATATTTCTCGGATTCACCTGAAGCCCTACATGTGTCCAGTTACCGATTGCGGCCAGCGATTGGGAAACGGCTCGTACAAGAGGCACTTGCGGGAACTACACCATTATGACGAAGCCATAATCTACAGCATGCTTCACGCCTCCGGAGCCTCCAATCTTGGATATCAGCGACTCACGGACCTTGTACTATTATTCAAAAACAATTGCCCCGATAAAGAAACAATGAGGGGAATTTTGTACCGAAACGGGACGAAACTCTACGACTGCGAAAACCTATCGAAAATCGTCGATAGTAAGTACTCTCTGGACTCCCATCGGGGTTTATCTTTTAGGTCCCTACTAACTGGCGGTAAAGATTTGGAAACGCACGGCAGCATTCCGTACGGTCGGAGTACTAGTCGACGGGTGAACTCACGAAGCCGGAGGGGCGGAGGCAAACGAGTGCATGGAGGTTCGAGACGCCCGACGAATCCTGCCGTGCCGTCCATCCAGGCAGCACCGGTACCCGACCATCCGGTTGAGCCCGCTGGTACAGCAATTGGACCTGGCTCAGGACAGACTTTTGGAAACAACGCTGCAATCTTCACTTTTGGCAACGGCGATGCGGGTCGCAGCCAACCCAACGAGCACACTCAGCAACCCTACCCGGCTGCGTCGTCTTATGCCGAACCGCCCTTCCAGCACAACGGCCCAGCTTCTGGGGAAGGCCTCGCACCCATGGCTGTTACTGCTCCGCAATTCTCCCACAACTTTCCGGCCGGTGAGCGACAATCTCACCCAGGAGCAATGCATTTGACACCTGCAGTCCCACATCATGCTGCGACCGCCCTGAGCACCTCCTCCACACCCAGATTACCGCCTCAGCTTCCAAATCCCACAGCCACTGCGCCAGACACCTTCGAACCGGGGCCACCTCCGGCAACCCAGGATGTGGACCCCGCGGTGATGGAGCACCCACTCATTGATTCTCGCTTGTCATCGCCATTAGTTTTAGAAGACTGGGTGCATTTTGATTTGAACTTGCTGTACAGTGATTTTAATGACGAGTTTTCCACTCCTTTAAGTCTGATCGACAACTCGTCCAACACCGCGGGCAATTCCAGCGCTGGTGGTGGGGCACTCATAGTACCTGCACAGGTGGATCGGAGAACCCAACCCTCCGTCTTTCCCGCAGAACAGCAGGGCTCACATTGCTCCGGGCTCCAGGACGAAGAATCGCAAGGATGCGACCAGGAACCCGGAGAGGAGGACGAGGGTGAGGCCGGGAAAGATCTTACCGCATTAGGTGCCAATATCTTGGTAGACCTCGAGGAGTTTCGCGAATTGGCGGCATTAATTTCCAGCACCACCCGCCGGCACGGAAACGGATTGACGGTGGCCAAGATGCTCTACGCATGGGAATCGCGAGCACTGATCCTCGCGATCCTCGCGCACGGAACGACCGCCGCCAAACCGGAGTTCACCGCTTGGCCGAAACAGTCTTCGTCGAAGGCCACCACCACCACCATCGCCGGCTACGGGATCTCTGACGAGGAGCTCAACTCCCTGCACTACAAAGTCCTGATGAAACTGAAGAGGTTCAGGAGGCTGTGGGAGGCGATGTCTTCCAACGCGAACAGAAACACAGCCGCTATCCTGGCGAAGCTGCTCTGCGGGGACGAGTCCTGCCCGCTCATCGAAGCGATACGTCAGTATGCGGATGAGGCCACCGCTTTGGCCGCGCCAGACACGTCAACTTCTCCGGGTATGTACTTAACCGTCCAACGAGTGTACCGCTAACTGAAATATCCAGGCGATGTTTACGAAGATACTGCAACCTTCAATCGAAGGCATCCACAATCAGGTCAGTTGGCATACCTACCATGTTCCGTTGGATTCTCGGGGAAAGACCGTACTGACTGGTCGATTAGAAGCGTTTACGCACGCCGATAGCGCCATCGATGCCGACAGTGTCGCGTAGGGGCGAACTGCTCCCCTACTTGCAGTAGCCGGTTGAAGTCCGAGAAGGCGCGAACACGACAGTTCAACTACTACTATGTAAATACATTTGTACCCGGGAACCCCATTCTGTTGTTTTTTTTCTCATCTGCTGAGCGATCACTTAATACCTATTTCCTTCTTATTCTTGTTTCACGGACATTCTACTGCGTTGCTGAGCGACGATTTTGTTGGTCGGTCTTGTCGGATTTTGCATGGGTTTTTTGGGTGGGGTAGATGGCCTTATGGTTTTTGCACATAATTTTGTATATTCTTGTTTCCTGGGGGACGTTCAACGGCAGCGGGCATGTAATGGGTACTATGAAGGAAGTGGAGAGGAATCGATGGGATGGATTAGATAGCGGTAGTTAGCGGGTTCTCTGCATATCTAAAAATACATTCAAGCACCTTTGATCATCTATCACTCGCCCTTGACATCTCATAAGATAAGCCGCCTCGCAGAGTGAGTGCGCAAATCACAATGAGAGGTGACGTAGCCGTAGAGTGGGAACGCTGAAAAGAAAGGATGATGGCGAATTAAGGTTCTACATATTCAACTTCTCAGTGCCATCATGATGTAGGTAGTTATGACTGCCCCGCTGCTTACAGACTAACTAAAGACGAGTTGCGTCGGTCCTTCACGAATGACCATTCGGAACCACCCCATCCGGCTAGCCTGCGAGCTCATCTTATCTTATCTGTCGCTCTGATCTTATCCACCACCTCCATCTGACATAGCGCACCTCTCGTTATGATGGCAGACAACAAACCCGGTTAGATTGGTCGCGACTCCTCGCCGTCCGCCCTCTCTTCGGCACACATGTTTCATCAAGATTCATTCAGTGCGTCCAGCAGATATGAGAATAGAAGTCCCTCTAATTCTCCGCTCCCCCCCGCCCCCCCGCCCCCCCCCCCTCCCCCTCCTCCAGCGCCTCCGTGTGTCCCAATGACGGTCTCGACGCTAGCTGTGCCCCCTCCCCTAACGCTTCCCACGGCCGCACGGAGACTACGATCTCCACGGTGCGCAGCTGTTTCCAGATGAACTGTTCTCCGAATGCCAGTTGTGGGGGATCAGGGAAGATGCGATGCGATGAAGGGGCTTCAAGTCGGCTGCGAGTTTGAATCCGTAGTCGATCTTCTGGCGTCATCGCCGGTAGCAAGTCCCACACCACACCGAAGCGCTCCTCCGGACCTCCGGTGCACGGTCTCGCTGTGGGGAATCACACCGCATCGTGACTGTGGATCCCCCATGTATGCATGTCGATTCCCCCGTGGGTGATCCTCTGATATAGTCGCCAGGATGCCGCGACTAGTTCACTGGGTGAGGAAGGTTTCGTGTCCGCTGTCGGGAGCAGGAATGAGGGCTGTGCAAGAAAATCAGCAGGTAGGCTTAGTGTGATACATGTAATATAGCACAGCGGGCTCACGATTTGACAGCTTGAACGGCGTCGGAGGCCGTCCATGGAACATATCGTTCCAAACGCGGGGGAAATCGAGGTCTGCTTGGAACTTCTCGATGGTCTTACTGAGCGCTTGCGAGGGCTCGGAGTTTAGCATCTTGGCGATGACTCGCGCGGCCTCGTCGCCGCCATCGGTGTGCGGACCGCAGTACGACGACACTCGCTCGAAGTTCTTGAGCAGGTTGGCGAGATCGGACCGCTGCTGCCACGGCAGCGACCCGATCACCGCGCACTCGCTGTCGGTGAGGTTGTATGTCCTTCGGTAGTCTTCCATCGCGGGGCCGATGGCGGGGTTTACCGCCGCGCTGGAGTGCCGCGGGTGGTAGGCGCGCACTTCGTGAGCGGGGGGCTTCCAGCTAGGCGCGATTGAGCGGGGCTGATAGGAGGCGCCGGACGGTTGATGTGCGCGGCTCGGCTCCGGGAGCAGTCCGGGGTCGAGAAGGGGGTGGACATTGGCAGCTTCGTGTTGGTGGTGGCCGGAGGGAAGAGGCACGGTGGTGAATCTTGCCGGTGATCCTGGATAAGCAGGAGATAGACCACGGGAGCGATCTCGGAGCCAAGAGCCCTGCTGAGAAGCGGCCTCGGGTGTCTGGGCTGCCTGTGAGCCCTCGTGAAAATGTCCTCTTGGCTGGCTCTCCGATTCCTCGGCAATCTCCTGTGGTCGCGGAGGATTCAGGAGTCCTGCAGCACGCATCCAAAGTCAGAAGGTCTGGGTCAAGCGGACATCACCGAGAAAATCCAGGGGAGAGCTGCTCACTGTCCGTGCCGTCCTCGTAATCGTAGATTTTCACGCCGTTCTTATACAGAAATCCTTGCATCGTGGCCTTGGTGCATGCTCCTTCGAACATTTTGGCTAGCTCCTTGAGCGCGGGATACTCCATGTTGGAGTGCTTGGGGATATTGGTCTTGTCCTGTATGCGATGCTTTTCTTTGAGATGCTTTGCGTAGGCCCTTTTCTCGAATCGCGGACGCCTGTCCGGCGGGCCCACGCACAACATGCATTGATAGGACCGGATGTGGATCCGTAGTATATGCCACCTAGAAAGATATCAACAGATGACCGGAATAGGTAGCACGGGGGTTATGCCATACTTCATAGCCGCGGGATGACGGAAAAAGAGGTTCTTCATCTGAGCATGCGTGGGTAGGTTCGGAATCTTGTAATTCCGCGGCCGAAAGTGCCATCGATTGTTGATCAAAACGAACTTCTCCTCGCAAAGTAGACAGCAATTGTTCTTTTTGTGTTGGCACATCATGTGATCCCTAAACATTGGCCAGAGGTAAGACTCGGGCACTGTGGTCGGATCCGAGTGTCGCCATGGAATTGGTGGTACTCACCAGAGCTCCTCTACGGTCTGAAACAGTAGGTCCTCACAGCCGTCCTCCGGCGTCATGCAGTGATAGGGGGGCCCTTTGCGTGATCGGCCACCATCCGCGCCTTGTCTTGATGATTGTCTCTCTTCATATTCGCCTTCTTCCTCCTCGTTTTGCCTGGTATCGTGTTGCCCACTTCCCGGACATGCCTTCTTCCTTCCCACCGTGAAATCGGAGGGGATGGCAGGCTCTTTCGATTGTCGTTTGCGATTGTTGTCTCTCTGAGCACTACCGACGACACGGCCACTGCTGGACCTTGCTTCACGCTCACTTTGCAAATACCGCGTCGACTTCATCTATGATTTGTCGGATGATCTGTCTGCGGTTCTGGGTGTAGCCGTTGAATCCGTTTCGCGCGAGCACCCAGGCGCTCTCGTCGTTATGTGGCGGCGGCGGTGGTGGCGGTGATCTCTGCCAACTCAAACATGCATTAGCCGAATTCTTCCTTCCCCGGGGGCTGTCCGGCCGGCACGAATCATGGTGATGAATGGTAGTAAACGATAAGTATTATGCTTACCCTATAGTACCCCGTGTCGAGCCAGCTTTGGATATGAGTAGGGAGCCCACCTCTGTACGCGTTCTCGGATGAATCAGTGTTCGATTTCGCGGCTCCTGCTTTCGAGTACTCTCTTATTCCAAGGGCCGTTCGTGTCAATGAGTTGTCGGCGGTGGGCATCCTAGAGAGCGATTCGTTGACCCGTAGGCATCAATGTTCCGTCGGCACAATTTCTGTGCGGCGAGTCGAGTGAAGAGCTGCTGGCTGATATCCCGTCGCTTCAGCAGGTGATGTGTGAGGAGTGAATCCGTGGGAGGGTGCTCGTCTCAAACCCTCCGCTTCAAATCTGACAACGACTTCAAAAGGGCCTTGGATTGGAATGAAAAGTCGATAGGGACGTAAACGATAATCAATGGTAGTTAACTGGTACTGGACGTTAGTGAGTACATACATGGACGAGGCATTCGTACGCGCGCGGGGATTTTACCGAAGACGGTGTGTAACGGCGCAGTTGTACGGCGTGGGAGGGGGAGGTGACCTTTTGCCGGAGTGAACGATGAAGGGCAATAATGCCAATATCGCTAACAGGTGGGTATGCGCAGGAAGAAAAGACACGGGCGGTCGGTATTTAACCTGCTGGATCCATGATCCGGTGGCGAGGTGCTCCATTTCTACCGCGTATTCTGCGTGGACCGAACGCACACTGATTGCGCACAACGGCCAAGTGAGTATGCGCCGGGCGCATCGTGAGTATTTGGCTCATTTTTCGGGGGAGGGGGCGATGACCGTGGCAGTGGCAGTCCAAATGCCAACTTTCTTGGGGGGCACGCGTTTCTTTATATGATTGTATTCGTCTGGAAATACGGGGCTGTATCGGAATAACCCCGCGCGGCCCCCCACAGCTCCACCGGCGCCAATTTACTCTGCCACCCAGTATTGACCCCGCAGCGGCTGAAATATATGTCAAATAGAGCGTTTGCGGTGGATGCGATCGAAACGCTCTAGACTCTAGAGTAAAGTGCTTTGGACACACCCTTATCTATCGCCCCACACAAGCCAACCCCGCTATTCCGACGTTTCGAGGTAACAAGATGGGATCGGGCAGCTGCATCACAACAAATCACGCGGAAATCGAGCGATTCCGAGGATTCCAGATCAATGTTGCTTCTCGCTTTGTTAGAGCGGGCTGGACGGCCGGAGATCCCGGTATACGGGGGAATAGATGAGGCGTTAGAGTGAATGGAGGAAATGATTGGAGAAGGGAGCTATAATGGGAGTTTTTGAAAAAGACTGATGGGCATGTTTTTCGTCTTTCTTTCTGGCTCTCTTTCTATGTGCGGATGGGCCAGGCGGGGAGCAATAGGGAACCCACATCGAGCTCGCGGCCAGCAGTCGGAGATAGTGGGGTGGAACTGGACGTGTGTACAGCCATAATCTGACAAGGTCGAATGCTATGATGATCAGCAAAAACAAAATCGCTGTTAGAGGAAAATCAGGCGGCCGCAGTTAGGGAATTCTCTGCGCTCTTGAGTCTCATCAGGTCGACCGATGGACTCCGTGCCCACTGCCTGTGCGGCACCGCGGCGGGATTCCGAGACCGTAGGGACCTAGACGTCTCCACAATTCCCGAATAGAAAATGTAGTGAATAACTCGCCAGTAGACTTGCCGCGGATAGTTTCTCCCTCCAACTGCTCGCCGCCACGGACACAGCACTGGCAGCACAGCGAATACCCTGCTGGATCTGCCGCAGAGAGCGTCTTCCTCTGCTGCTCTTCTCCACGGATATCCTGCCAGGCCTGGGAATTGTCCGGAAGGACGGAAGACTATTGGGACCCGGCGGCGCCATCCCGTCTGGGGCGAGGATTTGGCCGGACAAGTCGGGCTCCGTCCCAGGTCCAAAAAGCCCGGGGCCCGGAAATATTTAGTGCCGAAGCGGCTGGCTACTACGTGTACGGTGACGGCTATCCGGAAATTTTTGGCCAGTGAAAATTCTGCATCCGATCAGACACGGGAGTGCCCATTTCCAACTGCTTAATTCTCGCCGTGGGGCCAGATCCTTAGCCGTCTATTCCTCGCCGTGCTGCCAAATCTTAGCGTCTTTCCTGCCTGCTAAGCCACAGCGCCACAGCCCAAGGCTAGTACTAGCGCAAAAATATCCGGGCCCGAATGGGGCCCCAGTCGTCCCCCGGCTTGCCCGGAGCCCTATAGTCCTTGATATTCCGGGCCCGACAAATTCCGTCCCGTGCCAGACACAGCCTCGGACGGACGGGACGGACGATTGCCAGGCCTGTATCCTGCTGGTATCGCTGTGGATAGCTCTCAGGCGTCGCTGTGGATACGACGCTCTCATTGCCGTGGTTATCGCGCCGGCCTCGCCGCGAACACCATGTCCCCATAATGCTCCTCGCCGCGAAAGACCTGCTAGACCCGCTGTGTTTACCGCGCTGTCTTCATACCTAGTTCGTTCAACCGCAGAAAGACGTCGCATCAAATCCATTCAAAACACACGACATGACGTTCACTCGCTCGCTCGTTCAATGCAGACAGCTTTGTGGCGGAGCTTGTCCGTCGCGGGGGCACGCAGCACTCTATAAGCATCGAATTAATGTTTTCAGCACGGAAAAAACACGCGCGTGGTCTAGTGGTATAGGCCATGCAATCGACGAGGGGAGTTGAGGGAAAGCTCTGTGTTCAACTCAGGTAATAGACCTTTGCATTCAACTCTTGGTGTTTCCAAGCCACCCACCGGGGGTGGTGACGGTTTTTGTTTTTGTTTTGGGCGGGACGGCGACACTAGTAAGTACTTGGATATCACTCGGTGATATCACGTGACACATCTTACGCTGCCGGCTGTGGAGGCGAGAATCCCTACGATGAACTTCATCATTGAGGGAAGGGAAGAAGGCGAGGAACACAAAGATTTGGGCTCACAGGCACTATTCGGTGTCCTCCGCAGAGAACGCGAGGGCTGAATGTGCTGGGACGCGAGGAGCCGGCAAAACTGACGCACGACCGACAATGTGAGACGAGTGAAGTTAAACCAGATTTCCGTGAAGACCCAACTTTGCACGACCAGAGAATCGTAGATTGAACGTACCATACCGCGCTCCCTCCCTCGACCTACGTGTAATATAGTCGCCGGTGTGGGACGCAGCTGGAACTGACGTCTTGGCACCATTATTCGGCCCTTGGCTGCGGACCTTGGGAGGATTTGTTGCCAAGATGTTGGGACCGGCCGTCGTACCTGAGGCTGCAGGGGGGGGGCTGTTTTTGTTTTGCTCGTCGATTCTGTCTTGTTTTGATCGCTCGTGTTCTTCTTGACGGTTGTACGACAATGAGGCGGCGGCCAAAGTTGGCCGACCTGTTGTATTTAATCCGGGGGAGGGCCTCACTTTTCTATAGGCCGTGTCATGTGTCGTTCATCATCCATCATCACTTTTCTTCAGATCATCTATTCATCACTTGATTTCTTTGCTGCTTGCTTTCTTCAGGCTAGCTCCTCTTTGCTTTCTTCGAGTGTGCCTCTTTTAATATTGGGTCTCTTGACTCGCTTTCACCTTCTCACCTAATTCCTTCTTCCGTGTCACAACTTGTGAACCTCTTTTCTCACCCTTGACCCCACCGCTTTTTTTCTTGTTCAATCATCATTGCATTCGACCTTAATCATGGCATATTATATAACCTTTTCCACCCGGCTGTCCCGGACCGCTGAACGGCCGGGAGCTCGATAACGGTTCTCTATTGCTCTCCGCCTAGCCCTCCCGGCGTAACCCCCCGCGCAACCCTCCTCGCTCAATCATCGCCGCACAATCCTCCCGGCGCTACCACCCTCCTGTCGCAACCACCCTCCCGGCGCAACTTGACCCCACCGCTCTTACCAAAGTCGGCCGTGGGCCCCTCCGGCCCCCTGGTCCCTCGCTGGTAGACTACCAGCCCAATCGGCAAAATCAATTATGGCCGATCGAGGCGGCATGGAATCGTAGCCAGAGTTTTAGCGATGGCTATCCAATTAGGCTGACACGTGGTGAACAGCGAAGTCAGCATCATCGGACATCAATCGTGACTGAGCGTCAACGGTGAGGATCGGCTCCGTCGAGAGTATGACGAGGACGAAGAGGACGACGCAGGGCCTGGGCTTCGACGATGAAGACGACGAGGACAGTGAGAACGGTGAGGATAGTGACGAGTATGACGAGGACGAAGAGGACGAAGAGGACGACGGTGATGCATAGTTATTATTGGGAGCTTAAATTTTACGGGGACGTTGACCCAGTGTTTTTTTGTTTGGACGAGGTTGATCCAGTTTTTTTTGTCTGGACGAGGTTGATCCAGTTTTTTCTTGGGGGACGTGGATGATCCAGTTTTTTATTTTTGTCTGGACGAGGGAGGATATGAGGCAGCAGCGATTCGAGAGGCAGCGCTTCGAGAGGATGAAGGACGCTGCATGAGAAGGAAGTACCAGCAGGAGCATGAGGGTGGGTTACCAGATATCCCAGATGATCGTACCCCACTCCGCTGCTCAACATGCAAAGGCATAGGCCATTATGCCTCTACGTGCAGAAAGGCGCATTCATAGGCATTGTTACTCTTCGGGGAGTCCTAGGTTGTATGGTCTAGTAATGCTGCAAATGACAATCAATTGATGTTCTCTCTCTTGTATTATTTACTGACACTGCTGCGCTTAATGTGGGCTATGTATCCTCGTCCCCCCAAAGAATAATCAATCAACCTCGACCCCCCAAAAAACCAATGAATCATCCTCATCCCCGTAAAAGTTAAGCTCCCTAATTACTAGCTATGCATTATTATTACCATCTTCCTGGCTATTAATACTCCTCATCGTCATCGTCATTGTCCCCACAGTCCTCGTCGTCTTTGTAGTCGAAGCCCAGCCCCTGCGCCGGATCAGGCCCGACCCCCATGCTCTCAATCTCCTCCCTCGATCTCGGGGAGAAATCTTTCATGATCACATCCGCCTGATGAACTATCGACCTGGCTCTGGCCCTCTCCAGGTCAAACTCTGCCTTCAACTCCTGCAGCTTCCTGATCCACCCGCTGGAATCGGTTGGGAGAGGTACGGGTGTCCGGCGAGGAGTCGAAGACTGCCGGGGCCCGGAGAAGACCTTTCGCTGGCTGGGCGTGCGCTGGCGGCGGGAGGTAGGTGCGGGAAGTCACCATCCGCGTGTAAGAGGGTGTGGGCTTCGGACGCCGAGCGGGTGCGGGTGCGGGTGACGGCGGAATTTCGGACCTCCGCCTCGTTGCATCCAGCCCCCCCTTGAAGGCATCCATGCCAGGGCCACCCTGCTGTCCCGCCAGCTTCTCCTTTCGCTGGAACTTCGAATCGCCATCGTACGTAAATCGTACTCGTCGATTATCCGGCTCTACCAGAGAGCTCGTGGAGTCGGAGCTGCTCCGTCCCCGTTTCCTCGACAGACTGAAGTCGGACTCGGACCCCAAGCCCAATCTCGGTGGGAGGATAACGGGCATTGCTCTCAATACGACGCCTCCATTGGGTGCTAGCGCGGGCGGGGAAGGTGTAACACTCTTTCCTCTTCTGCGGTCATCGATGGTTTCGGTCGCTGCATCCACGGATCTGGCATGCGATCTCGAGCTCTGTCTCGTGCTGGGAGACACCACCTTCTTCCTCTGTATGTCCAATCTTCCTTCCTTGTCCTTCGTTATCACCTATTCCATTTGAGGTTTCTCCTGGACGTTCTTCGTTGCAGCATTCTTCATCCTCTCGAAGCGCTGCCGCATCATACCCTCAACCTTCGCGTTGAGTCTCTCTCGAAAAACATTGAGTCTCGTCTTATACGGATCCAAGCTCCGCCTGCGTTGAGCTCGCACCATCTTCTCGGACCGCTTCTTCTGCTTCTCAACCTTCTCGTTGAGTCTGGCCCTGAAGTCATTGAGTCCTGTCTTATGCAAATCCAAGCTATGCCAGCGTGCAAGACGTCCCACCAGCTCTTCCGAGCGGCACCGCCTCTGAGTTTCAATATTCTTATCGAATGTCAGCTGAAATACATCCGTGCCAGGGTTGCGTTCACGTACCAGGAGCGTCTCGGATAGCCGTCTGATCGACTCCCTCATGGGCTTCACGGGCTTCACGTCCTCTGTCTCGCTCTTCTCCTCCGGCTCGCTCTTCTCCTCCGTCTCCCTCTTCTCCTCCGTCTCCTGCAAATCGTTCGATTCCTTCGACTGTATCGCGATGGTCAGATCAGTGGCTGTGGATGGACCAAGTGGGGCATCGTTTACCTTCTCGGATTTCTGCCACCCCTGCTTGTCAAACCTCATGTCGAGCCTCTCCCTGAGGGCACCGAGCCTCGTCTTAAAGCCGTCCATTTCACGGTTCCCTTCGCGTCCCACCATCCCCCCGGACCACCGCCGCCTCTGTGTTTCAATCGGAATGTTGAAACCCTGCTTCAATGCACCCGTGCTAGGGCTGCGCCCGCGTGCATCCAGCTTCTCGGAGAGTAGTGATATCCTCTCCTTGAGCTCCTTCAAGTCCGTCGTCTCCTTGGACCCCTTCTTCTCGGTCTCCATCTTCTCGGTCGATTCATTTGACTCCTTGGAGTCCTTCGTCTCCTTCGGTTCATTGCACTCCTTGGAATCCTTGGTCTGCTTCAACTACGTCGAAACATTCATCTCGGTGGCTGGGCAGGAGTGATTTGGGCATCGTTCGTCAATCGCACCCTTCGACTACTCGGGCCTTCAGGAGATGGTGTGTTCAAGTGTGTGTCTATAGCAGTGTTCTTCGCGTCGGAGCTGCCGCGTCTCCGTGTCTTCAACCGAAGGGTGTCAGATCCCGATCCCGATCCCATACCATATCTCGGCAAGGGAATGGCAGCGGGCTTAGTCTTCGGTAGGACGACGTTATTAGTTACTGACGCGAGTGGGGATCGCGTAGCAGCTTTGGGTTATTTCTCGCTGGTGTTTCCGCTGTCGGAACCGCGTTTACTCATCTCCATGCTGCATCTTTGAGTTCCTCCACAGCAGTGGAAAAGACGAACTGGGCAGACGGATCCTAGAGACTGATCAGGAAGATGCAGCAAGTGAGGTGTTGGAGTAGGAGCTAAGGGAGCGGGAACAGAGAGTGGAGCTGCAGGATGGCCGGGTGTGGTATGTTGCTAGCAGGTACTCTTTCCTAGCAGGTTTTTCTCACGAAGGTTTACTGCATAGGTTTTAACGAGGCTAGCGAGGATAAAGCACATATTTTCTTTTTTTAATTTGTTTGTCTTCTTGCTGCTGATCTCCCTTCATTGTATGGAACACAGCAAGAGGGTGAAGTGTCATAATCTCACGAACTTCTGTATACCGCGTCACTTCCGCGGACCAGGTCATGTACCATCACTCGCTATGTTGAGACACTTCAGTTACCTGTTCTTACACGGAGGTGCCGAGCGGCGGCGTGGGCCTCCATCCGAAACATTCCCGAGCCTTTCTGTATATATACCTTTCTTTCTGCCGTGTCTGATACTTAATACACTATGTCGCGATACCACTTTTCTTGACAACAGGGCTGGAGTAGAGGCCGAGTGACAGCCGGTGTTTAGTCGTGTCCACGTGAAGTCACATCGCTCAACGCTAGACATCACCTCATCGCGCAAGCAGCTTGAAGATCGTCGGTAATCAGCGGAATTACCGGAGATCATGTACTCTGCCTCTTCGCCTGTTCGAGGACCATCTGGGAACCCGCGATGTCAACCATCCGGCCACGCCATCGTATCCGCTCTCGCCTATCATGCGACAGCCGTTCACCGGTTTCACTCATCATATGTAGCCTAGCCGTCACCGTCACCGTCCCACGATCCGTACTCATCACCGCCAGTATCATCGCCGTCCCATAAACTGTCCGCATCACCGTCTTTGTTCTTTGTCCATTCATTGATAGCATGCGACCTATCCAGATTATGGCAATATCACCCTGTTCAGCCCCCCCCCCCGTTTTCACACCACTGTCCAACTCAGCTTCCACTGAGCGGCCCGAGGTGGCTTTCCCTGCCCTCCGCCGTGGCCTTTCCCGAAAGTAGTTGAGCTCACCAAGCAGAGACAGAGCTAAAGTACTTGGTCAAAAGTTTTTGTACGGGGGCCGTTTTACACCAAAAATGCCCATTTTCAAGCAACCAAAACCCACCCTTCACGTGGCGGAAAAAAATCGAGTCTTTCATAGAAGCTTTAGAATCGCAAGATGCATCACATATAAGAATTCGGACGGCTTTTGCTTCGGATTGGTGGCGCATGGGTTGGTGTTGTGCACGGGTTGGAGAATGATTTCAGATTTTGTATGGGGCCCCCTTGTACAATTATTGCGCGAAAACCAGTTTCACCACCAACTTTTCTCCCATACGGCATTACTCAACCATAACCAGTTAGAATTATGTGCCGATTTTAATCGAGGTTCTCTACCTGATTTAGAAGACCTTCTAGTGGTCCACATATTTTTATACTACCTTATGGTTGCTGTATATCTGGCGAACAATGATCTGCCTCCGTGAAAGGGAAATCCACCAAGCCACCCTACTTCGCTTACAATGATCAGCCTAGCGGGCTGGAAGTCTCATTGAAGCTTTATTAGTATATATTCATGATATATGGCAATTATTACTACTTCATAATGTGTAGTTGTTGTGTTAGAGAGACATATGTCTGTGGTGTGGTGGCGCTGTTGAGGAGGTGTACAAAAACTTTTGACCTGGTACTTTACGAACAGGCAACAATCGTTCCCTCTCACCACGTCCGTCTCCACCGTTCGCCCCGCACCCGCGCCCCCCGTACACTCATCCCCCGTACCCGCACCCGCGCCCTCCGGGCCCTCGAATCTTGCCACCTCCGCCGCACGTCTCTAGTCAGCTATTCTACATCGCCTGACTCCTCAATTTCCGCACCGTCCTCCTCCTCCTCCTCGAGTCGCGTCAGCTCCGCTCTCTCTTCCAGGGTCTGGGTTCTGTATTGGCACTAGCCGCTACGGGAATTGGGACGGTTCGTCGTGCATTGGAGATACTGGCGGTGAGGCAGTTTCCTGTCTTGAGTTGGTAGAATCTCAAGGCAAGGTGCTTGGGGGACATCCCTGGATTTGGGTCAGCGGTCTCTAGCCAGATTTCCGGCTGTACCGATACTTCTTGTGAATGACTTTTCGGTCCGCCCATGCCTTGGCTTCCTTCCACCTGGCTTCCGAGCTGACACGCTTCAGATAGGCAAGTGATGGGGCTACCCAAGTCATATAGCCTGTCACTCGTTGACGTCCTCCCAGCCAAAAAAAAAACGGTAAATGTGCAAAGTGTAGCACAGAGAGCACCCCTTCACCTTCCCACCCAGGATATCTATTCGGCTTATGTGTCCGTGTCTGTCTAGGTCGCTTTCCAAACCTAAATCAGCTAGTAGTGGAGCGGCTTCGTGAACTACTATCTCTCACCAGCCACACCCGCTGGCTTCGCGCCAGATTCAGTCAACAATAGTACGCAGAAGAATCATTTGTTATTATTCCACACAAACAGCCGTAAGCAGCCATTGCCATTGAAAACGCCCTCAGACACACCTTGATACACAGCCGCGTCGTGATTCGCCGTATATAGTGTGGCACTGTGGCACCGTCTACACGATATCACTCGACACAGCCGACGGTTTATCCGGGCGGATATGTTCACTGATCACTAATCAACCATCCTCGGAGCAAGTATCGAGCTGGAGTACCACCTTTGGTATACATTATCGGTTTGACAAGGGACCGAACAACTGGAGCACTCCGCCGCGAGACCCATCGCCGACCCACCCCGGCGGCGTGTGAGCACGTGTAGCGCTGACAAGGACGCTCACCATCCGCGCAGCTCACCTCACCTCGCCTCACCATCCTTACTCCCGAAGGAGCCGCCGACTCCCCGCATGCATCTCACGTCACAGGGTGCCAGACTGGCAGACCATCACACGTTCACCGTCCCACAGAACATCTCACCCACTCCACCGACCCACCGACCCACCTAGGACGCACGCACGCACGCATACCGATACCGATGAGCCGAGTCCCATACATACGCTCTCGTTATATAAGGCGTTGACGTGATCTGATCCGGATCCGGCGGGTGGGCGGGCGGCGGATTCTTCCGCACCGCTGCAGTCGATGCGTGATGATCAGATCTACCGCGCACCGACTGCACGCCTGCTATCCGCTTGCATCCCCGTCCTACGGGAGGGGGATACAAACGAGACGGACTCGATCGAATGGTGTCAAGGAGCCAGTATGATCGAGTGCTACTGCACGGCACCCACAGATCGGTCTAGCAGCGACGCTCGGGGGCTATACATATCTGTCTGGCTTATCGCGCGCGCGGGTTGGTTGGAGTACCTACTAGTAGTTACGGGATATCACTCGGCGTTGGAATCGAATGCCAACGCCTGGCGGAAAAAAAAGAAAAAAGGTTCGGCTCGAGTCCACAGTGGATGGAGAAGTGGAGCGTGTATCTCCACTGTGGTTTAGATAATACCGGTGGATGGGGCCGGAAGCGATTAACGATGGAACGAAAAACAAAAACAAAAACAAAAGGCCGTCGTTTCAACGGTACTACCTATTACGTGCGACGCTTTGGATATCTCCCAGTTCTCCACGATCCGCATGCAGCGTTATCGTTATCGCTCCTCTCCCAGGCCCCAGGCCCCACTGCCCCAGCACGTACTTACGTTTCTGTCCCGCCTCCTCCCTCGTGTCCTCCTGCCTACTCCTCGTCCTTCTCCGCAGGATGTGTGTGCCAGCATCACCCGACACCCACCACCGAAACATCCCCCTCCCCAACGCCAACGCCAACCCCCGACCCCATCTCGCATCTCCGCGATTTCAGCCCACCTGCCTGCCTGCCTGCCCTGCCCTGCCCTGCCATGCACTCTACCCATCACGCAGGGCTCCACGCCTAGCCTCTAGGAGGATATAAGCATAACCTCCCTCCCCCTCCCTCATGCGTAACTATGCGTATGCGTATGGGTATGCTTTCCTCCCCGGATCTGCCGTGCAGTAACTACTCTAGGTACTCTATACCGGCCCCCCGGGAGACCCCCGGGGCGCGCGCGGTAGAGGTAGGTAGGTGGATGCGGAGTTGCGAAGGTGCGAAGGTGCGGAGGGTGCGGAGAGTGCGGAGGTTTAAACGGCGCTGATGTAAACGCCCCAACCCAACAATACACAACCCAACCCAAGAGCAATGCAAATGCAACAGCAAGGCAACAGCAATGCGGGCGGGATCGTGGGATCGGGCGAGGAAGTCGGAGAATTCCAAACGGCGTTTATGCGTAAGTACACACATACACATTCTCCGTTGGCGGGTGGCTGTGGACGAGGTGGGGAACGGATGCCGCAGATACATAAACACCTATACATACTGTTAGATACGAGGAGGTATGTATCGTCATGACCCTCATGTACCTACATATCATACATATCATACATGGCGTATATCGCCCGCATCCGCATCAACCTCCTCGAAGTAACCAACCCCGCGAAGTGACAAACACCCCACTACATGCGAGCCCTCGATGCGCGAGAACATTTTACCGACTGGGCTCTGTGCTCAGCCTCCAGGTAGTCGGAGAAGTCGGAGAAGTCGGAGTGTCGGAGAAGTCTTTGGAAACACTCCTCTGGAGTCTGGATAACTTACCCCGCCATTAGCTCGATTCCTACCCCTTCACCTACCCCTCCTCCAGCTCCCGCCAGCCAGCCAGCCATCACCTAACCGCCTAGGTACCTGCCATCGCCATGACCGGCGGTGTCCGGCGTCCGTCCGCCCACGGTAGGTAGGGAGGGACTGGCGTGATCTCCTCGCCCCACTGCACTGGGTCTCAACTGAGCCCATAATTATGGCTGCATGTATGTAGAGCACACAGCAATCTTGCCTGTAGCAAGCCGTACTATCAGATGAACCGCCCACTTTCCACCGCCCGCTGTTATCCATTATCCAGTGCACACTGCAAACGCCGCGTCCCTCGTCCCCCGTCCCTGCCTTCCCTCCAGAGAGTCTGAGTCCATATCTCTCCAGAGTCGAGAGTCCAGAGTCCAGAGTCGAACTATTGCTTCGAGTTTCGACGGCTCGGAGCCCGCTACAGCGACAGCCACAGTAGCCAACCACGCCCAACCTCCAAGCTCCAACGTCCAAACTCCAACCGGCATCATCGCCGGCGCGCGCGCGGCAAGAGCACAACGAAACGAAACGAAGCATAAAGGAAAACAAAAGAAAACAAAAGAAAACAAAAGAAAGAAACAAAAACAAAAGAAAGAACAAAAAAGAAAAATAATTGTAGTTATTGCCAGTGTCCACCACTCTGCCGCCTCGCTAAGAACATTCCCTTTCCCGTGCGCGGCCGTGGTCGTGGACATGGTCGTGGACATGGTCGTGGTCGTGGACATGGTCGTGGTCGTGGACATGGTCGTGGTCGTGGACATGGTAGTTAGTTCTCGTGGGCGGTGGTGGTGATGGTGGTACTCGATTTGTGTACTCGACGTGCAAAAACGAAGCCTTAAGTGGTGACCACATCTATTACACTTTACGGGCAGCTAGTCCTAGAACAGGGATATGAGTGACATCGCGTGCGATTCTGTGTGAAGAACCACATCCTTGGAACTTCGGCGAAACGAGTGTGGTCACGACTTACTTTTCACATGTACAGACAGTCGCACACTCGCACTCGCACTCCCTCCGCCCACCCCGCCCCGGTACTTACTTCTCACTTCTTCCTTACTCGAGCGGTGGTGGTGGTGGTGGTGGTGGTCACGACTCTGGGGTCTGCTGGTCTGATCTCAGCCTCCTAGCGTGACGTGCCCCCTCCCAGTTCCCATCCCCTCCCAGTCCCCATCCCAAGTGCGGGGTAACCTCCCCCCTCCCACGCCCAGCCACCCGCGCAGCTCGCTCCTTCCAAGTTCCAACACCCCAAGTGGCAAGCACAGAGTTGTTCCCAAGAACTGCCATCACCAGCACCACCACCACCACCACCATAAAACTCACAACACCGAACAGGTCATTCAGGCACGGGTACCGTAGCCCAGACAAGGTGGGGGCCATTCGCGCCCACGCCCACGTGCACCCTTCCCTTCCTTTCCCCTCCCCTCTCCTCTCCTCTCCCCCTCTTTCTGCCCACCACCGGCTCCCCCCACCCCATCCCGGGAGTCGGGGAGTCCTCACCATCATTATCACGTCACGTCATCAGCTGTAACCACCACCACCACGATCAGAGACCAGAAATTATAGGTAACACCCTTCATTCAACTTAACTTGACTCCACGCGTCCGCCGCCACCACCACCACTACCACCACCACCACCGGCAGGCACACAAAAGAAAACACATTTGCAAACAATATCATACGTGACTCTCATACAGTATAATATAACCAATTTCAGCCCCATTTCAGCATCAGTTGAGTTCAGTGAAAAATAAAAAAAAGTGATAAGAAACAGAGAAACAAGCGAGTCATCACGCGCACTGGCACGGGGGCGGGCAGACAGGCAGGTATAATGTAGGAGAGTTTCAACGCGAACGAAAAGCAAAGCACAGTAAATGTAGCGAAATAGCAATCAATATCAAAATAAAAAACCCCATCGCCTAGCCAGCCCCCCAACCCCAACCCCAACCCTCATCATCATCGTCGTCTTCGGTCATCATCTTCATCTTCATCTTCAGTTCGTCAGTAGTGTAGTATGGTAGTATAGTATGGTATGGTATGGTAAGGTGGTCATGCAAGTAAAGTAAAGTCAAAGCAGAATAAAGTCATCAAAAATGAGCAATAAGCACACAACCAAAGGATAAGCAAGCAAGCAAGCATGCGCAACGCGTCGTCAACCTCATCAACACCCCTAGAAAACTCCAAAACCCAAACACAGAAACAAAAGAAAACCCAGGCCCCAAGATCAAAACGGAACGCAAAATCGACAGACGCGGCAAGAAACACTCTAGTTGCAATGATGGACGCGACACGTAAAAGGCGCATCGCGCCGGCCGCGATTCACGGGCCCCAGGTTTCGCCCCTCGTAAAGACCGGCGCCTGGAAGCCGTACGGGACCTGCGAGCCGGCCGTGCGACGGCTAGAACCGGTAGTGGTGCTGGCGCGACTGAGCTGCGGACTCGGCATTGTGAACGGCGGCTCCGACATCTTTGGCGAGGGGTGCGGGTGGTAGTGGACGCTGTGGTGTCTGATCGGGGGCTGTCTCGGGCTCGAGTGGCTGGAGTGGCTCCCGGCGTGGCTACCCGCGTAGTTCGAGGGCATGGGCATGCCGAAGGGATTCGGCGGCACGCCGCTGGACGTGACGAAGAACGTGCTGCCGCCCGCGAGACCGGAGCCGGCTGCTTTGACGAAGAAGTCGGGCGGCAGTGGGGGGCCTTCGGAACTCGTTACTGGCTCGGCGTGCTGCATGTCGGGGGAACCGCCGGTGCCAGACGATGACGTTTTCCGTCGTCCGTCGATCGGCGTGGTCGTCGTTTCACCATCCTCCTGAACGTATACGATGAATTTCTTCCAGCCGGGAGTGCTTTGCGCCGATGGATCGCGAGGGTGGACGGTAGATCTTCAGAAGAAAAAATGTCAGCTTTCGACTCAAAAAAGGTCATCTCGGTGTGTGCGTTGCGATGCGATGGAATGGGATGGGAAATGAGCGGGGTGAAAGTAACGGTAGTGCTCACCCGTCCGCTTTCGGGACCGTTGGGCTGGGGTTTGGGTTCAAGTTTGATGAGACGTGCTTCTTCTCGAAGGTGAATGATGGAGTGGTGTCGTTGTGGTTAGGGGAGGGACTGGAATACCCTGAATCGCACGAAGCCTGCTGGTCCCTCTGCAGGCGTGAATTTTGTTTCTCCAAACTGGGACTTGACACACTATGTCGGCGTCTAACCTGAGGATATCCGGGCCCACCAACATGTGGAGGCGTCCCGTAGAAGGCAGACGTGGTCGGCACCGATCCGCTAAACATCGGCGGCTTCGTGGCGAACGGCGGCGTGGTCGCAAACTCGTCACGCGATACGGACGAGGATCCGCGGCGGCGTCCCATTGGGGATGCCGACACCTTTCGCGGTCGGTTGGCTGGAATCTCGGTCGGCCGACCGGACCGTTCCGAATGATCCGAATGCTGTTCCTTCGCCGCCTGCCGTGCCTTCCGTTGTTCCGACTTTTCCCTGGCGATGCGCTCCGCCTGTTCCATCCGTAACCGTTCCGCCTGCACTTGCTGCTGTCGGATCTGCTCCATCGTGGCGCGTGTCTGCGTCTTGACGTAAGGGTCTTCCTCGTGACTGTTGCTGCGCTGTGTCCGCGGTGATCCCGGTCCGGCCTGAGCCTCGCGTAGTCTCCTCCGAACGGCCTCGAGCTTGGCGTCCTCGGCCGCCCTCGTCTCCTCGTAGCCGGGTCGCACCGCCGGTTTCTCCGTATCTGTCTCGGACGGAGGACCTCTCGGCTCGGACTGCGGGGGCGAGGGGCGCGACGATGGTTGCGGTGGAGGAGGAGGTGCGGGACGCGGGACGTGTTGTTGTTGTTGCTGCTGCTGCTGCTGTTGATGTTGCTGAGACGGGGGAGGGCGTTCGTACGACGATTTTCTCGCAGGCGGGGGATCATCGGCGGAAGCGTATCGATTCGCAGTACTAGAACCGTGAGCGTGTCTCGACGACGACGAGCTGTGCTTCTGCTGCTGCTGCTGTTGCTGTTGCTCTTCCTTGTGACGTTGTTCACGCTCGTAGTGCGCACGTTCCGACGCCCTCATCGCCTCCTCGGCCATTTCCTCGGCCTTTCTGAACCGTCGCTGATACGACTGCCTCTCCTCCCGATCCTTGGCGTCGAAGGTTGCTTCCTCCCGCGACCGCCGGTGCTCGTCGTCGTGCCGTCTCCTCCGTCGCTCCTTCTTGGCTCCGTCGTCTCCACCACCGGAAGCGGGATTAGCCGAGGTCGATGGCGTCGGTTTCGCACCGTTGGAGCCCCCGTTGGCCGCCGCCGCCTGTGCCGCAGCCGGACCCTTCCTCGCCAACTCCTCGTCGTACTTGCGTCTCCGGCGGGGATCGATGAGTAGTTCGTAGGCCTCCTGCACTTTCTGGAACTGCGTGGCTTTCTCGGCTCGCTGGGCCTCGTCGCGGACCTTGTCGGGGTGACATTGCAGCATTAGTTTCTTGTATGCGGATCGAAGCGCGGCGGGCGCGGCGTCGTGTGGAACTCCGAGGGCCGCATAAGGATCGAGTGCTGAGCCGACCGCCATGATGGGTGGGATTTATCGAAGGGGGGTTTGGATGTGGTGGTGTTGTCGAGGGGGGTGATGGTTGTTGTGGGTTGGGATGCTAGAGAATCGCAGGCCAGCGTGGCGATGTAGCGTCGTGGGACTATGTCGGATATAGCGTAAGAGAGAGAGAGAGAGAGTGTGTGTGTGTATGTGTGTGTGTGTGTGTGTGTGTGTGTGTGAGTGAGAAGTGAGAAGTGAGAAAAGCTGATCGATCTCTTCACCCGCGAAAAGTAAGAAGTCTCCAAGTATTATTGCCGGTCCTTTCTTGGGAGGAGCGGGGGGGAGGGGTAGGGGGGAAATAAAATTATCGACGACTTTCTTCGGAAGGGGAAGTCGGTGGTGGTGGTGGTTGCTAATCGATCAAATTGGCGATGACGGGCGAATCGAGGAGAGTCGAATGTGAGACTGAGAGAGAGAGAGATAGAGAGGGAGAGAGAGAGAGAGAGCGAGCGAGAGAGCGAGTGGGGGGGCGCAGTGCAAGCAAGCAAGCAAAAGCAAATGCTGACAGTAACAATATGCGAGACTGACGGGGGGTCGGACAGCGAACAATGACGAAGAAGACCACGACGTTGTTGATGATGTGCGAGGGATTCTTGAGCGAAAGAGAAAGAGAGACAAAAAAATATAGGGAGAATGTATGCAAGAATCAAGAGTGGGAAGAGCGAGTATGAGACGTAAGAGTTTGATGATACTGTGTGTTGTGTGGTTGGGTGCCGAAGGAACGAGGGCAAGACAGGGCGGACCACACAGATGAATCGAATATATCGAAGGAAAATATGATGTAGAGCGAGAAGGAGAAGTATGTACTGTAGTTGGTGGTGCTGGTGGTGGTGGTTGGCGGTGGTGGTTGGCGGTTGGTTGGTTGGTTGGCTGGCTGGATGCTGGCTGGCTGGATTCCACAGGTACTTGCCGTTGTGTGTGTGCGTTCGAGGCAGCTAAGAGGACGAAAGACCAGTCAACGGCAGGAATACGGGGGCAATCAATTCGTCGATGTCGCTACTGCTGTTGGAGGTCGACGATGAGGAGTCGGAGGCGGCGGAGGATGAAGACGAGGAGGAGGCTGATTGCTCGGTTTCCCTGACTGGCCTCTGTATGTACTATAAAGTGGACGGGGAGGGTTGTGATTGCCGGTGCAGCAATGAGGAGGATGAGGAGTAACTAGTACGGTGTTGTGGCTTGTGACTAAGTGGCTCCCAGAACCCTGAGGGAATCGTGGTGAATCCCGGATGGACGGACAAGCCGACGACGTTGAAGAAGAAGGAGACGAGGGCGAAAAGATTGAAATAGGTATACTCGGTCGGTACGATCAAGGTACGCTTCGAAGCAGGGAAATCAAAAATATGTACGTAAATGCCAACAGTCGATCGAGATGTCGCCGGGAGGCCGAACTGCTATGTACTGTATAGCACGGTCTGTGTCCGGAGAGGGAGAGCGGACTTTGTTCGTTCGGCGAAGAGGCTGATCGGACTCGGAGGTGTTGGTGGGATACAACGATAGAAGGCAAGTGGGGAAAATTATTGCGAGCCCGAGGGCGGGGAGCTGAGCGGTTTCGCAAGCTAATGCAACCGCCGTCTTTACACAGACAATCTATGTCTGCAGGTTATGTATGTTGTTTGGTTTGGGTTTGGTGGTGATGGCGATGGCGGAAGTGGTGGTAGTAGTGGTGGTGGTCGAGGTCAACGCCTGTGTGTGATGCTTCGATGGCCGGACGAAGGAGAGAAGGATGGAGGGGGGGAGGGAGAGGACTTTGAGATGATACTGTACTCGAGTGGGGGGCAGTATGTAGGTGGGAGGGTGTAACAGCGTAGGTGCTTCTGCCGTGACGTCCGTTTCCTCGCGTTTTGCTTGTTTAATGTGCAGGATCAGGAGGAGAGAATGGGAGGCGGAGGAGGAGGGGTGATGATGCTGGCGATGGCGATGGGGGGAGGGGGGTGTGGGTGAAGGTGAAGGTGGTGTGTGTAATGTGTATAGTTATCGATATCTCCCGTGTGGACTGGAACGATGGCGGGGAAGGCAGCTCGCAGATTTGTGGGCTGGGGGGAACAAGCAAGCACCCCGGGCCTGGTAGAGTACCGTACGGCGGCCGGTAGAACTTTAGAGGACAAGCGTGACGGGGGTGAGGGGCGGACTGGCAGGCAGGCAGGCAGAGGGAGGGTAAACGAGGCCACGCCCATCTACATATCTGCCTATCTACACACCTACCGAAGAAAAGCAAAGGAGGAGGAGGAGAATATTCTCATTCGAGATGGGATATGCGGTGTGGTTGGGCTGGATTGGATTGGAGTTGGTGCGGTAAGAAGGCAGGTGCGTACCTTGGGTACGGCTGCTCTAGAGTCCGGCAGGTGCACTGTGCTTCTGCCGCAGCGGATGCGTGGGAGCTGGTTCGAGAGGACAAAGAAAGGGAGACGCAGAACATCGCCATCTCTACGGCCAGTGTCTTTTCGACGGTACTGGCTAAAAACGACGAACCTCTGGTTGTCTGTCTATCCGGAAAGCACAAGGTATCCAAGTATCCAGGTAACGACTAGGTAGTGGTGCGGCGGCATCGGCGGCGAATGATTCAGCGTGGCCTGTCTGAGGAACCTGACGGTTGCGAATGATTGGCTCGGGCTGTTCGGCAGGGGTGAGGGGAGAGGAGAAGGGAGGTGCCATCGAGGCAACGAGGCGACGAGGTATGATAGTTATGTCCGCCTCGTGTCCGGAAACTACTTGCATAATTACCTCGATTCATCAATACCTCAATAGATGAGGCTGGATAGGTATTTGGGTACGCCTCAAGTATAGGTAGTAGTACTCGGAGTATGTATGGTACTCGTGTGTACATAGATTGTCACCAACCCAACTTGCGCGTCCAAGTACCGGTATGTACTTTTGTACTCCAAATACATACGGGTCACCAGAGGGCCATTATTATTCCCATCCTACCTATGCTCCTATCCAGCTAGATACGATCCACCCAGGTCCCAGGACCCAAGCCACAGGTATTTTATTAGTACCGTAGAGCCGGTTGGCTTTAAGAAGGCTGGCGGCGTCGTCCGTCCAGACTCCCGACTCCCGGCACTTGTCCCCCCTGAGCCCTCCTGACTCCAGATATCGGATATCGGGGATTGCTGAGTGAATCTACCAGTATGTGGGTACATACCCAAGCAGCCATCCGCGGCACCACGCTCCTCGCTCGTCGTTGACGTCTCCCCGTCCCGTCCGGATCCCGTCCGGATCGCGTCCGGATCCACGCTGCCTTTCGTCATTGACGCCGATCCCCCCAACCCATGATCCCCGACCGCTGAGCCATGGATGGCCGAGCCATATGGAGCGATGATGATGATGGTGATGGTGATGATTATGATGATGCTGATGCTGATGCGGATGATGATTGTGGTGATTATCTTATACCCGCCCCGCCTCGCCCCGCCCCGCCTCGCCCCGCCCTTCTAATCGGTGTTCCGCCCCACCCCGCCCTACCCCTGAGTCCTCGCCCCTCCTCCTCCACCGGAGAACTAAAACGCACCGGCCAAAAACGTACGCGCGTGTATAGTACTGTGGTACTGTGCCACGGAACACACATACACAGGAGCGATATCTTCTTCTTTTCCGCCTGTTCCTCCGCTTCTTCTTCTTCTTTCCCGGTCCTTCCATGCCTTCCTGCAGTGCGACCGACCGACCGACCGACCGACAGGACGACAGGACGACAGCCGGATCGAATGGCCCTTCCCGCTTCCCCCTAGCACCAATGCACCATATGTACCTACGGTAACTACGGTCTCCATCAAAGAACGAATAAGTACCGGTAACTACTCCATGCGGACTCCAGCCAACGCACCCAGGGGCCAGCTCCTGGTACCCGGCTTCTACTTGGTACATCTGTAATTCTACATAAATTCCCCCTCGATAGTCGAACCTGCATAGGTAGCTGGATCATATCTGGCCGGATCATAGCATGATCACGTACCTATGAAAACAAAAAGTACGGACTTATGTATGGAATCCACAGCGACCGCGATATATCGCCCGAAAGGGCCACTACATTCGATTTCATCTATGCCCCGAGACGGAGCATTAACTACCCGCTAACCAATAGTCAACACTCCCGGATTGGGGTCATTACTCTACCCTCACGCTTCCCAAGCGCTGCGTGATCGGTAGAGTACACCGCCTGCCAACCAGTGCCAGCCAGTGGTGGCGGCCGCGATGTTCACAAATCAAATGTGATCGGATTTTTCGAGAGAGTCGAGAGCGATGTGATGTTTCGACTCTTCGAGGGCATGGGACGTCGGTCTTCGACGCTTCGATCTTTGAGATGCAGGCTTCGAGATTTAATCCTTATCCCGTCCTTATCCCGCCCTTTTTCTTGCCTGCCGTATGGGTAACTATCTGCCTACTGTGACAGTATGACCCCCGCGCCGCTCGATCGAACCCAGTTCAAAGTTCAAACATCAGTCTCGTGGACGCTGGACGCAGCGGACGCGGCGGTGGGCTGTCGACTGTTTATTGTTCACTGCCCACTGCCCAGTTCGGTCTGGTTAAGAGTAGAGTAAGAAACGAGATGAAGCAGTACCTCGAGATGTCCATGGTTGTCACTGGCGGTGGTGGTGGCGAAGAGAAACTGCAGTCAGTGTGTGGGGCGATACCGTAGTACTTACCGCCACTGCCACTGCCACTGCTACTGCCACTGCTACCACGACTACCGCAACTACCGCCACTCTGTATCACCGCTTCCATCCATCAAGCAGGTCAAGCCGCGTCCGCGCCCGCGCTTTGTCTTGTCTTGTCTCAACTCTGTGTCCTTCAAGTTCACAGCATAGGGCTGTCGGAGGTAAAAGTTCCCGAATAAGCAGTCCGTCAGACGCCCCCGTGCTCTCAGCCGTGCATATCCTCCATCCATCTCCTGCTTCTTCCCTTCTTTCTTCTTTCATTCATTCTTTCTTTGTCCAACCCACCCAAGCCCACATCCAGAGTTGAACAACGCGGGGAAGCCCTGGACCCCGCAGCTTGAATCCCGCAGCCTGAATTCTGAACAAAGTGAGGCTGAAGATAAGTAGCACGTCCAATCCCCATCCATGATCCATCCCTGCCGCGGTGCCACATAACGGGAGTAACCACTTGCAGCGGCGCGTTGAGATTCCATCTGAGGCGCAACGCACATGCCGAGAATCTGATTGCAGGGCAGGGATTGGTGCTGGGAGGGAGGGGGGAGATCTCATGTCAACAGCGGGGGACGGGTGGGTTTATGTGCTTACTATACTTATCATAGATTACCGAACAAAAAAGCTGTTGCTGTTGCTGTTATAAAGTGGGGAGACTGGACAAACTGAACAGCGACGTTTGTTTGTTCTCCGCACTGCCACTCGGCCCTGCATAGGATTGCCGCCGTGTGTGGATAGCTTTCGTGGACGGTCGGCTTTCGTGAACGGCTGGCTTTGGTGAACGAACGCCTCTTGTGGACGGGCGTGAACGGGTCAAGTGAAGTGCAAGTTACGCCTCCAGCCACCGCCTCCGCACCCGCCTCCCGCCTCCAACCTCCGCCTCGAGCCCCACGCCCGCCGCCCGCCGCCCGGGCATCGGAACGCGTCACCGAGCCAGCCGGACGGAGCACCAAAGCGACGTGGTACTGTACGTAACCATCCCGGCCACCACGGAGGCAGGTAGTATGTATCACATGTGCGCAGCGCAGGGTAACGAACGATTCTCCATACAATCTGTCGAGTCCTTGTCGAGCTCGGCCATGACGGTGGATACATACGGTACCTCCGCGTGACCTGGAGTAGGTACCGGTAACCAGACTGCCCCGACGATGAGAGCAGACACAGGCAGACAGCTCGTCGACTCGCGTAGATATCTAGATGCAGGGCAGGTGCTCCTGCTGCTCCTGCTGTAGGCACGGTATGTAGGTTCAGTTGCAGATGCAGTTTCAAGTAACTACCTACCGTAACTACCGTAACTACCGTACGTATTGTACCTGCGCAGACGTCAACCCGGCTGGCTGGAGGACCACCCGTGACCCGCCCGCCTACCCGCCCGCCCGCCTGACAGCGTTGCAGATGAGATGCTCATCGCTTTCCCGCGAGTCGAGGAACGGGGGGTTTTGCCGGGAGCCAGCAGGCTCGATCAATCTGGCGGGGTACGTAGCTCTATCGTAGCTGTATGTACAGCTGGCTGGCTGGTTGTACCTATGTAGATACATACATAGCTGGGCTGGCTCGCTGGCTGGCGTGGTCTTGCTGGTGATAACTATGCTGCGGTGGTACCATAGTAGTGGGGTTGGCGATGGCGATGGCGATGGCAATGGCGAGGGCATCTATCACGCCCCACCACTGGTTCGCCGCCACCACTACCACCACCACCACCACCACTACCACCACCACTACTACCACCACCGGCATCGGTTGCAGACCAGATCTACCTAGAGTACTGCCTATACATATTAGGTATTATTATCGAGCAGGTGACAACCTGCTCCTCCTCCGCATCCTCCTCCGAGTTGGGCACCCAGCCCAGATAGATATCCCCCGAACCCAGGGACCAAGGAACTACTTACCTCATGACGACCATATTCCGAACGGGCAACAGAACTGTCACAGCATGGCCGAATGGTTGAATGTCCGAATGCGGCAGGCTGCAACGACCAACCCTGCGGATGGGGATTACCACATCCGCCCGCTGCGCAGCTGCCAAGCGTACTCTGGTACAGGGGGGGTGGTGAATGATGGAGATGGATACGTGTGAGCTGCGTGGGAGCCCTATTTGGGGGTGTTTTGCCTCGGCTGCGTGGTCGTCGATTGGGATAGCTTACTTACATACGGTACAAGCAGGTGTCAGCCACAGAACGCCACAGTTGAGGTGGCGGATGCCGGTGGATGATGCTGGATGATCGTGGATGATCATGGACGACGCTGGACCACGCGCGCTGGATGGGGCTATCCCCCTTCCTTCTGTTTGTTTTGCTTCTTTCTGCCTCTTTGCTGTGGCAACCAGTACAGGAGGAGGAAGAGGAGGAGGAGAGCGGTGGCATTGCATGCAGTAGTAAACCCACTAACCAAGTCTGTAGGTAGTCGATCCGTCCAATCGTTAACTCCTCAGCCCGACGGCGTCTTTTTTTCCACCGCGCAGGCAGCCAGTCGCTCGTTCCACGACGCCATCCATCCATCCATCCATCATGAACAGCTCTTGCCGGAATCTAGTTATGTATTGCACATACATAGAGTCCATCCCCCCCGGCGCTTGATCACTCCCATCCCCTTTTCCGAGTCCGACTCGGACTCGGGATCGAACACCACCATCCGGCACAGCGCGTCGACGCCGGCTGTTGGCACTTTCACGTGACCGGATCCTGGCCCCCGTTTCTAGCATAGCGTGGTACTAGTACTTCCGTACCCCGCTCCCCTCCCCGCCTCGCGAGTCTCGGAGCCCGAACGGCGAAGATGGCTAACCAACCTCATCGGATAGCTGATAACTGCCTTCCCCAGCTTTTCTTTTCTCCTTCCGCGTGTTTCTCGCTCCTGAGTCCTGTCGCTTTTTCTCACCCTCTTTTTCTCGCCGTTGTTGTCGTTCCGTTGCGGCAATTCGACTCGACCGTGTCGGTATATAGAGTACTCTACCCATCTAGCGCTGGCTTGCGTGGAGTGTGGAGCGTGGAGCGGAGCGGAGTGGTGTGGAGTGGAGTGGAGTGTGGATTACCAGGATGATGATGGCTGCTGGTAGTGGTGGTGTCGGTGGTGGAGGCAGCCCACATGGCGGCAGCTGATTCGTCGGCCGTCGCACCACCACCACCACCCACAGAAAGCATTAACGATTCCAAACGCGACTGACTGGGCTGATTTCCTGTGCTTTCTGTGCTTTCCAGGAGAAGGAGAAGGAGAAGGAAGTGCCCCATCCATCCATCATATCTATCGCGATGGCCGTGGAGATGGCAAGGAAATAAATTAAATCTGCACCTGGAGACTGGAGTCTCCGGAGTCGGTGGAGGTCTCACGGTGCGCTCCCATTCGCGAACTGGCTTCGTTCGTTCGCCTGCACGCTAACTACGCGCTGCGCTGCCCCAAGGAAAGAAGAAGGGGAAAAAAAGTCCTCATGCTATCGAACACCCGGCGTTTGAACAGAACAGAACGCAAACTCGGTTCCAGTTCCAGCAGATGCCATGCCATGCCATCCTGAGTCCTTCCTTCAACCTTCAACCTTCAAACGCGGTACGACACACCACCCACCCCGGAGGAGACGGCTTCTTCCCGTGCGTGTTTTCGTTGTTGTACATCGTTTATAGCAGGGCTGTCCACTCCAGTATCGCCTCCCTTCCCGTGGCTTCCCCAGATTTTGGTTGTGATGTGACATTCCCGCGCCGGCGGCCGCCTCCCCCATATAATCCCCCAGCTTTCGGGTTTGTCGTGGGTGGGTGCACACAGCAAGGCCGTCCGTTTG